CTGCACACTGTTTGATATTACAACATTTACACTTATACTCGGGTGTCTGAATGCACAAATTTAGTTTGGTTTTTTTCACTGATTTTGAAAGAGGTATTTTATTGTCTGGAGAGTCAAACCTTGCTGTGTGGCTGTGCAGCCTAGTGTCCATTGATTCTATAGCCTGGATGGATTTTTGGAGGATGATAATGACCCAAGTTGATAGACCCACTCTGTCCAATCCTCAATTCCATGTATTCAGTAAATCGGCCGTAGCGGCCGAAGGAACATTCCCACGGTCGTGGCAGTGCGATTTTCGGATTCCCACGATAATTCTGCACAGATTTAGGTACCCGACGGAATTGAGCCTCAATTCCGTCCGAACACAAGGATAGGGTTCCCACGATAAGGTACGTGGGTCAGTTTGCTTACGTAAGCTGATGGTGGCTGTCCATAGAAGTCTTCGGCTTCCTCGGGCCGGTCGGCCCGGTCGGCATCTCCGCAGTGGGAATGTCTTGGCAGCGGCACGGCGGCATCTCGGCCGGCTTGTCCTTTCTTAGTACGCCGAGCTTCGGCTCGGAGTGGAACGGATCGGAACGGGCTCGTCGGGGTTCTGCTGTCCCTGTTGGGATGTTTCTTCCTACGGTGCATGTTCTGCCGTGTCTCGGCTCCCGTGCGGCTCTCCGTGCGGGATTCTTTGTTCCCGATTAGGTGCGTAACCCCGTTCCGTCGTCTTGGCGTTGATATTTTTGTTGTCGCCGTGTCGGCCTCTCGGCCGGCACGGTGTCGCTCGGTCATCTCGGGCAGAACCCTGATGAGCCTATAAAGGCGAAACAGGGCTGGCTGGGGATCCCCTCAGCCACTGTCGGTTCTGCTTTCGCCCCTGCTCCTCTCTCTGTTGCGACCATCCCTGCGCCAAAAAACGCTCGGTCGCTTCGCTCCCTCGCGTTTTTTGGGCGCCCTAACCCTAACCCTAAAGAACCCACGGTCACCGTGGCAGTGTCGCGACGCGCGTGGCTCACCGTGGCGGTGTCGCGACGCGCGTGGCTCACCGTGGCAGTGTCGCGACGCGCGTGGCTCACCGTGGCAGTGTCGCGACGCGCGTGGCTCACCGTGGCGATACGGCACGTGCCTCGCATGGCTCACCGTGGCGGTGTAACGACGCGCGTTTGCCGAGCGGGCCGGGTCCCACGATCACCGTGGCAGTGTCACGACGCGCGTCGCTCACCGTGGCAGTGCCATGCCCCGTGTGGCGCCGAACAGACCGGGTCCCACGATCACCGTGGCGGTGCTACGACGCGCGTTTGCCGAGCAGGCCGTGTCCCACGTTCACCGTGGCAGTGTCACGACGCGCGTTCTGACCCCCTGCCGAGCTCGCCGAAGTCCCACGATCACCGTGGCGGCCAGCAATCCTCCTGGCAACATCCCCACCAAAATATTGGTGGGGTAATGCCCACAGCGCGTTAAATCGCCGAAATATTCAGGACGGTACCCATCACAGTTACGAAGAGGCGTTGTCAGACGGTGAGTAGCGATTTAGTTGGAAACCGTCGAGGAAAACGGACGGTGAATTATGAGCATCATTTCTTTCGATTTAAAAAACCGATTGTTCGGTGAATACTGCAATATATGAAGCTTCTAAAACCTTGAAAAAATGGCCAGTGGGAGGGGATTGGCGAACATGATTTTTTGACATACTAACCGTGGGAATGTGATCGCTGGATAATCCTCCAGGCCCTTCTCACCGTTTTAGGAGGATATGATGAATTACGGAATGACTACCAATATAAAGTGAGGTGCGAGAACAGTTCTGGATTCAGTACTTCTGGGGCTATGCACTGACACCCCAAACATCCAAAACTGAGACGCCCGGAGGTCAGCCTGACCTCCTGGCTGGGACAGGGGTAGGTGGTTAGATGTCCCTGATTTGGTCACGCTCGGGGCATCGACTGAATTGCGTATCACATATTCACGTGAGTGTCACTGCAATGTCACTAGTAGCTATGTATGAATGAGCCCTACCTTATACTGTCGTGAGCGCGGGGTACGCGAGGCCTAACGGGCCTCCCTCGATGCCGACACCATTCCACGCGGGCATATTCGGCACGCAAAAGTCCTGCGCGGTGAGCGCTAATCCGTTCATCGTATCGGTGCCAACGGGGCCGACTGCGAACGTGCCATCTCCATATGTGCCAATAAGAGGAACGAACGTCGACGATTGCGATGGGTCAAATCCCGCAGCCCCGAAACCGCATTCATCTTCGGTTTCCGGACTGCGAAGCCGTTCTGGACAAGCCATGTGTCGGCGCTGTGGACAACGTTGGAGCCTCGTCGTGGACGAACAGCAAGGGTGGTTCTCTAGGCGAATCAGGCGTCAATCCCTCCGTTGATAGCGAGCCACTCAAGAAACTGAATGACCAGATACCTCTCAGAGGCCATTTCAACGTGGACTGCCATCGCAATGCGTTGGAGCATTATCTGGGAAGGGGGAAAAGAGCGGGAAAAAGTGATCGTGATTTGCAAATACCCAGGCAAGGCCAGAGGCTCCGTGGTCTTGCCGTTGGTTTCTGTAGTCGCATTGATGGAACGATGTTTAATGAACGCCCGATGTGACGTGCGCGCCAAACGTGCGCGCAGACTTGCGCCAGGACATGGGATACACCACTGCGTTGTCCAAAGTATGGTTAGCCGATGCGTGGACGGCGCTATAGGGCCATTGAGTTCATGGAGCTATCGCCCATGCACGCGCAAACGAAGTGATCAAGACATCGATGACCAAGCATGGTCATCGGATTGAGAGCAAAGGGCAAGCACAATACGGAGTGCACCATCCACATCAGCGCGCTGGCATCATCATGCCTTCATCGATATCACAAACATACAGATTCCGAATTTAAACCAAGCGGATTGAGAAGGACACCAGGGGCATGGCCACAAGCGTTCACCGTATAAGCGCTCCAACCTCATACGCGCTCATCGACCTCGTCGGCCCCGGCCGTTCCCCCACCGCCTCCGCCTTCAACCTCTCCACATCCCTATTCCCCTTCTCCTCGAAGCTCTTCCTGCTCCCGGCCGTGCTCCGACTCGCGCTCCGCTCCCTACCCACCTCCCTCGGCGTGACTGCCCGCTTCCCAAACGCCGCACCGAGCGGACGGGGGCTCATACTCCGCGCATCTGCCCAAGGGCTCGTGCCATCGTCGCCGGTCGCATCGGGGAAGATGGAGGAAAGGTTGAGGGAGGGCAGCGACGGCGACGCGGGGCGCGACGCGGCGAGCGCACTGGCGGACTGGATGATGGTGCTGCTCATGCGGGAGAGCAGCGGCGGACGTGCGACCGCGGCCGCGTCGGGCGTGGTCACCGCGGAGGTGGACACGAGAGGCGTGGCCGCTTGGACGCGCATGAACGGGTTCAGCACCAGATCGGCGTCGGGATGGGTCGGCGGTTTGTCGGCGGAGTCCAGGGCGGAAGGTAACGCGACGCTGGAGGGCGCACCCTCTTCGCCGTACGAGCGGGTGGAGGATATCGACGAACGGTTCGACGACGGAAGCGCAATCGAGGCTGGACTCGCGGATCGTACTGGTGGGGACTTCAGAGCAATCTCAGATGACGAGCGCGAGTGCGACGCGTGCGAGTTGGGATCCCGAGCGCTGCGGTTCTCCTCCTCCATGAGCCGGATGACCGAGCGGAGGGCCTCGCGCTCGCGCTTGGCCTCGCGCAGCTCTTCCTCGGCCTCGCTACGTTTTATGCGTTCGGTCGCTACCATCTTGTTCGCCTGGAGAGGAGGACGATCAATAACAGGTAACACGAGCATAATGCAAGATCCAGACCTCTTCGAACAGAGCCTGACTCAAGCTTTCCAACTCCTCTTCCAGCGCCTTCTTGTCCCTCATCGCTTTCTGCAGCTCCTCGTGCTCCTTGTCAAGCCTCCGCTTCGCCTCGTCCACCTCCTGCCTCGCCACCTTCAGCGCCGCGTCCTTCTCCTCTTGTGCTCGCCTCAACATCTCGCTATGGTCCACCTCAGGGGCTAGCGACGGTAGACTTGCAGATGTAAGGTGAGAGCGCGTGATGGAATTAGACCGCGAGGGCGGCCCGCTGAAGGGGAGCTTGAAGCCCGAGAACCGGCCTTCCGTCGCCGTGGTCGGGCTTGCGTTCGTCACGACCGGGGAACCGCTGGGGCCTGCCGAGGGGAGAGGAGGTGATCCCCCCGGCGTCGCTGAGGTGATTTGGGGCGACGCGTTCGCCGATTTCGTCCCGTCGGGCGAAGCTTCGGTTTTCGTGCGCTGTTGCGCTGCTTGCTCGCTGGCCATGCGTTGCGGAGCGGAGAGCCGGCGCCAGCCCACGTCTTTCCCGGACCCATTCTGCTTGAGAGCATCCTCGAGCATCTCGTTGTTCAGCAATGCGACTTGTAGGTTGGACTTGGCCAGCGTGAGAGCTGTGTCGAGTTCGGATTGAGCTGCAAGTGATGCCTTCAGGAGAGAGGTCTGTAGGAGGATACCATCAGCTTCGTCCCCGTTCACGCGAAATGGGAATGGATTCGACGGTGATGGATAATTACCAGCTCCTCGACACGCTTGATCATACGTTCGAGTCCATACTTCAGATCCTCCTCTTGGCCGTGCGTGAGGACCCTCCTCGCATCGCGCAGATCATCCTCAGTGGCGAGGAAGATCTGCGAATTGGACCCTTGCGAACCTTGGGCTAGGATCAAGATGGCAATCTCGTCAGATGAACGGCATCCATCTGGCACGCGGATGCCACTTGCACCAACCTAGCTGAGACTTCTGGATGGAGTCCGTTCGTTTGGGCAAAGGTTGGGTGGTGGATGCGCGAGAGGTCGGTCGACTAGGCGGTTGATGCATGTACATCGCATGGGGGGCGAACATGTCTCGCTGCTATCCGGTGTTTTCCAACGCAAGAGTCAGGTATGTGTCTTGGTCCGGTGCAGCGATACGCTAAGAAGGAGATGCTGGATTCGGTCGAGCGGTCGTAGCGGGCCCAAAGTCGTCAAGACGGGAACAAGGGCGTGCGCCGTCTATGACGTTCGCGCGCCCTGCGCAGCCATGGCGTCGATCACTGATCGAGCACTGAATCCAGATATTCGGCACCTCTCCCGACGCCGGCAGTTGCTGCGCGCGCCCCCAATTGCGGATGACCGCTGACAATGTCGTCCGCCCCCGATACAAAGTATGTCGTGGCACAGTGAGTATGGAATCCATACTATCGCCGCACATGCGCTTATATCGTCAACACTGGCAGCCACATGGTCGGAAATACCTACGTCGGTTAACGCACCACTTGATCACGCCGATCTTTCATACTGTCTCGTAGCCGTACACTGTCAGGGAATGGCTAGAAGATATCAAGTTGGCTCATCAACATGGAATTGATGGTAGGGACCCCTTCGCGACTTTGAACCTTTTTTGATCCGACTTACATTAATCCAGCGTTCGCCTTGAATATCGGACGAGACGAATGGCAGGAAGCAAGGGTGTCAGACGCGTACATTGCCGCGGCAACGTCTGCAACTGACTTCAAGCTCTTCATCTCGCTTGATATGACGTCTCTCGGAGGGTTGAGAGCCACTGATGCAGCAATGATACGCAAGTACCTGAACGCTTACGCGGAACACCCAAATCAGCTCCGCGTTCGCGGCAAACCGCTAGTCTCTACATTTGCTGGGGAACAATGCACCTTCGATCAGCCTAGCATGGATGCGGGGTGGAACTTTGCGATCCGAACAGAAGTCTCTGCGGACTACCTCTTCGTCCCCGCGTTCTTTGTCGACCCACGAACTCTGCCTTCGTGCTCGGTTATTGACGGGATATTTGGTGTACGAAGAGCGAGCGTCAGTTTCTCGATTTCTTCCCTCTGACGACTCTTCGCAGTGGAATGGCGGGTGGCCGATGGGAAACCATGACGTTGATTTTGACGGCGACCGTAAACATATCAAGCACGTCAAGGGAAGGGCCTACATGGCTGCGGTCTCGCCTTGGTTCTTCACGCACTACGGCCCAGACACATATAACAAGAATTGGATCTATCGCCCCGATAACTGGCTCTATAATGCTCGGTGGGAACAATTGAACGCGCACCGGGATGAGATAGACATAGTCCAGATCATCAGCTGGAATGGTGAGATCTACTCATCTTCGCTAGCAGTCCCCAGAGCTCAACGACCAACGAGATTATGGAGAGAGTCACTATGTAGGGCCGATAAAAGGTGCACAGCCAAATGCGCGTGCGTGGGTGGACGGTTTTCCCCACTTAGGTGCGTCCTGTAGCAAGGTGATAGTTCGTCTGTTCACCAGAACTCGTCATCCCAGGATGGTTAAACATGTCGTCGTATTATATTCACGCTTTCAAAACCGGCCACTGGCCGATAGTCACGGCCGATCACGTCTTCATCTGGAGTCGGCCACATCCCGCCCGCGCGTCAGCATCCGAGGATGCCGTGCCTAGGCCGGACAACTGGCGATGGACATCTGATCACCTTTGGGCGGTCGTCTTTGCCCGTGCGCCCTCTCGGATCGAGGTACAGTCCGGAAATAACGAGGAGACCTTCCTCGTTCAGACTGGTGTCACCAAACTAAAGCTCGCCAATGCTCCGGGGCATGTTCGAGCCCGCATGTTCAGGAATGACGAACTAGTCCTGGACGTGGACCCAGGCGACGCCTTCATCTTCACGTCGACGCCGAGGGTGCATAATTTTAACGCCTTCGTCGCTTGGGCATAACGTATCTCCAGGCGCTCGCATTTCGCCTCCTTTGTTCCATGGAAAAGAATAAGTACTTATCGCAAACTCCTCTGATGATCAAAGCCTTGCTACATAGACCATACCGGAAATCATATCTCCGGGAATCCTCGGAGCGACTGCGATCCGTTGCGTAGGGTCTCTCCCCTTGCTCAACATCGAAGTCCGCAGCTTGATGCTACGCCGATCGTCGCCCGTTACCTCAAGTCCCATGGACAGGCAGTCGTAGCCGACGCCGAGGAGCACGCATCCAAGTTGGCGGCTCATATCCCGTGAGAACGATATCAGATGTTCTGGAGGGTGCAGTATTTACGATGGCACATCGGCGTCACTACTATGGATGCACCATAAATGCAATAGTGTACCATCAATGCAATCGGTCTGAAATCTCGTTACTGCGGGGCTCCCTCTCATCCTAATCCCTACATATTAAATTGAGTGCATATACAGTACTATTCAATGATAAGTGCCAAAGGAACAGAGCGAAGCATTAGGGGATGGGCCTCCAGAAAATGCGCAACGTCGTTTGGGGAACCATCCAAGCGTGCTCTAGCATGAAGACACGGCTCGGCTGAAGGGATCTGAGCTGATAAAAATCTGAATATATTCAAGTGTACTCTATACTATACAGAAGGTACGTCTGTCAATCCCGATACGTAATATCTGCAACTTTGTGCTTGCTATGCAAGGATTACTGGCGGAGGTGCCATGAATGCAATTGAAGCTCCGCTTTAAATGCTGACAAAGCAGGGTCAGATTGCAGGAGCTCCCCGCCAGAAGGTCGCGGCCTCGGCTTCTCGGCCTTGGGGGACCCATTGTGCAATCTGCAGAGTCATCGACACGTCCTACCGGCATCGCTCTGGCAAGGCATCTCGCGTACCAAAATATTTGAGGCTTGACATACAGCTGCTGCATGATTTTGGCTACCATATGATTTAGTTTCTGGGTGGATTAGCAATGAAATGACGATTTTGAACCATCAATGCAATCGAAATTGCATTGATGGTACATCCATAGTATTCTGCATCTGCAAGTACGGCTGTGGCTTCTTTCTTATCAGAAGGCACACGCTTCGATTTGGTGTCGGAACCATTTCTGTGTCCGTGAATGCCGGATCCGGCGAGGGCCTAAAGGGGTTCCGGAGGAAAATACCCTATAGTGCCATGAACCTCAGGCCGGCAGGGAACAGACTCAAAGGCTGACAACACAATTCGAATCCACTATGAACATGGATTTCACTACTGTACTGCGATATGGAAAGCATTGCAAACAACGACAACAAACTCGTGCAAAGAGCGCGTACAGGTCACAAAGCAGTGCTACACACAACGTTAAATATTCGTCAGAGACCGTCAGCATTCATGCGAACGGCTGATTGCCAAACTTGACGTAGCCTTCTCGCGCGAATGTGAAGATATGGTCTCCAAGGCTGCGAGTGGCAAAGCCGGCCTCGCAATAGTCGCTGTCATGACGGTCGTCAGCACCGTGAGCGCGATGACGACGCGCGACCGTCAGCTCACAAGTAGTATATCCATTTTCTTCTGAAGACGTCCAAGTCGTCAGCGGTAAGCGAGTATTCTTCCACGAGTGCTTGGGCGATTTTCTCATCCCAGTTGCGCAGGAATTTGCGTTTCCACTCTCGGAGGGTACGGGCATAGTGGGGCCCTATATTTCGGACCGTGTCGACCGTGAGTCGACCTCCAGAACCCTTCGCCAACGTCGACACGAGGAATTCGAAGGACGGAATGTAGCATCCGGGGAAGACTGCGGGCACCACCATTCAGTTTTTAGCTCCAACGCTGCAAATAAGAAGGACGTACTCCACTTCTGTATGAAATCCACGCCCTGGTCATACGCCGGGATGCCTGTACCGCACAATCAGCTGCCGATACTCCGTCGCAATAGACGCATCATGTACGCACGTGATTCAGGCATTGTGATGACCTGCACGCAGCCCGCCGAGTCCCTCGGCTTCATGGCCCAGTCGACGACGCCCCAGTACTCGGCGATAAACTCGCGCCCGACGTTCTCGATCATCTCGACGCTGACGAACCGGTCGAACGCGCCCGCCCACTCGGACTTCTGCAGGCACTGGCGGTAGTCCATGAGGTGAACGGTTATCCGGTCAGAGAGGCCCGCGTCGGCGATGCGCCGCCGTGCGAGCGTCGCCTGGTGTACGGAGAGCGTGACGGTGTCGATGATGCAGTCGACCGTCTGCGCCAGCAGGATGGAGAGCGAGGCCCAGCCCGTGCCTGTCCGCGACAGAATTAGCTGCTGTCTCGTGACTGAGGGAAGCGAAGCGGGGCGTACCGAACTCGAGCACGCGGTGGCCAGGCTTGACTTCCGTCAACTCGATAATGTATCTGTATGGTCAGCGGATTCGATAGGCGCGTCGTTGCTTGGAAGCAGGTACGTGAAAGCTTACCGCATTTTGCGCATCTGGGCGTCTTCCAAGCTTTCGAGAGCGCCAGGTTTGGGCGAAAGATCTTCGGTGAAGTCCTTGAATATCGCCGACGAATAGCACATGTCCTCGCTGAGGAACGCCTCGAACCTGAAGAGCAATGTCTAGAGCACTTCACAATGAGAGTTTGCTGTGATCTTACATGTCGTTGCTCAAGTCATAGTGAGCCGAGATGTTAGCTCTTGAGTTGGTGAGATTTCCCAGGAAACGGGTCGCAGTCAGATTCCGGCCGCGAGCCAATATTGTCGAAAGGATGTTATCCGTGTCGAGCTCCGATCGATTTGCAATGATTATCTGCGTTTAGGGAGCCATGAGAAGCCCGCTCCTACGGACGATACCGAAACCCTAAGAAGTCCCGGACGCACTTGGATGAGAGCGGATATGTCGTCACATTCGACTGGGACCGAGACTCCCGTCAGCGTGTTCTCCGTTCTCGCCATTCAGTGACGAGGCATTACTCACAGTCGCCGTCCATATACCCCTCCGCTAGACCGAGGTCGGAGAAGAGCGCGATTCGCATCCAGAATCCGTCTCTGACGACGCGGATAGTCGCGCAAAGCCTTGAATCGGGGCTTTTGCGGCCAAAGACGTGCGACCGGCCCCCGTGCTGGATAGTCAACTCGCCCTTCGTGATGCGCGCCAGTGCACTGCATGAACAGAGGATGATCAACGTCTCTTCGGTTTGCCCATGTTTCTTCGCGAACGGGATTGACGCACCTCAAGATCGAATCGCGGGCCAGGCGGGACAGAGGACTCCATGTCAGTGCGCTCACCGTCTCTCCGAACCGGGCCCAGGCAGCATCGGCGACGTGGGACAGTGACGAGCGATGGGTCGCTGGCGTCTTGAGAACCTGGGTGTGATACAACGACATGGAGGCGCCAGAGAAGAAGCCGGTGGCGAAAGGCGCAACGTGGTGGGTTTAAATGCATGCCGGCAATTAGGCTTGATGATCACCGCGAGCACGACGCCGCGTGTTGTTGTCGGCCGTTGAGCCCATCCCAGTTTCTCGTTGAAATTGAAGCAGCAGTGCACGAGCAGATTACGTGGGTGTTCGCATCGAAAGAACCAGGGAGGTCAGGTGCCGTCGGAGGTTGACGTGAGAAGGAGGGGGTCAGTGGGTGGAAACGCGGGGGTTCCGTCGAAGACGATGAGCGTGAGCTGTCGGCGATATCCTCTTGCGCCGCGGCGAGGCGGCGGCGCGGCTGCCTGTCCTGTTGTGCCACAGCGAAAAAAGTGGACGAAACGGACAGGCGTCGGAAGCGACGATAACGTGGCAAGGCCAGAAACGCCAAAACGGGCCCGTCTTGCCTAAAATGGCTAAAGGCGGAAGAGCATCCTCGCAAAACTCATGCTGGAAGCCGCCAATGCCGAGGTGGGTCCGACGCCTTCGTTGCCTCCGTTGACGCCACAAATCGGGTAAGAAGCTTCCGCGCATCGTCGTCAGTGGAGAAACGGCCAAGCCATTCCATCTGGATGCTGGTGTCGTATCTCGAGCCCCTGTATCGCCAGCACATCGAATTGTCCCACGGCTGTCCGCAACACGCTGACTCAGACGCCAACCTTCGGCCCGTCGCCCTGGTGTCGCCCTTGTGGTGCCTTTGTCCACGTTCGCGAAGAGAAGTCGAGAAGCCGGAACGAACCTCAAAATCCGGATTTGACGAACGTCAGACCGCATTACCATACCGAGACGCCCTTCCCGCGGAGCTGCCATTATCGAACTCGGGCACGATCGGATCGTGCGCAACCAGCGCATCATTCAAGGTCGCTCTCCCCCGGAGCTCGAGAGGCTAAGGCGAGAGTACTTACGTCCCTACACACTTTCCGATTCACTGATGTTGGCCCTTTACTACATCGTGACATGAGTCTTCCCGAACGACTTATCGCAGTCGGAAGGGCGCCATAAGGCGGCGGCACACGCTCAAGAAAATTCCGGATATATCAAACATCGTGTCTGCTCCACACCTCATACGCCTACAGGTTTTGGTATCAACACTCTCATGAACGATGTCAGAAGCCGGGTTAGCGTACCCTCGCAATCACGGCGACCTCCTTCGTGGCGGCAGCGGAGCCCCACGGGCGTATTCTAGAGGTCCCGTCGTCATAATCAGAAAGCAGTCCGCAACGGGATAGGCAAACGAAGTGCGCGCTGCGAACAGGAGTCCAGACTCATATAGAGTTCGATGTCCGAAACCCTAAGCATGATTCTGACTGATGGAGACGACGGCGCACGTCTTCGCGATCGTTCGTGGACAGTTCCTTTGCGCATTTCCAGTCATGCGCACATTTCGCGGTTGTGGCGATGGGAGGCGGGCTACATAGGTTCAAGTGTGCGGACATGTGCCTGAGAACTTGAACCCAGGCTCGAACGCAACGTATTTGATCGTTTCATTGATCAAGACGACCTCAAGGTGATGTAAGAGTCACTTGCAGCCAACATACATGTACCTGGAGACGTCCCGAAACTTTCGCCCGGCAATGCCCCACAGATTGTCCCAGGCTTGACATTCAAAATCTCCTCGTGTTAGAAAGGAACTCATGCCTTCTTGACAGGCTCGCATTGGAATGGCTAAATGAAAGATAAATTTGCAAGAAGCTTCGCATAAGCGCAAACATGGGATGAAACGCACCTGTCCAGGAAGACCGATTTGCTGGACGCAGGAGAGTCCTGCACAACATGTGGGGAATATGTTTGGAGAGCATCCCGCGTCTTGTCCGAAGCAGATGGGGGTCACCGGAGCGGGAGTTGCCTCGACCAGTACAAGTGCTACCGCCATGGCCACGGCGTAAGCAGAGACGGTGGAGAGGAAGTGCATGATGAACTGGCTTGTATTTTGATAGGTGGATGCGTCCCTTGCAATGGAATCCTATCGAAGTTAAGTTGAATTTATACAAGCTTGAAGCTGCCTCTCCTCGTTCTAGGGCATATACCCAAGCACAGGAAAATACTGCAATAACGGACAACTGGACGAATTCGCAATGAGTGCGGAGCGAAGTTACCGCTGCAATGCTGACTTGTGCGCGCTGATTTACTTCGACGACAGTCACTCTAGGCATGCCGTCCGTGCACCCGCAACGTTGAATGACAGCGATGACACGTGTCGTAAGTCGAGGACTTTAGATGATCCTCGTGCGAGCCGTCCAGCGTCTTTAAATGAAAAATTGTCTATGAACGGAATCAACACTGAATCAGCGCGCGGCTTTCTCTGTCATCTTGAAACGGAGCGAACCAGCGGGCGATACCCTGCAGAGATAGACAAGGAGGCCGAGATCTTTCGCCGTCGTGTCGGGCTCGTGATGTGCATTGCAGTAACGTGAGCAGCCGTGAGCAGCGGAACACGGGGGTACCATGGTGCCCTGAATTCATTTTAAGCCGGGGAATGCGGAGGAAGGCTGCGGCGAACTGCTGCCGTTGGGTATTGCAGGCGCGGGCGGATCCGAATACCAATGGCACTGTAGATCGCAGACGGGAAGATTCAAGCAACTCGTTGAAGGTATACATGGCATGCCGCCACCCACAAAAATTCGCGATGTCAAGCATGTAGGAGTGTACGCCAAAGACAGCGATCCATGTTCCTCCACATAAAAAAGGCCTTATGTTCCCGATGTCCGCTCTGCTCTGCGAGCGATGTAGACGGTGCTTGCGTCCTCCTCTGGTCTCCTGACGGCTCCGATGAGGTAAAACACAGTCCAGTCTCTTCTCAACACTTGGCGTTGAGCCTTGGCAAGCAGCGAGACCGCATATAAGTTCGGCGAGACCGCATTGTCGTACTTCAGCCAAGTGACCCTACAAAGAACATCCAAAACATTAGCATAAACATGTAGGTCGAAACATTTTTCTGAGAAGCCGGACATTGTCTCACCTGGTGCCATTGGGTAGCAGCACAGATGTATCGCCCGTCCATCTCCACCCTGATTGTCGTCCTCGCCGCTATCGCTTCGATGGCGTCAGCCGCTCCTCAGGACGACGACACGCAGTGCAAGAAAATCAACGACGTCTGTGGTGACAGCTCCGGCATACCCTGCTGCCGCGGTTTGGTCTGTTACGGCGCTCCTGGCTCGTTCAACGCGGTAAAGTGAACTATAGGCTTGATAGAGCGTTCGGCTGATTCCGTATTCAGAACTGTGTACCGGATCACAAGTAACCAAATGGCATACTAGTGATCGTCCCCAGCGCGCTACCAAACAGTGGCAGGCACTAGTTTCGGCTCTGTTGTGTATCTGCATGGTGTTCTACGAGTTATGTCAGCTATTTTAAGTGAATATCGGGATGTCTTGCTCCAGAAGACGGGAAAGCAAGCTCAGGAATGAAGAATTTGAGTGATGATCGACGGTTCAGCAATTTTAACCACGCCCCCCAGAGCAAGTCGAAGACAGAGGCCAGATACATTCAGTGTAAAGTTGATCTGAGTACCGGTTCGCTCCACACTCCCGTTGTAGCAGGACATCGGGGAACAAGGGACTCCAGTGTCGACCATGCATACTCGAACGATAACTTCAGGATTCATGCAGGACTCGGTGATCTAGCGAGTCCGCGGTTTGCAGACCATAGTGGCTCAAGTCGCATTGGTTATAATTCTTCCAAAAGTGCATCTTCCACGACGTGAGGGAGCATTCTGTTGAGTTGGTGAAAAAGACGGCCAAGACTACTTTTTTCGGATGACAGAATGCACGTGCTCGTTCATCCGCATCCAATCTCGCGGGGGTCGCGCGTCGTCGACCTGTTCTGACTCTGAGCTCTGGAGTCTGGTTGTTGAGTTCATCGTTGACGGAGTCAGAACGCAACGTGCAAGCCCTCTGCATACCCGCGGTGCATACCGAAAGGGAATACGCCCGATGTCCACTACCGACAAAGCGGGGGCAACTGAGGCTCATTTCAATGACCTGCTTCGTTTCGCCGGCATCGCTCTCGTCCAGTCGTTCACCGTCATCTCTACCTGCGCTAGGTTCCTCTTCTCCTTCCTATGGTTCCTCCTCAAAACGACCGCACACTCTCTCAGGAGCATCTCTCAACACCTTTTATGGATCTTGCGCCCCGTAATCCTCGTTCTCTCGCTGCTCCTCGATACATTTATCCTCAAGCCGTACCACGCCGTGGTCTACTTCGCGACGGAGATGCAGGATGTATGGACTTTGGTTGTCGCGGCTCTGGCCGTGGGCGTTGTGTTTGGTCTTTGCGCGCAGAAGCTCAGCAGCGCGCTCGTCGCGCTCGTCATCGGAGCGGGGCGTCCAAGCAACTGTATGCCGCAATCGCCGACAGATCCCCCGAACGTCTCAGATGGTATCCCGTCCAAGAAAGTGAAGAAAAGCGGTCGGGCGAGTGCGGGATCGAAGTCGGCAGGCAAGAAACGTGCCGAGTGGAGGGAGCTCTGACGTGGTGTCGAAGGGACGTAGCAGGACTCGATGTGGAATAGGTGAAGGCGAGTCTTCTCATGTGTTGTGGATCTAGGTCGTTTCGATCATCTACTTACTGACATGTGCATCGATTCCAGCTCCAGCTCGATATAGAGCGTTTTGGACCTTTCACGTTGAGCTTTCGAAGCTCGGGTCCTTCAATGATGTTCTTCCCTCATATCCGACGGCTCCCGAGACGACACGAAGCTTCATCCTTATAATGGCTCCCTCTGGTCAACCCGCGGAAATGATCGAGCGCTCGTTGTCGAATTGCGTGTTCTCATCGGACAGAGGCGTCACCTGGTTTCGAACCCTCCGCAGATATTACCAACTCGTTGCATAGCAGAAGCCGTGTCGCGACCAGAAATGGGCGCGGCGCTGAATCAAATGGAAATGGCCTTGTTCTCCGCGGGCCAGTGTCACCTGCACTCGTTTGTCGTACGCGCAGGAGCAGCGCCCCCCCCCAGCGCTCGTACAACGTATTTATCTTACACGCAGCCATCTCTCGGACCAGCGGCAAGCAGGATCGCGCTCGCACGCATCACCCTTAATAGCGATCGCGCCATCGCGAACCCAACGGGCGTCATCCCGCCCACATGCGGTATCTTTCTCCCAGCCCAAGCAGATATCTATCCCGGCTCCAGAGGGATCGACGACCTTCTCTATCGCCAGGATTTTGACGATGACAGAGCCTCGCACCGTCACAGCCGAGCTTACCTACATTGCCCGCCCGAGCCACGAAGACCGGCTCTTTCGCTTCCGGCACCAGCCCGGCGTTTCTGCCACGCGCGAACGCAACTTTGGGTACGAGACGCGCCAGGCAGAGGTCGAGAATCTACGTGGCAGGGAGGACGTCCTGGGGCGGTGGTCGCTCGACGAGCACGGATTCCGGTTTTTCAAGAGGGCGACGAGGTGTGAGAGGTTTACGAGCGAAGAGGAGATTAGGGGGAGTTACTATGAGGAGTGCGAAGGGCTGATGAGGGAGTTAACGGGGGCGAAGAGGGTGGTGTTCTTTGATCATAGTCCGTGCTTTCTCGTATTAGTCTGCGATGGCAATCCTTTGAGGCGTCGTTGCGTGTTGCGCTAGCTGTGAGGAGGAGGATCCCGGGTATCACCGAGGACGTGCCAGGGAAGAGGCAGCCGGCGGCGCAGGTGCATATCGACCAGACGCCGGGCGCAGCGCTCGCGCGGCTCAGGAGGCATCTGGACCCCGAAGAGGCGGACGAGGTGATCCAGCAAGGGAAGAGGTGGCAGATCGTGAACTTGTGGAGGCCGATCGGACATGCGGCGTACGATTGGCCGTTGGCGCTATGCGCGTATGGGTCGGTCGACCGCGAGCGGGATTTGCTGCCGATCACGCTCAAGGTGCGTCACTGCGGCATGGAATGAGAGGGAGGTGGAGGTTGACTAAGGTGGTGGGCTGTATAGTATCCGGATAGGGACGGGGAAACGTTCGGGATTGTGTTCAACGCGAAGCACGAGTGGAAGTACATGAGAGGGATGACGCCGGAGGAGGGCGTGTTGATCAAGTGGTGCGTTCATCTGTGTATCCCCTCGTAGGATATATCGTCGTGTGCTAACTCGTGCTCGTCGTGTAGCTTCGATTCAATCCAGGATGGGACTGTCGCCGCGTTTACACCCCATACGGCGTTCGACGATCCATCGATGCCCCCGGACGCGCCGCCGAGAGAGTCGATCGAGCTCCGAGCGCTGGTGTTCTATGACTGATCTCAGTATTAGTTGAGTCGAGAGCCCAGGCCGATTGATGGAAGGAGTCACTACTGTACTCGGGTAATCGCCTCGAGGCTCTTTGCCATTCAAGCTGTGTAAACATATAAACGGCACTTCATGGGTGTCCTGTTGCGCCGGATAACAAACATAAGGACGATGCAAATGCAGAAAGAGGAATTGGGCGATGCGCGCACTACAAATACAGATTGGAAGGCTTGGATCTGTTGATGGTCCCCGCGACTTTGATAGCACGGCGAGCCGATGTTCCCACGATAAAGTAACTGGCGTGTTGCAGAATCACGGATTGTTGTCCCGAAGTGTTTTTTTTCTCGACCTCACTTTGCTCTGCTCTGCTGGATCTCGACGACGATTGCGATGCTCCTGGGCTGCTCTGAACTGGTATTTCTCGCATACAGACTCACGTGTACTCGATGGCTGTCCACGACGGCCGTCGCGCTCTATCCTATTGGTCACCAACGAGACGGTCTTATAGGTCACCTGCACGCCCAAGGTCAGATCCACACGATCCACCGGTTTCGGGGTTCTAGTTCCCTGGCGGAGGTGCTGGGGACGCGGTTTTTCACTTGGACCTTGGTCGGCAACCCAATCTGCATACACGCTCGCTGTATGCATGGTGGAGACAGGGAGGAGATCCGGAGGTGGACGGCGAGGTTCTGTTGTCCTAGGGTATGGAAGTGTATATGTACGTGCGCCGTGAATCGATATCGGGACTTACGAGGGTGCATAACGACCTGGGCTCCGTCCACGAAGTGAATGGCTTATTGTGCTCTGCGAAGCTGATGGTCTGGCGACTAGGTTTGTGTTCCATTTACGACCCTTGATATCGCACGGGGAGGGCGCGTCGCCGCCCGCATAGCGCAGTCGCAGATGCAGCCGCGCCCTATCTGGTCGAGCATCTACGCGCCGAAGACGGTCGAAGGCGACATAATTGGCCTCAGAACGTGCCCTCCGTGATGGGCGGAAGCTGCGGCGCGTCTATCTGGGCCGATCGGAGGGCGCTAAGCGCCCGCGGGACGTGGACTCCGTCATCGTATGAGAGGAAGGGTACCGGTCGTCTCTGCTCGATGCCGAATCTGCCCGCAAGGTTCATTCTCCGTCCCGTGTGGCATGGGAACGCCAATATCGCCTCTGGTGGATGCGGGAAGCTAGGCTGGAGAACGCGGTTCGCCCCCGCCGTCTCGCGCGACAGCCACAGGCTCCGACAGACGGTGGACATCGACGCGCGCATCGTGGACGCACCGACCTGCGGAAGTTCGGAGGAGGGCGAGGTGCGGGTGTGGCGAGGACGCGTCGGCTAAGGGGGCGTGGGAAGACCCGTAACGGCATTCGAGTTGCCTGATAGAGATAGGGGCGCCGCACACGAGGCACGCATCCGCTGGGCTATAAGCTGACGCGTTCCGCGCCCCCGGGGTCGGTCGTCGCTTGGGCACCTCCCTCGTCGAGCGTCGAGTTCTCCAGCGCCTCTCCGTCGCACATCTCCCGCACCCTCGTCTACACGTTGCACGCAGTCAGCGCACAGCTTGTACAGCTCGGACCCGGCCTCGTCATCTCCTCGAGTCACAGCTTTCAGCGCTCTCCGCCTCCGCCCACTACTTAGTGTCCCACCATCACCCGTCTGAGGATTGCATCCTCATCCTCTCCTCCCTCCTTCCCCGCCCTCCCACAGGTCTGCGCGCCAACCCGCTCGCCCACCCTGTCCGTGCCATACCCGATAGCCTACCCGCAACAGCCGTTGCCCACCCCCGCCTCACACGTCGCAGTGTGGCTCATCAAGCCCGCCTATATCTGCCATGGACGCTCTCCGTTCTCTCGTCCAGCCGCTCGTCGGCGGCGGAGGGGGAAATAACATCATCGACGGCATGAAGCTCGTCGTCCTCGGCACCACCGTCGAAACCGCCCGGAGGGTCGCCAGCTCCGGCTGGAACCACTTCGTGAATTGTACGAGTCACTTGTATGCGCGCTTATCGTGAACGCGTGTGCTGACCTGCGTGCGTCTGATCGTCAGCCTTCTTCCTCACCGCGCACTTCAGCGAGGAAGACTACCCGTACGACTGGCTCATGCTGTGGCTCAGCCGTCGCCCCGAGTGGCAGCGCTCGCGCGAGTTCGAGACGACCACGCGCACCGCCGCCCGCAGCCCGAACCCGAACTCGACCGTCCCCGACAACTCGTTCGGCGACGACGACGACAACGATAACGACGAGGACGGCGACGACGGCCGCGTCCGCACCCGCGTCGTCTTCCAGCCCACGTTCGACACCACGCACACCATCTACTACCGCGGTCACTGGCTGCGCGTTCGCCGCAGCCGCAGCCAGAGCAGCTACAACGAGATGCTGTCCATCTCGTCAGTCGTTGTCCCCCTATTTCGCCGAGTATACTCCGTCCCTGATGTATTTCCCGCTTTTGCAGGGTCGTGGCGAGGAACAACTCGATCCTGAAGCAGCTCGTACTCCAGGCTAAACGCGAGTACGAGGCCGAGTCGGTGCACAGGATACAGATCTATTTCGCCGACTCGCACGGATCGTGGAGGTGGACCGACTCGAGACATAAGCGCCCGATGTCGAGCATTGTCCTCAATCCTGGCGTGAAGGAGATGCTCCTCGCTGATGCCAAGGACTTCCTGAAGAGCGAGAAGGTGAATCAAAAAACGACGCATATATACTTGATCGCAGCTCATTGACGCAACGTCCCACAGTGGTATGCCGACCGCGGCATCCCGTTCCGCCGTGGCTACCTGCTCTACGGCGTGCCCGGCTCCGGCAAGTCGTCGCTGATCCACGCCATTGCCGGAGAGCTTCTCCTGGACGTCTACGTCGTTTCGCTCTCATCGTCCTGGATCAACGACGCGACGCTTACCGCGCTCATGGGTCGTGTGCCCTCGCGCTGCATCGTCCTCCTCGAGGACCTCGACGCCGCCTTCACCCGAAGCACGAGCCGCGAAGAGGAGGGCGCGAACAAGGACAAGGCCGCCGGCCCGGATAACCAGAATTCGGGATCCGGCAGCTCGAGGAGGAGGAATAAGGAGCAGTTGAGCGATGTGAACACGCTCAGCTTGAGCGGCTTGTTGAACGCGCTCGATGGCGTCGCCGCGAGCGAGGGTCGGTTACTGTTCGCGTGCGTTTCAGCGCTGGCTTTACGTCACCGTCTTCGTTTGTGCTCACCTCTCCTCTAGCACCACGAACCACCTGGAGAAGCTCGATCCGGCGCTGTCGCGCCCGGGCCGGATGGACGTCTGGATCGAGTTCAAGAACGCGTCGCGCTGGCAGGCGGAGCAGCTGTTCCGCAACTTCTTCCCGTCTTCCGACCCCGCGCCGGAGGAGGCGGAGATGAACCTCCCGACGGACGAAGCCGCGCTCGACGCCGAGCTGGGCGATATCAAGCTGAACGCGCGGAGGGAGGCTGTCCCGGAGACGCCGACGAAGGAGGGAGAGATCCCGTTGCCGCCGACGCCGTCGGCCGAGGTGTTGTCCGCCAGCGGGGCGTCGTCGGCGTCGTTAGCCAGTCTGCCGTCGACGACGGCGACGAAGGTTGAGGCGGAGACGCATGAGGCGGAGGAGGAGGAGGAGGAGGAGGAGAAGTTGAGCCCGGAGGAGAGGGCGAGGCGTGATGAGGAGGAGAGGGCGCGGATCGCGAGGTTGGAGAAGGAGCATGCGATTAGGCACGTGGCGACGCCGCTGTCGAACGCGCGGTTGGCGGCGCTGGCGCGTAAGTTTGCCGAGTCGATACCGGACGAGGAGTTTTCGGTCGCAGCGCTGCAAGGATGTGAGTTGCGGATTGCCACTAGTTGCGAGTGTTTTTTTCATGAAATGATGCTAATCACGATCGGTGATGTTAGATTTGTTGAAGAATAAGACGAGGCCTGAGGAGGCCGCCAACGGTGCTGCGGCGTGGGTTATATCCGAGCGGGAGATGAAGGTGAAGCTAAAGAAGGAGAAGGAGGCGCGTGAGGCCAAGGAGAAGGCCGAGGTCAGTCTAGATCGCCGTTTATCGACGACTTCGTTCCTGACGATGACCCCGCAGCGCGAGAAGCGTCGTAAGGAGAAGGCGGAGGAAGAGAAGAAGAAGGTGGAAGAGGACAAGACCAAGACGGAGGAGCAGAAGAAGAAGGATGCAGAGGAGGCGGCGGAGAAGGCGAAGGCCGAGGAGGCGAAGAAGGAAGATGAGAAGAAGGAGAACGACGCGGAGGAGAGCGGCAGCCAGAGCAGCAGCAGCGACGACGAGGGCGAGAACGTGCCCGCGACGCCGGCGGAGAACAGCACGGGCACGTCGTGGAACGTCGTGTCGACCGAGAACGGCGGCTCGGGCTGGGATTGACTTGATGTTCATCCCGGCGGGGATGAGGAAGACGACTGTCAACAAGATCCTCCCGCCATCCCAACACATACCCGGAGCGACCTCAACACTGCAGCAGCGACGGCAACGGCGCCGGCTCTGGTCGCTAGCGCGCCGCGCACGATGGCGGTCCTCCACGCACTGTATCCTATCACCCAACTCTACATCCGCCTCTTCAATTTGTACGCAATACTCCTGCAACTCTTCGGCCTCGCCAGCCGATAAACCACCACCAACCACCAAAGGAACCTCCCCACCGGTCAATCTCAACTACGAATATTTCACCTGCAACGCAATGGACCTCTCTCCAAATATGATATAGATTCTTCGGGCGGTTGTCGTGTATGACTAGAATGTGCTCGTGGTTGCTGTTACCTCCAGCAAAGGGGGTGGAGTGACCAGACGGCTTTCTCATGTGTTTATAGTTGTCTTGTCGTTATGCTTCTGCAACATGCTTCATTCTCTCTCTCAGTCGATGTCTTCCCATCGTGTTTTGTACATACATAGCTCACTGGATACAATTTGCTCGAATGATTGCGACTTGCGTGCTGAGGCACGCGGGTTTCATTGTCAAGACGCGCGGGGATTAGCTCGTCAACGTCGCGTCCTGGGTCGCAATACTTGCACTATACAATCCATTCCTCAGGATCGCCCGCTGGGGCAGGGAAGCGACCATAGGTTCACATACAAGGCATGCCTTACGTCCGACGACATACCACCGAATCATCATAATAGAACAAAAAGGCAAAGAGAATCGATCTGAAGTGCTAGCTGAAGTCCACGTCGTAGGTGCGCTCGTCCCGGATCTGACTAATGCGATTCTTACCGTCAGTCCTAACGCGTTGATGATAGGTTGAACAATCTTGAACCATAGGTTTTCCAGAATGTCGGCTCCTACCACGCGAGTGGCCTTGGGTGGCTTCACAATGCTCTGTCTGCCCCGGTTCACAGCCAATCTGGCTTCTTCCATGGTCGATTTCCATCGTGCGCTTGACTCCGTCGACCATGACTCGGTCAAATCATCCAGCGGACCGTGGACAGGCACCATATTGTACTGCACGATTATCGCATGAGACCCGATTGGGCTGGCTATCAATATGACGACCGGACCTTCTCTGGCGGCTTAGGAAAGTGTCGGATACTTATCGTACAACATGAAGCGGTCGAAGCCGGGGAGAGAGCGAATGAGGGCCAAAAGTGCATTGAAATCCTCGCTTTGCTTCCGGCGGAGGGGGGATGCCTATTCCACGTGCCGTGGGTCCGCAAATGCTTCTGAAATGTCTGCGTTCCTCTCCAGGTGTTGAGCCAACTCCAGCATCTGGACACGATATTGCTCCGGGACATCATCGAAGTGAGAGCGCATTCGGAGGGGAATGTGCCCAAAACATGGCACGCCCTTGTTCCAGTATCTCTACAGCCCTTTCGGATTGCGAGAGTTGTAGAGCAAGGGAGGTGCATGTCGGTGTGAGACGCTGGCCTGCCTTCAAAGACTAGACTTGAGACGTGAGTCGAGGTTCCGGCCAAAATATGCCTCGCGAGGTAGCAGTGATAACAACGTCGAGTAAATGTTCAAGAGCTTGTTTTTTCACCGAGATTTCATCGATCGACCGCGTCTCGATAGACTGCACTATCTTCATGGAGCCTTGAAGGCGGGATCGTACATCACGACATCGTCGGATATCGCTTCGAAAAGGTGATCCGGAGAAACATGGATGTTGTGGAAGGGCGCTCCTGTCTGAAGATATAGCTCGGAAACGTGGAGGACAGTTTCGAAACGGGCAGCGACAAGGCGTGGCGAAGGCGTATTCGATGCACAACGAGGAGGGGGAAATGTTGCACCCGGGTGAGGCGCGAGGAGGTGAAGACACATCTTGATGCCAGAGAAGGAGCATGAGATCGTATACGTAGTGACGCCGTTATCCAATGCGTGTAAATTTTCATAGGCGATACCAGACTGACAGCGACCTTGTAATGATATGCGTTCTGATTGCGTAGGTGCGAGTACCGTCGACAAACCCAGTTAAGAAGGTGTGATAGACCTGATAAAAAACAACACCAAGTACGAGACCGCGAACAGTGCTGAGACGATCCACCATTGCCGAAGGGGAGGTGAAGGAGAAGAATGAGCGTGAGGCTAAGAAAAAGGCCGATGTCGGTAGAGTACATTGGCGCGAGGAGCAGGGGGTCAAGGAGGCGACGCAGAGGACCGAGGAGGCGAAGAACGACACGGGAGAGAAAAGTAGTCAGAACAGCGGCAGCAGCGATGCTCGTGAAAAACAGCAGGGAAACATCGTAAGACGTCGTGCCCTCAGAGAGCCCGGTTATGGAAATGGGAAGGTGGCAATTATAGAGAGTTCTGCCGGACATGGAGAAAGTGATGATTGACAATAGTGGAGACATTTCCCCGTGAGGTGCAGCGGTTGTTGCATGAGGTCGAGGTTGAGTCCACAGCGGGGACGAATCCCGGCGAAGTCCAGGTGCAGCGCTAGCGCGTACTTAAACACTGTGCGAAGCTATGCGACTCGTGCATTCGTGAAACCATTCACATCGGTATTTTCGTTCAGAGGAAAACAAAGCCGCCTGTTACTGAGAAGATCAGGTCATAACTTGCTCTTGTTCACCCTGGAATGAGGCAAGAAGAGTAATCGCAATAGGACGGAAAGCGCCGGATTGTTGCGCCTGGCGCCACGTGGCTGTCGTATATGGCGCGGCATTTTTGCGTTCCACTCATTCTTTCCGTCGTCCTGTGAGCAATCGCGGCTTCATCATTTGCCCTGCGTCGACTTTGGCCAACGCTCTAGATTCCTGGCGCACACATTGGGCTTTGGGACGCCTTACTGCTTGGGAACGATCCGACGTAGCTGCGACCTCGCCACTGTGATCTCTCCGCTAAGCCGCAGATCGGATATACACCTGGGCAGTGACTATCAATCTGATTCCCGCTTGCGTGCTAGCGTACAGTCGGTGAAGTGAAACTCAACAGACATGGAGCATGAAAAACAGGAATTCGTAACCGGGCCTGAAGACTTCGCTTGTACGGTCTGCGATTGAAGTATCATTCGACGTCTTTGCTAATGGCTTCCTTGTACCTAGACGCGATCTGTCTGGTACGCGACGCTCATTCTTTGAAGATCATACCGGTTTCCTGCGCTGAAAGCCACGGAGGATCACGACGCGAATGAGCACCGAATGTTTGGGCGTGAAGGTATGTGTATCATAGAGCCTGTGTTACCACATATACAGGCAAACTGAGTTATAATATCACCCGCTAGCCTCATCACACTCGGAATGCTCATCGGCAAGCGACCGGGCGTTCTCCCGCAACGAACGTTTCTGGTGCACCCACGCCCTTCTTGTGGCTCGTGCATCTCATATGCCCGTCCCGATGCCTTGCACGAAACTTACTGTCCGCGCTTCACCACTGGGTAGAGCTCCGTGCCCGCACCAAGAAGGTAGCAGCGCACGATCGCACTCACCACATCTCTCCTAAAGGGATTATCGAATGTTCCGGAGAACGCCAATCCTGATGATTTAGCAGGCTATGCCAGGGTCCCTGGTTTGAGGTACCCCAGGATCCCTGAGCTGGACGACGTTCTCGGGATGAGGCGCTAGCGGAAGCAACTGGCGCTGACCGAAGCAACTGCGAATATGCCGCTATGGTGAACGTGCGTCGACAAGCGCGGGACTTAGCCTATGGACAAGGATGGGCTAGCGAAGCCGCCCATCTATCTTTCCAAGGGGTCTGAGAAGCGCGCACGAGGGCTGTTGATCATGCGTGCGCCGAGGTTATGCTGGAGCGGAGGGCCATGGTACGTGGCAGCTATAGACGGGACCTGTACTGGGTCGGTGCGGATTCACTCTGATCATCCTCATTTGAATAGGGCGCTTGTCATATCATAAAGCCTCACCAAGTCATGGCGATTGGTGGAAAACTGGACGCGCGAGCATGCGTGATGCGCCGCCGGGACCGTAGGATATGCTACGAGGGACCGACCGAGCTCCGACGACCTTCGTGTTGGGTACTTCCTGTCGTACTTTGTTGCAGTTGGGATTAAAAAAGTCAAACTCGATAGCGTGAACTCGGGATTGAACGGAGGGCATAAGGAGGAGGGCTGTGGCGCGGCCCGGAAGACCGGTCAGTCTTGATGGAACCACTGATCCGAGCTCACGCTGAATTTTTCGGCTGCATACAGGTACACCGCGTCGTCTTCAAGTCAGAATCAGATTCGTGACGCTCGCAAATCACAATACCACGTTCAATGCTTTGCCGGCTTGAAATCATGGCGAACGCGCATAAAACCTGAGTCCAAACGAATTCCCACGCGCTCATGGTGCACCATTGGGTGAACATTAGAAGAGCAGTGTTGCCAGCGCTTCCTCAAACGGGCCAACTCTTTCCAGGTCGATCCCAGGCAAGAAAATCGTAACGACAAATATAGATCAAGATCGCCGGGCAAGCCCCTTGGGACGTGGTGAGTATCGTCCACTGGGCTGTCGAGTCGAGACCGGTCACCTGATACCTTGTAGTGATTGAGATTCAGCAGAATATGTCAACAAGCACGTTTTCCTCCGCAAGAGTATCCGTTGTCCGCATTTTCCCTTCTCGTCATGTCAATCCAACCTTCCCCTAGGATCGAGGACCACAAGACCAACACGCCCTCCGATGACGAGAAGCTCCCCGTTGAAGAAAAAGAGGGGGGAACACAGTCCGAGGTTGCCCAAGATGGTCTAAGGAAGGTCGAGGCCGTCACCGTCGTCTGGAGCAGCAACGCCATCAAAGCTGCTTATGGGTGGTACGTTCTTTGTCCTTGCATTCCTGGCTGCACCTAACATGGCCGATTACCTCCTCAGCATCTACCTCGTTTTCTTCGTCAATTCCCTGCAACAACAGACGAGTAACAACCTTACCGTATACGTCACGAGCGCCTTTGCCTCACATCCACTGGTCGCTACGACATCCATCGTATCGTCCATCATTGGGGGCGTCAGCGCGCTCCCCGTCGCTAGGATGATGGATGTGTGGGGTCGTGCTGAAGGCTTTCTCGTGATGACCGCGATCGCTACTATCGGTGAGGTTTTGTGACCCTTTGGATAACATACTATGACTGATGAAGCGTAGGGCTGATCATGATGGCGGCCTGTAAAAACGTCGAGACTTACGCTGCTGCTCAAGTCTTCTACTGGGTGGGAATGAATGGCATGAACGGCGTGCTCGAGATTTTCATCGCCGATACGTCCAAGCTGAAGAACAGAGGTTTGATGTGGGGGTTTTCAACGACCCCGTTCATTGCTACCACCTTCGCTGGGCCGGCGATCGCGGAAAGGTTCCTCGAGTATGGTTCCTGGAGGTGGTCATTCGGCGTTTTCGCCATCATCACCCCGATCATCGCCGTGCCAATCGCCGGTCTCCTGCTTTGGCACCAGCGAAAGGCGACAAATCTGAGACTCTTGAGTCTTGAGCGGACTAGGAAGCCACTTGCCGAGTCGCTGAAGCATTATCTCGTTGAATGGGATGGTGAGTCTTCTTCATGACAATATCTGCCCTAAAGGCTGAATATCCTTACTCAGTCTTCGGCATGATCCTCGTCTGCGCCGGCTTTTCGCTCTTTCTTCTGCCATTTAGTCTCGCGACTGCTCAGGCGCGTACATGGCAGAGCGGCGACATCATCGCCATGATCGTGATCGGAGTTCTTCTGCTCGTTGCCTTTGCCTTCTATGAGAAGTATTGGTCGCCGAGATCGTTTATACCCTTCGCCCTCCTCAAGGACAGGACGGTCGCCGGGGCCTGTATTCTGTCAGGCCTCTTTTGGTTTAGCTTCTAGTAAGTGCAGGGTCGGATAGAAATACCGCTTGGATCTGACCACCTATCTTCAGCTGCTGGGATGGATATTTCTATTCCTACGTCCAGGTTGTCTGGGGCCTCAGTGTCAAGGATACAGGATATGTGAGCAACGCAAACAGCATTGTCTCCTGCTTCTGGGCGGTCGTCGTCGGATAGTGAGCGTTCGATGTTTTCGTCGGTCCGAGATTCGCTTACTCATGCTGATTACAGCATCATCCGGCGTACTGGTCGTTTCAAGTACCTGGCGCTCGCCGCCGTTCCGCTCAACATCCTCGCCGCCGGTCTCATGATTTATTTTCGCCAACCAAGCGTTGCCATCGGCTACGTCGTCATGTGCCAAGTCCTCGTCGCACTGGCGGGCGGGACCCTCACCATCTGCGAGCAGATCGCCGTCATGGCTGCAGACTCGGCGAGCCACGGGACGTACGCGGTATCCATCGCTCTCCTGACGCTCGCGTCGTACATTGGATCCGCGATCGGCTCTTCGGTGTCCGGCGCGATCTGGACGAACACGTTTCCGAAGGCGCTACGCGACGCCCTCCCGGTCGACGAGAAAGATCTGACGGACACCATCTATGGCAGCATCGTCACCCAGCTGTCTTTTCCCCTAGGGACCCCTGAACGGGACGCCATCATTGAAGCGTATGGCGTAGCCCAGAAGCGTATGTGCATTGCTGCTGCAGTTTCTCTCGTGGGCGCGTTCGGTGCCGTGCTCATGTGGCGCGACATTCGATTGCACGACATTGAGGCGAAAGGGAGGGTGGTCTAAGTTGAGTTTATGTATTGTGGTGGTAGTGCGCGTCCATTTTTCTCTCTTGAGTCGTCGGGCTTCTTCAGTTCGCCCGTGGGCTAGTATATGCTCAGTCGTAAATTGAAGTCTTATTGGATGACCGCGCTGCGTTGTCTCTCTGGCTCGGATGTTCATAATGAGACTTTTGGACAAGCGCATATCTTCAAGTTTGCGACGAATGCACGAAAGAGTCAAAAGGACGTAACGCACGAGACTTCCGTTCACCTGGGCAAGTTACTGCTTGTCCACGAGGCGGTGCCTTGGCGCAATTGGCGGAACTACTGACCCTACGTCATCCTCCACATTGTTCACTAGCTTACCAGCACAAGAACGTCGAGTGCTTAAAGATGCTCTCCTCCGGTGCCTCGCAACAACATCCAAGTCATCTAGCTAGTCAATTATGACTGCGCTCCGGCCATTCGATTACCTCCGACCGTCAGGATGGCGCCAACGTATTCACGACCTCGCGACTGTCGCTCCCCTATTAGCCGCCGTTATCGCCCCACTGAGCGTCCTGCTCGATATACCCGCTTTGAGCGTGAGTGACTATCTCATATTCTTGTTTACATGTTGGCGAGCCCTGTACTGAAGTTGAGCCTGCAGCAAACATGGTACCTGAAGAACGGGGTCCCGCAACCAGACCCGAAGGCATCGCTCGTACTCTCGGCGATCGGATTGTCTTTCAACGTCTTTGCTAACAGCCTCCTTGTACGTTATCATCTGTCTATACCTGGTACGCGATGCTCACTCTGCGCAGATCATCCGCTTTTCGCTCGCAGAAAAGCCGTGGAGGATCGCGACGCGAGTAAGCACCGCATGTTGGGGCGTCAAGGTATGTGTACCATGGCGTTCGTTCTGCTGCCCACCAGGATGGACTGGATTATCGCCAGGTCTCGATATCTCTCGCCAATCTCATCACCTTCGGAATCGTTACCCGTAACAAACCGGCATTCTCCTATAACGAAGGGTTCTGGTGCGCGTACGTCATTTTCATCACCCGTTGAGCTCAGCATGCAGTACTGAACATGAGGCTAGAGTCGTCTCCTGCATATTGTCCGGCATCATATTCATCCTGCTCGCGCTGCACTGGTGCATAGAACTGCGTACCCGCACCAAGAAGGTAGCAGTGCACGATCTATTTCTACTAGCCACCAACCATCCTCATATAAATATTGTCTTAGATTAATCAGAACGTTAGGGTCTCAGGCCGCCACTTCATGCTTCAGATCACGCTGTTCCTGTCCCTCATCGGGCTCGGCGCCCTTATATTCTCCCGGATCGTAGGTAGCGAGTGATTCTGTTCAGCGGGGCACCGATCTGATTCATCTGGACAACAGGAACACTGGACCTATCTTCAAGGCATCTATTTTATGACGGTGTGCTTCACGACGGTCGGGTTCGGAGATTTCTTTCCGACGACAACAGCGGGCCGCATTCTGCTTTTCCCGTTTACCCTCCTAGGTCTACTCCTCGTTATTACCCGTACCGTGTTAATGATACTTAAGGCGATGTTGATCTGACAGGTATCGCTCTCCTTGGATCCATAATCGAAATGCTCGTGAGATTCTTTTCCTCGCGGAGCGCGGAACGCAAGGTTGGTTATCCCCATACATGATCCTTCACAGACGTCGACTTTCAACGTCTTCACTACAGGCTAAGTCACGCGCACTGTACGAGAAACGCAGACAGGAGGAAGAAGACAAGAAGCAGACCCCGACTGACTTCGCGCGCGAGATCGAATTTTTGCAACGACTCAACGAGCGACAGGACGTCGTCGACCAGGCTAGCGAATTCGCGCTGAGCCTAGGAGGATTCTTGGTGTTCTGGTTCATCGGTGCCGTGATCTTCTGGGCCATCGAAGTCAGTTCCTCTGGCCCTCCGTTTCTTAGTGCGTTTGAACATTATTCGTCGCAGGGATGGACATACGGGATCAGCATGTACTTCTGCTATGTGTTCTTTCTGTCTATTGGCTTCGGAGACGTGGCACCCACCAGTCCCGGCGGTCGTGGTATGTAAGTCATTTGTTGCAGTTCGCTCACTCCTCAAATGTCCCATACGATGATTTAGTCGTGTTCATTATCTACTCGCTGCTCGCCGTTCCCATCATGGCGTCCTTCGCGGTTCAGGCAGTCACCTCGATCATGACCAAGTTCTCCAGCTATCGCCTTGACAAACGCAAAGCCGAGCTTGGTGTGGAGACGATGAGCGCGCGTAACGAGGAACGAGTCATTGTGCGTACCCACTTCTCTCCTTGTCTTGTCCAGTTCTAGTTCAGCGGCTAAGGTATCTCTGTGTAGAGCCATGCGGAGTTCGTCGAGCGATTCGAGAAAAAGTGGGTACGGCGGAAACATGAACAGCGTGCAGAAGACGGAGTCCCGCATTTGAAGCGCGTCGCCGCCGCTGTCCGGGACGAGAAGCGGGTGGAGGATGCTGCTGCGCGCAATGAGGCCGAGCGCGTCGCGTTAGCGGGAGACTTGCCCGAGGACAAGGAGGAGCTAGCGGCGAGGGTGATCGATTTGGCGGTAGAGCTGGAGATGCACGCGCGACGGTTGCTGATCACGCATCTGCCCAACGGGAGCAAGGCTCAAGTTGTATTGAAGGCCGATCGAAATGTGCAACTACGGGTGAGGACCGAGTTGATTACTTCTTAACGTGCGCCTAGACTTACATGCTTGATAAAGGATGTCAGGGCCTTGAAGCGCGCCGCCCAAGGCAAGGCTTCTTCGTCAGTCGAAGAGAACGCCGCATACGGCGCGCAGAAGGCCGGTGCTCATCCTGCAAAGACTATGAGGGGTACCGACGGGGACAGCGGCAGCCACGAGCGCGGATCGCCTCAAGGCAAGCTTACGCGTGCAGATAGCAATACGCCGCTCCACGAGGAAAGGGCGGAAGAAGCGGTGGAGGAGGCAGCGGAAAGCGACGCGGAGGACATGGACCCGGACCTAGTCGCGCGCCCGCTCGACGACGACGCGACGATGGAGGAGGTGCGGAGGTACCGCGAGAGCTTCGCCGCGCTGCTCGTGGCGGGGAGCCGGCTGAGGGGGCTGGAAGGGCATGCGAAGTACATGTTGGAGAGGAGGAAGGTGAAGGAGGAGATGTTGAACGAGGATATGGATCATGCCGGGAAGCCGCACAAGGCTGAAGGCGATGAGGATAATACACTCTGATGAGTTTGGGATTGAGTGTGTATTGTGATGAGCTTAGTATTGAGTGTGTATGGATGAACAACAAGCCCAGGGATTCTTGGATTTCCTCGCGATATTGCCGCCCAAGATCGCGGCGTGTTGGACGGAGAAGGTGCGCATACGTTCCCTTTGATCCGTGCGACTGAATCAAGAGCGTGCAACGTTCATAGTTCCTACCAGAGTATGCTGCCGTGACGGATGCCATAATTGGACCAGGCCTATCGATTGCGGAGAGGGTCAGTTTACGAGACATGGATTTGCCAGGACATGTCTGCCTGTCTTGGCGTGACTCCATAATTTTCTGTGCTGCATGAGTTCATGGAGAACATCAAGGGGCTTTATGCATACGGTCGTGAAGTGCGCTGACAAGGACCAACACAGATACACGCACTCATAGCCGTTCCCTCCGTTGGGGATCGCTGGGCAACATATGACAAGTACGTGATTGTAGTTCGAGCGATAGGTATCTGCAAGCATTGACTTGTTCTCCGTTCATGCATATGCGAAATGGCTGATACGATCAAAATTACTTGGTCGCAGCGACATCCTGCAGCCTCCCATCTACAACAGGGTGAATGACAGGGAGTGTCTTCTTCGCGTCAGCCTCCGCAGCATTCACTTGCGCATCCTCCTTTTCTGCCAGCGCAGCCGGATCGTCAGAAACACTCAATGCGCGAAGGTTCATTCGCAAGTTGATGTTGACGGTCGAGCTCCGGAGGAGATTGGCCAGCCCACGAGCTCTATTTCGCTCGTATGAGTCCAGAAGTCCCATGTCCTCCTGGTCAGCCACGGCGAGTGCGGCGGCGAAGAGCAGACTAGAGGCTATCCACCGAATACCGACCACGGCGTCTTGAACGGCATCCTTGGCTGCCTGCGTCGTGGACTGTACATAATCGCCTGCGCCCGACAGCAGATCGCGACTTGGACTCAGGGACGGCAGAGACGGGCGCGAACGATTTGAACCGAACGACGATATGGACGACAGCGAAGGCGACTTGACGCTACCCTTGACGCTACCCCACACGTTCGATATCTGCGCCGGGCTTGATGGGAGTGAGGGAATGTTAACGGGGCTTGTTGGAAGGGATGGCATCTTCAGTTTTCCGAGATAGTCCTGCACCAAAGGCCGTCAGGGACGATTCTGAGACCAATGCGGAGGCAATGAGAATGACCTTCAGAGGTACGTCCGGCAGCTGCAGCGAAAGCTGAGGCAGCTCGACTTTCAACTGGGTTTCGAACCCGCCGATGATATCGCGCGTCTTGGATCCGAGGTTCTCGAAGCGCGCATTGGGACCTTCGCTGACCTTTTTGTTGAGGAATTGAGCACCTGAAGTGAGGATGCCTTCAATGTTGGCTTTTTCGACAGGAAGTGCAAGTTGATTTCACCCACCCAAGAGGAACTTCCTGATCAGCGCACTCTTCGATTGACCGTTCTCCGCAGGAATAGGTAGCGGTCTGCCCTTCAGAACATCATATCCGTCTCCTCCTTGGACCATATATTCTCCGCACATGATGAGATACTTCCGTTTGCTTGTACGCAGCACTTCTTCCTTGTCGACGAGTTCAGGTGTGCCATCTGCTCTGACCTTGTTCTCTGCCAGGAGCCATACACCGAGCACTCGCTGACCAGCAGGCTTTCTGCTGTCGAAGGTAACGCGAAGTCCGGATAGCGCGGGGAAACGCCTGAACAGCATCAGTCAGGTTCCAGCCCGAGGGTGGAACATCGACTACTCACCCCTCCTGGGCTGGCCAGCGCGATAGGCCCGACTCGAGCGCATCCCACAGCGTGTTCGCATCGAGCTCTACCACAACCGTGGGATCCAGGTACGGGAGGATGGTCAAGAGATCTCCGAACGTAAGTGGCCCTGAAGTGGTGTTCGATGTGTATCCCGGGTACTAGGTGATAGATAAATGCTCACCTGGCTCATATACTCTATCACCACGGAAATCGCCTGTGCACACCATCACAGCATCCGTTTTGCTGTAGCCGAGTTTGACAAGTGCTTCGTCGTAAGCTTGCCTGAGGCAGTCCGCGATCCAATTGCCGATAGCGGACTACATATCCCATGATTGAGAGCCGTAGACTCAAGCATTTTGCGAAAGTCACAAACCTCGTTCAAACGAATAAACGAGGAACGAACGTCTAGCTGTACCTCTGTGAAACATATCGGCTCTTTCATGGCGGTTTTGATGGTCGAAAGCTCGTTATCGACGACCTCCTTCAGAGCTTCGTTCACCGCAGTACCTCCCCTTGTGACATGTCGGCGTCCTTGGACACAGTGAGAAACGATTGCTACGCTTGACAACCGCAACGCTCTGCTCACCCTTGATTTCGTGGATGATTTGCCTCCTTACGCTACCCGCAGGCGTCTCCTTGAGGGTGAGAACAACTTCACTGAGATCTTGGTAGTCCGTGCCGCTCTTTACGATCAATACATCACCCTGGTCGTCTGCGGCGTCCGGTTGCAACGTATTCAGGTCGAAGCCATCCCACCCCGAGACACCTTTGGATATCCAGTAGACATGATCGTGGCCACCCAAAAGCAAATCGACGCCGTGCTCGGAGGCGATGTTCTTAGCTGCTTGACCTGCCGGCGAAAGCGCGAAGAGCTCGCGGGCAAGTTTGATGTCCTTGAGATATCTCGGTGAGTACGTTATAGCGCAAGTCCTAGCTCGCAACTGACGTTCGGAATTCTGTACGACGATTAGCACTGGTCATGAGATAGCTGAATGATACTATATGGACGTACCGTGAATGAGTTAGCGCAATGATGATGTCACACTTGTACTGCCCAGCTGAGTCCCGAAGTTTGACGGATAAGTCCCTTCCGACTTCAGCCATGTCCTTGTACTTGAAGTTCTCGGGCCATCCAGTGATCGTGGCGATCCATTCTCTGTCAAAGTTCGTATGAAGCACCACGAAAGCTATCAATGAAGGTCCTTTACTTCTCGACCAAACCAATGAGGCCGATGCGGAGACCGGCTCGCTCGAGGACGTGAATTTCTTTCATAGGCTCCGGTACTTTCCCTGTGTTCGTATCGACAATATTGCTGAGAAGCCATGGCTAGAAGATGCTACTTGAGTTTAACGAACTAAGGGGGTAGGACGATCCTTACGAAATTTGTATTGTTGATCAGCTCTTTGAGCCTAGGATAACCTAGCGAGAGAGCTCGTAAGCCTATGCAGTATTAGTACTAACCATTTCCCACCGAAGTCGAATTCGTGGTTGCCTGTTACAATATCAGTTTCTAATGTCATCTTATACGTCATCGGACCCACCAGCGACGCTGATATCGATGCTCAAACCATTGGCAATCGCTGGCTGTTGCCTATGCGTCAGCATCATGTTTGAAAGGAGACGTTGTGAGCGTTGCGTACCATATGTTTCCCTCGAGTGACAGAGCTCTCGATCGAGGGAGAGAACATATCACCGGAAAAGACTATTAACCCGTTTCTGCCGTTGCCTTTGTCCTCCCACTTTGCGGTGATGTCGGTCAGAAGCGTCGCGAACTTGGTGACGTCGATGGTCTCTTCCTTGCCGTCGACGTGAATCTTCTGATCTGAAACCTGATAGACGTCGTTGAAGTGTGCAATGTTCAGAGTCGTTGTCGTTGGCTGATCAACAGGTTGTTTCGCCCGTTCTCGCCAGCGCTCAATCCCTGCCGCGTAAATCTCCCACGTCAAAGCTGTTTGTGAAGGGCAATTCTGAACGGTGATTCCTGAGCGAGGTAAGTTCATTGGTGGAGAAAGGATGTGATCGGTCATACCGAGCTCCTTCTCCAGCGATTTCGCGGACGGGTCGTCGTCGAACAGGATCTGAGCCTAGGTTGAGTTGTATTCGGTATGCGCAATGTTTACCGCGTACCATGTCAGAGTGGTTGTATTTGCTCCATCCATGGATGCGCTTGAAATGCGCAGTTTTTGGCTCTGTTCAACGGATGCATTAACATGGGAAGGCAAGCTGCTGACTGTCTAGTTACCATCGACGACTTCGTCGTATCTGACCAACTTTATGATCGACGTATCGGTGCCGGTCTTGGGATCCTTCGCTTTGTAGTAATACAAGGCTCGGTCGCATCTGCCAATCCGCATCAGCTGACAAAGTAAATCTACGAGTACACAAGGCTTACAAGGCCTTGCTGGTATTGCGAGAGACGATCGCTAGTGATGCACCATGCTCAAGGATGTCAGTGACGATTCGAGGAATGTCTTTGTTGAGGTGGATCTTGTTGGCGGGGTTGCTGGAAAGAATGCGCAGGTTAGGTGAAGAGTACGAGCAAAATAAGACGTTGAACGGACGATTTGTCTTCAAGGGTGAGGTCGTCGATGCGCTTGATGTTGTCCGCGAGTTTAGAAGCTGCCCTAGGGCCCTTCCCCCATACGCTCTGATCAAGTTTGCCGGTAAAGATGGTTCCGCTATGCGCCTCGATTCAGTCACCATTATTCATCATCAGATGCAAGGACCGACTCCGTATCCAATGCAACGAGCTTGGGATACATGGTAGAGCGCTGTAGGTATGGGTTCGATGCTCCAGTCCGGTGGGAGCATAGCTCCACGTTGAGTCGAGTTGATGAAGATATCATGCGCGTCTACGAGAACGCTTCTCAGCGCGTCCCCAGCTTCCTTCAACGTGACTTATCCCCTTGCAGATCCTGTTGCTATCAAAGCCGACACTTGGGGTGAACCCCCGGCGAAGTTCTGTCACCGCTGGTTGCCGCTGTCAAACGTGAGTATGTATGCGCAGCAGCAAGAAAACGAGGCACTTTACCCATATTGTGACATGGATGCTTCTGAACCCAAATCCTCGCCGATAATTGTGATGAAACAACTGATCTCCCCACCCTGATTGTCGCTGATCATCGCATATCCGATTTGTACCCTACAGTAGCATCGCCTGAGCCTTTTGGGGCAATCGATTTCCGAACGAATGGTCATGGTTGGCATGCGCGTGTTACGCGAGGTCGAGGCTCTCTTTGTGTCCTCTGCTACGTCGCGTTTGCCATGGTGTGCAGAGTTACACCGGATATGCCGAATCGATAGATTAGCGGGGGAGCGAGGGGACAAAGCAATAGCAACTTTGCCCTCCTAGCTCCGCACGAACCACCAATCCAAATCTTTCAGGAACTCCCGCCCTTCCTTTTCCGTAATAGCCCCCCTCTTCATGTTCGCTTCGTATTCCGTCTGCACCATCCACGCAATCCAATAACGGCGCTGTGCGGGGTATCGTCACGCATGGTGAGGGTACGGAGAGGGTGGTGCCGAACTCACGAATTCCTCAGGCGTGTATTTTCGGCCGGCTTCACTAGCTTGCCAAACCAAAACGTCGTCGCCACGGACGTATCTGCTCCCGTCGAAGGTCATTCGAACGGCGATCCCCCTAAACTAAAATCAAAAACAGCCCACCCACGCATAAAGAACTTTATACCAATCGAGGAGATGCGCCTTCACAGGCTGATCATTGCTCATCGTGAACTGTACGTTCGCCAGGTGGGCATCGCTGCGAGAATCGTAAGACACAAAGTTGTTGCATTAAGAATGGTAGCGACGCACCGGTGCTCGATGCCGTGCTTCTTGACGTGATACTCGATTTCGTCTACGGCCAGGTGAAAAGCGGTCTTGACAAACCTTTGGAAGGTGACGCTGAACGGATGCTTCCGGTACAGGGGCGTCTTCCAGAGGGGCGTTCCTCCGATCTTGACCATGGAAAACCACCCCGACATGTTCGCCGGTTTGGGCGCTTTGAGCTGCCCGACCAAGTCAAGGTTCCGTAGTTCCAAGGCGATCATGAGGAGGTATTGATCGTCGTTGCTGCTTCCGGGCTTGAATGGGCGGCCGTCTTTGATGACGTTGTAGATCTCGAGAAATCGGTGGCGTTGTTCCTTTGACCAGAACTTCATCACTTTGATAACTGCTCCCGGATCGCCCGCGGCGTTGTAAGCCTTGGCAAATTTGCCTTGACCCAGTAGCTCGCCAAGTGCGGGTTGGCCATCTAATATCAACGATCAGTGACGGGATTGGACGTGCATGATTGAGCAGTCCGTACAGTACGGGGTGTCGTAGCGACTGTCATCCTGAGATGGATTGTCTAGTCCGAGTGCTTGCTGGTATATGCCCCAGCTGACGCCGCTACGTTTGCTAACGAGCTGAAGTCGTACGCCTATTCGTATCATTCGTCAACGTAGGAGGTGACGGCGGTAATGGGTAGACCGACCGAGTCTTGTGTGGACGTCTTTACTCGACGAATCGCTGGAGAAATAGACCTAAAGATATATCATTAGTGTTGCGATTTTGATATCCTATATCGGAGCGCACCATTTCGTTGTAATTAGCTTGGCTCCATTCTCGTATCTGGCCGAAAGTTTTGACAATATCGCCTGGGAGATGCGCAGGTTAGATTGAAGTCTGACAATACCAAGGCGCAATAAACCCGCCTACGCCGACTTCGTCATACAACACGAAGGATATTATAGGCTTCCTATCGCGGTTTGCATCTTCAGCCTTGTAGAGGTACAGAGCTCTGTCGCATCTACGACACTAGTGAGGAACCGCGCAAAATATAACGTTCACCAAAGGCGTACAGCTCTTTACTGGAATTCCGAGACACGATGGCGAGCTTGATGCCACGCTTGACTATATCATGTATGATGTTTGGCACGTCCGGGAAAAGGCTGATGTAGTTTGAATGTTGACTGCGGATCAAATTTTAGGTATTATCAGCACCAGTGAGCCTTCCTTGTACGATGGGTACGTACGATCTATCCCGGATCGACCACGCGTCGACGCGTTCCAAGTTATCCTGGATTTTTGGGGCCGCATTCGGACCGCTCCCAAACTTGTGCTTATCCAAAGTGCCGGACCACAAAGTGTCGCTAATAAAACACTTCTAAGCATCGATCGCATCGAAAGACAGAAGAGATGGGCATGCAACTTACTCGACCTCGAATGCAACCACCTTGATAGTCATGTGTTCCTCCTAGTGCAAGATGCGTCTTCAGATATGTTCGACTGAAGCGAGCTCCGCCCAATGTCGACGGCATTACATCAGTTCATATACCATCGCCAAGTCGCGGGTACGTTCAGGCTGCCCCGTGTGACGCGTCGCGTCGCGCGAGAAAGGGGCAGGAAACAAAGCGGGGGCCATTATGTAAGAATGGCACAGCCCTTCAGGAAGGTTTTGCTTCCGACGACATCCGTGAGGAAGCGTCCAAGACACAAGGGGATAAAGTCGTGCTTCCTCGGAGCCAGATATCCTCCGCTACTTCATGCCCATCACCGAGGACAACATGCATATGGTGCGTGTTGGGCTCCACAGCCATGTCGAGCTGACTAGAACCATTGGACTCAGCGCCTCCGCTACCACGGGATCCCACTAGTATTCAATCTCGTTCCGAATTCCGAGGCGCCGGGACGAGACTCACAGTAATAGTTGAACTTGTAAGTGGTTTACACACTTCGTTGCCGTTTTCATATCCCTGCGCGATGTACCCAAAGCTCGTCGCAATAGACACGGAGTCGGTTTCCAAATCCCACAAAGAGTTCATGGTATGCATTCTGACTCAGACGTACATATGTAGCTGGACCATATTCTGGGGCTGGCTCGATGCCAAGACGTGGGGTAAAGGGCGCAATGCCAGGTCCCAGGTTGAAGATAACATCGCGAAAGTCAATGAGCGAGAAATTCATGATCGGTCGTAGGTCACGTCAAGTCCTCAGCCTTATCGAGATGGTGTTGAATTTCAATCGCAGAAATCATAGCCTGAAGTGCGTGATGTATTCGGACATTCCCCGCATCATCCAGGATATCAAGAAGCACGGCGCTAAACTCGCCATCGTCTCTCGTAACACGGACAAGGCCATGTAAGTTGACGAAGTCCGTGATGTGATTTCTCCTCTCAGATTACTGTTAGGTGCGACCGTGCTCTATGGTACTTTCACGTTCCTGACGAAAATGGGCATGAGCGTCCTCTCATTGACCTCGTCGACTTCGACGAAGTCTACAATTGTAAGTATCCGAGTAGCCTGTGTCATTGTGGCTTCTCATGTCCAGAACGTAGTGGATAAGGTACATCATTTCAGCAAGATCAAAGGCTGGACTCAGTACCACTACTCGGACATGGTAATCATATAATCTTAGTGCGTGACGCGATTCTGACCTTGCGTATGAAAGATTCTATATGATGACAAGGCTATCAACAATACCGTCGAGATGATGCTTGGTACGCTCCTATTGCCAGTCTTGTTCCTGCTAACTTATTGCATGTCTAGGAGTTACGTTTCAAGTCTCGCGCGACCAGAAGGGCTTGACATGGAAAAACTATCAAGACGGGCTCGCGACGTGGCGCCGTAACAAAGCGATCCATAGTCCGTGGCACGGGCTAGACGTCCACCTGTATCCCAAGCGGAAGCTCATAGGATACTCGGGGATGGACCTCGACACTATCAAGCTCCTCGAGGCTGGAGGACGACGGCAGGATCGTAAGGAAGCTGCTCGATGGGGCTACGCGATGTACGTCGCGGACAACCCAGCAATGTAAGCCAACTCGTGTTTGACGCTGTGGTTCTGACTCGCGACTACAGTGCAAAGTACTTTTCCGACTGGATCAAGAAGACTGCATTCGGTCCTTCAGCACAGACCATCGTCTGCGCTATATACGCACGCGATGGCGAGATCTTCGAGCGCATGAACAAGGTCGCGTACTCCATCCTCATTCATCGTATTTGTGTATCATCTCAACGTTCTTGCAGATCTGGGTTCCGGATAAGCAGTCTTTGAAGATAAATGTGACGAAGGCCAGCGCCTTCCAAATCGCTTGGAGCCAGGAAGACAGAGACCGTCAGGTGGCAGCCTGGGGCGTTCAAAAGCCGTACATCCTGTTCGCGAGGCATCCGAACATGAATGACCACAAGGGCCTCAAGTTCCCCGTTCCTAATAACAAGCGATGGAACGAGATGGTCGTGTACGGTCAGGTTCAGGAGAACCTAATTCTCACCGTGCGCATGTCGGACAAGGAACTGGATCATGCGATCAAGAACATAGACACGTCCCACATTCGTTACGGGAAGAAATTTAGAGCATGGAATATCACCGTGCCGGAGGAGACGCGACGAGGTTTCGAAAAGCACGGCGAAAAGTTCCCATTGCCTTGAGATATCTGCCGTCGCTCTCCGTTTGTTCTTACCACAGCAGATAAAGTTCGTGTTCTTGGCTGTATCCTGTACTATGCTTAGCGTATGCGACACAATGGACCAAGCCCTACCCCTGATTGATGATACATTCCGCAATGCGCTTGACGACGGCGTGTTTCCTCACAGATCTTTCCCGTCCAACCTTGCTCAACAGACTGAGACCGGCAAGGGAAGCGAATCCACCACGGATAAGTGACGATCAAAGGCACTGGGGACCGCTTTTTTATATTAATTAAGCAAGTCATCGTGGGATGTTTAGGGGCTACTTCGCCGCCGAAACCTCCACCACTCGTTTCATCACCGTATTCACCATGTCGGTCATCGAGGTGCTCGTGCTCTCGAACAGCATCAAACCTTCCACCTTGCCACTCACGCCGCCATTCACAACGTCTTCATTCTCGAACAGGTGTTTATGGGCGCGGATATACGCCGGCCAGACGATCTTCTCCCAGTAGTGAGGAGGGTCGGTCCATGTCTCGCCCTCTGAGTTCGAGTTCAATGATCCGAATAAGGGATCATCAAAGTCTTGCACGCTCACCGGGTGTGTAGTACGAGCGAGCTTCGCGTCTGGCCCTCGCTATTTCTTCAGGAACGCGGATAACGGCGCGGACGTCGAGATCAGACACGATGCGCTATAACGTCGACGATAATCAGGTAATGAATGCAATAAAACAACTGTCGCGCTCGCCTTGTCCCAATAGAGCAGGAAACCGTCAATGATAGCCCAGACGAGCTGCTCCCCGTGCTTCTCCAAATGTTCGGCGGCCAACTTTTCGCTTTGAGCCTTCCAATCTGCGATGACCTTTTCATCTACGGCCACGTTCGCCGTCTGGTTAAAGCTGTCGAAGGATTGGTGATCGGCGGGGAGTGTACCGGTCTTCTTCAGGTCGGCGACGAACGCTGCCATGCGATCCCACTCAATAGCGCCCTCCGGGTCGTCCCAGTTTTCAAATCCATATTCAGGGTCGATTGGGAGTTTCTCAGCAGGCTGAAATACGTGAAGATATGGATGAGCAGCGAGCCAAACCGCGTCTCGAGTGACGACGGACCGGCACAAAGTCCTGTTGGGGAGACGGGTGGAGTATTCTATGAGCCAAGCGCAAAGCAACGGTGAAGCCAGTCGGAACGCACGTCCTGGTGGACAGTGAAGCTATTTGGCAAACAGTTTCTGAGGTGCTTTGCCAAGGTCGTCTTCCCAGAAGATGTGGCCCCACTGCACAGCCGGCGTGAGCAAGCGATGTGGCCCGACTCCCGCGTCAACGTCGCTACTCACCCAACGCCGATGGTTATGATCCGTGTCGGTTTCTCACTGGTGCTCGTCGACATCGCTAGCAGTGTCCGGCGAGAAATCGATAATGCGAATGAAGATCGTAATCAGGAGAGTATCGGGAGGGCGCCCGGCGCTGCAGCTTGCGCACCGCGTTACGTCGCCGCACAGGTTCTTCATTGCGTCTCAAAGCTCGTGTTCTTGCAGCCACGGTTTGACATGCATGGGTAGTTGAACTCTATATCGCGCATCTCCGTCGGAGATATACGCGCTCCGTCTTAGTGACTCAGATTGACACGAGCTTGTACAACAGGATGGAAGCACGGTGAGCATAATGCGGGCGATTTGGGGGCATGCATGTTCCGTGTACATCTCGTTCCCAGCGCTTATATGTCTGACATAGAAGCGAGCATCGACTGTAATGTGCATGGGGTAAACGGTAGCGCGGTCCTTGACCGATCCGCCGATATCGTATACCATGATGATATCAGCACCTTGCGGCAACCGAATTCGGGACAATACAAAATCTTCTTGCCAATGATGCGAAATGCGTTTTCTGACGCGACAGACTTCGCTTCATCCCCTCTGTGCTTGTCTAACCGCAGGTTTGCGTCATGTATCCAAAGCTCGTTGCGTTGGACACCGAGTATGTCTCTCCACAGGATATCTCCGCGGCTGCTGAAAAACCTCTATAGTTGGACCATCTTCTGGGGCTGGCTCAACGCCAATCAGTGGGGCAAGGGACCTGGCGCCTCAGGGACAATCGAGGACAACATCATCAAGGTCAACTACTGGGAAATACAGGATAGAAGGTTAGCCTTCGATGACTGTTCGCTTGCGGCGCGCCGAGGATTGCTGATACCGTCGAGTATAGTAACTGTAATCTCAAATGCGGCATGTACGCAGATATCCCGCGCATCATCAAGGACATCAAGAAGAACGGCGCGAAGCTTGCGATTGTCTCTCGAAACACGAGCAAGGCACTGTGAGTAGACGATCGCGCTAGTTGGCGTCACCGGTCCAATGCTCATGCTACAAACAGGTGTGACCGCGCATTATGGCACTGGCAAGTAGAGGATACGCACGGCAACATGAAGTCCATTATCGACCTCGTCGACTTCGACGAAGTATACAATTGTGAGCAACGATGCACCGTTTGTCTTCTCCTGTGGTTCTAATCGGAGATGAAAAGCGGACAAAGTCAATCACTTCCAGAAGATTAAAGGCTGGACGAAATTCGACTATTCTGACATGGTCGCGTTGTTTTTGTGTTAAGCTTATCTATTCCTTGACACGAAACACAGATTCTGTATGACGACGAAGCCATCAACAATCCGGTTGAAATGATGCTCGGCATGTCCTCTGCCTCGTTTATGCCTAGTCGGAAGACTGATATCTCGTTCAGGTGTGACATTCCAAGTGTCGAGGGACCAAAAGGGTCTGACTTGGGATAACTATCAGGAGGGGTTGGCGACGTGGCGCCGCAACAAAAGCATACATAGTCCTTGGAAGGGGCTTGACCTCGGGAATTACCCGAAGCGGAAGTTCATTGGGTACTCGGGTATGGACCTCGATACCATCAAACTGCTCGAGGCAGGGGGTCGGCGGCACGACCGAAAGGAAGCGGCGCGATGGGGATTCGCGATGTACGTCGCAGATGATCCAGCTGTGTAAGCTCCGGTGTTTCGCGTGCTCTCTCATGTGCTCATTCTCGGTTCAACCACCAGCGCGCAGTACTTCTCGGAGTGGATCAAGCGCACGGCCTTCGGGCCAGCAGCACAGACGATTGTATGTGCTATATATGCAAGAGACGGTGATATCTTTGACCGCATGAACAAGGTCATAGCTATTGTCTTCATCTCTGCAATGGAAGCAGCTGACGTTGAAGATAGGTCTGGATGCCAGATTGGGTGGACCGCTGGACTAATGTTCAATCGAACGAGTTCGTTCTCGGATGGAGTCAAGAAGACCGTGACCGTCTCATCGCGGGTTGGGGCGTGCAGAAGCCATATGTACTCTTCGCACGGCATCCGAACATGGGAGCCGGTTTCCCTGTCCCTAACGGCCAGCGGTTCAACGAGATGGTCATCTATCCGCAGGTACAGGAGAACTTGATCGTCATCCAACGAATGTCGGACCAGGAGCTGGCTCAGGCGGTCCGATTCCCGAGCCAACGCTACCCCCATCTTCACTACGAACAGCAATTTCGAGCTTGGAACATCACTGTGCCGCAGGAAGCTCGCGATGACTTCGCCAGGCATGGCGAGCGCTTCATGTGAGATACTTGTAGGGCGACTACATGCAGGCTTTTCCTATAACATGCCCTTAACATTCACTGTCTCCGCGTGCGCTGGCTATGGATATATGAGATTGTATCATCGACACTATGCATCATTGAGGGTGGCTAGCTGACCCACATGAAGATATACTGTAGGTTTTCGACCGTAATTTCGTCCCCTGCACCTACCTGCGAACCAAACCTATTCGCCCATTTGTTCCCTGGCCCCTTCCGATTTTTTTGCGCAATTAATGACCGTGGGAGACTCATAGTCTGACCGTCGAAGTGTTTGAACTGATCGAGGATCACTTCGCGAACTTCCCACGGGCCCGAACTTGGAGGGTGTCTCCAGGGGCCAAGGATGTACTATTTTAACACGTCCATTGTCGTTCTACTACGTCGTCCACTTCGCCGCTTCGACCGATACCGCGTCGAAGATCCAATTAGGCTACACCTCTACGCTGCAGGCGGGAATAACCATGGCCTTGACTTCGAAGCACGCTGAGAAACATGCCACTTTTCGAACGTTCATGAATCGTGGACGTGTGCTCCATGATAAGACGTTGTGAATTTCCGTCGGGGATATGCACACTCGGTCTTTGTGGCTAGGCTCAAGTGAGCATGATAACAGGCTGGAAGCTTGGCGAATGGTGAGCCGAAATGGATTAGGGCCATGCATGCTCCTTGTGTCTCTGCTTCCCAGGGTTTGTATGTCTGACACGGAAGCATGCACAGCCATTTAAATATGGACCTTTATAGCAGCGTTCGGCATCGGTCTTGAATATTGGCCGCGATCCGCAAGGGGTAACCAAACGCACCGAAGACTACAGAATACCACGGGACTATCAACATACTGCGTCAAATGGATGGACAAAGTACCGCTCCGACGCGGTACAAATTGTGCTCGCCGGACGTAGCTGGTTCAACATTCCGTTCCAACATCGTCCCCATCGACTTCTCGACTGTGGACTTGCGCCATGTATCCAAAGCTCGTTGCTCTCGACACTGAGTGGGTCCAAATCTTTGTGGGTATATACGTCTACTGACTTGTTTCAATAGTTGGACCATCTTCTGGGGTTGGCTCAGGTCGAACGAATGGGGGAAGGGACCCTGCGCCTCAAGGACAATCGAAGACAACATAATCAAGGTCAACTACTGGGAGATCCAGGACAAAACGTTGGTGATCGTTCACTCCAGCTTTGTAGGAGAGCGAAACGCTGATGACTCCGGCGAGCATAGTAACCCTAATCACAAGTGCGGCATGTTCGAGGACATTCCGCGTATCATCAAGGACATCAAGAAGAATGGCGCGAAGCTTGCCATTGTTTCTCGCAACACGAGTAAAGCATTGTGAGTCGACGATTCCCAGGCCGCCAACATGCGCTCATGCACGGGTAATTATAGGTGCGATCGCGCGTTATGGCATTGGCAAGTGGAGGACGAGCACGGCAAGATGAAATCAATTATCGACCTCGTTGAATTCGACGAAGTTTACAACTGTGAGTATTGGTTGTGCACCCCGCCCCGCCGCGTAACTCATGAAGGTGAAAAGCGGACAAGATAAACCACTTCCGAAAGATCAAGGGCTGGACGAACTTCGAGTACTCAGATATGGTTGGGTCGTTCTCGGTTGTTGTAATGTCACCGCTTTGACGGATCAACAGATTCTGTTCGACGATGAGGCTTTCAACAACACGGTTGAGATGATGCTCGGTAAGTATGCTCGTTCGATCACACCTCTTTCAAGTGCTTGATCCCCTTTCAGGCGTTACTTTCCAGGTTTCAAGGGATTCGAAGGGCCTTACATGGGACAACTACCAAGCTGGACTAGCAATGTGGCGCCGCAACAAGAGTATCCATAGCCCATGGCATGGACTTGATCTTGCGAAGTACCCCAAGAGGAAGCTCCTTGGATACTCCGGAATGGATCTTGATACTATAAGGTTACTTGAGAAGGGAGGGAGACGACACGACCGAAAGGAAGCTGCGCGATGGGGATTCGCGGTGTATGTCGCAGATGACCCGGCGGTGTGAGTACCTGCCTTCCTCGACGATCAGTTACGTGCTCATTTGGGCCTACACCAGCGCAGAGTATTTCTCTGAGTGGATCAAACGCACTGCTTTCGGGGCAGCAGCTCAGACTATCGTCTGTGCCATATATGCCAGAGACGGAGATGTCTGGGATCGCATGAACAAGGTCATCGTTGATCCGATGTCCATCTGGGAACGGACAACTAACGTCAATCACAGATCTGGATGCCAGACTGGCAGGATCGTTGGACAAACGTCCAGGCCAATGAATTCGACCTCGGCTGGAGCCAAGAAGACCGCGACCGTATTATTGCGGGTTGGGGCGTACAAAAGCCATACGTCCTCTTCGCGCGGCACCCGAACATGGGGACGAATGCCGGTCTCCGGTTTCCCATTCCCGGCAACCAGCGGTTCAACGAGCTGGTCATCTACCCGCAGGTGCAGGAGAACTTGATTGTCATTCAACAGATGTCCAATCAGGAGCTCCGTGATGCGATCAGGAACCAGAGCCAGCGCTACCCGCGTCTTCACTACGAACAGCTGTTCCGCTCCTGGAACATCACGGTACCAAGGGAAGCTCGCGAGGATTTTGCGCGGCACGGCGAGCGTTTCGCGTGAATCACTCGTAGTAAGTTGGCACACCGGTCCACTTCTCCGCGTCAACTGGATATGCATCTTTGTGTATATTATTTAGTCTGTATTACGAATCCACTACCTGGTTTCACTCTGGCCACATTTTAGGGTTCCGACTTCTTTCAACAACCTTGCTCCTGGACACCGCCGTCTTTGAATGCCATCCTGTGCGAAATGGCATTCTTCGTCCTATAACTGTCGCCGCAGCAAGCCTGTAGCAATGGCTGCTGTACGACTCTATATATAGTCGCCGCTGTGAAGCCCCCTGCCATCAAATCTGCGTATTGGCGTACGGTACGGGCACGGCTGCAGCTCGAGATCCGACTAGATGCGTATGCCTCAACTTTCCTGGAGCATTAATCATGCAGGGGAGCATAGTACCGCTCCTGAGCTGAAGATGTCCGCTCCATAGATCCGTTATCCCGGTCCGCGATGCATTCATTTCCCAAGCATCCCTTGGTTATACTCGACACAATTGAAGCCCTGCCCGCAATGGATACAAGCTTACATATGTGCGACCGAAAGTGGGACTCCCTGCGACGTCGTCCGGTCACGCTGAGGCGGCCCTGCGCACCTTGGATGGACAGGTGACCCCCCACCGGGCTGTATTACTCGGTCTCCAGGACAGCTGGCCCTGAGGGACATTGCTTCCACCCTCGCGGGCTACGCTCCTCTAATGCGCTTGGCTACGACGTTTATCGCCCTCCCTCTTCTCTTTGCTGGCGTGATGGTTGGCGCAGCGTCACCCGCTTCGCTGTCAAGCTCTCTCACCTTTCTGTACCAGAATGACTTGGACTGTGCGAAACTCTCTCCCATCTCCGATTTGGGGACTAATCGTGATATAGGGCCAACAGCGCCGGACCATTCAGGAGCGATCTTACTCGAACCTCGGAACAACCGTGCAGCAGTGTCGAGCTGCGAGGCTCTCGGAGAGACCCTACTGGTGCCCAACGGAACTTTCTTCAAGAGTGACGTGAATTCTTTACTTTCATATCTTAACTTTGAAGGCCTCTTTCCCACCAGCCAAGAGTTCTGGATCGCGACGAAGTCGGGAGGAGGTTCTTGCCAGACCATCTCGAAGGGAGCCGACATTCGAGATACGTCATGCGAACGCGTCCTCCCTGCGCTTTGCTCTCAGAGTGCGCCTTTCCGTCCATCAGGGGATCAGGTACTGTCCACTCGCCGGCGTTCTCGTGCATCTTCGCTCATCTACTCTCGTCACGGGTCCGCAGGACAAGGATCCGAGGTTCGAGTTGACCATCTCCGCTCAAGACCTAACGGTGACAGGGTATGTGTCAGTCAGTCGTACCGGCTGTCTGACTATTAATCTATCTTCAGATATCGCGATCATCTTTCGTTCCGCTTTCTTGGCCTGCCCTACGGCAATCCACCGGAACGCTTCACATACTCCACACTCTTCTCCGGTGCTCAGAAAGTCTTCAATGCCACAAACTTCGGTTCTCAATGCGTTCAGACCGGAGGTGGAGGAAGCGAGGATTGCCTTTTCTTGAACATTTTCACGCCCTTCGTTCCCGGCCCGGGAACACCCAAATCGGCCCTGAAACCGGTCATGTTTCACATCCACGGCGGCTCCTTCACGAGCGGAAGCGCCAACGACGCGACGTTCGATGGCGGCAACCTGGCCTCGCGTGGCGACGTAGTGGTGGTTGACATTAACTATCGATTGTCGACCCTGGGTTTCCTTGCGCTGGAAGACGGGGTTACCAACGGCAACTTCGGTATCGCCGATATGACTGTGGCCCTCGCTTGGGTCCAGAAGTACATAACCTCGTTTGGAGGCGACCCAGATCGCGTCACGATCTTCGGACAGTCTGCTGGCGCCGCCGCGGTGAGAGCGTTGCTGGCCAGTCCGGAGGCCATCGGCAACTTCTCTGCCGCGATACCGATGAGCAACCTGGCGGGAGAGAACTTTGCGACCTCATTCTCTCTGTACTTCACCATCTCTCAGCTGCAACCCGTTGCTGTGGATCCGATTCTCACAGAAACAGGATGTAACAGGACAGATCTTGCCGACGTGCTCGCTTGTCTCCGTTCGGTCGATGCCGAGACTCTGGTCAACCTGCCGGACGTCGCGAGGTACCTTTTCTCCTCTGGCCGCGCGAGCATCTCATTCTGACCTGTGACACAGATTCATCGTCATCGATGGCAAGTTCGTCACCTCAGAGCAACTTCCTGTCGACGGGTCGAGCCCGGTCGCCCACGTACCTGTGGTCATGGGCTTCATGCGCGACGACGGAGCAGCGTTCATCGGCTTTCCCCCAAACTCTGATGTCACTACCAACATCGCGGGCGTACTGTGCGCTATCATCACATATCTATACCACGCATCCTTGCTGACGAGTCGTGGTGCAGTTCAAGCCCATCGGCGGCGGACGTTGAGGCATCCGGCCTGTTTCCGACCCCTGCCGGACCCAACTCCACGCTGGACGTGTTCAACGTGACCGCACGCATCACGACCGACGTCGAGTTCCGATGCCTGGATCAAGCCGCCGCGATCTCGGCCCTGAACCACAGCGTCTTCCCCGACATCTGGTTCTACCAGTTCAACAAGTCGTACCAGACGCCCGGGTTCGATCCGAACGCGCCGGTGTGCGACGCCCCGATCGACGCCGCCCATCCGCACGGCGACCCTTCGCAGGAGTATTTCAAGTACGTTTTTTTTTATTATCGCCCACCCCGCTTTGTCGTCCCTTCGTCGCTCATCACCGCCCCCGCAGATGCCACTCCGGCGAGCTGTTCTTCGTGTGGGGCAACCTGGGCCAGTTCCAGCTCCCGTTCCGAGACGAGAACGACCTGCTGTTCTCGCAGCTCGCGTCGGACACCTGGACGTCCTTCGCGCGGACGCACGATCCCAATCCGAGCCACGCGTTCCTGACCGCGCGCGGGTACACCGGCACGCTTGCCCTCGTCAAAGAGGGCGGGATCTGGGAACCGCTTGGCGGGCAGAACGAGAGGGCTTTGAGACTGCTGGATATGCCGCTGCGCATGTCGACGTTCGAGGAGGTGGCGCAGTGCGATTTCCTGGGGTTGCCGTTCGACACTTTCGGTTGATGACGAGGTTCAGCAAGCGCATCGGTACATATACGTCTGCGGTTGTTGTGGAGCACGCAGTTTCCTATGTCAAGTACAGTTGTCTCTGTTCCAATCGCGTTGGCAAGCATCAAGCCGGCGTGGCACACGAGTGTCCGATACTACTCTACAGTCCGCTGAGGTTGCTCTATGCACATCGTTTGCGATGAAGTCCCCCCACGCGACGTGCTCAGATCCAGAGCCAGAGGAGACGCATCCGCCTGCGCGCACCGCTCGTCACCGCTCCCAACGCCGTCTGTTCACAGCCAGAGCGATAAATGAGCGTCAAAAACACACTTGAAAAACCAGGGGCGAGGATAAACGTACGGCAGCACTCTGAGGCTCGGCGGTGGACGTCGAGAACACGGTGACCATCTTCTGGGAGCCGACGACGGCGACGGAGGTGATCGGAGCGGCCGTCGCGTCTGCGGCGGAGGTGGCGGCGGCATCGGGGGTCGGGCTGGCGGTGACGATGACGGTGGCTACGCCGGCGTCGGGGTTTGCGGAAGAAGAGGGGGCTACGACGACGACCGAAGTGGAGCTGCTTGCGGGAGCGGGAGCGGCGGCAGACGAGGCGATAGCGATGGTGGTCGCGGGGGCGGAGCTGGACGCGACGGCGGCAGAGCTTGAGGCGGCTACGGCGGAGCTGGACACCGCGGCTGCTGTGCTGGAAGGAGCGGACGCAGCGTTGTTCATCGCGACATCGACGCCTGATTCGAGATCCTCAGTTTATCGATCTTATCGAGAGGAAGCCTGGCGAACGCACAGTAGTAGTAGTTCTGGCTGAAATCGGGGGTGGCCCAGAAGAGCTGGACGACGCAGTCTCCCGCGTTCTGGCACTTGGTGCCGACCTCGGAGGCCGAGGGGAGGTTAAATTGCAGGTTGGACTCTGCGAAGAGGTTAGCCGATCTGCATCGAGAGGGGGGCACTCGTTGTCGGAATACGCACGATCGGGCGGGGTGCCTCCGGACGTGGGGCAGAAGTTGTCAAAGGTCTTGAGGAAGGAACCGATGACGGCGCCGGAGCCGCCGGCGGTGGTGTCGATGAGGGAGACGTTGGCGGGGCCGCTGAGAACGACATTGGGAACTGGGATGAAGGAAGGTCATGGAGCCTGCTTACCCGTGAGGGATGGTGCAGTCCACGCCCATGGTCATCTGTTGGCCCGGGGTGACCTTTTGCACGTTGGAAGCGGGCTGGTCTTGGAACAGCTATACATGTTGACAAGTTGGACCTCCGAATGTCTTTCGGTAAACAGAAGACAGACGCACCATTCCGCGGCAAAGGGTGAGGTCACATCCTGCGTTGACGGGCTCCTGTTCCTCGATGTGGCCGGTAGGATCGCCCTTGACGGAGTTGAAGGACGTCTGGCCGCATTTCTGCAAGAAGGCGTTGCCCGGCTACGTGATGATCCAAGGTCAACAACCCCTTCGCTGTCAAAACCCATGCTCGAACCCATCCCGGCGTACCTGGCGAATCGGGGGACTCGTGATCCCGGCATGGCCCAGGACAGCGGGGATCGCTGCTGCCGCCGCAAGAATAATGGTCACGGTCGAACGCATCGTTGCTCAGATCGAAAAAGAACGCAAGTAGGGGAGGCGCTGCCTAGAGAGAAAGTCGAGACCGAAGAGGACGCAGTCCTTGAAGGATGAAGGAGAACAGAAGGGGAGAACGAGAACGAGCGCGAACGACGACACCGGGCGGCGCGCAAGTGAGCAGGGCAGGTTCGGACACAACCGCAGTGCCTTGGTAACGCCATATCATCCGCGCCCATTCCACCGAGGGTGGAAGCAAACCACGGCTGCTTCAGGAGCCAATCAGGTGGCGGCCTCAGATGTTCCCACGTTCTTCCTCGTTCATGGTTTGCGACCGTTTCGAGGACACCCTCCTCAATCGCTCGTGCTCATAGTTCGTCTCCCATGTACTTAGTCTCGGCACGGCTGGCTTCGAGTTGCATCATTACTATCGACGATATAACCCATGGGTCTAGCGGGTCTCGTTCCGTTTTGTCCAACGAGCCCGGACCTCTGTTATTGAACTCTCCGGAGCACCAACAACTCTCAGGGACAGCCTCGCCGTGATAGCGCAGCTCGAGTGAGAGGTGCTTCTCTCATTTCGAACCTCTCTTGCTGGCTCGATCTCCTGCTCGATAGTCATCACGTCCTTGTCATCTGTAGCTCTGCCCCGCCTAATCGAACCCCACAGTCTTGATCTGGGTACTTGCTGTTCAACTACGGATTCTAACCACCGATGTGCCTTTCACATGCTCCAACACCCACAAAATCCGCAATGGGGGCAGTGGGAGTCATATACATACACACCGACATGAGAATTCGAGCTATGCTGCTCCGCGCTCGCGAGTCAATGGAACTGTCGATCAATCATCTATGTCCTCCTTATCTTGGGCAGCTGAGCGAGTCATAGTTCATTTACTTTCGGCGACAGCTGCTACGGCACCGCGAACCGATTGACTCCCCAATACGGCGGGCTGCATCGGCATATAAGCCCCCCTTCGACGATGCACCGTCGCAACCAGAACACACTGTCCACCTTTGCACTCCGTCCGATTTTCGAGGATGGGTGAGCCAGCACACGTAGACGAACGGCTCTCTCTCAAGGACCACCGTGCCTATCACTGCAGCTGCCAGCGCGTGCTGAAACAGGTACGAAACCTCTATCACTCGAACGCCAGACATCGCGCTCATCTGTACGTTCTTTCAAAGAAAGATAGGCGAAAGAGCAAGATGCCCACGAGGGTCGGCGCGTGCAGGCACGTCGAGCACGCGGGCTGGCGGTACTGGGCCCGCGCGGACATGAAGACGCATTCCGGACGGCGGCGGCACGTGGCGCCGCAGTGGATCAGCGCGCGCGTCGCGGAAGCGGCGGTCTGGGGTGCGGACTCGGAGCTCGAGGCGGACGTGGAGACCGCGAGCCGGAGCATGGAGTCCATCTGGGCGGCCTGCCTCGGAGACGGAGAGGAGCCTGCGAGTCCGCGTTGGGACGCGGTCGGAGATGATACGTGGGCGTCCGATTCGGAGCACGAGGTGAACGGCTACGGGAGATACGCGTGGCGGAAGGGAAAAGGTGCGTCCTGTGCCTGTGCATGAACAAGATACTAACGTGTTCCATGACCATGGTCCTCCGGCACAGGCGTGGCGAAAGATTTCGACATCATACGACGCCCGAGGGCGGTGATCGCTCTGTCGGACGACGAAGAGGATGACTGGGAATGGGTGGACAAGACTGCTCAACGGAAGCGGTCGTATGCGAAGGTTGTTAAGGGTGGAGGTGGTTGATCTGCAAGGAGCATGCCTATGTGCGGTGTTGGCCATCCTCGCTGCGCGATAAGCACGTTCATGATGGATTTTGTACATCAACGTAACGGAACGTAGGCACTGGATCTCGGCCTTGGCGATCCGAGTTGGAGGGGTGCAGATTATGTGCCTGTCGACGTGTACGGTCAAGGTTCGAACAATGCGGAATTCAGTCTGACACTACAAGTTCGTCTGACCACTGGAGAAGGATAGAGAAGGATATCGATTGAACAGGCAGCTGTAGTTGATAGTGGAGTTCGGCGTGTTCATGAGCAGATACGGATCGCGAGCGTTGTACGAGTTCGATGCATGGCATACGTTGCAATCGAAAGGCTGCCCACAAGTGGGTCGTATCGAGTAGGCAATAGCAGTTACTTCAGACCAGGACGACAAGGCGCTGAACTGGGCTAACGAACCGGGGTCTGAAAGGGGATGATATCAGGTTATCGTCAATGCGCGATGAAGCGAGTTCCCGGTGCTTTGGAGTAGCTTGGAGCAGCAACAATTCATGCTCATCCGGATGTGCAATGGGTGCAGAACCCGTCCTCGTCGACGTGTACGTTCAGACTAGGGTGCATGAAGTCGCGACGATTAGCGTTCCGCTGAACCCTGCCTCGACCGTGGATCGTGCTCACCGAGACGGTCTCCAGTCCATCGTAATAGCGCTTCCCGGGGCAATAACGCGATGCTCGTGCGGCAGATCCTGTTTGGAGAAGCCCTGGATGGCTGACAGTCAACTGCGCTCTAGTCTGTTGAAATCGCTCGGTCGCGTACAGAGGTATTTCCTGGCGCGTCGACAATCTTCTTTCCCTTCAACTTGCTTTCCCACTCTTCTGCGCTCACGGATGCCATGCAGGGCGACCTGTGGTAGGTATACGGAATGCTACGAGAAGGGAGGAACCGGCGATGGAAGTAGGAGGTTGGCTCATCCGAAGGGGGTTCCGACTCCCCCGAAGGGAAGGAGTTGGTTCTTTTTCCGACCACTTCGGTCACAGTGACAAGTCCGTGACCCTCAGCCAAAGCGTGATGAAGGCGTGATAGAGCGTGATTTTGACTCTGGCGTGGGAGCGTGACAGCTGTAGGTGTGGGACTGCTTACATAAATATGGAGATCAGTTCAGGGATGAAACGGCCTTAGCCGCGGCAGTTTCCCATGGTCCTTTGCCACTGATCGTGGGAGAAACAAGACTATTTACGTAATCATAGTCTCTCAAGGTTTGGCCAGTGGCTATACGTCGAAGCACCATGACACTTGCCTATTGGGGTACAGTGTACAGGCACTGCTTGGTGCCGCCGCACTCCTTGATACAAACATTAATCCCGTATGAAGGACAAACCTGAAAGCCTTGATATAATACTGGGTGGTAGATTCACGCTTGAATATCCTAGATCCGAGTTATCCAGTGAATCAAAGGAGTTGCTGATTTTGAAGAAATTGTTCACTTTTGCAGAGACCATGTTTTACCACAAGATGTGCAGCCTGACTCGCTTCCAGTCCCGATCAGATAATCTCTAGAGAGCACTAATACATTTCTTCATATCTCAAGTACATTTTTCATCAGTGATGTGGGATCATCTGTGGTGCGTCGCAATTAAGAGACCATGCTGAAGAGTGGAAGGTGATGCACCAGCGCACGACATGCCTTGGGAGCGTGTGAGATGCTCAATTCTGCCCAGATTTAATCCGAAGAAAAATGTACAGTATGGTAGTAGTTAGTAGTTACTGAAGTACTAGTGGGTGGTCAAAAGAAGATGTGGTGTGCACACAGCGCAGGAGCCTGTCGGTTTTGAGTACATCAGCCAGTGCCTTTCCACTGTGGACCGGCGTTGTCTCCTGCCCGGGATCCTTTTCATGGGGGAGTCAGACGCGGCGCTTGGCGCCCCCTTACTCACGTACAGTCGAACACCTCATAATGCATAGCCACATAATGCATAATTCTCATAATGCATAGGGTTTGGGCTCGAACCACCGTGGTTTGCGGGGAGCTAGGGAGATACTGCATAAACGCATAATGCATAGCCGTCAGGCCAAATTTATGCAGTTTCTAGAGAGCAAATGTGGGAATAATTAACCATATATACAAGTATACAATGCGATAGCCCTCATAATCTACATGAGGCTATGCCCAGCAGTGGTTGCCAACGATAGCTTGTATTTGATCGTATGTTGGCTATTTTCGCCTCACTTTCGGGCGAATCCATTTCACCTGCGCTCCACACTGTTCACCTGATTTGCGGGTGAAAGGCGACTTTCACCTCATGCGCTGGGGAATTTCCCCCGAAACGAACGCCACCGTGAAACGTAAGCCCTACAAGCGACTACGGAGAGCGCGAGATGACAGCGGGGAGCGCGTCCTGCAGGCGACCCGCTCTATTAGATTAAGCGTACGTTGAGGAAAGGGGGGAAGGGTATCGCGATCAAATTTGGATCTTCGGTAACGATATACTTGAGGGTCAGGCAATGGAAACACTGAATTGCGCTGAAATACAGCTGAAACACAGCAGAAAATCAGTGCCCATGAGGCATCTGCATTACCGAAGCACGTCGGTTGCAGAGCTTCGTGGGGGACAGGATTTTTCGAGCGCTCTATCGATATGGAACTTGCTGTAAGTAATCCAACGGTTGTCCGAGGGGTGTCAAGAGGGATGCGACCAGACTGGTCTCGACAAGTGGTCGGTTGTCCAAGCGCGAACATCGGGTCGTCACAAACCGGAACCGCTAGAGTCGCCGCGTCCGGCTTTATTGCAGCCAAGAAGAGATGGAAACGCCCACCGTCATGTTGCACGGTTGATCTGAACATCCAGGCCCTTGATTTGTGGTGCGCGGTCCGCGCGGATTCGCAGATTCTAGAGGATCTGATGGTGATTACGAGACGACAGGAGTGTCAAAGTGCTGTTCGGCGACTTTCCGCCAATCATACACGGTACACCGGCAATGAGAGACGCTGTGTACATTGTCGATTGTAGCTTCAAAAGTCTCGCAGAGTCGTTATTTTTTGCAGGAGGCGATGAGCGATGCACAGTGGGGGTATTTTGTTAGCAGCGGCACCATCGGGAACCTGAGCGGAAACAGAAAAAACGCGGGCCGCAACCGAAGTCGCACGGTCGAGTGTGGGAAGAAAGTATTACATAACGATTCGGTTCAAGGTCGGTTTTGGCAAGGGATTCCCCATCACCACCGCCGCCGTCGACGCTCTCCTCCTCCTCCTCCTCCATCCTACGCCTGTGCTACCCACCTTTTGCCCCAGTCCATTCCTTTTGCAGTTTGTAATATCACCAGCACACCATGGGTTGCGTCCAGTCCGCCGGCGTCGACGATGAGGCCAAAGCCCGTCAGTTTTCCGCTTCCGCTTCTGGCGACGTTGTGGCTCACCGCGTTATGTGCGACAGGCAACGACGAGATTGAGAGCCAGCTCAAGCGGGACAGGATGATGGCCAAGAATGAGATCAAGATGCTGTTACTCGGGGCCGGAGAGTCGGGCAAGGTGCGGAGACGCGGCGCTGTTGCCGTCGTTTGTCAGCGCTGACAACTGCAACAGTCGACAGTGCTCAAGCAGATGAAGTTGATCCACCATGGCGGATACAACGATCAAGAGCGGGATTCATACAAGGAGATCATATTTTCCAACACTATCCAGTCTATGCGGTACGTGGTCGCAACGTCGGCCCGAGTGGCGTCGCTGACGGGTTCGCAGTGCGATACTTGAGGCCATGCCTCATCTCGACATCCCCCTCCAGCCTCAAAATGACGCTCGTCGCTCCGTCATCCTCTCTCTCCCTCCGCAAATTGAAGGCGACATACTTCCGCGAGATGTCATAGATGCTGTCCGCGGTCTCTGGCGCGACCCTGGCGTCAAGGAAGCCGTCCGTCGTTCGCGCGAGTTCCAGCTCAATGACTCGGCCGTCTACTACTTCAACGCGATCGACCGCATGTCCCAGCCCAGCTACCTCCCCACGGACCAGGACATCCTCCGATCTCGTGTCAAGACGACCGGCATCACCGAAACCACCTTCAAGGTCGGCGAGCTCACCTACCGGTTGTTCGACGTGGGCGGTCAGCGGTCGGAGCGGAAGAAGTGGATACACTGCTTTGAGAACGTCACCGCGCTCGTGTTCTTGGTGTCTCTCAGCGAGTACGACCAGATGCTGTACGAGGACGAGAGTGTGGTGAGTCAGCTTCGCATTTGCACCTTGATCTCCGTTCACGTCGGCCGCAGAACCGTATGCAAGAAGCCCTCACGCTGTTCGACTCGATATGTAACTCGCGCTGGTTCGTCAAGACGTCAATCGTACGTGATGTCACTTGATACACCTCGCGTCGCAACCGGCTGATTCGTGGTTCTTTGTCGCTGCAGATTCTCTTCCTGAACAAAATCGACCTGTTCGCGGAGAAACTTCCGCGCTCGCCTCTGGGCGATTACTTCCCCGACTACACCGGTGGCGACAACTACGACGCGGCCTGCGACTACCTCCTCCACCGCTTTGTTTCGCTCAACCAGTCGGCCGCGACTAAGCAGATCTACGCCCACTACACGTGCGCGACTGATACGCAGCAGATCAAGTGTGAGTAGTTTTGTCATCATCACACCCTGCCTTCCAGGGCAACGGACGTGAGAACGGTTTCTAACGCGATGACCTTTCCCCGCAGTCGTCCTTAGCGCCATCCAGGACATCTTGCTTCAGCTCCACCTACGGGAATGCGGTCTGTTGTAAAGGATTTCGTACGGTGACCACCGCGGTCGTCGTACGCATGCATCATCTTATATCTATGTCGCCTCACATATTTTCTGTTCCGACCTTTCCTCAACACATAGCTTGGTTCTTGGAGATACTATCTTCTCATCGTATACTTTACCCCTTTTCTCTTGCATCGACCTTGTCGCCTTACTTTTACAGTATCGCATTCACGAAAGGTGCCGTCCGTCTGTGGACTTCTGGTCTGTTTACTTTCTGCGGCTTCATGAGGATGGACGGCGTGTGTTTCAATATAATACCCATGTTTCGTCGAGTGGATAGCCAACTGAGCCCTGGGTCAGGACAGGTGTGCCACATTGTGATGGAGATGTGGCGCCATTTGGTGCCATACGCGGGATGTTCGGACCTGAATGAGGCGCTGGACCTGAGATGTAACACGTTCTTCTCAGCGTTCGCCTTCTTAACTTATCAAAGCCCCTCCTGAATCAGGGCGCTGTGTTGCATCCAGAGCTGAAATACAGGCCGCGTGGTATAGGTCGTCCGGCTTGCGCAGAGTCTGCGCCGACTTGGTACGGATGTTCCCATCGTACGGCGATATCGCCAGGGAGCATGTGCAACATGCGGTGCGAAGAAGATTGGCAATATGAATGCCATACATAACTCGGAACCTTCAATGTGGGTTATCCCGCACAGGCTGAACGAGGAGCTGTATAGATCTTGGGTAGGTTTCCGTCTTTATTTTTGCATGCTATGAGCCGGAACTATGGATATTTTCCAAAATTACATTCTCGGATGGGTGTGTCTGTGATCCGGTGATTCTCTGTGAGTGCAGGTCTTCATGTTATAACTGGATTCCGCTTGATGTTTAGATCATCCACGCAAACGTTTTGTCTTGGTTGCGTCAAGCCAATTATCAATCCACAAGGAATACTGCTCTACAATCGTGATGGGGAACTAGCTACCGGTACCTTGGCGTTCTGGCGGATTCATTTTCGATTTGCAGGATCCGGAGCCAGGAACGGAGATATCTTGAGTAGCTCAGTGAGCATATGAGGCGTTGTGGTTTCTTTTGTCGAGCACCATCGTCCACGGGCGTGAGGAGCACTCGTCGAGAAGAGGGAAAGGGCTGGGGCCCTTGTGGTCCGAACTTACTACGTACAAACGATAAGGGACCCAAGGTAAGCCGCGATACGAGCATATTGGCTCCCAGAGACTTTCTGTTGACACCGTGATCAGCAGTGGCTGCCTGCGAACCCCCAGGCGAAGACATGGACTTACATATATAGCTCGGGGTCGTCCAAGCCCTTATTGATCACCCTTCGAACCTCGCCGCGCTTGTAGCACGCCCGAATGTGTGGAGGACAGATATTTCAACGAAGTTCCATACCTTGCTTACGAAGTATTTTTCCGGTAGCAATCGGAGCCGCACATTCAAATCAGCTGTGATGGTCTTATTATACACCGCGATAGAGAAAGGGCCTGTATCAAGGCGCAGTGAGTACTACATATACCAGAAGTTACCGCCTGGGAACGGTCCACACTCGGGGAGACCTGAGCCTCGTTCCGCTGAATGCAACTCAATCATCATTATTGTAGAAGAACAATGTCAATGTCATCGTGTACTCCCTGCGGGACTGTCTTCAGTCCTGATATGTCTCCCACACGGTCAGCTCTGGCGTACCTGCAACAACATCTCGGTGTTGTACGTGATGACCTTCTTGCGCTTCGCCGCACGCAGGGTACCCACGAGGGCTTCGACTGGATGGATTCATGGCATTTTTGAAAGCAAGCTGGACGCTCGTGGTAGAATTACGAACATATGTTGGAGCATCGGTCGTCTCTGACGATCTTGCCGAACTTCACCGTTATCTTGTCATCGTATGCGGGATTGGGCCCTCCGAGTCTCTGGATCTCGCCCTTGACAGATATTTGATACAAGAAGGCTGTAATAGATGGTACCAATGCTTGCCTTGAGCAGCTCGATCTCTTCATCGGTATTGGCCATGACCAGCCTGCGGAGGGGCGTTCGGTGCCCGGTAGTGCGGATGGTAGGTATAGGCCCTTCAGTACACCCTGAAGTGGAGTTCAAAGACTCGGGTAGATGCGAAGCGTTAAAAAGTGGTCGGAGAGCTTTGTACAGTGCCTAGGATATCGTAGATGGTTGAGAAGAGCGGTAGCGATTAGATGGGCTATCTCAATTGCTGGACCCACGAGCACCCTCAGAAGAACGCCCACGTGATCGCGAGGTTGACTGCCGGACACGGGGAGGCCAGCGACGTTGCGGGTATTTTACCTACTCTACACGACCGTCTATGGGCCTTTGTTCCATTTCTCCTCCTTCACGACGACGGTGACCTCCGTCTCTGCTGTACTTTACCCGCCCACGTCGAGGCTCAGCCCAAAGAGAACGAACGTACAAGTCACGACTTGACGACCACGCCTCCTGCACGACATCCGGCCGATTTGGACACGGGATTACCGACGACCACTATCTCAACCAGAATACTGTCATTATACTTGGGGCGTCATGTCCTGGCTAGATCAATTCGAATGCTTGGACGTGATCGGCAACGGTTCGTTTGGCATAATACGAAAAGTACGCAGGAAGACGGATGGCGTGGTGCGTGCTCCTTTGATGGCTTCATCCGTATCTTGCTGTGAAACATACCCGGAGCTGAGTTCTTGACGTGTTTACCTACTAGATCTTTGCTCGCAAAGACTTGAACTTCGAACGAATGTCGGAGCGAGACCGCAAGCAAATTGTTGCCGAAGTCAACATCCTCAAGGACCTTCACCATACCCACATAGTTCGCTATCACGACCGTTATGTCGACAGAGATGCTGGGATCTTATATATCCTTATGGAGTACTGTGGTGGAGGTGAGTAGACTCCGTTGTGTCGCGTTGACGGGGTGCCGACCTTTTCGGACTAGGCGACCTCTCCACAATCATCAAGCAAGCAACGAAGCTTAATCGTCCTATACCCGAAGACACCATATGGAACTACTTCATGCAGATTCTCCTCGCCCTCGTATACTGCCACCATCCGAATGGGCATGCAAGACGAGAAAGCGCCGGTACGGCGGAGGTACGCCAAACTAGTCGCATTTTGTTGATCTTCATCCAGGCTAATCGGCCCGGTAACTCCTCGCAGGATCTTACACAAATCAGCTCTAGTCATAACCGCCGGCCGCAGATCCTTCATCGCGACCTGAAACCGGACAACGTCTTCCTGTCGGACGCTGGCGAGGTTAAGCTGGGCGACTTTGGCTTGAGCAAGGCCCTGAGTGCGGCGGGCCCCGCCAGTTTCGCTAGCACCTATGTCGGGGTACGTGTACACCTCAACACGTCACACGAAGACGACCTGATCTCCGGCACGCGACCGTCATCAGACACCATATTACATGTCCCCAGAGCTTATGCAGGAGAAGGCGTACGACTCGAAATCCGACATCTGGTCCTTAGGTTGCCTTATATACGAGCTGTGCGCTCTCAAGCCTCCTTTTCACGAGGCGAAGACCCACGCGGAGCTGAGCGTGTTCATCCGTAACGGCCGGATACCCCCGCTACCGAGAGGCTACAGCGAGAACCTCACCAGGGTCATCAAAGCGATGCTCAACTTGAACGTCTGTCGTCTTCTACCTATTACTGACGTTCAGAGATAACCGTTGTATGGATAGCCCGCGATGCGACCATCAGCCATCCAGCTGTTACAGCACGAACGCTTGGAACTGGCTCAGAAGGTCACCGAAACGTCTAAAATGTGAGGTGTGCTCTTGCCCCGCACTCGAATTGCTCACCCATCGGTCACATAATACAGGATCGCGGAAGTGAGGCTTCACAAGCAGAACGTCTCCGCGCGCGAGAAGGAGGTCCATGCACGGGAACTGGCCCTCCTTGACCGGGAGTCGCGTCTGCAAGCGATCCTCGCGGAGAAGGACGCGGAGATCGCGAACCTGCGGACGCATGGCCTAGGGGCGTCGGAGGCGCAGGTCCAGGCGCGTGTGGCGATCGCGGTGCAAGAGGTGACGATGGAGGCGGAGGTGCGGATACAGCAGCTGAGGCAGGAAGTGGCGAACCTGAACGTAGCGGCCGAGTCGAGAATACGGGAGGCAGTAGCCAGGAGAGAGGAGGAGTTGAGGCTGCTCGTTTTGAAGCACGAGGAAGGCGTAAAGGTTGCTATGCAAAGAAGAGAGGACGAGTTGATGGAAGCGGTGCGGAAACGGGAGGAGCAGGTCAACCAAGCATGGATCGATAGGGAGCGGGATCTGCAGGAGGAGTGGTTAGCCAAATGGAAGCATGCTGAAGGTGAATGGGAGAAAGAGCGGGCAGGCTTCGATAAGCGATGGGAAGATGGGGTCAATGAGCTTAAGGAACGTGTCGCGGAGTTGGAGGCCCGAGAGCGAGAAGTGGACGAGGAATGGGAAAGGCTGTTCGTCATGAGGAGGGAGCTGAAGGAGAAGATGAAGGGTATGCTGAGCTATGGCCCGCTTGATTGCATTCTGACCGTTCTTGGATAGGGAAAAAGGACAAGAATCCCCTCGAGGAAGTGATCAACGTCTTACCGTCATCAAGGAAATCTGAAGACGCGGGCGAGACTTCGGATACGGAGAGTAGTCGACCTCGTGAGAGGGATACGCCCAGGAAACTTGTCGAAGGCTTGGAGACACCTGTCCCGAAGGACTTAACCCACAGGCACCATGTCTTCGGGGCCATGCTGGAACCTCCCGCTTCTGCAATGAAGGGTAAGCCCGCGTCGTTATTCTCGCTCATCGTCCCCCTGATCGTAGCCATATCAGGTGTCGTTCTGACGGCAACGGGCGAGCCTATCGCGACGCCAGCTCCCGCAGAATTCGCGAAGATATTCGACAAGAGCCCGAAGGTTGACCTCAAATTTGGCCAAATCTTCAATTTCGACGAGCACGAGGTAGTGCATTAGCGTTTCACAGTCTCATCGCACTAGCTCAACGATGCTCAGACAGATGTCGAGACGGAGAAGGAGGAGGAGGAGGAACAGACACGGACTACTCGTATACGACAGGTCACCGAGTCTCCCTCAAAACGGGCCAGCGAGAGGGCTAAGCAATCTGTGCGCCGTGCCGATAGCGGGCCAACCAGCCCGGCGAAACCACCCGCTTCGCGGACCAGAAGAGCGCCGTCTGCCTCGACCAGCAGCACCGAGGAGAAGAAGAGCACGCCTTCGACGTCCAAGGCCGCTACCAGGACAGCAGTTCCTACAGCGCGCTTGCGTAGGCCTTCCACCACCCGTAGAACAGCAACTGTTCCAGCATCGCAGGCGCTGTTCGGCGACGCCGCTTCGAAACAACCATCGACTTCCGCTGCCTCCTCGTCGTCATCCGCTGCCACCTTAGTCCCGCCTAGGCCCGCCGCCGGGAACTTGCCCAGGTCGAAATCGGCTTCTTCGTTGCCGCTAGGGCCGCCTCCTTCGTACGATCTGAACGACGAGGACAACCTGCCCAGTCCCTTCCTGAAAAAGATCGACCGCGACCGAATATCAATGTCCAATACCGCGCCTACAACAAAAGCTACTGCACCATCCGCCGTAAACGGCGCGACTAGGCGGAGGAGTGACGTGAATCGCTTGAGAAGCGTGGCAGCTGCGAACATTGTCAAGGCGGACCGCGACCGATCTTCGGTGGCGAGCGCGAGGAAGGCAGCGGAAGACGGCCGAAAAGCGTTGCTTAGGACATGACCGTGCTATTCGTCCATCATAATCCTTGTTTACTAGACTGTTTTCTTCCATCATGGTTCACTATCCATTAATGCAGTGTACAAGTGCAACAAATTTTTCGTAGTATTCCACGTTTTAGTCACGGCGACAATACTTTGGTAGGATGGGGTGTCCGGTGGTCTTTGAATATACCAGATGTAATCTGATAAATTGGGACACAAACTCAGATGGCCTCGAGAAAGACTGGTCGCTGATAGTGTGCTAAATATGTTGGTTGAATGTTACATTTGCTCTAGGCTGGCCATACGTATGGTCGCGCCCAGAGATATGGTTCCGTCTGACCCGTGTATACAGACAGAAACTGCGGGTATAAGCGACTCTAAAAACGCGTGATGGGAACAGTACAGATGTGAGGGTATAAGCTATGAGTAAAAGATTGAGCATGTCGGCCAACAGCGACAAGATGATGATACATGACATATGCTACACAATCGATATGCCGAAGGGGAACGGGAGCGCCAGTAGGTTGATGGGGAACGGTAGGTGGAGCAAGTAGCAGCGAGTGGAAACTTTGAATGAACCTCAGAGAACAAGGGTATCGGGGTGTCACGCTGAGTGACGAATACTGTCGATCAACGAGTGTGTTGTTATAGAGAGCGGCCGGCCGTTGGATGATAACGAAGGTCAGTTGCGTACAACGCGTAATACAGGAGGGAGCGAGAAGTCTGGGGGAAGCGGCGGCGCGATTCGAGCGACCAAACAAGCTTCGTTGAGTTTTTCACGCAGGTCGGCGCAGCGACCGCGTTGAGCTGCAGCGCCTTGTGCGTGAGCATTTCCCAATCACTCAGTGGTGTGCGGATAAACGTACCAGGGCAAGGCCACAGGGCATTCAGAATGTCCAGGGGTCCGAGATACATTTTTGCAAGATCCAAAGCGCCGGTGAGCGTCCGATCGTGGTCCCAAAGACTTAAGCACCTATGGCAGGATTTAAAACGCTGAAAAAGGATTTGGCGCTTGCATTCGGAGACTTACGTGGCGATCTGAACGGCGAACCAAGTAAGCTGCCACGGCTGCCTGGTCAAGAGATAGCCCTCCGGTTCTCCGAGATGGTGCGCCGTCGCCTTGACGCGTTTCACGGTTTGCTCGTTATGGGCAACTGCAGATCATCGGACAACGTCAGCGAGCTCACTATAATGTGAATCAAATGGAAACAGACTCCATTGCTCTGCTTGGCGACGAGGCAGCACTATCTTTGGACCACCATCGGCCCTGTGGCTTTGGGACCTGGATAGACAGTCGGATCAGTACTCCACAAGAGACAATACCGACGCACGAGGGCATTACTAACCGGCGCAGCGTCCTCGTGAGGAGCAGGCGGGCACTGAAGATCACGAGCGCAAGTCAGCTCAATCACGCCACGTTATTACGGTCAAAAAAAAAAAAAAAAAGCTCCGGCGTACTTGTGGAGGAACTCGCGGGAGACGAAGTCGAGCGCGGTGTTCACGTTGCACGTATGCGCGCGGAGGGTGTCCTCTATCGCCTGGCACTCCTGCCAGGCTTCGATGGCAAACTCGGCGGGGTCCTCCGTGCCCGGAAGCTGCGCCAGATTCTCGCTCAGGTTCAGGAAGCAGCTGTTCCAGAGGAGCATCGATCGGCAGAGGAGGGCCCACATGCCGTCTTTCGGGGAGAGGCGGGCGGCGGGCGAGCGCGGTGAGCGAGCGTGCAGCTCGGCGTACTCGCCGGGGAACAGGATCCGATACTGAGGGGGGGAAGGGCAAATAAATGAGTTCGGGCGGATCGCTTTTTTTTTTTCGGCGGGGTTCAGTAGGTCGACGACGTACGTTGCTGGGCTCGGCCAAGAACAGTTTGGCCACTCGCTGGCTCCCGCCGAATACGACGCTCTGCGACGCGTAGTTGGACACGAGCGCGAGCGCGGTCCAGACGAGACGACGTTCCTCCTCGCGACGGATCTCGTCGTCCGTCCAGTGCGCGGGCCACGGCGGTGGCGACCACGCCCAGGCGCTCGCCAACTCGGGCGGCACGCTCTTGCAGTTGCAGGTGAGCGGACTATTCGGGGTGAGCGGAGGCATCTCGCCGCTCGACTCGAAGCCGGACGTCTGAGGAGACACCGACAGAGGCGTGGTCGGCTGCGACGGAGGACGCGGCTGGGAGGGAAGGCCAAAGTCGTATCCCGGGTTTTGCTGCGTCGGCGTATGGGTGTAAGGCGAAGGGTTCGACGGATCGCCCTGCCTTTCGGAGTAGCCAAGGGGAGGCGAAGAGAGCGGAGGCAATTGGGTTACGACTACGGGGACCGAGTGCGGAGCGAACGCCGACACTTGCGGGTTACCGTTGTCGATGAAGGTGAGGTTCAGGGTACGGATGATCTCGTCGACGAGGGTCAGCGAGTTCCATTCCCGCTCGAGGCTGAAGTGGCTGTGGGCGGAGGCTTCGAACACGGCGAGGATCTACGGCGAAGACACGATTAGAAAGCTTGCATATTTTTTTTCCCGCAAGGGGGACCTCACCATGGCGGCCTGAGCCAGTCCTCGGTCGACCCACGACGCCGTCCAGCTCTTCTCCAGCTCAACTTGGGCCACGTCGCGCAGCCACATGGCGCGATTCCTGCCCGCGCTCCCGAGCTCGAGCTCGCTCGACTTGATTAGTGTCGCCAACGCGAGGCCGGCGTAGATTAGTGCCGGCTGCACGTTCTGGCGAGATTCGGCGGAGGCCAGGGACCGGAGGAATAGGTCCTGATTGATAAAGCACATAAAGTAGGACGTGGAGCCGAAGAAGAAGGACAGGTCGTTGGTGATGGCTTTCAAGCTGAGGAGTCGGTAATGAGCACCTGACCGAAGCTCAGAGTATACAGCTGTATTGCTCACGATTGTTCCGGGTGGGGTGTGTACTGCGCAACGAGGTCATCCCACCAGTCGGCGCGGCCCTGAATAGAGTAGTGCGGGTCGATCGTTCCATATTGGGAAGGCGGAGACGCAGAATTGGAGGTGCGGTAGGGGCCCTGGGTTTGCCAAGGCTTGTCCGACACGCTGATCTCCTGCGGCGGCTGGAATACGTTGACGTCCACCGGCCGCGCGAAGCTGCTCTTGCTAATGTTCACCGTCGCGTGCGGGTTCGGCGCGCCTCCGAGCGGGTGGTGCTGCACCGGGCTGCCGGGGAAGTACGGGAACTGCGTCGGCGCGGACGCGCGGCGCATCCCGGGCGTCGCGAGGTTGCGGTTGATGAGCGCAGGGGCGCTCATGGGGCTCACGCCTTGGGGCGTCGCGCTCTGAGGCAGGATGCCGGCCGTTCGCGGGGAGCGGTCGAGGGACAGGCTGGGCGGAGGCCCGACCGTGCCGGCGGCGCGGGCCAAGGTGGTGTTGATCGTCGGCCTGGTCGGAGGACGGCGGGCAGGTCGAGTGCCGGTCACCGCAGACGTCGTCGCGCTTCGAGGTCGGCCGGTGACGTTCTCCTTCAAGCCTTCGGGTTCCGCTGCACAAGCAACACGAGCGTCAATACAAACGTGGCATGGAGATGGAAACTATGTGAGAGGGGGCTAGACCGACCTTTCGCTCCTGTGTGATCGCCCTCGGCGCTCCCGCTGCTGCCGCTCGTGCGTCTCTTCTTCTTGCGCGGCGGCTCCACGCCGCTGTCGACATCCGGCGAGTCCTCGTCCCCTGATTTGTCGCCGGCACTGCCGGCGGGCTGGTCCTTGTCGCCCTTGTCGCGCTTCTTAGGCCTCCGACGGCGCGTGCCTGGGAAAATCGTGAGCATTCGCCAGGGGGGAAGGGGGGGGGGGGCATTCGGTTCTGGGGTGCTCACCCGGGACTTTGTCAGGCCCCCTGCGCTTGGGCACGGCGTCGTACTGGCACTCGTTGCATCGCCTGACGCAATTGTTGCAAACGGGTCGGGTCGAGTCGCACCGTATCTTGCGTGCGCGGCTGGCGAAGAGACGGAGAGACAGGAGATCAGCATCGGGGCGATGACAAACGGAGGGGAGAGAAGGAGGACGAGAGAACGCCAAGGGGGGGAAACTGAATGGCCCATCGACGAACGCGAAAGAAGCCAACGATCACATGGCGTCGAAGAAAGGAAAGGAAGCCGACACGCCAGCAGCACGTGGCGACCGAAGGACAAACCCAAACCTCGGGTGGAGTGCCCGCGGTCATTCAGTCGCGCCCCGGGGCCGAAGCGTATGGAAACGGAAGCACGCCTCCCTCGACCGACCGCCCGACCGTGGAAGTTGCCGAGAAAGAAGAAGAAGGAAGCATAGCCCGAAACGCCGAGCTGGCGCGAAGAAGAGCGCTAGTACGCAAGGCGGCACGGAATCCGAATGTCAATGTCTCTGAGAACGGAGGACGATGCAGGGGGTCCTGGGCCGCATGGACCACGGCGTCGACGTCAACAAACGGAGATGAACGAGGGACCGTGGTGATGCAGCACGAAGGCCTGAGCAGCCGCACAATCCCAGCGCCGAAATGCCTGAACAACGAGCGCGATAAGATAAGGTCAAAGCGCATCACTGTCGCCGTGGGGTCGCGGTCGAGGTGCCGTAAGAGTGGGGAGAAGGAGAGGGTATAGAGCAGATAAGGAAACGAAAGAAAAAACGTCTGTTCGGCGGACGAGCCGCAGATCGCCAAAGGTATCTGCCTGTCTTGCCCAAGTTTGGCAAAGCATAGACACGGAAAGGTTAATGGTGGCAGCTGCGTGGGCATCGCCGGGCAGAGTTGGACCAGAGCGTCAGAGCCCCGTATAGCGAACCCGAGTCAAAGGCGGGGGGAAGATGGCGCAATCCCAATGCTGGGGGGAGAATCCATCGACCGCCGGTCCGGGTGTGCGTGTTTTGTCGGATAGGTGTGCGCGGGCATCGACGAAAGCGGGCGCGGCGTGCAGTAAAAATTCCGGAAAATATGGGCGGAGAAACCGGCTGCGGCGTTTCCCACAGCGGATCCGAGGCGGCGCGCCCCCCCTTCCCCCCGGGGGAAGCACGGTGAGCGTAACAAGGCGGGTTTGATCGACGGTTGGTAAGAAAATGAATTGCGGAACGCGCTCGGCGCGGGACCGAAGCACGGCCCTCGACTTCGAATCCGGAAAAAAAAGGAACAGGGAAAGTGAATGGCCAGGGATCGCAGCGGATCGCACGGACGGGAGCCCGCGCAGCAACCGTATACGATGCGACCCTGGCACGAAGGCGCGTACGAAACACGGACGAGGGATGCCTGCAACCCACGCAGGACGGTCGCACAACTCCACCGGGCGGCCAAAAAAAAGGCAGAAATAGGAAGAAAAAAGAACGGAAGGAAAGCGAACACAAAACAAAAAAAGATTCCACGACCAAAAAAAAAATGAATACGAAAATCGCGCAAAATGACGTACCATTGTCGACAAGCGATGACAGTCGTGCTGGCCTCCCGCCGAAGTTTGCCCCCAGATAAGCCAGCCGCGGTAGTATCAGCCGGCGCGGCGTTGGCGGCCGTCGTCGTCGTCGTCGTGCTCGATACCGTGTCGGAGCGGGGCCTCGTCGAATGGGGCGATACGGGAGATCCGGTCGTCGGCGAGATGTTGCCCGTCGCATCGTTCGCGGTCACCGGGCGCGAGGACGACGGGGAGTAGGACAATGGCGAAGATAGCGAGGAGGCGGTGCGGGGCGAGAGCCAGTCGAGGCCCATCGGCTTCCGGGAGGGGTCTTGATGGCCCTGGGCGGGGTGTGGGTGGTGGTGCGAAATAGAATGAGGGTGCGCGTTCGGGAAGGATTGGCGGGAGGATGCGATCTCGAGAGGCTGGGGAGACGCCGCAAAGAAACAGAAAACGATGGATAATCAGTTTTTATCGGGCCCCGTATACGCATGTCAGCCCGGTTGGGGGGGAGGAAAAAAAGGGACGTTACCTCGAGCATCTGTTGCGCGGATACTTGGACGCTCGATACGGAGGGGACGTTGGAGAAGACGTATTGGTCTCCGCCGACGGGGGCGTACTGCGGCGGCTGCGGGTACCCATGGGCAGGCCCGACCATCCCGGAGACGGAGCCGAGCAGACTACTGCTCTGGTCTGCGGCTTGCTGGACATATCCTTGAGCAGCGGACGATCCGTAGTGACCTTCGAACTCGAAGGGCGAGACGGACGATCGGAAGGTAGTAGACGGTGAAGAGAAGGAGGCCGATGTGGTGGTGGTAGATCGGGGGCGTCCGAGCTGCTGCTGCTGCTGGGACGGATGCTGCTGCTGGTGATACTCGGACGAGCCGCTCATGGCGAGCTTCCAGTTATCCAGCGCGAAGGCGTGGACGGCGGCTGCCTTGACGGTGCCGCTGGTGTTCAGGAGATCGCCGTGCCAATCGAGGCCGCCGAACGGGGCCGAAGCCAGGGGAGGGAGAGAGGATGGTATAGCCACGGCGAGCAAGCGGGCGGCGACTTGGGAAGGAGCGTCGGAGGGGTGGTAAAGGCCGGCGGTGGGATTATTAAACGCGGGCCCGAAGGTTGCGACCGAGCACGCGGTGCACGAACCGGGCTGGCGTAGGAAGCGATAGCGTCACGGCCAGGGTAGGCGTGGTGCGCTCAGGTCTGCCAGAAGACCGGGCGAGGGTTTTCTTTCTGTTCTTGGGGATCTGACTCGGTCGGACCTCGAAATCGATAAGTGAGGGGCGATTGCGAGTAAATGTGCGTTTTGTTTGTCTTTTATCCGGGAAACTCTGTTTCCCGGGGGAGTCAAAAGTCAGATTAGAGCGCGCGCCCGTCCGGTTTCGCGCACGTACGCAATATGGAGGGCCGCGAGGCCTGGCGAACCCTCGAATGCGGGATGAATGGGCGTGGTGCCAAAAGAGCCGGCTGAGGTTCCGGCCCGCGCTCCAATTACGCCGGCCGCGGCACACGCTCGCTCCAAGGAAAGGACAGGACGGGTACGGTCGGTGCGAACAAGGAACGGACGGTTAGAGAAACGAGCGAGGAGGTGAAAACGAAGGTGGGGGACGGACGAGGAGGAGGACGAGAGGAACAGCGCGCGCAGTTGGGTTGAAGCCCGGGCATCGATCCATGGACAACTAATACACGCTCATCAGACTCGCGCCCGGGCGGCTGCCTTGCCAACCGCAAAACGCGATCGGGGATCGTGCGCAGACCCAGACCGGAGGGCGACGGCCCGGGCCTGGTGCCTGGCCATCACGTCGTCACCCAAACCTTCTTTCCTTTTTTTCCATTTCACACTGCCGTCGCCTCGGCCGGCACGCCCGGGGAGATCCCGACTACTGGCGCTTTGCAAAACTCAGTAACATCTCGTCATCGGGACCGCACCAGTTCCACCTTTTTTCCCTGCGCCATTCAGCCCCGTCGGTTTCCCCAACGAGGAGGTATCAGCGCGAACCGGGAGACTCCCTCGTTTCGCCGACGATCTCACCCAAGTTTAACCCGGGAAAACACCCTCTTTCGCGTCAAGCCCAACTCTATCGCGTCGTAATAATTCAAATATACGCACGACTTCGGAGCGCAGCTCCTTCGCACTTCCGGACTGTGATCTGCCCTCTTCGCTACTATCATGATTCAATAATCCCAGAAAAGAAGGAACCCTCATAATAACCCAAACCCCGATATTACATATCTGCGAAAATTCGAGTTGCCCCCATCCAGGTACGCGAGTCCTTCCGGCCGAATTGCCGTTTCGGCCGCGAACACCTGATTCCGCGCGTGGCTTGACCCGAGCAACCCTCCGGGCGCCCAGCTTTGGTCCCTCCCATTCCCGGAGCTTTTTCTCGAAGGCGCCAATCCACGCGCGATAACACCATGGCATCATCCACCACATGCTGAGACCACTCGCAAAATCAATTTCGAAGTGATGCACGAGATGCGACTTTGGGGCTCGGGACTTTGCTCGGGTAGCTACCGCTCTGCTTTGGCTACATACATGGCAATGCTCTTGGGCTCCATGCAAGCTCCAACCTCCAGCTCAGGGACAAACCAACGCACACTCGTGATTTTGACGTTGGTCAGTGCCACCGTTGACAGCGCCTCCCACTGCCAGCGATATCGAGATCACCAAACCTTAAGTACTTTACTCAAGAGTTCTCATCGTTCCCACCCCGGCGGGCCCGTTGTTCGTTGCCTCCGCCGTTTCTTGAGGAAACATCTCGTGCCAAAGCGCTTACCGACCCGGCCTCCCAATCATCGCACGGCTTAGCATGGGGGCCATTGGCCAGTGACCACTCTTGCACCGATCGGCCAATCGCGTCCCATCGCTTCTCGTACCCGCCAATCGCCTTCGATCCCATCCAGATCACGAGCAAGTAACGTCGCTATGCTCGTTTTGTTTCAAGCTCTCAGGTCCAGTCAAACTTCGCTTTGTGGTGGAACTCGGAGTTGCGCCCCAAACTCTCTGCAGTTGATGTACCCGCCCCAAAACCCTGCCAAAGTTCTTTGCTGGCTCCTTGTCCATATCGGTTCTCCAGCGCTCTGCCTCCCTCGCCAATTCTGGCCATCTCTCTCCGGGCATATCATGTTTTCGGTCTCATGAGTGATATGACCCACTCATCAGCGGGCAACTACCCGCTCCACTCGGCTTCTTACCCGCACATGATTATGGGACTTACGTGTATACGGACCACGTCCGAAGGGAACCCGATGGATCAAAAGCGCGCTCTCGGTGCATTCCGCGTGCAGCGTACGATATGAGGTCTACCACTCCCATCGCCGCTGACAGAACCGCTTGCGACACATAGCTTACATGAGCGCGCCCGGCCTTGAGCGCGCGGAAGGAATCGATGACGCTCGGGGCGCTCACCTGGGTCTCCGTATCGCCACGCCCGCATGGGGTGTGTGCCACTTCCGTGCCGGACGTCTTCCATAACTGGGGGACTTGCGAGCTTCAACTTTCCGGCTCATCGTGTGCATACCGATCCCATTATATTAATTACGCCGACACGAGTCCGTCGCCGGATGCCTAAGTGAAACACAAAAAACGGCGTTCCATCGTGTCCAAACGTTCCACATACGTCCGAGACTTCATCGCGCCGAAATGCATACAATCAATAACGAAGCCGTTTCGCGCGCGCTCATCACGGATACGCCTCCACCGGGAGGAGAATGACGTCATTGAACGATGCAACAGGTAGTGGCACTCCTGCTTGGGCTTTCATTCGCGTACTGAGCATGCTTTCGTCCGCAGCCGATAGGCACCAGACACATGCACAACTTCAATTTGGTCGTTCCCGGACTGGGCGGACCGGCCTCAACCTAGTTCGTCCGTGCGCATGTATTCATTGCAATAGGGCGTTCAGCAACTTCACGCAGTTCGTCGGACTGAAGAGTACAACGTTCATCTCCCTTCCGCAGAAAAATATGACCACGTGGCGCCCTTCATCGTCGGTACGCCAAATGTATTACATCTGCATGGCTCCACCGACGTCCATATTCTCGGTAGTACGGACATCACTTCATACGTCTCCTCCCGATACAGTTTTCTAAGAACAGAATCGGCCCGGAGATGACCGCTCTGGATGTGGCGGACTCCATGTGAATGCCCGATATTCACCTGAGACAAGTTATTCTCCAGCTTGTGTACGTTATACTGCCCGTTGCTGCGGCCCGCATCTCTTCCATTCTGAAGGCTGAGAACCGGGATGCGTTAAAAGTCAGTACTTATCAGCTCTTCTGCTTGCCTATTCTCAAAAGGCCTAACGTACGCTCATGGTCAGACAAACCGAACGGACCATGTTCCGCGAGAAACGTTCCCTCTTACAAGGGCACCTTACTCGGTGCTTTTCTGCAGGAGCTTACGTTTCCCTCCGCCACCGGCGCTTCATCGGGCAGTTCGACTTCCCCATACTCCAGGCACTTGTCAAGGGTCTTCTTATGTGCCGGACTCTTATCATCCAGTCCAGGGTGAACACTTCCATCTAGGCGCCGCAGGGCCCCGATGCGACCGTCGAACCGCACCGACTTTTTCCGCATCTCGCTGAAATGGCTCTCACCCACTCTTCCCCGTTACAATCTTCTCTGGGGTCACTGTTAAGCACGGCTGCTCCATCGCCCCCCCCCCCGGAAGACCGTCGGATTAACCTTTAAAGGGGCTTTCGAATCTCAGGGTAGTCGCCGGATAATCAACTAGAATTCAGCCCAATCCAGCCTACATTCGCGTCCTCTCTCACAAACCGCTGAAGGGACTCGAGTCCGACGTCGCCGCGGACGTTCGGAAACTTATTATCGTGCACTCTCATCGCGGCGGGCGTACGATATCTGCGCTACACGCGCCCAGGCGATACCGATCGTGTGTATACGTTTTCGCGTGGAACCGGAATGCCCTCATGAAGTGATGTGCTCACGACCAAAAAGCCACCGACGACGCTCCGTTCGCATCTGCGATGCGTTTTGATGATCATCCGCCCGGGACTCCTCAACCGCGCGGACCGACGCGTCAGCAACAAAGCAGGTTATCATGGGTACGTTTAGGCTTCTCCCGGCGCCCAGGGGCTCGTCTTGTGCGCAAATGGATATCATTACCCTAGTTGGAGCTACGCCAAGCGTGGCCGTTTTTGCGTCTTGAGTGCAGTTTGCCGTCCTATCTGTCGCTTGCGTCCGCTAGAAAATCGATATAGTTTCTAATGTTGTTATATCGACAAGAGAACAGCCGAATCGACCACTCATCGCCGATTCAGGATGGACCCGATCCGAAGAAGTGCCTGTGTACAATTGCCTCCGGCCCCCAGGAATAATCACCAGGCCCAAGCCTTTGACGGCCGATCCGAAGTCAAAAGCTTCCTGATCACAATGAAGGGGCTGTGTCCGGAGAGCCGGCTTCATTCTGCAGTATGGCAGACGCAAGGATGGGGATCCACCGCTGTCGACCGTCCTCGGTGGACAGAAGTACAATGTATAAATCTTCACTGAATGTTAATAGCGGACATCTCCGCGTATGATGCGGCATTTTTACCAACGTTCACTCGAAGAATTTCCCTCGTGATCTCATGCCTGCAACGCTCCGGATAATCCGCGGGAGAACGCGGGGTTCTGCTCAGTGTTGTGCGAGTCGCGACTCGCACCTTGTGGCAAGTCACGACCTGGACGACTAGTTGACGACTAGCCACGACTAGTCGACCGACTCGACTTGGCCGACGCGTGAGATGTACGAATAGCACAGCCCATATACCAGAAAAAGAAAACGCCCCTTTCGTATGATTATAACTCCGCTCGCCTTTTACGGACGAGTGAAAAATCGCCTCAAGCTTGTGCGCTACGCCAATGTATGCATCGTGGATTCCCCGAGAGTATCTAGCACAGGAGACGCAGGATCTCTGGCAGTACTGTGTCCGTCGCATCACTTCAACGGGCAAAGCCGGCTACAATATAAACTTATAGCATTCCCTGAGGACAGTACTATCACTTAGCCCATCCCCACCGGCTTAGCTTAGCACCACTACAACGTCACTGAACATACTTCTTCATTGCATTGACTGCATCTCTGACTGTACAAAGTACCACCTACATATATGTACGTGTGCTTTCGCGTTTCGCAACGATACTCGCTCTCGAGCTCGTTAACGCTCTACAATTGAAAGTCCGCGCCCGACGTCGGCATTGCTGCCGTCGACTCTCCCACGCCCCTGGTCTGTTAGTCGCGACTTGCACCGGCTAGCCACAAAGTTACGGTAACCGAATGGGGCACGCTCAAAACCGCGGAGTTCGGACCCAATGCCGGGTGGCGGAGCTCAATAACTGCCATGTGGGCACAATCTAAGCTCCGGTGGACCTCTGGAACCCTGCTGATGCAGAGTAATAGTACTACTCTATGCACCCGCTGCTTTACACGAAGTGAGTATCGCGCCCTCAATATCGTAGGCTAGTATTGTTATGGCGATGACAGATCGTAACAAATTGTTTCACGAGATACGACAGCACACGAGCGAGCCAGTCTCGAGATCTCCGTGAGCGACGCGCCCGACCCCCGACGCAGCCACGCGAGCGAAGCCCCGCCACCTGCCTAATTAGGTGTGGGAATCTTCCCTTTCTGGAATCACCGCGCCCCGTCCTCGCTCGACACCTCCTATCCGACTCTAAGCAATACCTTCATCCTATACATCCTATACGCTCTTTAATGTTCCTCCTGTTCCTCTTCAAGTCTCCAGCGCCCGAGAGTCCACCCTGGGCGCCCTAGTTATCTCCAGAACGAATTTCCTCTTCCTATCCTTCCCTCCTAGAAGTTTTATTGTGACTTGTCTGTGTACCTAGACATGGGCCTCCTGACAATATAATACCTTTGTAAGCCCATAACATATGTTCTTACGGTCTCAAAATGATGTCTTATCGTCTCCAAGCAACTGGTGTGCTATTCAAGTTCACAACTAAGTGAAATTAAGTCATTTTCAACATAGCGTTTGCCACGCAATACAAAATCGTTATCCCCTAGAAAAATAAGCTACAGGAACACTCTTAGAAGCCGTATCTTACTTTGTTAAGGGCTACGTGCAGCCGCTCTCGCTCGACATCCCGAATAGTCTGTCATTCCGGCTTTCCCACGGTCTTCCTGGCACACACTCGGGCTCGTTTCGTCTCTCGTACTCTCAGGGATATTGTACACAGTAATAGGCTACTCTACGGAGCTCTACAACCCCTACCGACCTCTGTAGCCCTACGCACAACGGCGGCGTGACCGTGTTGCGCTTCCTTTCTGGGTGGGAGGGCGTGGGAATTGCTTATGCAGAGCTTCCTCTTTCAGTAGGGGTGCGTGGAAATATGCAACTTGAGCCGCGGAACAGCTTCTGTACTCCCAGTTCTCGCGTATCATATGTTTGTACCACCTAATCTTATGTATATAAAGCAATGCTACATGCATGTATTTTAGAGAAGTACCATGTGCGATGTCGCTCGCGAGTTGCAACGCTGAATGGACTATTCGGGGTCCTCCTGTGGCGTGGTACCATCCACGTGACTGTTTCTGGGCTTCGCAAGCCGGCACTGGCTCGGCTTGAGCGTGCCCCATTCGGTTACCATACAAAGTCATCGACTTGCGGCTAACTTGCGCCTAGCCACTGACTTGCCCAACACTGGTTCTGCTAGCTTGAATCAAAGTCTATACTTCAATATTGGCACAGTACAATACACGTCGATCCCAAGAGGAGAAAGAGATAGCGAGAGAGCGCAATAATACAGAGTGTAGAAGCATACGTGCACGCTGTCCTTCATTGAGCTTGTGCCTCCTATGGAATGCAGATCGCATTAGTGGTGAGATCCGGGAGGTTGCGCCTGAACGCCGCGCACGATGCTCACCTGATCGACGAACTCCATGGCCTCCTCACGGGTGATGCATCGGATGGAGCTGACTTTCTGATTGTTGAAGAGAACACCGTAGAATTTGTCAGCCGTCACCAGCATTTCGGGCCGGAAGGTTGTTGTTATAAACTGGCCAGTGGACGCCAAGGACTTGATCATGGCTAGAATCACAGAGACAGGATGAGTCAAAACTAACGTACAAGACGTGGATTGTACGTACAAGCGACGGCCGTACGATACTGCGCGTCTAAATTCGCATCGATCTAAAGCACCGTCAGAGACTGAGCCGGATGTTGCGCAATTATTTCTTACCTCATCAAACAAGTAAAAGGGAGCGGGGTCGCATTTTTGGATAGCAAACACTAACAGAGTAATCAATCGGTATCAGACATGTTGGGACAGGGTTGAACCAACCGAGCGCAAGAGCAACGAGAGACTTCTGACCACCAGACAATTGCTGTATACGTAGGCCTTCGTCGACCTTGGAGTTGAACGACACCTGGAGGAGGGTGAGGCCAACGTATCGTCGTAGTGGCGAATCCCGTACCTTTATTGCTACTCCAGTATAGTTATCGACGCTGGTCTGCTGGGTTTCCTCCATGTCGTCTTCCGCCTCTTCATCCTGGTCGATCCTCCGCTGAATGATGAGTCTTCCCCGACCTGCAGGAACGAGCTTCTCAAACACTTCCTCGAAGTTGCTTGCGACCTGCTTAAACGTTCTCTCGATCGCTTCGTCCTTGCGTTGGTCCAGCACCTCTACCAATTCGTCAATCGACTTCGCCGACGCGTCCAGTTCCTTGCGCCTCTCGAGAAGCTGGTCACGCTGCTTCGTGAAGTTGCTATATTGCTCGAACGCTTTCTTGTTCACGTGGGCAAACTTCTTGAGGCCGTCGTTGACAGCCTGAAGTTTCTTGACAAGCTAGAAGCGGAACACGTGAACAACTGCGACCGTGTTGCCAAGGCAGGGGGTTCGCCGACGTACTCGATCAAGCTTTTCGTTAGTGTACTTCTCGAAGGCTTCCTCAGGGAGCACACCAAGATCGCGGATGTTGCTGTTGCATTCGTCCTTCCGCGCAAGCAGCATCTGACGTTTGGCCAGGTACCGCTCAGTGGTCTTCTGTTGCTTGGAGATGCCCTTGCTGTCTTCGCTTTGTTGAGTTTGCACCTTCTCAAGAGTGCTCCGTAGGTCCTGTAGTTCAGCCTGGAGTTTGTCGCTTTGCTTCTCCATATCTACCAGAGCACATGAGCGTCTCTCGGTGCGCAGTGATGTTAAGCATACCGTTCACTCTCTTTTGCGCGGATTCAATGGAAGAAACGAGAATTTTGAGCTCTCGCTGACGCGTTTCAAGGTCGTCCTCCGAATTCGACTCCCCAGTGGGTGCTTCGCCAAGGGCATCAATTTTGGCGCGCAACTCGTCCCGTCGTCGACGAGAGCCTTCGTCGAGCTCGATCTCGATCACGTTCTTACGACCACCGATCTTACAACAACCCTTGAGCTGCACTGAAACACGTTGCACGTCACGCACATACCTCGTTCTTCGCCTTGCTGAGCTCCATCAGCCGTTTCTTCCTCTGATCGATCTCCTTACCCAGCTCCTCCAGCATCTCCTCTTCCTCGTCCGTCAGGTTCCTCTGCATCGGGCTGCTAAGCTCTGTTCTCAGCCCCTCAAGCCTCGCACGCAAAGCCGCCAGCTCTCCCTCGCCGTCTTCCACCTGTGTCTCCAGCCGGCTAATCCTCTCCTTCAGCGCTTCGGCCTCCCTCGTGAGCGCACCCACTTCGCCCACGACGCTCTCCCTCGCATCGCGCGCTTGCCCCTGTTGATTCATCAGGACCTGGATTCGTCCGCTCAATCTTGTGATCTCCTGCTCAGTCTTCAAGATCCCAGCCTCAACTTCCCTGGCCCGCGCACTCTCTGATTCGTACTTCTCCCTCCAAGTAGCAAGGTTCTTGATAGCCTCTATCCGGCTTCTCCGAACATCGTGGTAACCACCGGTCAACGAACCCTTGCGGTCAACCTTGTCACCGTCTAAAGTGATAGTGTTGATGCCGTGACTCTTGACATAAGCAGCCGCAACGGTGAGATCCTTGCAGACGCAGGTCTTGCCGAACACCTGCTGGAAAGCCTTGGTGTGGTCGGGATCGAAGCGGAGTTTGTCGAGCAGAGGAATCGCGTCTTGAGCGTGGGGTAGGGGAGGGTTCTTGGGTTTGAGTCGGTTGAGGGGCATGAAAGTCACACGGCCTGTCTTCTCCTTGAGCATAACGTCGAGGACTTTCGAGGCCGTCCGATCGTCGTCAACTACGACGTGGAACAGACTGTTTCGATGCGTCGGCCGAGATCATCGACGACTTGGAAGGTACTCACCTGTTGCCTGCGGTAAGCTCAACGGCGGTGTTGAATTTGTCGTCCGTGATATCAAAGAGCTTGTAGAGCGGGCCGTGCACGCCCTCGAAACCGGGACGTTCACTGATTCTTTCCACCGCCCTCAATCCCATCCCCGTATCCTTATCCATCATCCCCGCCAACGTCCTCTCCGCGGTCCTCATCTCCTCCTCTGCTCTCTGCACTAAGCTCTTTAGCCTCGTATCCTCCCTCCACATTTCCTTCCGTCGCTCGCTCTTCTCTGCCATCTCCTCCTTTAGCGCAGCCACCTCTTCCTGAATCTCCTTCACCCGCCGCCTCCCGTCCTCTGCCCGGCTCCTCGTCGCTTCCACCCGCTTCTCCACCCCCGCGAACTGCTCTCGCGCCTCCTCCAGCTGCATCCGTGCGTCCTCCACCGCGCCTTCTTGCGCTTTCCGGAAGCTATCCAAGCTCGCGATCTCCTTCCGCAGCCACGCGTCGCGCTCCTGCTTGCTCCTAAACTTCTCCATCCGGCCCCGCTTCGCGTACAGGCTATCGAGTCTTGCCTTTCCCTCCTCCAGCGCGCGCCGCTCCTCCGTCTCTGCACGTCGTGCCTCCTCCCATTCGGGCAGAAGCTCCTCCAGCTCGGCCTCCCTCTCGGCTATATGCTCCTCTACTGATAGAAGCTCGGCCTGGAGGGCGTCGCGAGTTCCGCCTGTGCGCGAGGCTGCGGACTGAAGATCGGAGACGATGCACTCGAGCTCAGTACGGGAGCGGATGAGGTCGGTGAGCTCGGATTGAGCGCCCTGGCGCGTGAGAGAGAGTGTGGAGAGAGCGTGTTTTGTCTCCTTGATCCTTTTCTCCAGATCCTGTTGGACAAGGTCAGCAAAGTCAGACGGAGGGGGCGGAGACGAACGGCATACGGCGATCTCCTTCTCGCGGTTGTTGAACTGCTCCCGTCGTTGATTCGCGCCATGAACTTCACCCCGGCGTTCTTCCTCGATCTCTTCGAGCGCCTCCCCAACCTCGAGTAGCTCGCGTTGGTAGAGCGCATATTCGAGGCATCGTCGTTCTTTATCTTTTTCCTAACATGGGGTGTCAGTAAGCAGCAGAAGGATAAGGGAATAGCGTTCGCACTTGGTACTCCTTCAGCTCTTCTTTCTCTTCCTCTAGTTCCTCCAGCCGTTCCTCGATGTACGCGAGTAGATCGCTGATTTTACCGCGCTTCGCGTCTGTCTCGGCCATGATCCTGAGTATATGCTGTAAGCAGCGGCCTTTTAGTCACAGAAGCCCGGGTATAGCGTACCTGAGGGATTCTGTCCTACGCTGCTCGTAAACCTTGGTTCCCGCGACCTCCTTCAACAGCGCTAGGCGCTCGTGATCTTTCGCATTCGTCAAAGCCGTGATCTTTACTTGGGACATGAGCACCCGACGTTGACTTATTTACGCATAGATCCATACTCACCCTGCCCTGCGGCACAATATAGTACGGGTTCGCCCTGCTGAAACCGGCGCTCTCCAACAAGTTCATGACATCGGCCTTGGAGACGCTCTTTTTATCGAGCGAGTATTCGTCTTTCTTGAGGCCTATCGTGCGGCGGAGAATGACCTCCGGGTGGCCAGTGGGAAATCGGCCAGAGCTGTTGTCAAAGACGATCTCGACTACGGATCATTGATCAGGCGAAGGTCAGGGAGCAAGGTATACAGCTCTAGACGAACCGAATGCCGAAAGGGTATTCGCCGTGCTGGTTCCCTCGTGCAAAAGGGCCTGCCGTTCTTCTCGGGACATGGATGTGTAGGCGTCCGAGAGCACGAACCGGATAGCTTTGAACGACAAGGAGATGAGATACATCGATTCAACAATAGCATACAGAGCTGAGAAACACACCGGCGAAGAAGTTGCTCTTCCCCGACCCATTGCGACCGACGACAACGTTGTGGCGAGGCGAAAACGGTTCGATCTGTGTCTGATCCCGGTCTGAAAGCACGGAGACGCTCGATGAGCGGAACCTTGCATAATCACGGATCGACACTCACAGGACTTGAAGCCCTGAATAGTGAGTGTTTTGATGTACATCCCGGGCAAAGAGGGAAGGGGTGGGGGGAAGCTAAACGCGCTATATCGTTTCACGTGGTCCCGTCGCGTCCGAGCGCGTTTGACGCGCCTCTCCGCGTCGTTACAATATACACCGGTCGCTAAGCCTGGCGAATCAGGATAGAGAGGCGAGAAAGGATGCACAACCCCTGCTGTCGAGATTCTGAGCGAGAGGGAAAGGACTAACGACTGACAAGGAAGATGGGAGCTAAACGCGTGGGCACGTGGCATTGATCTGCTTCGTCCACGCCGCACGGTCCATGAGTTTGCTCTGAAGGCCACTCGTATGGCCTGATGGTCTAGTAGCATGATTCCTGCTTCGGGTTTCCCGGAACTTCGAGTTCTCGCATGCAGGAGGTCCCGGGTTCAATTCCCGGTTAGGCCCTGTTTTATCTCGACAAAACGCCGTCCACAGTCGTTTTGTCCAAGTAGACGTCGGCTCAAGCTCCGCACAACGACGGTCGGGCGGGACGATCCTGTCAAGCGTTGTGCGCGCGAGCGTCGCCGTTCCCCAATGCGGGGCCAGCAAACGCCGGCGACTGTCATACAGCGGGTGGTTGAACATCCCAAACTTCTACCTTTGTCCATCACCATCGGACCGCGGTAGAGGTGAGGAAAGCTACATCATACGTGCATGCCTATCGTACTTACATGGCGGCCAGGATACGTACTGACGTACCGACCAGGTGAATATGTTATACCTTTGTCCGTCACCATCGGAGGATACGTACTGACGTACCAGCCAGATGATCTTATAGTCGCTGTCACAGCGACCGCTGCGCTGCGGCCTTAGTTCGAATCAACCACTTCGTATAATGTTCGCGACAGCTGCCTCCACTTCTGCACATCGTGGCCCAGTGCCGTCAACTACAATGCCACATGAGGAAGCCTATTGATATCACAAAGGATGTCGTCCCTCTGCACCTGTTGTCCCTGCGCAAATTTGCTCAGAGGCTTCGCGTACACGCGCGCTCACTTCGGACATCCACTCCATGTCGATGCATCAGTATCTGTGCAGTGCGCGCACAGCAGCGAACGAGGGGACCAAGGAACGTATGGCCTTGCCTGGGATTTTTCCACTCGGAATCTTGTTCCGCTGTGCCACATTCCAAGGATGCTGTGAACGTCCCAGCGCATTCCGATGGATGTCTACGTTGAATGGTTTCTGGATAACATCTGATCGGTCAGTCCTTGCGTAGCTCGTTACGTGTTATCGCCGAAAGGACTGACGGTTGATTCGCCTGGAGAAGCACATTGCTGTGTATCCGCAGCTGCGCAGTCAGTATCGAAGCCACGCCAGCCTGGTCGCGGTTCGCCATGCTTCTTGGGCGCGAGAGCTCTGAGAAGCAACCAGCAATCCCTTCTCCGTTCTCAGTACGAAGCGAGACGCTGCATGCGATGCGTGGGTTTCTTATGCCTTTGATGTGGCGTTGCTGCCCATGCTACAAAGATACGTGGACGAAAACAACGAGAGCCGTGATGGTTACGATGCCGGGCTCAATTACATCAAGCATCTCCATTGGCATACATTCCTTCTCTGCCTGAGCTATGCCTTCGTGGAAAGACGCTGAACGCGAACATCGTCGGCTGTCTACTCTTCTTATAGAACAGGCGGACACGAATGAAGAGCCCACCGCATTGTCGCAACGACAGCTCGATGGCACACACACTCGCTCTCGTCTTGGGTATCGTCTCTGCCGTACGAGCCTTTAATCATCCCCGACGCGTCGTCTCCTTGCCCTCGAGAACCCCGAGCTATGAGGTCCTCCCAACTGCCAGTTTCTCCGCGAGCCTGTCGCGTGCAGTGACAAACAGTTCGCGCGCCTTGGAGGCTCTTCGCGCGTCCAGCTTGGACAGTTACAACTTGACAAGCGTTCTGACTAGTGCAGACGGAGGTTTCCGGTATTATGCGGACATCGATGTTGGTGGGCAGGATTTCAAGGTGCTCGTGGACACTGGCAGGTATGTTGATGAATCCAACCACACGATGAAGGTCTGACGTTGCCCGCAGCTCTGACACATGGCTTATTCAGAAGGGCTTCAGTTGCTTCGACATTGACTTCAATCCAGAAACTGAAGATGAATGTGGTTTCGGTACTGCGGGATTTGACCCCTCGCAGTCGCCGACGTTTGTTCCTCTTGTTGGCAAAAACCTCAACATCACTTACGGAGACGGCACGTTCGCAGTCGGCCCCGTCGGCACCGATACGATGACCGTCGGCGGATTGACAGTCACAGCGCAGGAGTTTGGAGTGCCGAATATGACTGCATGGGAGGGGGAAGGCATCGAGGGGGGTCTGCTGGGCCTCGCGTACCCCGCGCTCACGACAGTACATAACGAGAGTGATCCGACCCTAGACTCTCCCACGAACCTAGCTCTATACAATCCCTTCCTCTTCAGTGCTATCAACCAGGGAGTGCTATCGACACCAGGTGAATTCAATGGATGCCATGATACTTCGCAGGGCTAATACGAGCCCTTTAGTGTTCTCTGTGTCTCTCGATCGGGGTACGATCGCGGACGAAGAAAGCGGCGATGAAAAACCCAATAAGGGAGTCCTCGCATTCGGCGGAATTGCTCCTGTATCGGTCACCAACACGACCGCCTCCGCCCCCGTGTTGCTTTTCAGTGGATTCGTTCCAAACGCTAAGGCGGACGTCTTCTACGGCGTGACCGTGGATTCCTACGTGTTCCCGGGTTCGACTGCGCTGTCGACGCGGAGTTTTGCCGTCTTGGACACAGGGACGGCGCTCTCGTTCATACCCACTCCCGTACGTGTATATCAATCTTCTACCGCTCAGATGAGGGCTATTCGTTGATCGCTCGGCATCGTTATTGCAGATCGTGCAGGCGGTGGTGGAGAAGTTTGTACCTAGCGCGACCGTGCAGGATGACGTGTTCTTCGTCGACTGCAATGCTACCGCCCCGGCCTTTGCGGTCACGATCGCCGGCATCGAGTTCGCGGTTGATCCCAAGGATTTGATCTTGCCTGGCGGCATCGACGACGATGGAAACGATATCTGTATCAGTGGCGTGCAGGATGGCGGACCGGACAATGGCGGGGACATCTTCATCCTGTGAGTGCTTTGATTGCACTAGTACGTGGTCAAGATGTCGAACTGATAAACTGATCAGGGGCGACACGTTCCTTCACAATGTGGTCGCATCGTTCGACGTCGGGGCAAATGTCGTTCATGTTTCTCAGCGCACGCCATACTAGGGGTTCTCTTTGGCGGTGGACCATGTTGCAGGTTGCGCATAGGTCCCCCTTAAGCAGTAACCTGACATCGGACCGCGATAAGGCCCCTGGAAGATAGTACGGGACTGTGGTTACCCAGCGTGGCATACGATGTGTGAAGCATACATTGATTTCTTGACACCAGCCGATTGTGTTGCCTCTCATGTCAGACGAGGTCTTAGCATTCAGATATGAGGCCACATGCAATGTGTATATGGACCCGATGCATGTAAATCATATCAACCGTATTTCGCGACAATGACATTAGTCTTGTAATCTAAGCAATTTCTTGCGGCCGTGAGACCAGCTTCGTTCCTCTAACATTTCCCTGCTGTAGCAACTCCACGCCGCCTTGGATACCTGCCGAACCACCAGAAGGCACACGGATGCGATCCCGCTAGCAAAATTAAGGCATGAGCACTATTGCAGGTGTAACAGGAGCGTGCGACGAACTTTGGAACTTTGATAGATCCATCAGCAAGGCAAGCAGGCAGACGCTCGACCAAGTTACCGACAAGCTCCTCTGCGTCGGAGATACTGTAGCTGCTGAAGACGCGGGAGATGTGCTTTCCCGTCGCGGCAGCGCGAAGGCCTTCATTGGGTCAAATCAGCGCCACGAACATTTCGCCAGGTCGATTCCCGGCTTCTGCACCTCTGCGTCCCCGGTGGCGTCGAAGACAAGTCTACTCGGGGAGGAGGTGATCTTGGCAACCTCGGCCGCGATCGACGACGGGGGCACCCCGTTCCATTTCCCCCTGCCTCTCGCTCATTGCTGCGCCCTGGCCTATAATCCTCTCCTCCTGCTCCTAATCCACCCCTGCAGCCTAATTCCCAGCTAACTGCCCCCCAAAACCGCACCGACGAACCCAGCATCGACCTTCCTTAAGTCCCTCTCGACCAGCACTAGCGCGGTGAGCGCTGAGAAGTTTGAGGAACGAGCAGCCCAGGAGTGTGCATCGGTTGACGAGGTCCCTTGACTCCGAGTCTGAGTGGCGAATGAGCAATAGTGACAGGGGCTGAAAGGATAACCGCATACCTCCTACGACGGGGATCCTGATAAGCGTACGATGTCCTAGAAATCGGTTGCTGTACTCGAAAGGGCGTCGTTATATGTGTTGGAGAGGGTGAACAGGATGGGAGAGACAGTAAGGCTGTCAGGAATTGATAGCTGGAAGCAATGCAGATGATGCAGCAATAGAGCTTTTGGGTCTGAGCATCGAGCCCGTACTTATACGGTTGGCGCCGCGGACGGGTAATTGCAGACAGTGGGGTTCAGTGGGATGAATGGACATACGACGAACTCCCCGTCGTATGCTCGAGAGATTGCTATGGCCCTCTGTCTGTCTATGCTTGTGTATCTATGCAGCATGAGCTGCCAGCAAGTGATGCAACCAAACGAAGAATGAGGGCCAAACGCGAGTTGCGCGGCGCAGTAATCATGCATCATGCCTTGCTTCCTCTGTTTTGCCTTGCACGGCATTCCAACGCATCGACAGGCTTCTAACGCGTCTCTTTATATTCTTGAGTGTCTCCTCTTGGACAATACACCAGTCAAAAAAACTCCGGCGGAAGTTATAATCGAGCGGCGCCCGCCGACAGTCCTTGCAAGCCTACGAATCTTGTCCCAGAGCCAAACTCAGAGGAACGTGAAGACCAGGAGTTATGAACCACAGAAACATGGTCACAGCTTACAGCCTATTTGTCGATTCGTAGCACTTTGCATGCCGAATCCTGCAGCGCCGAGTGAGTTGGTTGTCATACAACTACTGTCTTCTCATATTCATCAGACAGCACAGCTACTTCTGCATGCTGCTATTCGCGAAGAGTTCTCGAACCTCGTGGCTGCATCAGCAACAGCCATGGATGATCAAGGGTGTGGTCAATTTCTAGCTTGAACCTTATGAAACAGCCATTGAGCTTCCTCCACACCCGCGCCGCCCGATGAAAGACATGAACCAGTGCTTTCAATAAGCTGATTGGCGAAGTCTTCTGCTATATACGTTGCAAGTACGTGGCGGGTCTTCCTCAACTTCTGGTTCGGCCGCTGAGCATTGCGCGTTCTGTATCAAAAGCGTGTCTCCTCGCCAAGGCCATGCCATCTCCATTGTCATCAAGTTCCGCGATATTCTTGCTCTACCTATGCTTGGATGCCGTCATGCAAACGCGTCCTTCGTTTCACCCTTGCGTCGCCGATGAACACTCTTCAATGATGCTACGCTTCTGGACCACTCGGAGGAGTCGTTATTTGTATTCCAGTGCGATGAATCTTCGCCGGCGGTGATCGAGATCTTACTAGAAGATGACTTGCCGGCTACCGAACGATGCGCGCTGCGTCCTACGCGCCTGCAGGGCTCCCTTGGGAGGTGCGTCTTTTGCTACCATTGTTGCAGCCGTAATCTGATGTTTCAGAAGAAGAAAAATCAGGGCGGCGCTGGCGCCTCAGAACAGCTGGTAGTCACGAAACTTGCGGTGGAGTTTGTGGCCTTCCTCACTGCCCCCGCTCCAGCTCGTATAAATCGTGCATGTAACAGAGCGAACCTCACTGCACTCCACTCCGAGCATCATGGGGCGTGTCACCTTCCTCCTCGCCTTGTGCGCCGCACCTATCGTACAAGGTTTCCGCCAGCTTGGTCCTGTCGTCCAGCCTCCCCATAAAACGGGGCGAAGTGTCAACTCCCATCGGACAGCAAGCCATGGGGTTACGCTCTCGGGCAGAGTGACGAAAAACTCCCATGCTTTGGAGGCATTTCGGGCGTCCAAAGCGGATAGCAATAACCAGACCGGTGTCCTGTCGAGCGCAGGTGGAGGATCCCGCTATTACGCACCCATTAACGTTGGTGGACAAGATTTCGAGGTTCTTGTCGACACTGGCAGGTGAGCTCGCTTCATCATGAAACAAAGCCACCACGAGATTGAGCTGCGCCCGCAGCTCCGATACCTGGCTCGTGCAGGTCGGCTTCAGCTGCTTCACCATCGACGGCGCGCCCGCGTCTGCCAATGAATGCGGATTTGGCACTGCGGGGTTCGATCCTTCGCAATCCTCGACGTTCACGTCCCTCCCGGGCAAGAACATCAACGTCACGTACGGAGACGGCACTTTTGCGGCTGGCCCTGTCGGAACCGATACCATCACTGTTGGCGGGTTAACGGTCACCGCGCAAGAGTTCGGCGTGCCGAACGTGACGGCATGGGACGGCCTGGGTGTTGAGGGTGGCCTTCTGGGTCTTGCGTACCCGGCGCTGACGAGCGTGTTTAATGGTACGAATTCGACACAGGACTCGTTCGCGAATCAGGCGCCCTACAACCCGTTTTTCTTCACGGCCATCCAGGAAGGCAAGGTCAATGCCTCTGGTGAGCACGGCTCTACCGTCACGTATGCGATGCGTGGCTGACCCTACACAGTGTTCTCCGTCTCGCTTGACCGCGGGACGTTCGCGGAGCAGTCAAGCCCCGATGAAAAACCGAACAGGGGCTTCCTCGCGTTCGGTGGTGCTGCTCCTGTCGCCGTCACCAACGCGAGTGCGAGCGCACCCGTGCTACTCGCGACAAACTCTGCGGGTAACACAACGGAGGCCTTCTACGCAGTGAACGTGGACGCATACGTCTTCCCCGGCTCGACCAAGCTTTCGACGAAGGGTTTCGCTATCCTGGATACAGGCACCTCGCTCACGTACGTGCCTACACCGGTAAGCCCTCTCGCTTCCCTGGTCTTGGTGGTACACCCGGGTGTTGACATGCACGGGTCAGGTCGCGCAAGCGTTGACGAAGCAGTTCAAGCCACGCGGGTTCCTCGACGAGGGTTCTGGTCTGTTCATCGTCGGTTGCAACGCGACCGCACCTGCTTTCGCGGTGCAAATTGGCGGTGTGCAGTTCAGCGTGGACGCGAAGGACCTCGTTTTGCTCGGCGGGACGGACGAAAACGGTAGTGATGTATGCATCAGCGGAGTGCAGGACGGCGGGCCAGACAATGGCGAAGACATCTTCATATTGTGAGTTCGACCCGCGCTACACTTTATCATTCGCATGACTGACTCGGTGAACAGAGGTGATACGTTCCTGCACAATGTGGTCGTGTCGTTTGACGTCAGCGACAATGTGGTGCATGTGTCTGAGCGACAGCCGTATTGATCAGATGGTCTACTCAAAGGACCAGCATGAATCAGGGCCTTTATGTCTGTATACCATATACTGTTTTACTGTAGAGTTCGAGGATATAAATAGCTATCAACTTCAATCCCCGGAAAGGGCGAAATCACATACCTCAGCCGTCTAGCGGCCGCCTTCGTCCCCGGTTGTGGTGGTGTCCTACGGGTAGCCTCGTTCATCTTCCGATCCATGCAGCTGGCACTAACGGAGTTCGATGCTATGACTACGTCGTTTCATCCTACACATCGACTCTGACGCTCCAGGAAGGAGTATAAGTCGGTCGACAGGAAGCACATGAAGATGCTCGTTGACGTTGTCCCTCGATCCAGTTCCGTGCGCGCAGAATTGCCTTGTACAATTGACGAAGTGAACGCGATCACATTACTGCAGGTCTATGGAAGATGCAGACGGACCGTTGGTGGCGCGCATGGTGTACGAAGAAATCCTCCGAAAGCGATTCAGAGGTGCTCAACCCGGACGATGTTCCCTACGCGCTCGACGCGGCCGTTCAGCATCGGCGATCGCTCCTACCCAGAGCCAAGCCGATGGGGCTCTCTACGTGCGCGTCTCCACTGTAATTTTCTGGCACGATCGGCACGGGAAACACACGATGACCCCCGGCACAGCGCATGGCTCCGGCGATTCGAACGATTCTTTCGCGTGTCACGGAACGTCAACAGTACCTAGGTTTTCTTTCCGAAGATACGGTGCTGGCTTGATATATAATGAATAAGGCGGACGCGCGACTCGTAAATTCGACTATATGAATGTGCAGGACGAGGCTGCGGGTTTTCACCTGAGCGATTTCCGTTCTTTCGAGTCTGGGAGCACGCACGTGTGGGCTGGCCTGTACAACCTCTTCTTCCCCAGATTATGGCGTGATATGGGGGGGCGAGGGTTTGTCGTGCTGGACCGGAGTGTCGGTCGCGACGAAGGAGTTCGCGGGGATGGATCGGGGCATCTTCCACGTCGTAGTCTAAGCTCTCCGAGATATGAGCGAGCAGCACCGGTCGCAGTAAACCAAGTTCCTCGAGTACGTCCACCATGCGTGATTCATATCGAAAGAGATATGCTCGGCGTGCTGATAGGTCTGCGTCCGAGCCATTGCCGCGCAAGGTCCCCACGAACTCGAATCGGATTCGTAGGCGGGCGAAAGGAAACCAATATTAGTCGTAGGGCGCGATTCGAGGAATGCGCAGCATTTCCGTGCGGACGATATTCGGGGAATGACGTTCCAAGTCGATATCCAGTTTTAGACGGTTTTCGTGACGGCACGGCGTGCGGCCTATACGCCTTGCGATCACATCGGCGCGACAGCATCCAGAGGCTGATTATACTGCATCTGCTGAGAAGGACGCGCCGCAGAAGATCGCGGCAAACACATCTTGAAAGAGGCGAAAACCGCGTTGTATGGAGAAGCAGACATCGTCGCAAGCGTCGCGCACAGCTGGGAGGCACAGAAGCGTGAAGGGAACAAGCCGCGCCGGAGCTGGATGTGGCGAGGCTGGAGGGCTGGAGGGCGTTCCCACCGTGTCCGAGTCCGGCGCGGCGGCGGGAATGCGTGGTCGGTCGGGTGACCTTCATCCGCCTCCAGCATCCAACTTGATATCGGCGTTCTTGTGTGCTCGTGCTGAGACCTCTCGCAGCCGTTGTCTTAACAAACCGCAAGGCCACGCAGGGAGACGTCTAGCAAGCTAAGCCACACGGCAGGTCGTCGGAGCATCAGCGCACGGGGCATCCGTGACTCGTACGGCAGATAAGCTGGGCTTCTGAGCGCGGGATCAGATGGAGTCCTCTTGTGATCATGTATGTATTCTATTTTGCATTCCGGCGAAGAGCGAGGAGGTTCGCGCGGGTCGGTGGCTCCTGCCCCGAGCCGTTCGAAGATGGGCAAGCAAGACAGGAGGCACAACACCGTTATGGACTTCTCTTTGGGTTATCCGGGCTCCATCGCCGCGCTCCATGCGTCCTCTTCCATTTTCACAAGGCCATCCGTACGGAGATGGGGCCATCGATGGGTCAGGCTGGCAGGGATGGGGAAGAGCGAGCGGGATGAAATTGAGGTCACATCAAATCCCGACGCTTCCCCTCGTCTAACTCGTGACAATATTCTCTCCCAGGCACGACGAGAAAGCAAACCAACCAGAGCCGATATGTGGCAGTCCAAACGCTGTATCGTATCTCGGAGGCAGCCCCGAGAGACAGCCAAACGCTGCACCGCTATCTGGACACCGTCTCTTCAAATTTGCAGGACTAACGTTCGTTATCGGACACGGACCCGGGCACCTGCGCCCCTGCCATACCATGCCGAAGTCTCGCCCCACATGCATCCCATCAGCTCCGAAGCCGGTGGCTTCGAAACACCTTCCTCCTCCCGCGGGATAGATATGGACCCGTCGCGCGCAGGCGGAGGTTCTTTGCGCTCCCTTGGCCCCCTCCTCCTCTTACCCGTCCCCTCCACCGCGAGCGAGTGAGACATGCAGCTCCCGGCTTGGTACACGTGCGTACCTCCCCCTTCCGTCTTACGATACGAACGACAACTGATACGATTACTCTAGAACGCCGACGACGCAGGTCGTGCTCGTCGGCATCACCTGTTTCGCCACCGTCGGCATGTTCAGCGCCGTGTCTAACCTCGGCGCCGGAGGAACCCAGGACGTCTCCCTCTCCGACACCTCTAACGGTGTCCTCTACGGCATGTTCGCCCTCACCGGTCTCATCTCCGGCGGTATCAACAACCGTGCGTGTTCTCGCCCATGTACAGCCGCGTTTCTCCAGTTGACGCGTTCAATTATGTAGTGTTGGGCCCGCGGTTGACCCTCTTCTTCGGCACGCTCGGGTACGCGCTCTACGTCGGCGCTCTCTGGTGGTACGCACCCCTTCCCTCATTTCCTTCCCCATCTTCGCCGCAAACTCACGTCGTCTCTCCGCTCTCGTCGTGCAGCTTCCAAACCCAGGGCACGCGCTGGTTCCTCATCTTCGCCGGCGCGATCCTCGGCGTCACCGCCGCCCTGCTCTGGTCCGCGCAAGGCTCGATCATGATGTCCTACCCGCTCGAGAAGGACAAGGGCAAGGCCTTCTCCATCTTCTGGGCCATCTTCCAGTTCGGCTCCTTCATCGGCGCCCTCATCGCCCTCGCCATCAACATCCGCTCCGGCGGCCTCTCCGCCGTCTCGACGAGCACCTACATCGTGCGTTCCCTCTCCCGTCGGTGTGATCGTCCACGGTTTCTGACCTCCACGGGATCCGCGCACGCGCATTGCAGGCCTTCCTCGTGATCATCTTCGTCGGTATCGCCTCTTCGGCCCTCATCCTGCCCCCGCACCGCGTCGTCCGCGGCGACGGCACGCTCGTCACCCTCGCCCACCACTCCTCCATCCACTCCGAGCTGCTCGGCATGGCCAAGCTCTTCACCGACTGGCGCGTCGCCGCCCTCCTCCCCATGTTCTTCTCCTCCAACTACTTCTACGCCTACCAGGGCGCCGTCAACGCCGGCATGTTCGACGGCCCCACGCGCGCGCTCAACGCGACGCTCGAGGGCGCCGGCGCGATCGTCGGCGCGCTCCTCATCGGCTTCTTCGTCCTCGACGCGCCCGCGGGCCGGTTCAGGTACGGCCGGCGCGCGCGGGGTTATATCGGCCTCGGCGTCGTGACGGCGATGACGATCATCATCTGGGCCGTCGCCCTCGGCTGGCAGGTCACCTTCACCCGCGCGGACGCCGCCAAGCTCCTCGCGAACGACGCGCTCATCAACTACCACGACGCCAACTACCGCGGCAAGGGCGCCCTCTACTTCTTCTGTGCGTTTTTGCCCCTTCTTTTTTGAGAGGATCGGAATGGACTCAAAAGTTGCGCGACGGACAGACTACTTTGGCGACGCGTGCTACCAGGCGCTCGCGTACTGGATCATGAGCGCGATCACGAACGACCCCTTCCGCCTCGCTCGTCTCGCCGGTATCTACAAGGCCCTCCAGTCCGCCGGCGCCGCGGGATCCTTCGGCATGGACGCCGTCGCCACGCCCTACCTCAACGAGCTCGTACGTTTTTAACTCTCCCCCTCTAACCCTCTCATCTCACCTTCATGGGATATATTCTGTAGCTCGCGAGCTGGTTGATGATGCTCGTCTCGTTCCCGCTCGCCTTCCTCGTGATCCGGACCATCAAGGAGACCAACTACGAGGACGAGGAGGTCGTCTACGTCGACGACCTCAAAGCCGGCGCCGTCGAGTCCGGCGAGCTCCCCGCCACCACGCCAGCAGAGAAGGCCGAGACCGAGAAAGCGAGAAAGCGAGCGTCGCGTCCCACTCGGCATGATGACAGACACCGACCGACCGACCGACCGGGGCTCTCCCCCTCTCTTCTGCTCGGGTTAGAGGCCTCCCCCACGCTCGGGGTTGAGGACGGGAGAGGAGGGGCCGTTGACTTTTCTTTGGTTACGACTTCGGACGGAGATTCGAACGACTGTTAATGGGTTTTTTTTGTTCTGTAGACGAGGCTTTTTCTTTTACGCGCGACGACGATATTAATGGCCCCCCCGCGCTCTCGGCACAACGATACGTATCATCAGCATTGTATGTTTGTACGCTCGACTTGCATGAAACAGCGAAACGGTTTTTTTTTGTTCTTGTGGCGAGATCACGGGCGTCGACGTAGCGAATGAGGGCTGCCGGCTGCACAATGACACATACAACGACTTTGAAGCCCACCCAATGACCTCGCATAGTATCACTCCGAAGACATCTCATTACGTCGATACATCCCATGAACCTGAATACACTGAATAACCTCGAGGCGAAAGATACATCCACGGGCACCGCCATGCCCGTTATCCACCAAAAGAATGACAAGATTTCGAATTGTACGCTACCTGCTAGCTCTGGACGAGTACGCGCAGAGCTCCAGGTCTTGAAGTAGGTACGCCCGAAGCTTGACAGCATGCAAACGAATAGCTGAAAGGAAGAAAGGAACGAAAACTATCGATAATAAATACACTCGGTGCGCCATATCAAGTCGCGACCATGGCGAGCGGCAGAGGGGATTCTCTCACATCCCAAGATGCACGTAAAGAGCCCAGCGGCTCGGCTCTGGATGTTCCTCGCGCAGCTTCTGCACAGCTGCATCGAGCGCGTAAGGCACGTCGTCGGGATTGAGGACCTCCGAATCGCCTCTGAAGATTTCTTCGTACACCATCCGCGCGACCATCGGGCCGTCTGCATCCTCCATGTTCCTACGCCATACTCTTGGTTTCCATACCAGACGCGCGGAACAGTCGGAAGCTTACCACAGTGTCGCAATCACGCTCTTAAACCCGGCGTAAAGCATCATGGCCGCGAGATGGATCGCCTGATCGGGTTGATCCTGTGTAAATGTGGTCGGTGGGCACGGCATATGCATTTGAGAGCACCGTCGCGCTGACCTTGTACCCCTTTGCGGTCTCGCACGCGCTCAAGAAAGCCAGAAATGCCCCCGGAAGCACAACCGGCATCAGGCGCTCCATCGTCAGTATACCATCCCGCATTACAAAAGCACTCTTCAATGGGTGCTCCGCGTCTTGAATGCCGTGACATGCGAGATGAAGGAATGTTGCATCAGGGAGACGATCAAGGAGCGTCTGCACACCTAATCCTCCCTTGCCTCCCTTTTCCGTCGAGAGCAGCGCGTTGTCCTCGTCCGGGAGCGGAATGAGCATTGCACTTGGAACGACACTGGTTATCGACTTGACTTCGTCAACGGTGCAAGGTAATTCCGCATATGCAGATTTCGCTCGAGGGACAGCTCCGACGAGGACCTTCGTGTGCTTCCTGTGGACGGGTTTGTAGGCCTCACGGGAGCCAGACAATACCGTCAGAGTTGGCGTGTAGGATGAAACGACGTAGTCCGAACATGAAACTCCGTTGGCGCCGGCTGCGTGAATCGGGAGGTGGACCAGGCTACCCGTGGGGCACCACCACAAGCGGGGACGGAGGCGGCCGTTCGAGGGCTAAGGTGTATTTCTTGTTAGACAGGCTTTCGGTGACGTATCGAGTTCCTACCGTCAATCCTAGTGCATTGATGATAGGTTGAACGACCTTGGACCACAGGCTTTCCAGGATATCGACACCTGCAGGGCGATTGACTTTGCGTGGCCTCGTCATGTTCAATCTGTCCCGGCTCACGGCCGATCTTGCTTCATCCATGGCGGATCTCCACCGTGCGCTTGACTCCGTCACCCATGATTCAGTCAAGTCATCTAGAGAAACGTGGATTGGTGCGACATTGGCCTGTACGATTACCGCATGAGACCCATTCGTGCTTGCTATCAACATGACGACCGGCCCTTTGTTGGCGGCTTCGACAAGTGTCGAATACTGATCATGCAGCATGAATCTCTCGAGGCCAGGTAAAGACCGGATGACGGTCAGAAGTGCGTGGAACTCTTCGCTTTGTCTCCGACGGAGCGAGGCCGCTTGTTCTACGTGCCGTTGGTCCGGGAAAGCGTCTGAGATGTCCGCATTCTTTTCGAGACGTTGAGCTAGCTCGAGAAGCTTCGTACGGTACTGTTCGGGGACGTTGTCGAAGTGAGAACGCAATCGAAGGGTGTGGGCCCAAAATATGGCCCGACCTTGCTCGAGTATCTCCACGGCCCTTTCGGGTTGCGAGATCTGAAGGGCGAGGGAGGCGCATGTGGGCGTCAGCCGCTGGCCTGCTTCCAAAGACTTCAGACGTGAGTCGAGGTCCAGCCCAAAGTAGGCCACGCGAGGTAACAATGATAGCAACACTGAGTAGGTATCGAGGAGCTTGGTTTTTGCGGAGATTTCGTCTACCGATGACACTTGGATGGACCGGAGTACCCTCATAGAGCCTTGGACACGAGATCGGACATCACGCGCGTCGTCAGATATCGCTTCCAACAGGTAGTTCAGAGCAGCACAAATATCGTTGAAAGGGGTGCCCACTTCTAGGTATGTCTCGGAGGCGTTGAGGAGACAGTCAAAACGGTCTGGGCGCCCAGGAGCCAGGCGTCCCAAAAGGTTTTCGAACACGGTTTTGGCTGCTCGGGCGTCGTCTATGCGTCTCCCCATGCGATACTTGACCATGTATACTGAACCCAGCATACTCCGGTAACGTGGCCCATGTGAAGAGTCAGGCGCAACGACGGTCACATTATGCTCCAACAGGTGCACCGCATTGCACACATCGCCCAGATTCCCACTGTCTTGGGCGCGCATAGCCAGTGCGTTTGCGTGCGCAAGTACGATTTGGGAGCGGAAGGAGTGGTCAATGGAATAATGGTCGAGCATTGCCGAAGAGATAGAGATGGCTTGATTCAGATCTTCCCTATCGCCAAGGGCCTTGAAGCGAACAGATAAGGCAGACGCCATTGCGAGATAATGTTCCCCGTATGTGGTGTTTGTGATAGCAGCCATGTCGTAGGCCTCCTGGTAAAGCGCGATGGCCTCCGAAATGTCGTCGATGTGCCCAAGCTCCCTGAAACGTATGCTGAGGCTATCAGCCAGATTTCCCATGCGAATGCGCCAAAAAGTGCTGCTCCTGGGAGTGCTATCAACTAGCTGACGTTGCAAATCGAGGGAGTCCTCGAGGTCATCCAAAGACCCGCGCCAGATGAAGCGCTTCTGCAGGCCAATGGCCAGGTTACTGAGGCAATTGGCATGGGTGTGATTACCGGGACTGGTCAGCTGGAGTGTCTCCTGCAACCACGCAACCATCTGGTCGAGATCCTCCTCTGTGACGTCCGCGACCCCAAGCAGGAGATCCAGGGTTGATGCCGCCGCGGATAAGATATAAGGCCTCCACGCTCCGTTCGGAGGCCCTGCCGACAATGCTTGCATGGCCATCTCGTGTGCTTCGTGCAGGTCGGTTAGCTGACCATCGCGACCGAAGAGACACCGTAGTGCTTGATTTCGCCTGCTCAAGATATGCTCGCGGCCGACATATGATATTGGACAAAGATCAACCGATGTCCTGTGCAAAGCAACGGCCTCATCCAAATCTGCAGGGTCGCCCAGGACCTGGAAGCGTATATAAAGGTACATCCCCAGAAGGCTGAAATAGTTATGCTCGTCAGGATACTTGTGTATGGATGCTAGTTCAAGTGCGATTCGCTGCGAGGCAATCGCTTCATCGATATGCGAGCGCTCGTGTGTCATTTCAAATAGCCGCCATGACGCGTTGTTGACATTACGGAGGGCATTCGCGCGAAGGGGGTGCTCGTAGGACAGTAATGGTACTGCCTCGCGACACAGATTGTCTCCAAGCTTCCGGTGTGCGGCATTGCCGCGTTTTTCTGCATCCAGGTGGAGGATGTTTCCTGACAACGTCAGCACTGTGGGACAGGAGAGAGATCGGGCTTCCGCTGCGGCTAATGCCTCTTTTGCGCGAGTGACGGCATCTACAAGGTCTTTCTGGTCTCCGACAAATTTATATCGTTCACTATAGGCGCGGGCGAGGTAGGCGCAGGCATGCAGCCGCGAAGCGGGTAGCGCAGCCGCCTGCTTGTGCGATGATTCAGATGGAGACAATCGGGAGGCTGTAGGTAGTACGAACATCGGGATTTACTCCGGCCAGTCGTTCCCACTTGTGGATACAATCTGCTGCCGCATTGAGGTCCCCAGTCTTGCGGAATTCCTCGAATAACCGCAAGGCCTTGATGTGGTTCACATCCGTGGCATGTTGGATCACTGTCGCCCATCAGCGGAACGCAGACACACGAGGGAAAAGAACGGAACCCGCAGTGCATGGGCATGGAGTCTTCTGATGTTTGCTCATGAGATGGCTGCTGGACTGCAGGGTTGTAGAGGAACCTGCAGTGTCTGACGATCAGCAGATGCGGAGAAGGGAAGGAGGATGTGTACTTCAAGAAGACCACATCCACGCTCTTGTAGATGCTGCACGATTGTTGCTGTAACGCATTCTGGCGCGCTTGTTATGGCTATACTGGCTTGAGAGTGTGCGCATGATGCATTCCGGACTGCCAAATACGAGTACGACGGATTGCATTGGAATGACAAAGAATGCAATGCAAACCTGCGACAGGTGGTGATTCTACTGGACGAGGAAGTAATGGTTGGCGCTGACTGTGTGTATTTCGATCGGCATTTATCTTCGAACTCGGGGTAGGGAGGTTGTTCCATAGTGATGTTCGACGCGGTACCAGAACTATACAGCCACCTTGCAGCCGTGAAGCTGATGTACCGTTACGATTCCATTTGTCACCCACGGTGCGACCTGCGCGCCCTCCCGCCCAAGCATAGTCCCCCATCTTCCATGCATCTTCGGAATGGAACCAAACCCAAAGCCAGCCATGGCCTCCTTACCGCCGTTCTGCATTTGCCCGGAACCCGAGCTCGATGCTGGACATCAGATTGAGCTGCTACGCACGGGTTCGTTTCGCCAGTTCGCTAGCGATGTGTCCCGAGGACGTTACGAACATGGTGCAGACAACCATAATGCGGTGCCGTCGACCGAGGAAGGTGGCCCGGTCGGCAGATGGCGCAAACTCGCGCTTGTCCGGTCGAACAGACATTGCCGTCCATGATAGTTGGCTCCGGCCATCCGATACAGTAATGATATTCATCAGGTTTCAACCGCACGCCCACATCAGCCCCTCCGTGTTCGCAGCTGTTCCTGCCCTCCGCTACCCCCGCCTTGACGGTCAGTCAAACGACTCGCTTGTTGTCCAAATCTTCAACGCTGACATACCCCGCTCGTCCAGAAGTCGACCACGAACCATAATCTACCGCACTGGAAGTTATCACCCTCGACTCATGGTGGTACCACACTTGGACACAACGGCACCACTACACCCGTCCAGCCTTTCTTCCTCAACGTCTTCCCTCTATCTTTACCGCTTCCCGCCTGCAGCTCCTTCAGGCATTAGAGTGTATCTTCAGCACAGGCGAGGTGGGGTGGCTGTTTTACCATGCACTGCATTTCTGGCGGGGCTCCCCGCCAACATCTTTGGCTACTGCGGAGAACTTTTACCACCTGTAGGTCCATTCCATTTCTACCTCCTCTCCCGTACACCGACCACCGCTCCCCCAGAAATCTTTCGGAAGCGTGGGATCCGTCCCTCAGAGATTCAGGGCCTTCCTAGGGAATCAGGGCCCGGACGTGGCGATATCTCCCGCCCACGTCTCCGCGCGCTTCTAGCGCGCCAAGCTAGTGAACGACTGTCTTCGCTGCGCATCGAGTGGTTGACTGGGAAGACTAGTGCCAAGCTACACCGGTGGCAGGCATCGGGCGCAAGATTCGTACGCGCGTCGGCAGCACCAGCTAGCGCTCGGCTTCATTCTCCGGCTCGAGTCGTCGACAAGCCTATTGCACGGTCCCATCTCGCACCCGCGCGCCGCGTCGTGGTCCTGCTACTCGCGCTCTGCATCATATGCGGGCCCTCGCCCCGTTGTTGACTAAGCCTAAGTTGAGCCACGCACTCGAGCCAACACTATAGCTGGTCGTCGACGTTAATTCTTAGCCGCAGGCTAGCGCCCTCTGTCGTCCGCCTCTTCTCCCGCCTTGTCGACATCTTCCGCAACGGTGACTCTTGGAAACCGCTGGCGATTTCACGCAAGGTCGCACTCGCACTCGATGCAACAACTCGTTGGACACCCCAGCTCGCTACACTGCTTCCGGTTATAATTATCCCCGTATCCCGCGATATCTATTTCCGATTGCTATGTCTTGTGCAGACGCGCATCAAGCCTCGAACGATTGCAGGATCCCCACCTTAACCTTCAACAATTCTGGAATCCCGACGCACTCACGGGCTGCCCTGAACCTGCCCCAAGCCGCTGATAGCTCACATGAGAAGCCATGTAGGCGGTGCCCAGCTCCAGTCTACAACTGGCATGGCGCCGGCGTACCCGCGATCTCCCGCTGTGTCAGTATGCATCCAATCTTGTTTCGCGCGGGGTTCTTGAATCCCATTCAGTGTTCCTCCATGTTGAAGCACACTACATACGGGGAACCGACATTGCCATAAATCCGAGGGTATCATTCTCACCTCATCGATTGGTTTCAGCTCCTGCTTGTTTGCGCCAGGTTCGGGTCATCATGCATGTCTCTCACTGAGCCGTCCAAGAAGCACCAGAAGCCGCCTCCCCGTCAGACAGCTTCCGATCTCGACATGTGACTAAAACGCGCGCCAAAACGAGCGATCTGGATGCGAAATCTCGAAATGAATATCCATTTTGAAAGCTGTCTGTCGAAGCAGGCTACCCATTGGAAAGCTGATTGAGCCGCATTCCAAATTCTGCATGTGCTCCGTGGAAATTTTGGACTGCGACGATGTTGACTCGATCTAATTAGATCTACGCATTGCCCCTTGGGGACGTGTCTCGAGTTTCGAGGGAATGATGAACACTTCCTGTCGCCTTTCAATGTGCATGAACCATAGAAGCCGTCGCGGGATGCGTTAACGGCACAGCTCAATAGCGCTCGACCCGCCTTGATCGCGATCCTACGACGCAGTCATCACGAGTTTGCTATTTCTCGCACTGTACGATCGTCGCCGGAATGCATTCGTGGCACAGCCGCTGCTTGCATGGGAGTGCGCAGCCATACGATTAACCTCCCCCGCTCATCCTTGCATCCCCATTCAGAAGATAACCATGAGCCCGTGGAGGCTAAACTGGACGGTGCTACCTGGGTTCATGGTCCCACCATGCCCAGAAACGACGACACCGCTCGTCACTGCAGGAGGCATCAATGTTTTTGTGTACAATGCCATCTTCACCCATTATATCGCCACATGCCTAGTAGGGTTTCCGCTCGGTGAGCGAGATGGTGTTCGCAGCGATGTTGAACGTCGCGACGACGTTGTGTAAGAAAGTATCGCCCCTATCACGCGCAGAAAAGAACGTCTCAGCAAACTTTCGTCGCAACCTCGCAGTCTGTTGCTCTGGTACTCACAGGATGAAGATGTTGCCATCCTCGTCCGGCCCGCCGTCCTGCGTTCCAGAGATGCAGAGCTGTTTGCCCTTCTCGTCCGCGCCGATGGGCAGGATGTTGTCCTTCCCGCTCACGCTGAACTCGACACCGCCGATGGTCACCGCGAAGTCGGGAGCGGTCGCGTTGCAGTCGACGTAATACGTCCCTTCGTCCTCGACGTACTTGGCCGCGGGCTTAAAGCCTTTGTTGAACGCCTTCGCGATCTGTGACAAGACAACCACGAGTTAGAATGTGCGAAGGTAACCGTGTAGTGATATAAAACGCACGGGGGTGGGGACGTAGTTGAGCGTGGTGCCGGTGTCGAGGATGGCAGAGCCGTTGGTCGCGAGCTTATGCGAGCCGGGGAAGACGTACGAGTCGACGTCGACCGTGTAGAAGAAGTCTTCCTTGGCTGGCGAAGAGGACACCGTGTAGCCCTGGACGGCTACGGTGGTGGTCTTGCCCGTGACGGGGACGGGGGCGATACCGCCGAAGGCGAGGTAGCCAAGGTGGGGATCGAGGGTCGAGTTTTGTTCGGCGGGGATCGAGCCGCGGTCAAGCGCGATGGAGAAGACTGCATGGGTCCCTTAAGTCAGCTTTCCAGAAGAGAAGGTACGTGGAAGAATGACGCACAGGGTGAGGAAACCTTTCTTTCCTTCACGGCGGTGAAGAAGAACGGGTCGTACGGGACAAAGTTGGAAGACGAGTCGTCATCCGGGTTGGAGCCGTTGTACACGCTCGTGATCCCGGGGTACGCGAGACCGATGAGCCCAGTGTTGACGCCGTCGCCGTCCCATGCCGCAGCGGTGACCACACCGATCTCCTGCTTGGTCACAGTGAGGCCGCCAACGGTGACGGTGTCGAAACCGACGGGTCCGTTCAAGAACTCGTTGTCGCCGTAGGTGATGTTGAAGTTCTTATCCGGGTATGACACGAACGTCTTTGATTTAGAGGGGTCGAACCCGGGCGTGCCAAAGGCACAATCGGCCGCAGGCTGAGGCGTGTCGGAAAGGTCGAAGCACTTGAAGCCAACCTCCGCGAGCCATGTATCGGAACTGGAAGGCAGTAGGCGCGATGAGCGACCTGAAAATGGAGTATTGTACGCGCCGCACACACCTTCCAGTATCGACGATGACCTTGAAGCTCTGACCGCCAACGGTGATGTCGGTCAGGTACTCCTCGTCCTGGTCCGAACCAGCCAGCGTAGAGGTAGGCGTCTTCGAACCCTTGCCCGGCTTGCCACCGCGGAAGCCGCGGATGGCTTGTATCATCTCCTTCTTGCGCGAGCTGCGGGGCGCCTTCGCCGTCAGGCTGACGGCGAATTCGGCCGCGGGCAGCGTCTCGGGCACCGCGTCGGCCTTGATCGGGAGCGAGACCGGGCGCACGGTGTGCGTCGTGGCGGCGCTGGCGGAGCCGGCAGCGGCGGCGAGGACGAGGAGCGCGAGGCGGGCCATGGCGGGAGGGTAGGGCGACCGGTGGTGTGGGGTGTCATGACTTCGGCAGCGCGGGCGTCTTTATGTAGTGACGAGGTGAAGAAGTCGAAGGGAGGAGCATATGGACGACCGGAAGGGCGTATGACGACTACGTTGATTGCTATTCTTAGCGCATGTGTTCTATTGCCGGTCGCGGTACCGAAGGTTGCTGGTAATAATATGTGCGGGTCGACGTTCGTCGATGGGATTGCTGATCCTTGATGTTAGGCTGAGTTGATAGGTGAGTTGAAGAGGCAGACGACCTTCAGGGGATGTCCTGGCGACGGCGACTTACTCGTGATCGCCCATCAGCGTTGACATCGTGCACAGGTTATTCTGAGCCCTTGCGCACAAACCCCGGACGAGAATCCTGGAAGCATATCGCGTGCTCAGCGACCGCTTCGCAATGCGGCGAATACACAACGCGATTAAGGTAGCGTATATATGCGGTCACTTTTGTCGACCCTTCGACCGCAGAGGATTGATGTTCAAACTCCTCGTTTCCTTCCGTATCAGTGACCTGGAGGTCCTGAGCTCTTGCAAATCATATGGTGCTCATGTAAAGGGGGGCGAGGAGCGTCGGTCCGCGAACATGGGTTTTCATATCGTGGTGGATGGAAGGTGCATACAGGGCTGCCTTGTGGACGGAGCAATCGAAGGGAGCGCAGACTCAACGGAGAAGAGTGACAAACTACAGTGACTGATGCCAGCTCACGCGTGATGGTACTCAGTGATGCCGTGACGCCGTGACCCGGCGCTTGGCCGCTTTGGGTACGACCTCGAACAAGCAACCACAAACACGAAAGCGCTTCGGCGAACTTCCTCGTCCCTGCTTGGTCACCACTTCCACGAACCCAAAGTCTGTTGCCTCGAGATCTAGAGGACCCCCCAATGCCCGTTACACCTAGGATGGTATAGGTCCTCCGAACACGATGTATGACATGGACTCCTATATTGTATTCGACTTCGACGTTCGCTTCGGGTGCAGTATGCCACGTTCATACCACGTTCTTCGACAATTCGCCGCTTCGCTCACAGTCGATGCGCGGTCAAGCAACCAAGGTCGTTAGTCACAAACTAAGACATACAGGACGCTGGTATGAGAGCGCGGTGTCATACCGATTCGGCGCGTGATGCAATCCATGCCCGTTAATGGCGACTCTACGCTCTCCGCGCGTCCGACGAGATACCACAGTAGGACGGGGAACTGAAAGTGGAAGCACATCGCACCCTGAGCGTGCTATGCCCTTTACGATACCTCCCGCTGAAAAGCGGCGACGATCCCTCTTCACCTGCAGAACATGAAAGCTTGTCGCTATCGCCCATACACTCCCAGAATCCACCTCGAGCATTTGCCCACTGACCCTGAGGCGTTTGCACCATCGCATTAGTCACGGGCAGTCGTCTCGTCTGACCGAGCTCCGCAGTCCCGCCGGTATCGCCGTCGCCCTACGCTTCTCATCACGCGCCATGGCGGTCGTGAATCCCATCACAGCAAAGAACCAGCCAGCCTTCCCTTCTTCCTCGGGGAGAGCGGGATAAGCTGGCGAGCGTTCTTCGTACATATTCGCGAGGCCGTGGTTGCGCAGCACAAAGGCAAACAATATCAAGGGAGGCCGGCGAGTTCAGTCACCGTGGTCGCTATTCCGCAAAGATGTTCGCCCTAGATCTTACCTTCTCAGCCGCGCCTCGCGGCCAGAACCTTTGTACCCATTCTTTTATGTACGACACGCGCGGTGCCTTTGGCGGTGACAACGCAGCTTGGAAGGAGAAAAAAGCGGGGGTGAAAGGCGTCATGTGTCGCGTTCGGCGCGGCCAGAGGTCTCCAGAGGCTTGGGTTTCGACCCGTCATCGCGCAGCGCTTCTGGTGGGCGGAAGCAAAAAGAACAAGGAACACAGACAGGCCACGCGCGTCCGCGTTGCCGCATGTACCGATTCGGGACCCTGTCTCCACGTCACTCGGTCTGCTGGAAATCGTGATTTCACGTTCCACAGGCCTCCAGGCCGCTCGCGGACGCCGTTTTAGGCAGCGCGGATCCCTATCCAACGCAAGGGATCAATTGAGACTGTGCGACGGGAACGGCTGGGCACGCGGTGTGTGATGAGTTGAGAGGGCACCTTATTGGCGCGCTGGATTGCATGGTGGTTGGCCAGGGTACGTATACAACAGTATCGACGGGTCGCGGGATCACTAAGCATTACTTAAACTAGGGTCGGGGGGCGAACTATGCACAAGGGATTAAATATCTGGTCGAGCGATACTACCTGGGAATAGAACAGTCAATGAGCATCCACGCGCAGACGAACGAGTCGAGGAAGTACTCACAGGATGCAGATAGTGTACATGCACGCGATATGGCTTGACAGATGCGGGAGACGAGAAGGGCTGGAATGCGGCGAGAGAGAACGACGGGGGGGGATTGCATGATGGAGACCGAGAGACGGGCGATCACGGAGATAAGGTCAGAAGAGCCTTGACGCGGAGGAGTCACTTGTTGCGCTTTTCCAGATGGCGGAGGATAGTCAGCGTCGCAATGATTTCTGTAACCACAACGTTCAGTACCTGCCGAAAAGAGGGAGACATCGGGGATAGGTCTCACCGATAGCGTGCCCAACGTACGCTTCCTGAATGTCGAGAACGTATTGCGTCGCGTTCGGTTCCTTCACGTACAACGCAGCGGAGTAATTGCTATTGGTGATGCACTAGTATAACCATATCAGCGCCGCTAGAGAGAACGACCAGAGAAAACCAACCGTGTATTGGTCCTTTGCATTGTCTCGCACCCAGAAGTACTCGGTGCCGTCTCTGGTGACGAACCGCCGGCGGCTGCATTACCGGAGTCAGCCTCTCCCCAGAACGGCGACGAGGTCCACATGCACTCACCCATTCGACACGGCCGTAAGATAACGATGAGTGGGGACGAAGTCACTGTCCCGGATGGATATCTGGCCAGCGGACCCGTCGTTCGGGAAGTCGATGACGACGACGGGGTCCGGGCAGCCACCGCGTATCATGCGCGTGCGGTCATGGCGGTCGTAGATCATGTACGCGGTGCGGATGTTGTCGTGCGCGGTGCGTCGGAGGGCGATATGCATCCGGTCGTACATGTCCTTGTAGTCGGTTCCGGAGAGCGAGCCGGAGGAGTCCGTGAGCAGGTAGGGCACCCCAGAGACGACTGTAGTCATGGTCGAGAACGTTTAGGACAGGAGGGACGGCGCGGTGCGAATGGAGGGGAGGGGGGTTGGAAGCGACGGGAGGGAGAAGAAACGCGTCCTTTATATATGTTGCGATGATATTTCAACCGCAATCGCGGGGCGCGTCGCGAGAGAGGACCGCGAGGCGTGATATCCAGGATGGATAGATCGATTGGATGCGATAAATAAACACGTCGCGATGGCCATTACCCAATTTGTGCCGTAACGGGTTGGGTAATGGGCAATCGTCGTTCGGTGGGGAATCTGACATCTGGAGATGCAGCCAGGTCGTTGGAAGCAAGGGGGGGACGGGAGGACGTGAAAGGGTTCTCAGAGAGGAAAGCCCGGGCCTGCGTGGGGACACCTGCCGAGAAGGGTTTAGCGCGTGCGGTCCATCGGGGGGGCCCGATACGTGGACGTGAAACGTCATAAAATCGTCGTTAACCACACTGGCGAGTTTCCCGGTTATCAGCGTGCGTGTCGATCGTAATCTGGCGAAAATCTTTGGCGCTGAAATTGGGATGAAACGCCTCCACTGCAGGTGCCCCTGCGCCGTCTCCCTTTGCGCTGGATACTGTGGTTATGGCTACCCAGCGGCTCCCAGCGTGGTATCTGGTGCACGCTCGACCCGCGTTTATGCAGAGCGTCCGATGGCCAGAGTAACGCCGAGGGGGACGAAGAGCCAGAAGGATTCAAGGAGTCCTTGGCGCCTGGCTGTCGCCGGCAGTGCCCGAGCGGGCGTTTATCGTACGCGGTGGCGGTGTCCAGCCGGATTCTCTCTCCTTTGTCTCGCCAACATCAGGCCGACATCGCGCGCACGAAGCAACCAACGCTTTGGCGCAAGTTGGCGTCATACGTGCTCGTCGAAGCATCCCCACAGACGCCATCCCTGTCATCCTCTCGCCAGCAGGCCGGAACGCACCCTGATAATGTCTTGCCCGAGCCGATCTACGCGTGATCTCCTCCGAAACAGCATTGTCCTCGCGACAACACGTGTATACTGTGCAATCGGCCTTCGGATCGCGGGTATGACTGCCGCGATAATCTCTCACCGAGGGCAAGGATGTCCTTCATACCTACCTGCTTCGTCATCTTGGCGGAGGACGTAGCGATCAAAATCACGTTGGCGGAGCTCGAGGCTGGCGCGCTACGCATCGTCCGGAAGGCTCGGAACACGCTCGGTTATGCCGCTGTAAGCCGGCATCACGCTCCGGCTTATGCATTGTTCACCGGACCGCACGAGGATGGTCATGCCGAATCCAGAAGATGATTTGACAAGGCGTTCGCTGCCCTTTGTCCCCCCCTTTTGTTCCTTTGCGCACTGATGCCATCAGAGTTCCAGGACCTATGGGAATAAGTCATGACGCGACCCGGTTCGCGCGTACACGATTCGAGCAGGAGTTGCACGCACTATCTCCTTCTGTCGCCTTTGGTGGACTTGCTAGCTCAGATCGACTGCTCGGCTAGCGCTCTCCTGGTCCGCAGCATCTACGCTAGTCGTCTCGTTTCAGGGAGCACTAACGCCATACTCGGTATAACATATTTCTGCACCCTCGGCCTCAGTTGGTGTCCTGAAAACATCATATTGGTTCAATCACGACGTCGACCAACCGCTGGAGAGAACAAATATACGGTGGAACACGACCGAATCTGCGGTCACCTCTTTCGTGGTCCTTTCAGCCACTAGCTATTGAGTGTCGGGTCTGGCCCTTATTGTGAGCTTGGTGAGCATTCTCTTTGCACCTGCGTGGCTGTTCCCAGTGCTTGTTTGGCACAGGCAGCTGGATAACTTGAGTCATTTACACATGCGACCGAATTGGGGTACTACCGCATTCTTCCAGTCCCTCTGCTACCAATTACTGCATTTCCTCAGCCGCTCTCAATCGATCCATTTGACAGCCACTCGAGTCTTTTTCCAGCGACACACGGACGTTTTCAGACACTGAATACCGACGGACGCAGTAGACTCGGAGCGGGCCCGTAGTCGTGCGGCTCGTGCCAAGTGAAAGAGGACCGAAGGGACGTCACATTGCTTGTGTTGTCTCGTCTTAGTCAACGATCGCGGTGACACGTTTGTGGAGGGTCGTAAATGTTGTCTGGAAAAAATGGGAATTGGGACCTTCTGGAACCGCAAAGCGCATGATGAAGAAGCGTTAAATGGGCGGTCATCGACCGCGTGCGGGTACGCATGCTCTGAGCCACTATAGACACGTAATTCCCAATCCCGTCGGTGGTATTCAGAGACTTCTGGCTATGTCGATGTCTTGTGGCAGGATCTGAGACGGATCGGATTCAAACGAATAAGTCAAGTTATCCATTGCAATGCTTACCCTGATGTGATTTTGCGCGTTCAAGTTCATTGACTGGGAACATTGCAGGTGGCGATGTGGTTTTGAGCCTGTAGCCAGAGATTAATCTCATTAGAAGGCGGGGACAGTGTGTAGACGGCGCGCGCACTATGAGGTCAAGATAACATGCCTACTATTCATCTCTAGATCCGCGAGATCCGCCTCTCCATAATCCTTCCTGAGGAATGCCCCCGCCCTCGTGCGGCAATGGCTGCCTAGCCGCAGCGGCACCGCGCTTTTGAGTTGAGTTTCGCAATTAAATGACGCGGAGTCGCTGGTGGTTCGTCAAGGACGCGTGATGGTAGCGTTGCGAGTTGCATAATGAGAGGCAAGTCGATATATTCGGACATGACTATCCTCTTCAGTTTTCTATATGTGGGGTGAGCCGGGGAAATGCTGATTAGAATGACCTTCTCTCACTAGTATCCCAAGCTTGACTGCCAGAGAAAACATTACATTGTTGGTCATGAGGGGCGGGAGAAGGAGGACGAGCAAAGCACTGACGGAATCAATTACGCGTCTTTTCGAAAGCGGACGAGGCGGGTCGACGGTCAACGTCTGCTGCGGTTGTAGTCGACATTTTCCCTTGTGCATATTCAATTGAACCCGCAATGAATCGTCTTGTGCCGGTCACCAGTCAAAGGGAGGCGTAAGGAGGACGTCGGTGGTCACGGCGGTTCATGGGGGAATCGGTGCCTGACCGATCCTGCGGGTAGCACGACGTCCATGGTGACAAATAACATCGTCGTCTGACTCTCAGGCGCATTGCAATTGGCACGCACATCATCGGCGGAGAAAAGGTTGGTCACTGGTGTCGTCATCGGGACAAGGCTCTGCGAGAAGGGGGAATATCTCCCAAGTCGAGTCCTAATATCCAGGCGAAGATTTTGTGATGATAGAATCAACGAAATCGACGAAACGCTAACTCCCGACCGGCGTAGAAACGCATATGATTTTCCTCCGCGGGGAAGATGTCCCTTTGAGGCACACCAAGAGTCATGAGCAAGGTCAGCCTCGGAGATACTGCCTTCGAAGCGGCAGATAAGGGAATAAGCCTAGCGCTTGAACCATCCAGGAAGAAAGATTGATTGGCGCATCCCGCGGGCGCTGCCTGGGTCAAGGCGGACGAGGAGCGCCACGTACCGTCCACCACCACCGCCATTTCCAGTTCTACTTACACGAGGTTGTCATTATGGTGAAACCCAGTCAGCGGCAGTTGCGGTGCTTAGGAAACGGAAATGGAACACGTGTTTCTGCGACCGCCACGCCGCCAACAGCCTCAGGGCCGGAACGGCGCCCACCCATCCCTCGACATCCACCGTGAGCCTTTGAATTACCGTCCTGGAAAAGCTGCAACGGCGCCAACGAATGCCACTTTACGTCCATGCCGCACCGGGGAAACCGGGGGCGGGCACAGGCCATGCGAAGTGTCGTAGACATCTGAGCTCTGTGCGGTCGCGGGACTAGAACAGTGGTGCGAGCGCGCCGCCGTCTGAACGTCGAGTGAGAGGTCCGGAGACCCACTGACAAGCCTGGTGAATATAGGACTCGGTACCAGAAGGAGCTGTGCGACGGTCAAGGGTGTGAGCCGCCGAGTGGCGACCCGTAGGACACGCCTTGAACACGCATAACGCTTGAATTTTCGTTGCACCAATGACCAGGACGCCAGCATTGGCTTCGCACGCCAATACGTCAGGACTTTTCGAGGGTGGCGAGGTTTGAAAGTTGAGTCGAGGCTTCATCTCTGGGCCTGGGTGCAAAGCAGGGTGCCCGGATTGATTGGCAGGTGAGTTTGAGCATCGTGCACGATAAGCAAGGAGCGGATAGTACTCGAAACGGGTGGTCTTGTCGTTATCACGTCAATGACGAATTCGGGTGCCCACATATGAAGGAGGCGATCGTACGAAACGGCGAACACAATCGTGGGATGGGCGTTGCGGACCGTGATATACGGAGATGAACACTCGGATATGATTCGCCACCGCCAAAAGGGCCGGATCGTCCGTCGAAATACTCGATCGACCGTTTGTTTTCAGCCTGAAACGAACACAAGCCACAGGACTGTGCAAGACGGAAATCAGTTTTTGTATTTCCGGAGTCTACGATACGAACGAACACGGATCACGCCTGCAAGCTCTGCGGCGCCCTTCAGCGACCCCGACCCCACTGCCGGTCGCCAGAGCCAGGCGCCTCCCTGCGAGCGTTCGACTCCCACCTCATGCGATCCCGCTCCCGCTCCCGCTCGCGATCTCGCTGTTCATACTCCAAGCCCTCGTCTCGACGGGGCCTCGGCGGCGTCCGCGCAAGTGAGCGAGAGCGCGATCTCCGACGTCTGTATTCCGGCGAGTCATGCCGCCGGCGGACGGGCGACGCGGAGCGCCTCAGCTCCCTCTCCGCGGTGTATCGCCGAGGCCTGTCGCGCTCCCGCTCCGGCTCGTTTCCATGGCGCCGCGCAGGGGAACGGGAACGAGACTTGGACCTGGGCGGCGAGCTGGCCCGCGAGTGCCCTCGGGCGCGGCGTCGTTCTTCCTTCCGAGCGCGTCTCTCCTCCTTCCGGGCACGTTTTTCCTCCTTCCGCCGGCGTTTCTCTTCTTTCTCCTTCAGTTTCTCCGTGAGCGCGTCTGGGTCGAGCGCGGACGTGTCCAAGGCGACGGCTGGCGGAGGTGCTTTCGCCGAGGGCGCGACGGGGACGGCGTTTGCGCCGGAAACGGTTCCAGTGCCGGCTCCGGCGCCGCCTGCGGTCTTGGATGGTGCGAATCCTCTATAGAGCGGCGTTTCAGAAAGAGAGAGAGAGTCAGACACGGCACCGGATGGCGCAACGGGGAGGTCTGGAATTCACGCACAATGCAACGGCCATGGCTTCGGCCTCGGCTTCTTTGACCTTGCGGATCTCCTCCAGCCTGTCTGCCTCGCTCTGCTGCTTGTCACGGTTGTACCAATGCACATCCTTGTTCTTTTGCCATCGTCCTGTCGGCGCGTTGACACTGTGCCCGAGGTAATGCTGCCATGATGTTGATCAACACCGACACCGGAGAGAGTATGTGGAGAGTGTAATACGGACCTCTCTGTCCTTGTCTGCGGATACGTCCGACCACTTAAACTCTCCTTGTCCGCCGCGGGTGCCACCCCTTGTAGGTTCGAACATAGCTAGGCTGACAACTCTGGAAGCCCAAAGTGTCGCGAGCGTGGGTGGCGAAGACCGAGGGTGGCCGCACTGCCACAGTGGTATTCCTTTCGATCGTCGGACACGTCTGGGCTGAGCGTGAATGGTGGCCAGCTTAGTTGCGAATACCATCTGGACGATCTCTTACGGATTATATCACTAAAATCTCTGTGACTGCATACCCCGCTGAAGTATACTCGCTGGAGGCCCGCCATAACGAGTCTGGAAAAGATCCAGGATGGCCAGGCCGCCGCCCTTGAGGCGTAGCACCACCGCGGCAGCGGCAGCAACACCTCCGCCCAAGCTAAAACCGGTCATCAATCTGGAGGAATGGGACGCGAAGACGCAACTCAGCGAGTCTGCGCTGCGGACCGTGCACCGAATCGAGCTGGCCAGCAAGAAAACGCCTTTGCCACCGAAGGTCAGCCCGAACTCGACCGGTGCTTGCGTCCTTTTTGTGCATCTGATGACGGAGAGAAAGTCTAGTTTAGCTTGGAAGATCCGGAGAGTTCATCTCGTCCGTCCACCCCTGCTGGACTCCGCAACAAGCTGGGTGGGATAGCGGGCGGCTCACGGCCGTCTACGCCGTCCAATCGCCAGCACACGAGTACACATCCGCTCCACCCCAAAGCACCCATTCAGACGCCCCAACAGTTTTACGACTGGTACGCGCTCATCGAGCGGTCGGTCGCGCGCAGCCAGGAGGCGCACTTCAGGGCACATCTCGACAATGTATCGTCGCACCTCGCTACTTGCGAGGAGCTTGCGCACAAGATCGACGAGGTGGACGGAGATATTTCGGGGATGTTGGAGCATTGGAAGCTTGTCGAGGATGGGGGGAAGAACTTGAAGGAGGCCTGTGAGCGCCTTCTCGAGGAGAGGGTGAGCAGCCGTCTTTCAAATTATCTCGCGCTGCTATACTGAACGAAGAAACTAGGACAGGTTGATCGGCACGACGGAGGAAATTGGACAACGACTGGAGTATTTCCAGGAACTCGAGCATGCGACTCGCATGCTCAATCATCCCGGAGAGTCGCTCGTCTTGCAGTCGGATTTCCTGTACATGGTAGAGAGGGTGGACATCTGCATCCAATACATGCAGTCTCACGTGGGTGTTCACGCTTCGAACCTCAACCCGGGTCTGACACGACTTCACAGCGGCACTTCCGCGAAGCCGAGCTGTACCTCCTCCGATTCCAACAATGCATGACCCGTGCCATGACACTCATCAAGATGTTCTTCGTCGGTTCCCTGCGCGCCCTGACGGCCGACGTTACGCGTCGCATATCGGAAAAGGTGAACCTCCCATCCGCTCGAGCAACGCAGTCGGCTCATGCAACCGCACAGGACGTTTCCCTCACCGCCCAATCTCATCTCTTGTACACCCGCTTCAAGACTGTCGCGAACACCGTTCGCCCGCTCTTGAACGAGCTAGAACGAAGAGCCGCCGCCCACCCGGAGACGCTTTCGGGGCTGCTGGACGACTGCCATCAAGCCTATTTCACAGCGCGCCGGCGACTCCTCATCGACCGGCTCACGGAGGAGATCCGAGGCCTCGACCCTTCACGGACGGAGTTGGTGGAGCTTGTGCGTTCGCCCCTCGATATTCATGCCAATCGTTGCCCCGTTGACCGTGACGCGACGCATGTGCATTTAGACCAGAGCGGGATGTAGCTACCTCAAGCAGGTGTGCACGGACGAGTTCATGCTTTTCCGATCGTTCTTCAACTCTGGCGAAGAGCTGCTCTAGTGAGTCTCCTAGCTCCCTGACGGGTAACCCGAATCTCATCTAGCCTAGCGAATACCTCGAGAAGCTGTGCGACTATCTCTACGACGACCTTCGTCCTCGTATCCTCCACGAACAGCGCCTCAGCGCCCTCTGCGAAGTCTGTACCGTCCTGCAGGCGCTTATGGTGCTCGATGTTCCAGTCGTCGAGGACGGCTCCGACGACGAAGACGACGAGGATCTGCTTTTGATGATGGACCCCACGGCAGGCGGAAAGGCCGACCATCGCGGCCTGAGGCAACTCCAGATCGGCCACCTGCTCGAGATGGTCTTGCAAGACGCGCAAACCCGGCTGTTCTTCAAGGCCCAGGCGGTCATTCAATCGGATATCCGGTACTACGTACCCATAGCGGAGGACCTTGCATATCCTGACAAGCTGGTCGGTCAGTGCACGGGAACCCTTGGTAAAAAGATATGACGCAGCTGAGATGCTATATAGACGCGCGGAAGCCTCCACCGAGCAACGCGATCCGAGAGAAGGAGAGTGTCAGCGAGTTGTTCCATCTTCCGTCGATGGAAAGAAGGAGCACGTGGTATCCGACATTGGAGAGGACGGTATGGGTCCTGTCTCAGTTGCACGACTTCGTCAAGGTAGGTTACGGATCTGTCTCCTCAGGCGATCATCAGCCACTGATAATCTTCCTGAGCAGCCCGAGATCTTCAATGACATGGCTCACGAGGCCATCAGCGTGTGCCTACAGTCGCTGGTCGTCGCGTCCGACCACATCAAGCAGCGGAACACGCCTAACAGCGCCTTGGATGGTGCTCTCTTCCTCGTTCGCCACCTCTTGATCTTGAAGGACATGACGAATACGCTGGACCTTGCCTCCAGGGCATCCGATTCTGTGACGGATCCTCACGGAATCAATGGTGAGTCAATAACGAGTATTTAATTGTGACATGGCTCGAACTTTGCTTGTAGAAACGTTAGCCAACGTGTTGGGCAGGACGACATCACTGCTGCCCGCCGCGCTCTTCACCTCGCTGGGGTTGCCCCATGGCGAAGAGAGTATCTCGGACGCCAAGCATGTTAGCACTAGCGTTTCGTCAACACCCTCGGGAGCAGATGCACTGACCCAGATCAACACAGGGCATCGACAAAGAGCTCCAGCGCGCCTGCGAGGAAGTGATCTTCCACTGCGCGGAGCCCATCTGCGCGCCGCTGCGGAACTGGCTCGATCGCGCCCGGATGTACAACCAGCAGAAACACGAGGCGCCGCTGATCTCCCAGGACTGGGCGACGCAGCCGAGGGCGGAGGAGCTCGAGAGCCACTTCAGGCTCGCGTGCGAGCGCGATCTGAGGGCGGCGGTGATCAGGATGAAGCTGTACCTCGAGGACGAGCGGACGGTGGGCGTGCTCGTGGTGCACGCGCAGGAGCGGATCGTGGATGAGTATGTGGGGTTCGCGGAGATGGTGGGGACGCTGTATCCGGGCGATATGCGGTCGAAGCTGATGTCTGTGGAGGAGCTGAAGGGGATGTTGTGGAGGGTGTGTAATGAGTCGGGGCCGTGACGGGGCCGGCCGATTGGGATTTTTCTCGTAGCATATTTTATGGGCCTTCTTCGTCACTCTTCGTTGTCCCATGGCCAGGCGTGGAGGTTGCAACGACTGCATGCCTCACACTTGGCGCCTGAACCTCATTGGACGCTGGCAGCTGGCAAGATCTTCACACGGGCTGCAGTCCTCCCGACTCGGGCTCCCGACGCTCTCCGGCTCTCCCTCCTCCTTCGACTGGTGTTGTGCACGGACGATCTTCAATCAAGAGCACGTCTCTGGAGTAAGGATCCGGACTCGATGATGGCTGGCAGAGTATAGGACCTGGATCACTTGCCCGCTCGACGTCGTTTCGCTTCCGTTTGGTCTGCTCAGCCCATCGACCGGCATATGCGGTAACGTCAAACGCTCGTTTGCTATCAAGATCGATACAGGAAATTCTTGCACATATGTATGTGCTACGACGCGCAAGGCGATCCCGGAGGCGTTGCCGATCACGTTGTATGCCTTAAATCTGCGCCATTACTAGCGTATGCTTCGCTCGACTTTCAATCGTGGACCAGTACTTTGCTCAGCACATGGACTCACGCATCTTGATCTTGGGCTCAAGCGTTCATTCGCATTCGCCTGCGAGCCAGGAGAACGTGCACCTCCATGGTTTGCGGCGGCGTCCTCGGATTCTTTTGAACGCCATGTGCCATGCCCTACGGCCGACGGATGTCCAATGTATGCAAGATTGCGAAACCATCTAATGACAATGCTGGACCAACGTGGAGCTGCACATGCTAGCGAGCGTAATTTCCTCGCAGCTAACCCCCATTCGAGCTGAGCCCTCCGTTATACAGGGCTCCTCTGCCTTCACGGCCCTTCGCTGTTACCGCTCAGTAAATCCACAGACCAACGACTCCTCTACCCTTGCTGTGCCTTTGTTTTCATCTGTGAGTATCTTTGGAGGTTCTAGACGCTGTTTCTGACGTCTTCGAAACCCACAGACATATAGACTTTCATTGGCCGTTCCCCCCATGCCGCCTCCAGCCGACATGCAGAATAAGGCTCCCTTTCCGTCTCGACGATTCTGACAGTGAACAACGTGCTGGAGGCACGCCGTATCTCCTGCTTGTCGCCGGAAGACCGGGCACGGCGTTCCATGTGAAGTGGGCCATTCACCCTTCCCTTCGTCTCCATTTTTGGCTTATCGTGCCGCCATCATGTGTTTAGGGTCCGCCCGCTCTGCCGTCATCGTCAGCGACGTCGACGAGCAGCGTCCTTCAGCACTCGACATGTCCCATGGTGGTCAATGTCGACGGTGTGGGCGCTCGCAGCATGCCGGCGGACGAGGTCGCTGTGGCCGGTCGTCCGAATAACTGGGGGATGGGTTCGGATGCACTTATCAGGCGATGCGCGTCACTCCGAACATTTCCGACTCAATGCGGTCAGACCTCGGCATCGCCCAAATCCTCGTCTTCCGCCATATTCATCAATATCTTGTCGTCCCTGCGATGTGTCGTCTCGTCGAGCACGTCTGCCCGTTGTGTATGCGACCTTTTTCGCGCTGTGTAGCACGGCCGTGTGGAATATTAGAGTTGATTTTGCGGTTATTTTGACTTGGTGGATACGCGTGACAATTTAGCGTGAGAATGCCGAGGAAGGGGGGGGGGGGCGATCAACTGAGTCTGGAGGCCTCAAACTCTTCCACCACCGACGCGCTTCACTCCCCCGCCAAGCTCGCCTGCGCCACTGACACGAAAATGCCTTCAGCTAAGGGAGCCAAGGGCGCGCAGGCGACCTCCTCCTCCTACGAGGTCCGCGACATCGTCCTCGCCAAAGTGCGCGGCTTCCCCGCCTGGCCCGGCATGGTGCGTTGGCGCGTCGGAACAATCCTCCCTTCGCCCCCTTCCCCTTTCCTCTGACCTCGGTTTTTTTTGGTCACCCAGATCGTCGACCCGGAGGACATACCCGCGAACGTGCGCAGGGAGCAGCCGAACAGCAAGAAGACGACGTTCTACTGCGTGCGCTTCTTCCCCGCCGGCGACTAGTGCGTGTCCTCAGGAGCACCTTTTTTTATTTTTATTCACGCGTCCTGGTCGCTGACCGTGCCCCGTCCAGCGCTTGGACGATCGCGAAAGATCTCTCCAAGCTGCAAAAACACGAGATCGAGGCGTACATCAACGAGCCGTTCCGCAAGAACGCCGACCTCCTTCAGGGATACAAGATCGCGCTCAACCCCGAGAAGTGGGAACAGGAACGCGAGGCCGCGCTCGAGGCAGAGGCCGAGGCGCTCGCCGAGGTCGACGAGCTGGAGGGCGAGGAGGAGGAGGAAGAAGACGAGGACGCGCCCAAGAAGAAGAAGGCGGTCGCGAAGAAGAGAAAACGCGAGAGCGAGAGCGCGCCGGCCTCCAAGGCCAAGGCGACCAAAGCGAAGGCTAAGAAGGACTCGGCCGAGCCTGCGGGCAAGAAGAAGGCGACCAAAACCAAGTCAAAGTCAAAGGCGGTGGTGGAATCCGAGGATGAGGGTGCAGGAGAGGACGACGCGAAGCCCTCCCCGCCTCCTGCCAAGAAGTCTAAGCGGGAGGAGGAAGATGAAAACGGTACGGGCCTTCTGATGGTGCTTCTTGGCTCAAATTGTGGCTTATTGACCCCCCTTAGCTGCCCTGGCGAACGACAAAGAGGCGCAAAGGGTCAAGGACTGGAGGCATAAGCTCCAGAAGGCGTTCTTGGGCAAGAATCCATCACCAGACGAAGTGAGGACTCGAATTTTCGCTCGTCGCAACACTTCTTACCGCCAAGCTAGGCCATGCCCGACGTAGATAAGCTCCTTAAGGAGGTGGAAGAGTACGACGGGATGTCTATCGCATATCTCCAGGTACGGATACACATATTCTGCCACGTCAGCATGCTGAAGGCCCGGTTTCAGTACTCAAAAATTGGCAAAGGTTCGATTTCTCGCCGACTTCTAGCGCGTATTTTGACTTGCTGACTAACATCCACTAGTGATGCGACACGTCACCTCCAAGAAAGACGACGAGATCCCTCGCAACGACGACTTCAAGTTCAAGGAGCGCGCGCAGGCGCTCGTGAACAAGTGGTCAACGATCCTCAGCGCGTCGAAGGGCTCGAACGGTACTTCGGAGGAGGCGAAGCCTGCAGCGCACGGAGACTCGATGGACGTCGACAAGGCGGAAAAGCCTGAGAAGGCGAACGGCACCGAAGAACCGAAGGAGAACGCGGAGGCCGCGGAGGCCAACGGCGACGCCGCTGCGGACGGCGATGCGAAGCACGACGTGTCCGTGCCCGAACCCGAGCCAGAGACGGAAGCGGGCGACGTGTCAGCCCTCGCCGACGTTACGATGTCGGAGGCATGAAATTGTTTTGCGAAGCGGGGCGAATACTGCTTGTGGGGGAGTTTCTGCTCGCCCCTTCGCTCCGGCGAGACGTTGTATGATTGTGCGCGGGCGTGGAGATGCGCACGACCGTTCGGCGCGCCGATTTTCTCTCCTGTGTCTCGACTCAGCCTTTAATCCTTATTCGTGTGCGCGACCTCGACTTTTCGCTCGTGTCCAGCGTCGTTTCAACGCCGAACTCGTATTCGGAGGGCGGCGCAACGGACCGTTCTACCTCATTTTTTTTTGGTACACATGTCCTTTTTGTAGCCTATGATACGATCGTATGTGTAGCCTTTATGGCTTGTAAATAGCGCGTGAACGTGCGTATTGGGCTCCAACTGCATGTGCTCGATGGGGACGAAGTAGTGCAGACACTCGCCGGAGCAAACGCGACGAAATTCGACTTCGTCTCGATCAACGTCCTCGAAGTCTATGTAAGCACTGATGGATGTCGGACTGCGAGTGTCTGACTAGTCCATTGCGCCTACTCAGGAACTTCACGTAACACAAGGGCGTACATACTACTTGCGTACGATCAAAACCATCACATGATATCCAATGCTTTGCTGCAAACCACCATGGCCGATTACGAACAGCTGTTCTCCAACTGTACGCTGGATGTTATCGTGCCCAGTGTCCAGGTCGAGTTCCCGAAGGGTCCCAGCAGCTCACCTGGACCCGAGTGGTGGTCCGCGTTGAAGGACGAAGCGCGAGCGCGAGACCAGACATTCTTCGGTGAGGTAGAACATCCTGTCACTCAGGACGCGCACAATACTGACCGGCTTTTTTCAGACGAGCTCCTAGAGTTCTGGCTCGCGTTGCGCATCGACAGTACAAACGCCGAAGACGTGCCCGCGGATCCTGCAAAACCGCCTATCCACATCCTGGCCTTCCTCGCGCACGTCCAAGTCGCCTTGGAGGCCATGTACATCGCGCCTGCGCCCACGCAGAGCAGCTCGACGCTGCGGACGCCGCCGAGGACGGCGGCGTCCATGGGCAGACTGAAGCCGCCTCCGCAGAAGCGCGGGGCCGCGGCGCAAGCGGGCATCTCTATATTCCCGCCCACGACTCCACATCCGACGCCCGCTGCGAACGAGGCGGATAAGCGCTATGCGAGGAGCGAGGGCACGATGCTGCTGGCTAGCGTGTGGGGCGAGAGTCCATCAAAGGAGGCGCAGGAGACGGAGACGTTCGCGCTGGCGTGGAATGCGACGGACAAGGTCTGGGTGGCCTTTTACAAGCTATCGTTGTCTGTAGGTGAATGCGCCATCTTGGTGGCTCACATACGGAGAGCTGATGCAATTGTAGCGTTTCTTCGGATGAATGTCGCCAACCCGTTGTTGTGCTTAACGGTGTCGGCGACGTTGCGTGATAAAGCCATCGCCGTCACACCCGCTCGACAACCGTTGCAAGATCTCATCGACGCAGTCGGCGGCCTACCCGCGGTGACATCCACCTCTGACGACTCATCGAGAGGCCTTGACGGCGACAAGCACACGAATGACCTCAAGGGCCTTGATGAGGTCAATCTCCTCGAGGGACTTGCAGCAGGTACGTTATTGCTTTATCACCGGCGCAGCCTCCATCTCATTCACCAATCCATAGCTCCTACGTTCTCCGATGACAAGTCACTTGTACTACCTTCGACACGATTGGGACCCTCCACCCGCAGACAGCTCTCTCTTGTCCCGCTTTCCGACTCACCCTCTCAGAATGCCTCTCCCGCATCCAACATGACGACGGCACGGACGGCTCTCACGGGTACTTCGACGATGCGCAAATCCTACCGCAAGACCCTTCCGGCCGTGTCCGGCTTCACCGTGCGCATGCGCACTGTCTTCGTGCCCTACGTTCTCCTGCCTTCGTCCAACGTATCGGACGAGCTCGAGGCGGGAAGCGAGGAGAACACCGTCGTGCTCTGCGTCGAGATCGACAACACGGGCGACTCAGGCGTTGGCTTTGCGGTGGAGAGCGTGGACGTTAACATCGGTGGCGAGGGTGCGACGGCCCGGTTGATAGGATGGGGAGAGACGGGGTTCCGCGACCCGGACAAAGTCTTTCCAATCCGGGCTGGCCCCTTGGAGCAGTACAACTTGCTTTATGCCGTGACGTTCTTGCGTCCGCCGGATGCGGACGAGGTGAGGCTCGGCCGACCCGATGCCAGGGCGGATCCACTCAAGGCGGGGGACTTGCAGAGGGCGGTGTCAATCGTGGTCAATGGGCGACCCTACGCCAAGCCCGAAGACGCTGCAACCAAGACCGAATACGAATATCCTACGCATCCGTTCTCCTCCCGATGGAACTGCATCCTCGATCTCTCTCCGCGACGGAATCGGACGAGCCTTCGCGATTCGCGCGACCTTGAGAGCTTCGGCCTCTCTTCCGCGCGGGACGCCCTCCCCGAACCCGCTTCACCTTTCCCGGAAATAATGAGTCCGCACACCGCCAAGGCATCTACGTTCGCTCAGGCGCAAACGCAGGCATCCCCCGCTGCTGTAGCAGGCAGTAAGCGGCATACACTCGCCGCGATTACCACTAATATGGATCCTGGACTGCGCAAGACGGTGCCAGCGAACTACCGCTTGTCGACGTCGATGCTAAACCCCGCCTTTCAACGAGACCGGGATTCGTTAGGGACGTACTTTCCCGCTGGCAAGGCGGGCTCCGCGACGGCGCTTCCACCCTCGATCAACATTCCGTCTGCTGGTAGACGTACGCCAACCACGTACGACGGCCCGAGCCCTGGCCCTGTGCCGCGCTCGCCCCCTCTTCCCGCTCTTCCACCCGGCGCAACTCGACCGAGCATCGACTCGAGCTTCGCGCAGGACGTGTACGCGGCCATACCCCCGACGCCCGCCTATCCGGCGTACGACCCGCAATCGCCGCTTCCCCCGATGGCCCATTCTCAGGGACCCGTGCAGGGGCAGCACGCGGACGCGGTGGGCGTCGGCCCCAGCGTGGAAGCCCGCAGGCAGAGAGGGGTCGCGATGAGGGACGGTGTGGGCGCCGTGACGCCCGGTACTCCGGGACCTACGGCCGGTCTGAGCACCGGCACTCCGACCGGGTTCAATCAACTTGGGTTTGGCCTGAGAGCGGCGGGATCTGTGGGGCCGGACGAGGGAGAGCCTATCGTGGTCTCTGTGAGCTTGCTACCTCAGGAACGTTCGCGAGGCTCCAGCACCGATGATGAAGTCGACGAGGACGAGGCGGATCAAAGAATATACCCATTGGACAAATTCACGCTGGACGTGTTCGTGTTCAACCAGTCGAGTTGGACCAGAAGGTTCGAGCTCAGCGTACCGGACAAGAGGAGGAGGCGGCAGGAGAGGATAGAGGGCACGTACTTTTCCGACGTGCCCGAGGTATCTGGTGGTGGAGTGGACAGCGCATTTGCGAGCTCCGAGGCTCCCGGAATCGTCGCGCTGGAAAATCGGATTCGTATCGGGTGCGTTGCGTCGATGGCGTCGGTGTTAGACAGGAACGGAATACGTGCTGATGCAGCATGACAGGCCGCTCAGGCCGTCGACGTGCCAGTCCATACGAATGGACTTCATGGCCCTCACACCTGGCGTGCATTGTGTTGATGCTCTCACATTGACCGATGTCGAGACCGGATATACCGTGAACATGCGGTGAGTGCTGGGCGCGCTGTCTTTAAGGGTCGTTCTGATCCAGCAACCAAAGGTCTGTGTTGGACGTTGTCGTCCACGAGGCCGGAGCGAGCTAGCCGACGACAATGAATGAGCAATGATTGGTGTCTGTCGGCATAGTAGCTGTCTCTCCGTCGGGAGAAGCAATTTGGAAGACGATTGTCCACTCTGCCTACGTACTGAAAGCGTTGCCATGCTGCTTGTGCAGTTCACTGCAGCCAGACCGGAATTTTGATATCAACGAACCCTGGAATTATCACTACAACAAATCTGGACGTCTGTCCGTGCGCCAAAAATCACCCCTCGATTTACAAGAACGTCGAAACACTCATGGATGTACTCGTGACGGACAACTCGTGATTCGTGGACGCGGCATGACATTATGCGCCGGTCTGGGATGATATGCTCCCCGTGTCCTTTTCGTTCGGCGGTGCAGGGGAATCACCAGCATGACCGCCCTCAACGGCGTCATGCTTGACGTCGTCGACGTAGACGACCTGCTCGTCTTCGTAGTTTGTCTCTTTGATTGTGCGGATCACAAGGAAGGCGAGTGGGAACGAGACGAGCATCATGATCCAGCTAGCTAGCTACGTTTCCAACATTGCACGATTAGCGAACCCCAGACGTCGAGTTCGGACAGGAAAGCTCACGAGTTCATTGAGGTACGGCGTTGCGACGGCGTCCATGCCAAAGGAGCCAGCGCCACCAGCGGACTGAATGGCCTTATATATGCCAGCGAAACGAGCAAGGCGGAAGGGGTCGTTGGTGATGGCACTCATAATCCAGTAAGCGAGGGCCTGGTAGCACGCGTCGTTGTAGTAGTCTAGTGCGGAAGTCGCATCAGAACGGACTCCTGCGCATAGCGCATAAACCGAGGAAAACGACCTACAAAAGAAGAAAAGGGGCCCTTTCCCTCTATACCTCGCCTCTTTGTAGTTGATGAGGCTGCCTTCGGCGAGCATTCGCTTTGCGTCCGTGCGATCGAATTTGACCTGCCAAGTGAGGGCCACCGCCCACACGATTATGGTGATGACGGTGACGACACCGAGGCCGATATATCCACGCGTGCGACCTGGACGTCCCACAGTCAGGGCAAACAAAGGAAACGAAACCGCGATGGACGTACGTCCGAATTTGAACCTGGAGGAAGGAGCGTCGAGCACCAGGTAGCCGATCATCAGTGCTCCGATGATGGCCCCAGCACCTTCGAGCGTCGCGTTGAGGGCCCTAGTCGGTCCATCGAACATCCCGGCGTTGACGGCAGCTTGGTAGGCGTAAAAGTAGTTGGAAGCGAAGAACATCGGGAGTAGGGCGGCAACGCGCCAGTCGGTGAACATGCGTGCCATGGCAACGAGCTCCGTGTGGATCGAGGAGTGTTTTTGAATTGTCACGAGCGTGCCGTCGCCTCGGACGATGCGATCCGGTGGGAGGATCAGCACGGAGGAGGCCACGCCGACGAAGATGATCACGAGGAATGCCTGCGTGACTGAAGATAAGACACCGCCGTGAACTTGCGAGATGCGACGTACGATGTAAGTACTCGTGGAGACCGCATCCAGCTTCCCACTCTCGATGTTGATGGCCAGCGCGATGATCGACCCGATGAACGATCCGAAAGAGAAGATCGCCCAGAAGATCGCGAACGCTTTGCCCTTGTCCTTCTCCAGCGGGTACGACATCATGACGGCTCCTTGCGCAGACCAGAGAAGGGCGGCGGTGACGCCCAAGACCGCACCTGCGAATATGAGGAACCAGCGGGTGCCTTGCGTCTGGAAGCTAGCACATGGGAATAGATCAGTACCGCGGTTCCAGACGCATCGGCGAACAGCTGGCGTACCACCACAAAGCGCCGGTATATAACGCATATCCCAGAGTGCCCAAGAAAAGCGTCAGACGGGGACCAAGTACTGATATATGAAATGAGCCAGGAGAGCGCCCGTTAAGGAGGGTCACACGGCCTACGATTGTTGATACCGCCACTGATAAGACCGGTGGCCGCGAACAGGCCGTACAGAACGCCGTTGGACGTATCCGAGAGCGAAACGTCCTGGGTACCACCGGCTCCAAGGTTGGAGATGGCGCTGTACATTCCGGTGGTGGCGAAACAAGTGATACCCATGAGTACCACCTGCGTCATCGGCGTCCTGGATCGGTCCGACCAAGTCAGACAATTCATTTCGTCGAACATGCAAAAGGGCAACGTACGTGTACCAGGCCGGGAGCTGCATGTCTGCGAAATGACTGCCTGGGTAGGAGGGGGGTTGGGCGAATCCAAGCTGCATTCTCCAGCTGGGGCCGAGATATAGGAAGTTCTCTAGTCTTGGCTATGAATAGCGTCTCCGCACCGAGAAGCGGTCTTGATTGCTTCCATGTCAGTCCCACACGTGAACCGAGGAAACGCCTTGGCCATGTCAATATAAATAGCTGGAATTGTGGTCATCCGGTCCGTTCCAGAAGGCGAGGCAGTGATGGGTCTTTGTCCAGTCCCAGAAGCTTAATGGACGATAGCAAAGTTAGTTAGATATCTGCCATGGAGTACGTGTGAGCGTGTATTTACCAAATCAAAGTAATCAGCAATGGGTGATAGCCCCATCGGTGGCTCTGTGAACAAGAGCAAGGTCTTCGGGAGGCGTCCGAATTCCCCGTTCGGCGAGCTGACGGCTGTCGTAGCGTGACGGACGACGACGGTATGCTGGCCCGTTATCAATTGCATTCACCTTATCCCTACGTTTTCGGAGATTCATGCCGAGGCGCATATATTACGACCCGGCGGTTAAGAGGCCGAAAGCCGGATAGAAGATGTTTGATTGACCGAATGGGCGCGATCTGCGCGCAGTACAGATCGCGTAACGACATGTACAGCTAATGCAGAAGTCATTGCAGACTCTAAGGTGCGAGATGAGCTGTCACTGATAATCCGAATATCAAACGCACATACAGCTTGTATCACATACCTGCATCATTCCTTTCGCCTCTCGCACGTCGTAGACATGCAGGATAGGGAATTTTGAAAACACGAAGTGCAAGCACGTTGCTATCCGTGAAGTTGACGACGGGTCCTCATGGTCGGAAGGCCTGGGATAAGACATGAGTGAACCCTCAACACAGGTGCATGAACACTGCGTTGGCCCTCCACATCACTCTCGGAAACAAGACACCAGGAAGGAGGGCTGGGCAGCTGGATAAAACGAATTCGCCACTCTCGCATGACCGACGCTCTCCGTTTTCTCTCCGTTTTTTTTTTCTTCTTTTTTCTGTCTGTGCACGGGATCAAGGCCGAGAAAGGCTGTAACGATGGTAGAGATGCAATCATTCATGGAGGGCCTGCATCAGACAACGCTCAGAACGGATGGCATGAAGCAGGATGATGGAGTACATGACACGAATCGTACCTGTCTTCATTGGAAGCCACAACGCCCATCGAATCCCGCTGGGCCGCATGGCATCATGCTTCGCAGGTTGCACGCTCAGCGCTCGAGTATTCTCGTCCTGTTCGTCGCATGGATTTACCTCGCTGTTTGCATCGACTCTGTAGTTGATCCCGTACGATTTATCTTTGATGGACCATGACGGCCAGCAAAAGCCCCAGCGACAATGTGACATAGTCACATAGTGTTGAATTTTCAGTGATGATGGTGCAAGTGGTCAAGACACGCGCCCGACTTTCCTCAGGCTCCGACCTACCTACTACCTACCTCCCAGTCCTGTCGCGGCTCTCTCTTGTCCCTCGCCTCATCCGCTACTCTTCGCCCTCTATCGGAGGTTCACCTTCAAATATTCGCAACACTGTCAATACTACTGCTTGATGCACCTTCTGATTGGACGTCTGCGAAGTTATAGCGAACTAAAGTGCGCGAGCTCTGCGTGGGCTGACGACAGTGATGTACCGCACTTTTTATCCTCTCTGTGCACAATTCAAACAGGATGCAACTCGTTCGAGAATCCGTGCCCAACGGAACGTGCTGATTAGCAAGCCTTGAGGGTTCACAATGGCCATTCATGTGCACACTCCCATGCGATGCAAACATAGCTGCTGTGCGAGCATTCATTTCGGCGAAGATTTCACTTGCAACAGCAATTCAACCTCGGCGCGTGAACCACGGTTACGTTTCTCCCTGTACGTGTACCGCCGCTCGTTCGCTGCACCGTTCATTCATCACCGAGCATCATAGGATTCTCGTCAGACAGCCTTGTAGTCGAACCATCTTCTAAGTCTGCGAGTTTCATGTGCACACATTCGAAGACTATCTGCGGATGCGCTGCCGGTAATGTCCTCCACCTTGGTGCACAGTCAAGACGCTCACGTCTCAGGGAACGCAGTACCTCAAGAGACGCTTGATGATGGCAACGCTGAGGCCCTGCGCTTATACGAAGAATTCTGCAAGACTGGGAATCTAGGAGCTGCTGCGGCGTGTGTTCAAAAGTGGGAGGACATATCAGTCGCAGATTCCGACGTACGTACGCCCTACGATCTCCTCCTGTCAGCCGTCTGAGACGTCATAGAATCAGGGGGCTAGGCCACCAGCGCAACTTCACGCTTACATCTACCTCGCTCGCGCACTTCTCGCTCGATATCACTTCGCTGGAGACCAGCAAGACCTCGTAGACGCCGTTACCCGCGCGAAAGAGGCGATAGCCGCAGCCGATACGCAAAACGTATCATGTACGACTGTGTTGGCATTGTCGGGCAATATCCTCCGCGTCGACGCTGATTCCCGCGGCAATGTCGAACATCGAAAGTTAGCGGACGACCTGTGCCGCGAAGCAATTGCACTGCTCCAGGACGATCATCCCCTGCGCGCAAATGCCCTCCGCAACGCCAGTGTCACTCCAATGAGACTCTTCGAAACCACGGGCGAGCGCTCGCATATCGACGAAAGCCATCACGTTCCAGCGAACAGCGCTCGAACTCGCATCGACCCACCACTATCCGGACGAGCACGACTACTTCAGTGTTTTGGGCCTGTACCTCCTCCGGCGCTACGAGGTCCTGGGTCACACGCCGGATTTGGACGAGGCTGTCCCTTTGGTAAGGACGTCGGTTGATCTATGCCCATCGTCACACGTCGACCGCGAGCGTATCTTGATCAGACTAAGTTGGCCCTGTATCGCCGTTTCGAACGCGACGGTCAAGTAGCCGATCTCTACGAAGCATTCGAGGTGGCCAAACAGGCGTTGTCCGCGGGACCTCCCAACGGATCCGCAAGGACGTATACGTTGGCCACAGCGGGAGGAATCCTTACGGGTCTGTTTGAGGTCTCGGATGTTACGGAGTCCGATCTCGATCAGCTCGTTGCATGGCGGCAGGAGGCTCTTCGGTTGGCCCCTCCCGGCCATCATTCCCGCCCCTATCACCTCAACAACGTCGCCGAGGCCCTCCAGCGACGTTTCTTCTGGCACGGGTCGTTGACCGACCTTGAAGATTCCATCGAAGTTCAGCGCCAGCTAATTGATAGCGTACCGAGGAGCGACACAGCCTGGCGTGTTCACGTGGGTAATCTAGCGGACAACCTTGGCACACGCTTCAAGGAGCTCGGCCACGTAGACGACATTTCGGAGGCCGTCGCGTTATACCGTGACGCCCATGACGAAGCCGCGATCACGAATCCTACATATCAATCTCATTATCTCGCGATGATGTCTGCGTTATCCCTTCGCTTCGAGGTTGTGGGGGACAGGGAAGATTTGGACCAAGTGATAACTCTGTCCAGTGCCATGCTCGATTACATGCCAGCGGACCATTCCGTCGTTCCCCAAGTCTCACTTGCGCGCTGCGATGCCCTCATTCTGCGAGCACGAGACGGGGGCAGCCTGGAGGATGCGCGTGACGCGGTGCAGTTGCTGGAGCGAAATATCAATCATGTCACGCTGAGCTCATCGTACGGATCGCGCTTTTACAAGGCGCTAGGCTCAGCCTACCTCACCGGATACCGCATCGGAGCCTATACTGGAGACGCGAGGGCGGCGAAAGAGGTTTTCATGGACCTTCTGGACCACCTACAGCCTGGACGCCGAGATCGCTTTCAATGTCTCCTGGATGTCGCAGAACTTTACCTTGAACCCGGTACACCCTTTCGGGATGCAGGAATTGCCCTAGATTACATCACCGAAGCGATCTCAGACGACAATCGTGATGTCCGATCCCGGCTTCATGGTGCCATGCGATTGCTCGAGCTCGCTGAGACGTCGAAGGCGAACTCCATCGATGACACGTCGATCAGGCGCAGGTTGCTGAACACTTCCACTACCCTACTGTCCCTGATTCCGCGCGTGGCGTATTTCGGCCTCGATTTAGATTCTCGGCTCAAATCACTCGAACTGAGCCAGCGCCTGACAAACATATGCGCCTCTCACGCTCTCCAACTTTCTGAGACTGAAAAAGCCGTGGAGATCCTCGAACAAGGTCGCGCTATGTTCTGGGACCATGCGCTCCGGTTACGATCCCGCTTCGACGATGTCCCAGAGGAGTACCGACTCCGATTACTCGGGTTGGCCCAGCAATTGGAGAAGAACGCCGATATTTCCCAGGCTTTCCCCGACCAACGCCACGTAGAGCAGGCGATCTCTTTGCGCCGAAAGCAAAGCGAAGAGTTCAACTCCATCCTGGGACACGTTCGATCTCTCCCCGGCCTCGACCGTTTCATGCTTCACGATCAGTATTCGACGCTCGTTCAGGCGGCGAGCAAAGGACCAGTTGTGATACTCGTCGCAAGCGCAGCCTATTGCCACGCGATCATCGTGAAAGCCATTGGCAAGCCTATTCATCTCACACTCCCGGAGCTGAACGAAACTTGGATATTAAACTCGAGTATCAGATGGAGGTCCGCCATGGAGATGGCGAGGTCGGAGATGCGGGACAGATTGCACCTAGCCAAGGTCCCGAGAGTCGCACGACACCCCGTGGACGACATTCTCCACGATTTGTGGGTCAAAGTCGCTCATCCTGTGATACAAGCACTGGAGCTTCAGGTAAGCACGCGGAAATGACTTGAGGACGCCAGGCTTATGCTTCCCTGCAATAGCCCTCTTCTGGACGGAATCGCCCCCGTCTGTGGTGGTGCCCTACGGGGAACCTAATACACCTACCGATCCATGCCGCCAACGCGCATGGGCTGTCCTGTTCGGACTATGTCGTGTCGTCATACACTCCAACACTAGGAGCTTTGACGAATGCACGAAGGACGTACAAGCCCGTAGTGCGAGAAAACCTGAAAGCCCTGGTCGGCGCCGTGCCTCGTCCATACGTGGAGGATCTTTGTGACCTGCCCTCCACGCTTGAGGAGATGAAGACCGTCACACAAGCAGTCCCATCCTCCGGGCTCCTATCCCTCCCTAATGGGGAGAACGCACTCGAAGTCGAGGGAAGCGGGGGTCTATCCGCCCAGGCGCTTCTAGACCGGCTTCCTCAGGCAACGATCCTGCACCTCGCATGTCATGGCACGCAAGACGCAGAGCACCCGCTTCGGAGCGGGTTTGTTATGCGCGACGAGACGCTCACAATTGAGCGGCTGATGCCTGTACTGCTTCCCGAGGCTTTTCTTGCGTCTCTGAGCGCGTGCGAGACGGCGAAAGGGTACAAGGTAGACAGCTCCTCGATAGTGTCGATGGTATGCTCACGACTTTTCAGGCCCAACCGGACCAGGCCATTCATCTCGCGGCAATGATGCTTTACGCGGGTTTTAAAAGCGTCATTGGGACGCTTTGGTGAGCTATCCCGACCAAACTTGCATCGTATGCGCTGAGGATGCCATGCAGGTCGATGGAAGACGCGGACGGACCGATGGTTGCGGAGATGGTTTACAAGGAGCTCTTCAGAGGCGATTCGGAGATACTCGATCCCGACAACGTTCCCCATGCTCTCGACGCGGCCGTTCGGCATCTTCGGTCGGTTCAACCGGAGCCGAGCCGATGGGCTCCGTACGTCCACTTTGGGATGTAGGGCCGCTTTCTGTCGTATACGGAGATCCAGCGAGCACATATCTCGTCTCGTAGAAATGAATTGATGAATATCTGCGCAGTCTTTTCCATCGCTCTTGACCCCGACCCGATTTCCGCCGAACAATCCTTGACCTCGACCCTCGCCTTGGCTACCTCGCCTCGATCCCCGTCGACGACAAGACCCCCACCGTTGCCGTCTTCGGCGGCATCGACCCAGTCCCCGTCTTAAGCAAGGCCGCAACCGTGGCCGTCCAGGGCTACATCATGACCTGTTCTTCGCCGGTCAATGAAGGCCACTCCTATACGCGGTTGACATTACGTCCATCTCTTCTCGAGCTCACAGAAGCTTGCTACGAACAGCTCCGCCATCCTCGACATCATCACCACGTTCAACTACGTCCCCACTCCCATGCGTCTCCTTCATGAGATCTTCTCTGATACCTACTCAAACCCGTTATGCAGTTTGCGAGGCCATCAATACGAATATCTTACCTGCGGTCGAATCCTTTGAGGACGAAGAGACACGCTACGTCGATTGTACGGCGTCCGCGCCCGAGTTCGCGGTCACCATTAACAGCGTCCAGTCCAGCGTGAGCGGGAAGGGCAACAACCTGCCCCCCGGTGCGGACGAGAAGGGCAAGCAGCTCTGCATATCCGGCACGCAGGACGGTGCGGAGGAGGAGGATGGCGAGATCTTCATCCTGTGAGTGCCGCAACAGACTGCGAGAACGCGGCGAGGTTGCTGAGACCTCCCTTCTCGCGCGTGACAGGACGTGATTGCGACGTTTATCGTCGCTGCGAACACCATTTTGGACACCGCGCGGAAACGGTACTCGGACTGCGGAGAGCCTTTTACTACCGCCCGTATTTATTACCATGCAAGAACGTCATCCCTTCGTGTCGTGCCTGCCTACATCACTCCCGGACGACCTTTCATCCCTATGGATACGTGCATGGCCCTTTTGTTCCTGAGTTTATAGTCCAGGTCATCGCACTCCGGCAGAGGTCAGAGTAGCGGGGTCATCAAATGGGCAACACTCTTCAACCACTTGGCGGCGGCATAAGCTGTTCTTTACACCGCTGCTCTTACTGTCCCATAACACACTATATATACAAATCTTATCTACGAGCACTCATAAATGGTCAAAATAGCCACATGCTCGTCTCTAACTCAGTAAACTGTTTAAATTCATAGCACATATATCTGTTGAACTGGCATGATCAGATCTGTTGGTGCAATCCATCGTGTTGATTGTAATGGGCACTCAGGCGTCGGAATGCCGTCCAGACTTAGGTCGTCAGATTACTTAGGTTGCGCTATCTTCGACTTCGGCACAAATGCAGGCTCAGCCGTGCGGCCGAACTCTGATTTCAAGCTCAGAAGGACATGCCGATGCGTCGGCAGGAGATGATTCATGTACGGAATCCAGACAGAATCGGGAGTTGTAGCGGGGGGTTCAAAGTTGAAAGGTCGATTATGGTCGTGTAGCGACAGGAGAATCAACACATAATCCGCACATAATCCGACGCAGAATCAGTGCATAATCGCCAACTTTGAGGCCCCCTAATCTGTATGCCCTGCGAGTAGGTACTTGGTATGGGATTCAGTGATGGCATTATAAGTATGCGTGTCTCACACGGACTGCGATACGACACGGCCCTGTTGCACTGGCAGTAGTTAACATCCTATCAGGACCCCTGTTTATAGGGTAGGATGTCGGAATGTAGGTTGACCTCAAACAGGTCAATTTGTCGGCGAGGATCAGCCGGATTTTGTCGTCAAGTATCCCGACGTCAGGCCTGCGGCGCCAGGTTTGTCGAGAGCCCTATTCCGACATCGTGGAAAAGCGGCTGTGTATACCCCCGGACGCCGAAATCAAGCCTGTTGGCAGTTCCAGCTTCGGCATGACCCCGATGCGAAGCTTAGGAGTATCATACAGTTTCATATGAATTAGATCGAATGTTACACGGTCTACATCGATGAGGAAAAAGTATTGTACTTTGAGAATAGTATATTATCAGCGATTAGCCTTCCTCCGAGCCTCGATGAGAAAGTTGACCGCGACGAGGATTGGCTGAGCATACAGAGTGGCCCACACAGCAGCTGCCTCAGCATCAAGATCCAGAGTTCGGCTGTCCGGGGTGATCTGAGGGGCACCTGGAAGAACACGAAGGAATTGACCGGAACATATGTTTACGTGCGGGGATCAAGCAAACAGCAGGACTTTGGAGGAGGAGAAAATGGGTGAGCACGATTACTGGATGACTATCCGTAAGATCTGGAGCGACAGAAACACAGAATAAACGCTTCAAACCCCGACCTGTAGGATATGCTGTAATTTTATACTCCCGTACGGCACTGCAAGCGTGGGGTGGAAACAGGCATATTAAACCGCGGAGGTCCGTTGAGAAGAGCCGAACAGCGAATCAGAGGGCGAGAAAGTCACGTGAATGACAAATTCAAGTCTGTAAACGGGCATTCTGGTCTGGAAGGGGGGGTCGACCCCCCTCTCCAGATTAAAGGTCTGTACGACTCACCCTGTATTCCGACAACTTGGCTCGACAATGCCGAAAAATCGGCATGGCTCGCTTAGTGGATTTGTAAGCAAAATCTATTCTATTCGGCCTTACAGATCCTTACGGATAGTCACCCACTGTAACAGCAATTTTTCGCCGCTGACGTGGATGAACGTGGCGCAAAATGCCGAAACGAGATCACTCAGTGCGGCTCGAACGCACCGCTCACGACCGCGCTTCACTCTGAGCCAAAGCAGGTTCCCATCCGCTCATCACTCACCGCGATGTCGTCGGGTCATCCTGGCTCGAACGGCGTATAGTCTCATTTGTCGTCAAAAAATTCGGGCCTACGGCCGCCCTCAGACCTCCTTTTGTCGGCATATATTCCGACATAAGGCCCTTTCCAAGGCCCAAAATGTCGTCGGAGTATTCGAACATCCTACCCTATAAAAAGGGGTCCTATCCTATCCTATTCGTGCGACGTGCGACCATATCAACTCTGATACTGAGTTGCCGCAGGCCAATGACGTCACCGGCTTCTGATGCGGATCTGCCAAGGCTAAGCAGGGGCGTCGCGGTTATTTGTGTATCTGGAACGTACCCCGTAACCGCTCCACACCCGGTGATTGACGACTCGGCACCGACTTCAACCACGACGACCAGCCATGCGAGCTTAAGACTCTGTGGACGGGGAAGGAGGAGAGGAGGGTAAGAGTGCAAAGAAACGAGGCTCGCTGACAGCGGCTGCCACCAACGTTCGTGCAAAGACGCGATGGCGCACGCGGTGCAGCTGGTGAGGGCGGAAGTAGGAAGTATTATTAGCTTAGAGGGGGCCTGGACCATGTGCGGGGAGAAGAGGCGGCGCCCCTTCCTGGTGCTCACCCCCTTTTCCTGTCTGCGCTGGCCGTCTCATCTGCCTGATCCCACACCGCGACACGTCCACCACGCACGCCGGCCACCACCCGTCCTGTCTTTACCCAGCCCACCTCTCCCAGTTACTTACCACCACCCGCGACACCCACCGCAGGCAACATACAAGTCTCGCGCAGATCCTCCACACAATAGACTTTGATCACCGGGATCGTCGCAGCCTACATCGGGGAGGCTTGCTACCGTACTCACAACCTTACCGCAAAGGGCCACGCCCCTCATATGGTAGCGCACATGCTCGGAATGACACCGCGCCCGATGCTCGTCCGCCTGCTCGCGCTCGGCGGACTCATGACCGCCATCCTCACCCTATACACATACACCTCGCCCTTCCCGCTCCCCTCGCCCTTCTCCTTCTCTCCCTCCTCTTCCTCCTCCTCCTCCCGCTTACGCACCTCATGCCCGCCCAGGTCCTACGCATCGGGCCGATGGCGGCACCGAACTCTGAACACGACCAAGACGCGCATGGAGAAGGTGGACGACGTTCTCGAGTTCGCCGGGATGGAGGGATGCGCGGCCGACCGGGAGTACGCCTGGCACCTCGGCGCGGACAAGCCCGACAAATGGGACCGGTTCCCGGGTGCGATGGAATGGGAATGGGAGCCCGGACGCGGCTGCGACGACCTCCGGCCCATGAGCAAGGAGAACATGGTTCGCGACATGGTCGAGGAAGGCGGCTGGCTTCTCATCGGTGGTAGGCGATCCCTCTCAGCGCGGCTGATCTACGGATGCTGACGACTGCTGGGGACGTATAGACTCCGTCACGGAAAACCACTTCTTCTCGCTTTCCTGCCTGCTCTACCCGCACGTCCGCGCCACGCCCAACTACACCGAAAACCCGTACTTTGACCGCGCCTGGCCACAGCACCTTTACCTCTCGCCCCAGTCCCCTCTACTCCCTTCCCTCTCCCTCCCACCCGGCTTCTCGATCTCCTCCACCCCCCTTGTCACCTTCCGCCGCGTCGACCTCCTCCTCTCCGGCCCCGAACTCGAATCCCTCTACGCCACCTCTCTCCCCGCCCTCGCGGCTTCGAAACCCCTCTTCTCCGACGAAAAGTACTGGAGCCTCTCCCCCAAGGAATACGTCGACGACCTCTTCCTCCCCGGCCGGTACTCCACCCTCGTCCTCTCCACCGGCGGACACTGGACCACGACCCTCCTCTCCGCCTTCCGCGACGACTCGGCCCCCCAAGACGGGTACGGCATCTCCGGCGTCCTCGCCTTCTTCCACGACGCCATGGCCCTCTGGGCGTCCACCGTCCAGCGCTCGCTCGACTCGTACCGCTCCGGCTCCGAATACGACGACCTCGAGGGCGCCTCGGGCGCGACCCCGAACGCAGCAGCCGCCGTCCCGAAACGCGTCGTCGTGCGCGCGTACCTCCCGGGGCACGAGGACTGCCACGATTACGGCGAACCGTGGACGGCGGTCAAACCCATGCGCTGGAACTGGTACAACTGGGCGAGCATCAAGGATTTCAACAGCATATTCGAGACGCTGCTCAACGGTGGCGAGGGGAGGAGGAGGTACCCGGATCTGCACTTTCTGCCGATCGACAGGCCGGCGCTGCTCAGGCCCGATGCGGTACGTACGGGCTTTCTTTTCATCTAAAAATACGTATATCTGTGGGGCCGCGGTGAGGCTGATCAAACGTTTGTTTTTTTGGCAGCACGCTGCGGGCGATTGTCTGCACATCATGACCGGCGCCGGCGTCCTCGAAGGCTGGTCGCACTATATCTGGCATTTCGTCACGAGGGAGATCCCGGCCATGGTTCGGTGAAAGGCCGTGTCTCGCGCGCGTTTCACGAAGGTATAAATAAACGTGAACGTCGACGCCCCCGCGCTAAAGATTTTGGATGGACACTATTAATACAGTAGCTTCACCGGACACAGCAATATTGTTACCAATCTCATCTGTTTATATAGTGCATCAATTTTCCCCTCTCTTTCTACGTCTATCTTTCCCCCTGCGCCGATTTGACCCTTTTTTTTTTTTACTTTATCTTGCCCTCGTTCCGTCGATAATAATATCTGTGTGTCGCGCGTCGTTATTTCACCACGCGATACCGAAACAGCTATTGCCTTGGATTTTGAGAGCATGGATGATATATCGGCACGTTATGGTGTCTTTGCACAGCGATGAGCGCGTTTTCGGATCCTAGGATCGTTCACGTTGCAAAAAAACCGCAAAAGAGCGGGCCTAGCCGGGAATTGAACCCGGGACCTCCTCCAAACGGCTCAAGTCCCTAAGAAGGAATCATACTACTAGACCACCAGGCCGCTGTGGGATGTGAGTCTGAAAAGTATCTAAGACTCCGCTAGCATGGGCAAAAGGCTCAACTCCATGCTTACGCGTCCTACCGCCATATTTTACCCACCGCCGGACGTCCAGAACCCGGAGTGGGATCGGCGTATGACTTTCTTCGTTGGGTGGTCAGACGACTCGTTGTCCTGCGAAACCCCCGCGCGTTGGCTTACTTACTCCGAACGTGTGTTCGGAGAGGCCTGGTGCCACGTCCGGCGTTCCGAAAAGAAGCACGGGAGGATGGGCGGATGTATTATGACGGAGGTCACGTACTGCAGGGTTATTAGAGACGTCGAGGTTAGGTCGCAGCGAGGGTACGTAAAGGCTGATCATAGATCATGCGTGAACCAGGTTCGCCACTCGACCGGAGAGATGCTCCGAGTCTGATCAGCTGCCCAGTGGATACGCACATTGAGAAAAAAAAACGCCGTTTTGTCGCATGCACACAGACGTACAGTACGGCATGTATCGACAAACTACCGGAACTCCCATCTGATCAGCGAAAACTCGAGAGATACAGTTCGTCGTATGCGTTGTACAGCATGGCCCATGCGAGCGAGCAGGGCGCGCTGTCGCATCAGTGGGAGTCAATCGTCCAGCAGAGATTGTGCAGGAAGATGAACCGCATATTCAGGTCGCCTCGTGGTGTAGACGTATATCAGACCGGCGCTATCGAATTATTGTCGGAAAGCCGACCGCATGCTGATCCGTGTCCTGAGATCCGCGCGGAAAGAGAAAGTCGTGGGGTAACGTTAACATGACGCGTCGCGGCGTCCTGGGAAGGTCAGCTGGGTGCCTGTCTGCCAGAGAGACCAGATCCAGCCATCTCGAGGGTCGTGTGCCCTCCGCACAGAACGGGCGTAAGCTGTGAGATATCGATTAATGCGCCATCGCGGTGCTGCGTACCGATTGTTGAATCTTGCCGTGTGTGCATTGATTGACCAGGAGCTGAGCCCTGCACGACGTTACATCGCGTCCTGGGCATTCCGCACAGCGGCGGGAGGAGATGGTATGAGTATAAGAAGCTCCGTCATTCTCGTGGACCGACCGGAAGCATACTCGGAAGTCCGGCACGTCTAAATGTATTGAATGACGTCCGACTATGGTCAGACGACTGCCTCATGGTGTGGAGTACTAGCGCGTCCATCCTACGCCTGCGAGAACACTCCTCAAGGTACGATGGTCAAGACGTGCTCGGTCCGAGCCTAGACTCGCGATGATGGATGGCCGATGCCATTGAAAGTCGGAGCGAATGTGCCCTAAACGCCATCGCCCTCGTCGTCCCATGAGAATCGTGCGTAGATCGCCGGTAGGAGAGGGCGATGGTGAGGTAACCGAAGGTGCGCGAAGGATTCGATATCTTCGCGTCATGCGATGCGGACGTCCTATGAGGACCGGAGTGTCGTAAACGCAAGTCCTCATGACGCGAAAGGAAGTGGTTTCGCAACGGGCGCAGTCAGGCCGATGCTTTGCGATGCCTGCGAACAGAGCTGCGATGCTGCGGGATGCAGCCGAGATGCAAGAGCAAGTCCGCCTGTCGGGAGATGGAGTTCACGTACGATGTGACGAGTATATCGAGTTCAGAGCAGTCTCTTTGGCGGTGTCGAGCTCGCGATACAGATCGACTGGATTGCGTACCGATGCGACCTCTTCCGAATTTTACCAGCATTGCGAGCCATCGTGTGCATAAGCAAGCAAATGGAGATCTGTCCGCGAACATGTGAGCTGGTTCCCAGCTGAGTGCGTTAACGAAGACTTCGAGACGACGCCATCGCTGTTCCAATTGCCCACAGACGTCCAACGACGCTCGATGCACCATTAGTGTGGCCCACTTCCTCGACAGGCGGCTTCGACAGCTTCTACAATAGCGAGATATAGAAGGTACCCAGACAACGTGAATCCAGGTCTGTTGAGTGACCGGACGGTGAGAACGGGACCTGAGAGACCAGTTCGACAAGCTCTAGGAGGCGAGCCGCATGGGAAACCTAAATCTTGCCGGAGCGAAGACACATTGAATACAGTACGGTGTGGCACGCAGAAGCAGCCGTGGCGGGATCTGCGAGAAAGCCGGTAGCGTGCCTCAGAGTCACTGGCAATCAGAGGGGGGGGTTGGCGGGAATCGGGAACGCTGCGGAGAGATTGTAGAGTACGGGCGCAAGTGTTGCAGACTCGGCGAGATCGTAGACGCAAATATCCAGGCTCCGAGCTGGAATACGGGGCGTATCGGTGTTTCGCAGATGAGATATGCAGATAAAACGAAGGAGAGAGATGGATGGAGATTAGATCATCATGAGGAAGGGACGAGCGGTGGCGTGGCCGAAAGAAGTAAGTTCATGGGAGACAATTATCCAGATCGTCCCGCGGTCCAAAAGCCATACCGATGTCGACCCTGCAGGACTTGATCAACCACGATATTTGCATGGTATAGCTTCGTGCCGTTGACAGTAAGATCTGGATTATCCGAGGATACGGATGCGATAGGCGTTAAAACGATCCCCGGGCCTGTCCCTGCCGTAACCGTGTCGTCCGGGCCGTGGCTCTGCGGGCTTGGCAAAGATGTGTGGACGAGGAGGGAACACGACCTGACACGACGCGGGATTCGAGAACACAGGGCGCGTAGGTTCGAGGCGGGGGATCTGCGGTCGATCGAGGCCTGATATTCACCCCGGACTCGTCGGAAAGGGAGGAGGGTATAAAAACCAAGGATCGGCGATAGACGTCGATGTGTGTGCGAGGGTAAGTCGGAAAGCGTTTTGTGCACATTAGGACAGGACCTGAGCGCGATGATTTGTATGCGTATCAGTCGGCCGTCGACGACGATTCTTTCCCGGGCCGTATCGGACAATAATGGCGGCTTTTGGGACTTTTCACTCGTTTTCATTGCCGTTCATTCGTTTTCATCCAAAATCACTGAAAATCATCTGAAATCACTCAAGATCATTCAGTTTCACCCAAATTCATCCAGATTCATGCAGTAGGACCGCTAACAGGGCATCGTGGCAGTGCAAATATTTTCATCGGATTTCATTTTTCATCCAAATTCATTCGAGCTTACTCGTGGCTGTGCATATGGAATAAGATAAACTAAGTCATTCTTATACGGATGTTCAGTGTTGCTAAAGTCAAGCAGGTATCAATAGTATGGTGAAATCAAGTATAGCTGATGTATGTTATATGTGCACACAGTAGGAGTTGTGATTATTGGATGATTCTAGGTGCATGACCAACATGGTTCTGTGGCTATGTAGGCCTCTGTGAAAACGAGTGAAAATGACTGAAAATGAAAACGAGTGAAGATGAATGAAAATGAGTGAATCAGGATGAATGTCAATGATTTTGAGTGAAAATGGATGAAAGTACGAGTGAAAATGGGTGAAAGCGAATGAAAGCGAATGAAAACGGATGAATTACTGTGATTTTGAATGAAAATGGATGAATCTGGATGAATTCTCAGATTGACATTATTTTTGTCCGATACGGACCACCATACGATTCAGAGTTGAGCGTGCGTGCGGCTCGTGGCGATGCCCAGGATCATATGCATTAGAGTAAACGTGCGCGGTATATCCCGGGCAGTCTCTCGAACCGCGGGAAGGGCGTATCGTCTGGTGATGCCTGATTCTGGCTATGCAGGTCAGTATACGAAACGAATCGATGGATCATGGTCGATGCGCGGCAGACCGAGGGCGGTTGTGTGCGCGATGGTTTCCTTTTTATTATTATTGGGATTCTTCCACCGGCATAAACACGCAGCCAGGTCATGCGGCGATGCGTGGATGTGGGACCCATATATAACGACAACGTCGACCAGAGCTGTACTTCGCAACTGCTAATGGGACGACGGCCGCGATGCTATAGCCTGCAAAACGGAAACGCAACGAGATGAAGCCGTTCACGTTTTTTTTTTCCCTTTTTTTTGGGATCTCGTTCGGGGAGCGCGAAATCACATGCGTTATGCATGCAGCCCGCGATGAACGAAAAGGCAGTTCAAAGTCATCACTCGTCGGGATGGCGTGCACAGCATGAAGCACAAACCGGCCGGGATCTGGCACTCGTATCTTCCGCCCCCGTCTTCGTTTCTCCATCTCAACGCGGAAGGGTCACTGGCATCCTCGGGCGTGAGGTCCGGAAGAGGAGCCCTCTTTGCAAGTTCCGTTAATCAGTGTACGAGCTCGAGCTCATGAGCAGGCGACTCTTCCGATCAAGACAAGGGAGTAGTGGATCGAGTTGCCAGCGCAAGGGATTTTATTTTTATTTTTACAAAGGTGGGCGGTGGCGCGCGCCGAGAGCAGTACAGCGAGAGGAGCGCCGGCGCCCAGAACGGGGAACTTTCCGAGATCGCAGCGTTTTGTTCCGCGCGGAGGACCGAGGGAGAGAAGTTAAAGGTATTGGCAGTTACCAAGGCGAGATTATTCCAGCGCATGGAAAGATGCGCGAGTATATAGTGGCCGTGGTCGCGACGCCGACGAGCTTGAGCCACGACGCATGTGCTCGTGGCGCACGAGGACGTCGTTGCTGTGGGCGCCGAAGGGAGCGACGTTGCCCGAATAACGCGGTGGACGCACCTATGTGATGAGTACGCCTCCGTTATGTATGAACGCCATTTGCAGCAAAAACACTGCGACAACATCAAAATCTGGCCAGACGAGATTGGGTCGTCGCGCACGTGGCCCCAACGGTAGTCAAGAAACCGTAACCCAAATTTGGGCTGGATTGTTGATCGAAATCCGAAACCGGAAAAGGCCTGGACTCCAGGAATAGACCGGCAGGCACCGCCCTTTCATTCGAAGTCCGCTGATTGGCTGAGGCACTTAAACTCGGGTGTAAGCGAGATGACTTTACAGTGAATCAATTGTGACCGGATTTTGACAGGCTGTGTCCGTGAGCTCTGCGTGACGCGAGACACGCTGGGCATCGGTTCTTGGAGTGAGAACGAGAGAAACGAGAGCAACAACTGTATGGGCGAGGGCGCCTCCTACGTCGGGAGACCATAACGAAAACCGTACCGTGGCCCGGAAGATTTCTATCTGATGAGGACGGCGGCGGATGACGGTCGGGCGGACGTCACCAAGGTCACGCTGGCCTTTGATCCCGTCTCCGACGACGCCCAGGCCTGCGAAAAGGGGGTTCCGAATATCGAATGGGGGTTTCTGTTTCTCTCCCCCGCGCAAAGGTGTTCAGTGTAGCGACTGCCCCAGACCCGCGGTGCGGATTAATGCGCGCCCATATTTCCTGCCCATCCCACCTTTGCCTTTCCTCCTTCCCCACACCCCGCGTACGCATATAATCCCTCCCTCCGCGGCGTCCTCAGGCCAGTAACACCAGGGACGAAGCCGCGAGATCGACCAAGTTGGCAGGAAGGAGAAGACGACGGCCCCGGCCACACGCCCACGCCCGCCTCGTGCCCCCCGCGAAGCTCAAGCCACCAGACCACACGGGCACGATGCAGCAGCCCTCGCCCGCGAGCACGGCCAGCACTGGCAGCAGCAGCCCACCGAACCTTGCGCCCGCGACGCCTCCCCGGTCCGAGCGTCGCGTGCCACTGCCGCCCCGTCCACACGCGTCCAGCTCGCCCACCCAGCTCGGCTCGGCTCGCCTTCATATACGCCCCCCGCGCACGTCCCTCCCGTGCACCCCTCCCCGCTCCCGGCCCAAGCACACGCTCAGCCACCCGTCCTCGTCCCCCTCACCCGCTCCTCTCACCCCGACGCGCAACAAAGCCCCGCCCACGCTCGCCATGTCCGTCCACGCGCCGATCGCGACGCGCCCCTCCTCCGCCTCCTCCTCCTCCTCCTTCTCCGGTGGCCACTCGCCCGTCGCCCCTCCCTCGCCCTCGCCCAGGCTGAACACCGCCGCGGCCGCCGCCATCCAGCGCCCGCCCAGCCGCTCCGAGCGCCTCCTGCGCGACACGCTCCGCCGCGCCGACCAGGCCCAGTCGCACCCCCGCCCGCCGCACGGACGCCGCCGCCCCCGCCGCGCGCCCGACTCGGACGCCTCGTCCGACGACGACGACGACTGGATGCACCGCGTGCGCTCGCGCGCCTCCTCCGTCGATCGCACCGGAGCAGGAGCACGAGACCACCACCACCACCACCCCGTCCCGGGCTCGCCCCAGCCCCTCCAGCGCTCGCCGGCGTCGAGCCCGCAATTGCCCGTCCGCAGCCCGCCCCGCTCGCCGCCGCTCGGCCCGCAACGGTCGCAGACGGAGACGGCGCTGCGCGCCCGGTTGGAGACGACGCTCAGCCGACACCGCTCGCGCCCGTCCGTCGACCGTAGCACCGTCGCGCCGGCCACCGGAGGCGGCAGCGTGCGCCGGCGACAGACGGAGAGCAGCACCGCGAGCCTGAGCCTCAGCCAGAGTCAAAGCGAGTATCCGTGGAGCAGTTCGCAGACCGTGAGTAGTAGTAGTTAAACCCACCCACGCACAACTTTTTTCCTTTCCTTTTTTAACGGTCCGGGCTGATGAATATCGATCTTTTTGCGTTTTCTTCCGGATAGTCGCCTATGCTCACCCCGCCGCCCACGCCGCCTCACGGGCTCTCGGGCCTGCCCTCGCCCGCGCGCTCGCACGCGCACCTCCCCGGGCGCGGCCTCCCCCCGCGCACGCTCACCCTCGAATCGCACGCGTCCTCGTCCTCCTCCGGCTCGGGCTCGGGCTCGGGCTCGTCCCACTCGGCGCCCCCTTCGCGGCCGTTCAACGTGCGCCACGCGTCCCAGATCTGCAAGCTCAAGGACGGCTACGTCAGCTTTGGCGAGGTCGAGGGGCTCGGGGCGCCCCCGGGCGCGGACGAGGACGAAGAGGAGGACGGGGAGGGGAGGAAGAGGAGGTGGATCGGGGCGGGTGGGGCGTTGTGGAAGCTGTTGGGGCTCAGGTCGGCGTCGGCTGCCGCGAGTCCGGCGATGGAGAGGAGCGGGACGGTATAGGTGAGCGTGTTTTTTTTTTTTTTGTGTGTTTGACGATCGTTCGTGGACTGGATGGGCTTATGCGCGCTGTTGTCGATTAGGACTGCCCCTCGTTGTTGTCGTCGTCGTCTGGCCCCCTCAAAACTCGACTCTCCGCATAGAGGCTCACGCGCTCCGATCCGTCTGCTCGCCTGGTTGCTCGCTTCGGTTTCCTCGTTCTCGCTGCGCCGTATTTCCCTTGTACTACCATCTCTTCAAGACTTTCAAGCCCATTGCCATTGCATCGCAATACAACCCTGAACCTTCGAAAAAAAGAAAAGAAAAGAAAACTCCCGTGTTGTCTCCATAGCAAACGCCTTAACCGCAATGTCTGTCGCACATACATACGCATACACGCTTCAACATTCTACTCTGTACATTCTCAATCCCTGGATTAATGTTCCCCAAGGAAAACGGTTCGTGTCGTCGCATCTATTGTCATCGGTCGTGCGGGACTCGCGTGCTCATTGTGATGGCGTCTTTTCTAGTGCCCTTGAACTCTGGAAGTTCTATCGATCACTCTACGACCGCTCGCGCACACGGACGTCGGACCACAGGATCATTAAAACCATCGAACGACGTCGAGTCATTCGTTCCGGTCCTGATCGATATCACACCGGCACGCACGCTGCAAGCCCCTCCCACTTTTAATTATTAATCCCTTTTTCCATTCCTATCCTTCCTCCTTTCGGTTCTGTTCGTTTGTTTCGTCCCTTCCGATATACATAATAATGGCTCTCTCGCTGTTTACATAGACCGACCCTTTTCCGGATATCGCTTTCTCGTCTTACTTTTTTGCTTCCTCTGACCCCATGTCGCATCTGCATGCCCCCCACCCCCCCACCATTATGACACCCAACACGTATGCACACGACTCCCAGACCTTTCACACCTCTCGCGCACAGGCGCGAGAGAAACGTTCCGACGTTAGATGTTAGTCAGTACCTTCACGATATTATAACGGTAAAAAGATATGAAACAAATGGAATAAAATGACGATTTATAACCACCACTGCCGTCTGCTCTGTCTGCTCCGGGGGAGTTCTTGGTTCAGGGGTTGTGGGTTTCTTCTGATGAGTGGGGGGGGGGGCATGGACGAGGGGATTTATCGCCGAGGGATCGATCCGTACCGGTAAGCAAAAGCCTCGCGACGGATGCCGTGGGGGATCAAAATTATCCAGGACGAGATCAGCGCGCGCTTTGGTCGCATTTGGGGCGCGCGCACCGACGAGGCGGACGTGATATCTCTGCGGACTGGCGTGCGTGTATGCGCATTTTTTTTTGTTCGAGCTGGTGTGTTGATTTTCCCGCGCACCGGCCGTGGACCCTGGCGACTTGGCGAGGGACTGGAATGTTCCCACCAAATCGCATAGGTGCCGGTACAGTGTGCTGCAGGAATCAGGAACTATCGATTTGAACCGCACTGCCCGCGTAGATTCAGGTCCTGAGGTGCTTTAAGGTGTGTGTGATCTGCGGCACTTTCGGGAATACATAGCCATCTGGTATCGACGCTGTCGAGGTCGAAGCCCATGGTCGAAGGGAGGGGCGGGCGTCGGTGTTCCCCGCGCGAGACGCTCGGGATCATCCACGTCCGCTCGGCCGACGTTGCGCCTGTGCGACCCTGTATACTACGACCATACTTACCTGCTTTACGAAGCGCACGCAATCGCGAGTCTGTAGTCCCCCGCCAGGCCCTCGGATGAAGTGTTTTTTGGCGGTACGGGCGGGCTTCTTCTCGCCGAGTATCCCGCGGGACTGCGGGGGATACTGAGCAGGAAGCTAGTAACTCGAATACCCTGCTGCTTCGAGTCCGGGGTGGTGGCGGGAACGGGCGGCGCCGTAGGTATGTACATATAGCGTACATTACCGGACACTTCCTCTTCCATTTCATCCACAGTATGAACCGTCCTGGCGAAACGCCGCTTTGCGGGTTCTCTCGAGCTCGAGCGCGCGCTCGTGCACTCGGGAGGTCTGCGTTAGGACGCGGCCGACGCTGACAGGAGATAGCCCTTCAGCTGAGCGCTTCCGATCCATGTATACGGAAGAGCTTCTTCCTCGGCCGTTATCTAGCTTTGTCGATCCAAGGGGGGCACTGTGTGAGCTATATGGTCGCCAGGGAAGATTGCGGTCAGTTCCAGGGTCCTTGCGGGTGAAGATCAAGTGTCAAAGAGTCGGCTTGGTGGATGCAATAGTACTAGCGCGAGTTGGCGCAAGGGCCGAGGACGGCGTTGGGTGACCGGTCAGCCGGTAGGGGCGAGGCAGGTGTCGCCGGACTCGAAAGGTAAAACGCAGTTGATCAAGGTTTGTTATCTTGTCGGTATTGTAGATAGATCTGCGATCGTGGAGGAGCGCAGTGCGTGTTGCGTTCGTCGCGCGTCGCGATGTGTGGGCAATGGCATAGCGCCCCAGCGTTGGTGCACGGTCCGCAATCAAGAGAGACTCAGAGAGAGCGGCGTGAGGGCGTGCGAACGACCTGTGGGGGTTATTCTGGCGGACGTAAGCAGTCTTTGCAGACCTCGCTCTTTGTTTTCTCCCGCAACAGCTTCAACGACAGTGCATTCCCGAAGACATCGAACACGATGCTCGTATTACGGAAGAACTGCATGGCGCTTTACATGCTGGCGGTTCGCCTCCTGTGTATGGGTAGCCTCTCGCCGGCCGGCACGCCTCCATACGTATCCCAAGCCACGGAGATTTCAGCGCTCGGCCACAGTCTATATGTATGCACTTACGAGGGCTTCGAACTTCGAAGATGGTGGCGTGGGGTGACGTTCCGTACAACGGCGGGATGCAGATATCGAAGACAACGCCGCGTTCATATCTCTTGACCATGGCTTGCTCGCTCCCCTTCGATCTCTACAGGCTCTGTATATGCGGCACTGCGCTTTCAGGAGATCTTGCTCTCTATCTCGGTCGTTGATCGTATCTACTGCAGAAGATCGGCCTTGAACCGTGCTCAGACACGCAGCTTCCTTGGTTCTGAGGTTCTCGAATCCCGTACTCCTCCTTCTTGTCAAGGCAAGCATAGTCCCCCCCCCCGTTCGTTCTCTGGATGCAACCTGAGTCTGTTCAATTACTGCGTCGCGGCCGAATCAGGATGGCCTCGCGAGCATTTAAGTTCATCCGCGGCCATGTCGGCAGTTCCCGCATGGATTGATGCTAACCTAGGGGCGAATCCGTAGTCCTCCCAAAGTTGGCACTCCAAGCACGGGAATTTTCATATCGTATTGGGATGTTACCTGCGGATGTCTTCATCTCACTGACGAACCCCGGGGATCTCTCCGATTCGCAACCCTCTCTTCAACAAAAATCCGCGTTTCACGGGGACGCTGACCAGATGGTTTACTCACTTTGAACCTGGTCGCTTTACAACATGCACGCTGGCGCAGAGTTACGCGCTCGTTCAATGTTCATACCGACGAGCCCATCAGTGCCACGTATAGCCCAGAACCGTACAGGGTTGCAGCGTTCACAACAGCGCATCACGAGTTCTTGTCAAGATTAGATAGGCCACGATACGCCGTATTCCTGGGGCATGCGAAGGTTGTCGGCCTCTAGACGTTAGTTCATCCCGAACGGCAATACCCTCGTATGCTGTATCCTCGTTGCTTGCACGGTACCTGACTTCGCTGACAAGTCCCAGCAGGGCCCAAGACTGAGCGCCATCGCTCAGTTCTGCCCCGGTTGAGGCTGCTTCCTCTCGACAATCTGAATGACGGTGGCTTGGGTCAGTCAGGCATATCGCTCCTTGATCGCGTGGGCGCGCAGCTGCACGGCCTTCACACTCAAGTTGGCCCAATGTCTTACGATATCAACGTCTATCTCCGATCGCGACATCCTCATTCGAGGCAGATACAAATTAAGCCTCGAAGGACCGCAGATCCCCCGTCTTGACATCGACCGATCCTGGAACCTTCGTATACATACGGTCTCTTTCCCAGACGCTCGCCAAGATCAGGTCCTACATATACACAGCTGTCCAGCATCTCCATCCTACGGGCCGAACGCAACATACCACAAGCCGATCCGCATCCTTGATAGTTCGCGTGTCTCGCGCATCAGAAACTGTGCGATGTAACCACCGTATGCCCGACTCCCGAGGCTGCAACGGACCAAGTACAGCAACTTGGCTATGGCGCTGGTGTACCCGCAATCTTCGGCTGCATGCCGATGCATTCATTTTTGTTTCGGGCGAGCATATCCAACATAACTCACGCGGGTTGAATCGCGAGTGGGTTCTCGAATCCCGTTCTTCCCTCCACGTCGAGGCACACACGAATTCCGGCTTTCACGTTGGTCCCGTGCTTCTTGAAAGTCTTCTAGGCTGCTTCCCACTAGCTCGCTTTGCATTTCGCGCGCACTCGAGCGTGTCGCCTCTCCCACCATCGACCCAACTCTCAGATGCCGCTTGTGCAACCCAAACTCAAAATCTCATCTGGGAGAAGCTTCGGGACGCCGTTCCTCATTGATGCGGACTTCCCATCGGAAAAGCCAGTTTCATTGCATCGTGCATCCTTGGACATCTCGAACCGCCGCAATGTCTGTATGGCGCTTGGGGACGTCTTTTACGTTGCGGACAAGTTCAGGTGCCGCGACGAAATAGCTTATCGCCCTGCCCGCCGGTGCTGCGCACGACGCCTTGCTGACGTCCATAAGGCCCGTGCCAGAAGACACGACGGAGTGCGTTAGCCCACACCTGAATCGTGTCCGATCCGCCTTCATCGCGAACCCGGCAGGACACAATCATCGTCATCATACTTACGCGGGCGTTATAACGTAAGCGCGTCCCGATCTTTCGCCAGGCCACCTTCTTCTCCCATTGTCGCTGTTCGCGTTCTCGCTGCGGCCCCTTTCAATACATATCGGCGACTTTGCCCTCGTTGCGCCGCGTTGCGAACCACTCGTCAGAGAAGTGGTGTGACGACACGTCCGGGTCCTTATAGGACGCCCCGCATCGCATGACCTGTGTATCCAGAATCCCTTCCACACCTTCGGTTACCTCAGACTTATCCTTCATCGTTGATGATCTGAACGCCGTTCTCATGATACGACTAGGGCGATGGCGTAGAGGGTATATTCCCTCCGAACTTCATCGGAAGGACGCAAAGACGGCCCTCCGGCGCATGGACTCTAGACTCAGATCGTATACCTCATCGCCAGGACAGCATGGTTGCGCGTGCTTATGGTGAGCGCATCTGTTGCATGAGGTAGTCGTCTGACCTATGTTCGACGTCATGTAATACAGTTAGCCGTACCGGGCTTTCGGTTCGTGCTCCCGACCAAAGGGGGCGAGGACATGAATTCCTATCACTATCACTAACTCCTCCGAGTTCGAGTCGGTTGCCCTGAACGCCTAACGCTGCGCCTTGCAGCGTGCAGGGCTCATTTCCCGCAACATCAACGCAAAAGGGCCCCACACAATCCATCCTTCCCGTCTCCACAAACCTCTGGTCTGCAACGATCCGGGAAACGTACGATTACTTAACTCTCAACCGCTGCGCTCCGAAGGGCACACGACCTCTCGCAGCTCAGTTCTCCGGACCCGCACCCGGACCTGGACTTTCTCGCAGAGAGCGAGAGGACGCTCAGCTGACCGTTGTATGACGCTGCAGGGCGTCATATAACGTTACCTTCCGCGATTGCCTTCCGCGACTTCTCATCGGTCCGCTCAAACTTCGGAAACGGATCAGCACGCAGTCAGCCTTCAGCTATGCATATGAGCACGCGGTGACGTTTACTGGTTAAATGAATCGAGATTTGAATGAGTGGATTGGGCAGGAAGATGTCAATGCTAATGTCGCTGGCGTGAACGACACGAGGCGACGGGTGGAAATGGCAGGTGCTTACCACCCGGAGTGCGGCCTCCGGTGTTCCGTCGTGTTAGGGATCAATGAAAAGAGTCGCGTACGTGAAACTTGTTGTCAACATAGCCGCATGTCAATATTCGGTATAATATCCGAACCCCAGGTGTACTCTACGTTGTTGATTGCTAGCTGTCGTCTTTGAGCGAGAGTCCAACGAAAGCGAAACTCATTACCCTTAAAATGAACGCGACCACGCGGATGTCCGGGCCGGGAATGCGGTGGAACACCGGGTGGATTCTTGAACGATCTGTTGGAATAAGTACTTGAAAAACCAGGAAATCCTGCGAACGACAATCGCGATGGCTCGTGATTCCTGGAAGAGAATCAATCCTCGAGTCGTCGTACATATATACAAAGAGCACACGCATCATGGCTTCGCTGCCGTCACCCGGAACATAGACTGCACGCCGACCTCCGGTCAAGGATTATCGCCAACCTTGGCCTCCGCATTCATATAGGAAACCCACGAGGCCGATTTGCTCGACGCTTCTCTCCACAGAGGGCGTGGCACCGATGCGCCATCCGAGCTGATGCGATGTACTAGCCCGCGAACAACGATATATGGGTTCCTCGTACGCGATTTTCGCTGTTGGGACGCTCGGATACGCGGTGTCCGTGACTCATTGACGACAACCCAATGGAATGTCTTGTGGCGCCCCCACACTCGTCGACGGCTGTGAACTCGGTATGCATCGCGCCTTTCGAGACTACGGTGGAAGCGGAAGATATCGGATTTGTTGCGCGCGCAAAATCCGCGCACGATAGCTTCGGGATCCTCGACGGCGCAAACAGCGCGCTGGGCTGTGTTCAAACTCCACTGCTGCGGCGTCCAAGATGGAAGCGAGAGGAATCAACGCTCGTGGACGATATGGTGAAGTATGGAGGCTTCAGCGAAAGGGACGCACGAAGCGTGGTATTCGCGCACCCGCTGCAACATGGATACCGCCAATGTGCGCCGCGGTTGCGTGCGTCTCTTCGACGTCAGGGAGTAAACTTGCAATGTGGTCCCGGGCCGCATTTAGCTCGCTCAGCATCTGGGGCGACCTTGATAAGTATGTACTCTTGGAGCCTTGGAGCATCGGCTCCTGCTTTGGGGATCGTTCCGCCTGATGCGGCTTTTCCGCGAGTCAAACGTTATCCACGACGGTGTCGGATCGCTGACCAGTTCCTCTGGGTCGTAGGCAGCTACTCCGCGAAATGTGAGCTCTGTTCGAGCAATGGCCATAGCAGTGGACGACGGACGGCGAGAGACGAATCGGGGAACAATTCCCTCGCCGCGTTTCTCGGGAAAAAAGGAAATCGCACGCCACTTCTGCACAGACGTTTTACGTCATGAGGCAACGCCTAGGCCGGGCGCACGCTGGTCCGCGCCGCGAATCAGGAAGTGGTTTATACTCATGCAGCACAAGCTGTATATATCAAGGACCCGGAGTCTCACCCCAATCATCTCGCTCCAACTCCAAGCTCCATCTCCACAAGCATTCCTTCCATCTCCATAACCACTCCTCGTCGCGCACTAGCAGCTCTCGCTTTGCAAAATTTCACCCCCTGTGCGCGCTCTACTGCTCAAAGAAAGATGATGCAGTCGTCTGCCGCATCCTCGCGCACCGCCGGCGCCAGCGCCGCCCAGGCGCAGACGATGCGCCGGAGACCGTCCTCGGCGTCCAGGACGAGGACGATAACAGCGCACGGCCAGCTGCAACAGCTCGCCGCCTCCTTCCCGCCGTCCACCAGCCCACCACCACTCCAGGGCGCCGCCTCGCCCTCTCCCTCTCCCTCGCCGACATCCCCCAGCCCGCGCGCGTTCGACGCACGCGTGGCGGCCGAGGCGTGCAAGCGCGTGGAGGGCTACGTGAGCTTTAAAGACGTCGAGGGCCTCGGCGTGCCGCCGGACTACGACGACGACGGAGAGGATGCGAAAGCCGGCGGAGGACGGCCGGGGCACGCGCGCCGGTGGTCGCTCTCGCGCTGGCTCGGTTTGGCGCCCGAGGCGGCGGGCGCGAGTGCGCCGGCGAGCCGGCCGACGTCGTTGACGTACGACGGCTCGAAAAACGTTCCCCGTCTATGAACGAAGGTGGTTCGTCTTTTTCGACGCTTCTTGACCCTCTGCCATGTACGCTGACGGCTTCTTTTTTGTGTCTGCCCAGTTCTACTCCATGCATCGTGTCCTTACCCGCGGACTCTTTTGAACCATAACTTATTCCCTGTATTCTCACCCCCCCAATCCACGCATGGTCCGTTTCTTTTTCTTTTGTTTTTGCTGGACTAGTTACTACATATCGCTGTCGTTGTCTCTCCCCTCATACCTCTCTCGTCGCATTGTAATTCTATGCTCCAACCGGCTCTCGTCGCAATGTAACACCATCCCAGCCTAGACCTCATAAAGTTTGTGTGCATATACTCATCAAGCGGAAGCGCTCTTGTTGCGCTGTCGTCGTCATCGTTTGAGGGGTTGAGGCGCGGAGTTGACCCGATCTTCTTACGGAAGGAGAGCCAAAAAAGAAGCCAGGGGGGGACGAGATCTAGACAGAAGCCCGGCTTTCAGCAGCTTCTTGCAGATCGTGACCTGTAACGAGACCACCTTGCGGTGGACGTCGGAAAGTACGAGCTACATTCACGCTGAGTGGAGAGGTACAGAGGTACGTACGGTAAAGCTAGCAACTAAATACTGCAAAACCAAAGTGGGGTTGAACTAAAGTAAAACAATCCGCGGAAACATTCCCCGAGAAGCTACTTGGATATATTCCTATACGTTCTTTTTTTGTCGATGACATGTATCGTCCTGTTCGCCGATAAAACAAAAAGAGGGTTTGACCCGAAGTCCGTTTTTTTTCCTGTCCCGTCCGTCTTGAATGAATGTGGTATGCGATATGTAAATCTGTCCGTGTCCGATTTGAAGCAAGGAGGGTCTGATGGTTCGTATCGTTTGTTCCAGCGACGACGGATGGTAAAAACTCAAAGTCCCTGGAAGCGTTTCCGATTTCGTTCGTGGTAGGCGTTTTTCGGTCAGGTTTTGTTATCTTTCGTCGCGCGTGCGTTTATCCGGCGCCGTCCTGTGGATCGCCCCAGCTGCGCGAGATCGAGCCGGCGTCTTGATAGCGGATGACGAACTCGCGGTGGACGGGTTGCGGCGTCTTGAGGAGGTCGACGTCGGATTCTTCTTCCTCTTCCTCTTCCTCTTGTTCTTGTTCTTGTTCTTGCTGTCGCTTCGCGAGCGTCGTCTGCTGTTGAGGCACACGATCGATCGATCATAACAGAGAGAGCAACATATGCAATGCAATATGAACATCAGAACTTCTATATGCAACAGCGAGAGATGGACAGCAAAGCGGCAAAAAAGAAAAAAAAAAACAGGGTGTATGGTGTATGGTTTGTGGTATCGGTGCGCGTTGTGTATTAGGTGGTAGTACCCACATCGTGGTCGTCGTCCGAGTGGTGGTGGTGGTGATTTTGTCCGTCGTCGTCGTACTCGTGCTCGTGGCTCGCCAACGAATCGATCCGCGAGCTCGCCCGGCTCCCGCCCCGCGACTCTCCCTCCTCCTCCTCCTCCGTGGGCGCCTCCACCGACACCTGCACGTCCTCCGCGCCCTCGTCGGTGTCCTGCGTCACCCGCCGGCTGCGCGGCCGCCCGCGCGAGAAGGTGAGCACGGACTCGGGCTCGACGAGGCGCGCGTTGAGCAGCGGCGGCCGGTGCTCGGGCGGCGGGGGGAGGGAGGCGAGGGAGGAGTCGACGGCGCTGAGGGAGAGGGTGGACGGGCTGGGGGAGGGGAGCGGGGAGCGCGAGGAGGAGGGGTCGAGGGTGTCCGCGAGCGGGTCGGAGGGGCGGAGACGGAAGGGCGCGTGCGCGTTCACGCGGACCATCTTTCTGTGGAAAATCCCGGAAAAAGAAGACGTTAGCTGGGATGGGAGGGATAGGATGGGGAAGGTACACGTACCCGCCTTTGGCGCGGACGATGCTGTCCAGACGCTCTTTGAGCTTTTGGTGGTCGGGCGGTTGGCGCAGGATCGGGCTATGAGGATGGTGCGGTGAGGAATGGGGTCGGGGTCTGAGCGCGCATGTATGCGCTGATAGGGGACTTACTGGGGAAGCTCATGCGGGTCGTCGAGGAGCCGGGTATGCTCGTCCGGGATCGTCTGTGTTATGTATGTGCATGGGTATAAAGCCGAAGAAGGTAGAGAGACGGAGCGATACGCACCGGAGGACTCGGCGAGCGATTGCGGAGGCAGCAGCCAAAGATCTGGCCCAAGAGCCCACTCATCGCGGTCGCCGCGAGCGACCGGATGATGTCCGGCGAAGACTTGTCGTAGAGCGAGAGTTGTTGGTCGTCAGATACGCGGCGCGCTCCACTTATCGCGCGCGCGGAGGGAGTAGAGTTTGCGGGAAGAGAGGGAAAGATCCGGGCTGAGGCGTGCGGTATATAAAGTGACTCTAGGCCGGGAGGTGCAGGGAAGATGAGGGTATAACGCAGCGCTAGGCGCGCTCCGGGACGAGCTGAAGGACGAAGGCAGATGGAACGGGCACGAAAAGCAGCACCGCCCACATGGGGCGCCGATCCGTCCCAATTTGGAGGTGCCCCTATCGCTGCTGAGGACGGCGCTAACCAGTACCGTCTCGGCTTGTTTTATGCCTCCATACGCTGTGGGATGACCTGCCCGGCGCGATGCTGTTTCATGCTAATGCTGTGATATGGAGCTATCTGTGAACTCTGCGATTCCTGTGACATGCGCTGCTCCCCTGCTTGGTCGGCACGGACTCGGATCCAAGAAGGAAGGAGTTCGAGCCCAGCGCAACTTTACTCGACCTCGGACGCTACGCAGAGCGAGGAAGTACGAGCGGCATGTGAAAGACGCTGTAGGTCGCGCTCGTTTCCATGTGTTCATGTTCAGGCAGGCGCTCGCTCCGATGCACGCGCTTGAGCTCTATGGGCGTCAGTTGTCTTGTGCGAAAAGAGATGGCACAGGCTTCTATCTTCGCAACGAATGACCTCATCGTAGGTATGTACTCGATTAGAAATCCGGTGAGTGCGACCTACTCATTCGATACCAACGCGCTGCCGAGCTAACTCCGCGTTTCCTGTCGTCGACCTTCAGGCCCGAGACGGAAAATCCAGATATAGTACAAGAAGATATTATGAGGGGATGGGAACGCACCTTTATGATGCATCAATGCTCCTTTCACTATTCCCAACCATGTGCTATGGCTCTGCTCGGGCCGTCAGCGCCCGCGAAGAAGCGTTCCGTCGGATCTGGTGAGCATTCAGTACCTCTTCATCTTCGGCTCCATGAATTCACTGTCACCAGCTGCCCAACGCTTATAAAATTCCGTCGTCGGCCGCTGAGGATCCCGCTTTCCCTGCTCCCGATCTGAACGACCTTGCAAAATGCTCGTCAGCACCGCGCTCAACATTGCGCTCCTCCTCGCATCCGCCGCTCTCGGGGCACAGATCACCACGACGACCCGGCAGACGATTAACGGAATCGGCGCGTCCGGCGCCTGGTGGCCGAACGACCTCGCGCTCTTCCCATCCGAAGTGCGCCAGAACATCTCGCAGCTGCTCTTGAACCAGACCTCAGGTATGTGGTTGCTCTGATAGGGTATCCTTGATCCGTGTTATGATTGTGACGTGCGTCGACGATTAGGGCTCGGGTTGACGGACTACCGCTACAACCTGGGAGGCGGCGGGGTCGGGGTGGGCACGTTCGCAAGGGCGCCCGAGACGCCATATGTTAGGTGCGTTATGCTCGAACCTTTTCGTGTCTTTTGTACGAGCTGACGGGCTCGCAGCGACGGCGTGTACAATTTCTCGGCGGATCCGCAAGGGACGTTCTTCCTCCGAGAAGCCGCTCGCCAGGGTGTCCCGCTTATCACGCTCTTCGTGAATAGCGCGGTGGGTGTTGCACAGGCCCGACGAGCTTCGAATAATCCCTGATAAACAAATATTTTCTCTCGCGGGTGTAGCCGACGACCTTCACCACGAACGGCCAGAATTGCGGCGGCAATCTCATCACGTCGCGTATACCCGAGTACGCCCAGTATCTCGCCGACGTGATCAGCTACTGGAAGACGCAAGGGGTGGAGATCACCCACGTCTCGCCGATGAAGTACGTAGCACGGAATTTCCTGGAGGTTGTGCGTGTAGGTTCTGACCGTGGATGGACGTTGCAGCGAACCCGACAGCACGTTCGGCAGCGGCGATCCCAACACGCTCTGCGGGCAGGAGGGCATGGAGGTCACGCCGGCCCAGCGCGCCGAGGTGGTCACCACCCTCGCCGCGGCGTTGAAGGATGCCGGCTTATCCACGAGGGTGATCGCGGACGAGTCGTCGTCGACGGGTCAGCGCGGATCACACCATCGTCGACAGCCATGTGAAGCTCACGCGAAGTGTATTTTTCAGGCAACTTCGAGAACGACGCTCCCGTCTGGCTCGGCTCGTCGGGCGTAGGCGAGGCGCTCGCCGGCATCGCGCACCACCAGTATGGGTTCGCGAGCGGGCCGACGCAGCAGGCCATGGCGGAGCTCGGACGCAATCTGAGCGGCGGCGTGTCCACGTGGTTCACGGAGATATGCTGTCAGTCAAGTCCGCTACACCGGGGTTCGGAACCGGTCTCATGCAGTATACCGTGTATGCCGATGCAGGTTACGTGCAAGTGGACAGCAGCGAGGCGGACGATCCGCTGGCGACGCTCACGTACGGCGGCCAGTACGACCCGACGATGGTCAGCGCCCTCCGGATGGCGAACTTGATCTTCCAGTCTTTCACGTTCGCGGAAGACGAGCACTGGTACTCATGCTCCTTTGCATCGACAGAAAGTCATGAACTGAGCTTTCTCTCGCAGGGATTGGTGGACGGCGCTCTCAAGCGAACTCGGCTCGTGCTCACCCTCCAGTGACGCCTCTTGCGTCAACGCCGTCAACCCGGACGGGTGGGACGATGGTCAATGCCCAGAGCTCCGACGTTATATCATGTTAAGAAAGACTGATGATGATCCTCTGCAGGCCTCCTCTACTACGACCCGAACTACGCCTCGACAGGCTTCTACGGTCTCGGCGTCTCGAAGCGCTACTCCGTCCTGCGCCACTTCACCAAGGCCGCGCCCGTCGGCGCCGTCCGGCGGAACGTGTCCCTCTCCGCATCCGAGTCCGCGTGGCTCGTCCTCGCGTTCGACACCGACCCGGCCTGCGCGCCGTTCGCGACCTGCAGCGCGGCGCCGTTCTCCGTCGTCGCGGCGAACGCGCAGGGGGGCGCGGCGACGCTGACGTTGACGTCCGCGTTGAGCCAGCCGACGGCGGCGTTCAGGACGAGTCCGACGGAGGATTGGGCGGAGGTGGCTGCGCCGACCTTGGCGGCAGATGGGTCGCTCGTGATCGAGGCGCCTGGGCTGAGCGTGTATACCCTCTTCTTCTAGGATGTCGGGCTAGAGGTTTGCGTGCTTTTGCGATCATACATGTACTCGTCAAGCTTGGAGAAATGAATGTCGTTTGCGCCTGCGGCCACAGCGAGACTGACTGGCACGAAGGGCATCCTCAACGTCGAGATAACGATGACGTCATCACCTCTACAATATCAATAATCCCGATCAGAAGCTGGTTGCACAAGTTCAATACGTGCGCTTATCCTCCTTATCTACCCTCTCCGCCACGCCGAACTCACTCCGTGTTCCGCATAGATTCTGGGTCGTATTGCGAAGGCGTGCCCTCGCCGACCAACCCTCACATCAGGGCCCCAGACAAATACGGCCAGGGCTGCGCGGCCACGGAGGCACTTCCTGCCTCCTTCCTGCCCACTCTGCGCCATGAGGATGTACCTATCCGAAGCGTTCATGACCCTCCCGCTGTTCTTCAACATGTGCTATGCGCTGCTCGGGCCGCTGTCGTCCGCGCAGAAGCACTTCGAGGAGAATGGTGAGTATTTAGTCCCTCCTTCATCTTCGGTTCCGTGATAGAAGCGTCGGCCTATGCTGCGTCTTATATAGACCCCTCCCCGAGCTGGCATATGGCGTCGAACATATCGCGTTCCTCGCTGTCTCGACAACATTATGCTCGTCAGTAATGTGCTGAGAGGTTTGTTACCTCTAGTTTCAGCTGTTCAAGGGGCCAGAATCACGACTACGGCCCGGCAAACAATCAATGGTATCGGAGCTTCGGGTGCCTGGTGGCCGATTGACATCGCACTGTTCCCTCCTGAAGTACGACAGAATATCTCCGAATTGCTATTGAACCAAAAGTCAGGTATTTGTGCCAGTGTGCTCACATCGGTCTTTGATGTCCTGAAGGCGCATTGGCAGGCCTTGGTCTGACGGACTACAGGTACAACCTTGGAGGCGGAGGTGTTGGCGTCGGCACATTTTCGAGGACGCCGGAGACGCCATACATAAGGTTCAAATTTCTCGAATGTTTACCCTGGTTCCTCGTGTTGAATCATGCTACAGTGATGGTGTATACAACTTCTCTGCGGACCCTCAAGGGACGTTTTTCCTGAGAGAAGCGGCTCGCCACGGTGTCCCGCTCATCACCCTCTTCGTGAACAGCGCTGTAAGCTCCCTTTTCCCCACACAACGGCCCCATCATTGCTCACTACTGCCTGTGCAGCCGACTACGTTCACTACTAACGGCCAAAATTGCGGAGGGACGCTCATCACGGAACGTATACCCGAATATGCTCAATACCTCGCCGACGTGATCAGCTACTGGAAGTCGCAGGGGGTGGAGATCACCCACGTTTCTCCCATGAAGTATGTGCAAAGATAGTGTCTGATCCCCGTCGTTCTGACGTAGTTGAAAGCGAACCGGACAACAACTTCGATGATGGCGACCCCAGCACACTATGCGGACAAGAAGGCATGGAAGTCACTCCGGACCAGCGCGCCGAAGTGGTCACGACCCTTGCGAAGGCGCTCAAACATGCGGGTCTCTCTACCAAAGTCATCGCGGATGAGTCTTCTTCGACCGGTACGCAATGCTACGTGCAACGGAATCGTTTCCCCTGACACGCCATTCACCAGGCACCTTCAACAGTGATGCACCGATCTGGATTTCGTCGTCGGTGGGCGAGGTCCTTGGTGGTATTGCACACCATCAGTACGGATTCGCAAGTGGGCCCACCCAGGAGACTATGGCTAGCCTTGGGCGTAACCTGAGCGGCGGCACGCCGACGTGGTTCACGGAAATCTGCTGTCAGTTATCAACCAGCCAGATTGTACACCATATACCAATGCTCACATGGGCATGACAGGTTACAAGGAGGTTGACAGCAGTCAGGCGGAGGACCCGCTTGCGGTCGTCGGGTGGGGAGAGCAATATGACCCAACGATGGTCAGCGCCCTAAGGATGGCGAATTTAATCTATCAATCCTTTACTTACGCGGAAGACGAACATTGGTGAGTTCTGCGAACGGTCACGGAAAGCACGTGTAGACCACTCTTTCAGGGATTGGTGGACGGCCCTTTCAAGCGGCTACGGGTCCTGCACGCCTTCCAGCAACTCATCCTGCGTCAACTCCGTACAGTCAGATGGCTGGGACGACGGTGAGACCACGGGCCGATGTCGGTTTCGGAAACTCATAGAATTTTCATAGGCATCATCTATTACGACCCCGATTACAGTACGACCGGGTTTTACGGAGTGAGCCTCACGAAGCGTTACTCCGTCCTGCGCCACTTCACGAAGGCGGCGCCGGTCGGTGCCGTCCGACGAAATGTCACCGAGACGGAGGCAAACTGGCTCGTCCTCGCGTTCGAAACCGGTCCGTCGGCAACGCCGTTCAGCAATAGCAAGGCGCCGCTGTTCTCGATAGTCGCAGCGAACGCTCAGTGAAACGCATCGAGCACGGTCCTATCCGGAGGAGGAGGATTCCGCCTCAGTCAGCCGAAGAAGGCATTCAGGAGTAGCCCTACGGAGGATTGGGTGGAGGTGGAGGCGCCGAAGCTCGTAGGAGGAGGGTCTCTGGTGATTGAAGCGCCGGAGATGAGCATATACACCATCTTTTTCTAGAAAGTGAAACGTACATCTCTGGGATCTTCCAGTGTCGGGGATAATAGAGCTACATCGGTTACAGTACACCAGTGCTTGTCCCCTTGTCGAAGAAGGTTGCTCCCGAGTCGGTTAGACGATATTGAGTGGCCGTCAGCCGCGAGATGAGCTTGACAGACGACGTCGGAGGGCACGACACTCCGGCGTGTATAGCGATCTGGTGAAAGATGGCTGAGTGCTCGTCAAGACGCTTCGTGAGGATGGTGAACTAGCGTACCTCCCCGGACACGGTGCCGCTGCGACCACTTGAGAGTGGCCTCACGTCAACGTGGTAGGCGGAAATTTGCAGCAGTTGACGGAAAAGGTCGTCAGGCTCTCCAGGGGTGGTGACATGATATCGGATTACGAGACCGGCGTTTTCCTGCACAATCAGGTTAACAACATGCAACAGGAGAGCCCTATGGAGGACGCACCTGCCGGCATAAGGCAGTCAAAGCGCGGATAAACCGTGCGATCTCCACGTAAGGGAACCCAATCCATTCCATGACCGCGATGTCATCGACAATGATCAAAGATGGTTTTCCGACGGCGGATGGTGATTCGAGACCACGTTTAATGTCGTTGAATAGGGGTCGGAGAGACGCGTTCGGCTTGGTGTAACTGAGTAAATCGATATTAACCAATGACCTCGCGTCAAGATGCTGGTTCAAGTTAACATTATACAATGACTGGTCAGAAATAGTGCAGGGACAAGATGATGATTCACTCGCACAGTTTTCGCGCCGACGTGTGTCCATCGACTCGCATCGTCCGAGGTCGTGACAAGTATGCATGTCGACTCTGTTCCGGATTTCTTCAAGTGGTACGCGACAAGCCTATGGAGGATGAAATCGGCAGGTGACGGCAATTCGTCCGTTATCAATAGGAGTTGTCCAGGATGGTTGAGTTCATCAACGGGAAACATGGTGCTCCGGATGAAGAGAGCGCGAGCACGCGGCAACGCGTTGACACCTCTCGATTGCTCTGCTCTCTTGTCTATTGTACTTCTTCATTCTATCCTGCTGCTGTTCGAAGCTATATTTCTACAGGAGCTATCATGGATGACCTGAAAATCTCCAGCTGGTGCTTTTTCTCCTACCAACCTCCCCCGAGCTGACAGAAATATCTGCGGGTAGGGATCATTGAACGCGTCTCGTACTTTTGTTGCCACATCAATTATATCTGCAGTACCGTATATGAGGCACTCATCCTCGGTATCGTCATGCCCGGGGCTCGGAGCTGATTTGCCCACTTGCGTCTCTGACGGTCCATGATGCTACATGCTTCTACTTGCGTCTCCGACGGTCCACGATGCCTACATGCTTCTCCGACACTGTGTGGCAGGACACCTACCGTCAACGAAGTGTGTGAAACATGACGACTGTGTGGCTTTGAACGTTGACATGATTGCTGGTAACTTACTCTAGGTAGCACCGGCCGAGACGCATGGCAAGTACATGCGAAGCCATTCTTTCTGCGCAAATATTGCGATGACAGTCTGACGGAGATTTGGTGGGTATCTGTAGCTCGATCTTTTTCTTGCCACTCCATCCCGTTGCCCTCAATCACTCGATGCACGTTGGACATAGCCGGTGGCGTCAGTTAACGATGTCGGCGTGCCATTTCTGAAAAAAAAAGCCACACCGGTCATCCCTGGCCATCTTCTGTCCCGTGGCCACCGTACTTTCGTTTAAATCGGGATGCACAGTTCACGGCTGTGGAGGTGTACGCGACGAAATGGCGGCAGGACCGCACCTGGTACCCCCACGGCACATCGTCAGCTATGATCAGATCTCACCTCTCGAACGCAGGAGCGTCTTCTTGTCTACCTATTCGCCCAAGCATGTGAACATCAACGTAGCGCGCGACCATTGGGGACTGCTCACGCTCTGCGGGTCGATGGAGGAGCCGGTAATCCTGCTACCAAGAACTAAAAAGACATATGCTATCGGGGCCGGACCTAAACATAGAGCAGTGCTTGAAGGCCTTCCTATCAGCAGAATCTTCCCATTTGAATCGTTCACAGCATGTGTTGTGAGGTGGAACGGAGATTCAAGTCGCGATGCCCGCGTTACTATTCAACGTGTCTCAGAAGCTGTTGTGAAGGTAATTGGTACTTTGTCTTTTTCGCTGGAAAGGTATTGACTGGTGATGGCGTAGGTTGGCCATAGGATGCTTCGTCCAGATGAAGTCTTCAGATTGGAACCCGGCGATATGATCAAAGTCGGAGACCAAGGTTTGCGATATTGCCGGATGATATCTGCTTTGTCTCTGAATCAAGTCCATAGTCTATGCGTACGAACTGCTGGCAGATTGTGACGACGGTTACCGAGACATCGAGGAGTTCTACGTTCGTTCCATCGGCGCTCGTTCAGCCAAGGGAGGCCAAGGAGGTACGTTATATCACTATAGTTGTGTCTACTGTTCTCATCACTCTGCTATCATTCACATCTAGCTGTGTCCTTTCGAGAGATACTATATCTTCCGCAGGCTTCATGCCGCCGATGGACGGAGGGCCCGCGCATGGTTGCAGTCAAATCGATACGCCTGTACGGTGACGAGCGTTCGCGGCACCTCCGAGACAAAATCATTAGACAGGCAGGTTCGGAACTCTTCCTCGCGAAAACGTTGCACCATCCCCGTATAGCCTCGTTACGAGAGGCATTTGTGGCAGAAGGCCTCACGAAGCTGGGTGAGATCAGAATATACGCTCCCTTTGTGAACGCTTCAAGCTCACACGCTGGATATTAGACCTCGTTTTTGACATTGCGCCAGGGCAAACTCTGCGGGAACATTTTATGAAGGCTGGCAAGATTTGTTGTGCGCTTGCATTCATAATAACTCAGAAGTGAATCACTAAAGGACAATTAGCGGAAACTACTTTGAGACGCATAGCGTACCAGTTGTGCGACGCGCTCGCAGTGAGTTCCGCTCGTTCTTACCTTCCCAAGTCGTAGCGCAACTCACTATTCCATTATAGTACTTGCACCACAAAGGCGTGGCACATCTAGATATCAAACCAGAGGTAAATCACATTCATCAAAAAGCAATTCATTGGGGGCTCAATTGGGTAGAACGTAATTTACCATGATGCTCTGGGGATCACGATAATAGATTTTGGTTTATCACGTATCATGGGCGAGGATGTCAAGGTATGCTCCCTTTTGTTAGAAGCTATTGCTTCTCCGATTTAGATATACGATTTCAGGGCATTGCGGGTACCGCCAGGTACGCACCTCCGGAGATAACTCAAGGCATTCTGGACACGTGCGCGGATAGCTTCAGTGTCGGCGCGATGCTGTTCGAACTGTAGGCGAAGTTAATGCTTTGCAATATGTCTCTTCTCTTATTTGCATTCAGGTTTGTAGGGAGGACACTGTACAGGATAGCTCGCAATGGAACTCTCCTAGATCAGGTTCGTAGTCGCAAGAGGCGATGGGGTCAGATCTATCAAGGTAGACCCATCTCTGAGTTGGGTGGGTTGTTTTGTTGTTTCGTAATTCAACCATCCTAATTCACGCCTACTTAGGGTTAAACTTGATTAGCCTGTTGGCGGAAGAAGACCGCACAAAACGTCTGAGCATCACAGATGCCCTGCGTCATGCGTGGTTCTTCTCTCTACGGGGCATCGAGCCAAGTCATAGCTGGTATCGAGACGCACCCTACAATGGACACCTCCGAGAGGATACGCCAAAGGAGGTCGTTCCAGCGCATGACCATCAGCTTGCCGAATTGACCTTGCTGCGCACAACACAGTACACAACACAAATCCAAACGGGAGGAAGTTGGCCCGATGCTCTTTACTCCGATCCAACCACCGTCTGGTGCTCTGCATATGATAATTCATATGTATTTGCTACTGCTACCACGGATACAGCTATCGTCAACGCAGCATCCCTGCTGCAGCCCTATAGCAGCTAGCTGTAGGTACTGACAACCGAGCACATAGATATACGTCCGTGGAAGGACAGGTAGCAGAGGCGTCATTGGTTTTGTTTATTACCGACATATCATTGCTTCTTATCTGCAGCCCTGAATCGGTCTCATAAGCAATCCTTAACATCAATGTGGCCAGGTGCCGTTAATCTACTCCCAAGATGACGGTGAACGCTGGCAGCGCGAAATAGGGGGTGGCTCAGCTACAGGACCCCTCCCTGGGACAACTCGATCAGGAACGACCCCCGAGAAAACTTCGCGTTTTCTGGATCTCCTCTAAGATTTGCCTAAGATGCGATCGCAGTCATTGGATCCGAAAGTAACTCTTGCTCCAGTCCATGAACTAGATCAACGGTCAGGTCGTCTTGATCATCGACGAATTGTCCTGGGCTCACGGTGAGCAACGTCGTCTGTTAGGGGAGCTCCGGTGTTGAACTCGTTGGAAGCCTCTGGTCTTCTACTTCGGTTCGTTGGGCACACGGATATACCAATTAGAGGGCTGCAGGTGCGTTCATAGTACCTCTCTACGGTCGTTTTTTACTGAAAGAACGTTGAGACATGCTAGTATTCTACGGTGCCTCCGTTTTTCCGCCTACGAAGCGCGATGGATTGCTCTCTAGCATCCAGCGGGTCAACCCCAACATCTCGACTGTAGATGCAGTCTGGGTCCACCTCGTCGATGGCGATGAAGCCATTGCGAATGCGGGCTCTGCCCAGCGACGAATTCTCCGCGATCTTCTGGACTACGGCGACAACGACACGCTGGGCGGGACGGAGGACGCGCTCGAGGGCCAGCAGAACGTCGTATATGTTTTGCCACGCCCGGCTTCCATCTCGCCTTGGTCAAGCAAGGCTACCGATATTGCTGGCATCTGTTCTCTGGGCTCGCACGTTCGACGTCTAGAGCGAGGAATCGCTTTTGTGTTCACGACGAAGGACGGGTCACAACTAACCCAGAACGTCGTCAACAACTTCTCGTCCCTCATTCACGATCGCATGACGCAGGCTGTCTATCTCTCCCTCCCCGAATCTGAAACTATCTTCTCTCATGCACCTCCGAGACATCTCCGGAAGGTCAGCCTCACAGACTCTGCCACAAATCCTCGCGATAGCCTCGTCAAGGCCAACGTAGAGCTCGGCCTCGCACTCGCCCCGGACGAAATCGACTACCTCGTTTCCGCATTCGTCTCTGGTCCTACGCCGATATCGCGCGACCCGACCGACGCCGAATTGTTCATGTTCGCTCAGGTGAATTCGGAGCACTGCCGACACAAGATCTTTAATGCATCCTGGACGATTGACGACGTTGCAAAGGACAAGTCGCTCTTCAAGATGATTCGTAACACCGAGCAATTGAACGGGACGGGCACCATTTCCGCGTATTCTGATAACGCTGCGGTGCTGGAGGGTCATCCCGCCCCTCGCATTGGTATCTCGAGCCGCGGCCCGAATGATCCCAATCCAGGCCTGGAGAACGTTTATCTTCTGACCGAAGAGGACATGCCGATCCTCGTCAAAGTCGAGACGCACAATCATCCGACGGCCGTCTCTCCCTTCCCCGGTGCAGCGACAGGTTCAGGAGGCGAAATCCGCGACGAGGGTGCCGTTGGTCGAGGTTCAAAGCCGAAAGCCGGTCTCGCCGGTTTCTCCGTTAGCAATCTTCGCATCCCTGGCTACGTCCAGCCATGGGAGGAAACCGACTTCGGCAAACCGCACCATATCGCCAGCGCGCTCGACATCATGATCGAGGGTCCGTTGGGCGCGAGCGCGTTCAACAACGAATTCGGTCGGCCCGCGCTCGCCGGGTACTTCCGCACCTTCTGCGAGGCGACGCCCGACGGCGACGTCCGAGGCTACCACAAGCCTATCATGGTGGCAGGCGGATACGGCAACGTGCGACCGCAGTTCGCGATAAAGTCGAAGATTTCCGTCGGCGCCAAGATCGTCGTTTTGGGCGGGCCTGGACTGCTCATCGGCCTCGGAGGTGGCGCGGCATCCAGTCAAGCTCTCGGTGCTTCTTCAGCCGAACTCGATTTCGCCTCCGTGCAGAGAGACAACGCTGAAATGCAGCGGCGATGCCAGCAGGTCATCAACTCCTGCGTGGACCGCGGCCCTTTCAACCCGATTCAAAGTATCCACGACGTTGGCGCCGGTGGTTTGTCGAATGCCTTGCCAGAGCTCGTCCATGACTCTGGTCTTGGTGCGACGTTCGAGATTAGGGACGTGTTGGTCGCAGACACATCCATGTCGCCGATGGAGATCTGGTGTAACGAGTCTCAGGAGCGTTACGTTCTCGCCATATCACCCGATCAGGAGGATCAATTCGTGCAGATTGCTCAGCGTGAGCGTTGCCCGTTCTCCATAGTCGGCGTTGCCACTGCTGAAGAGGAGCTCGTTGTCACCGACCGGTTGTTGAAGAACGACGTAGTTCATCTCAGTATGTCTACGTTGTTTGGCAAGCCGCCGCGCATGTCTCGTATCGACTCGACCCGGAAGCCGACGACGAAACCATTTGATACCTCCCTGGCGCAGTACTTGCCGTCATCGGCCGATCCCCAAGCGCGTCTTCATGAGGCGGTCTCAAGAGTTCTGCGCCTTCCCTCCGTTGCCTCCAAGTCCTTCCTCATCACCATCGGCGACCGCACCATCACTGGTCTCGTCACCCGCGACCAGATGGTCGGCCCGTGGCAAGTGCCCGTGGCCGATGTTGCCGTCACACGAACGTCTTACGGCTTCGATGTCGTCGCAGGCGAGGCAATGGCAATGGGAGAGCGCACACCTCTGGCGCTCCTCGACGCACCCGCATCCGCGCGCATGGCTGTTGCCGAGTCCCTCATGAACCTTGCCGCCGCCCACGTCGGCGACCTGTCCCGCGTCAAGCTGAGCGCGAACTGGATGTGTGCTGCTAGCAAGGCTGGAGAGGGCGCGGCGCTGTACGCGGCGGTGCAGGCGGTCGGGATGGAGCTTTGCCCGACGCTTGGCGTTGGCGTCCCAGTCGGCAAGGATTCAATGTCGATGGCGATGAGGTGGCAGCAGGACGCAGAGCGCCGGGAGGTCAGCGCACCCCTATCACTCATCATCACGGCGTTTGCCCCAGTCGAAAACGTTGGCGCGACGTGGACGCCGCAGCTCCGTACGGATGTCGGTGCACCCACCGTGCTTGTGCTCGTCGACCTCGCGGCGGGAAAGCAGCGTCTGGGCGGCTCCGCTCTCGCGCAGGTTTTCCGGCAGATTGGCTCGGAGCCGCCCGATGTGGAGGATTCAGCGCAACTCAAGGCCTTCTTCATTGCTACCCAGCGCATTCGCACGGAGCACCCAAATTTGGTACTTGCGTATCATGATCGTTCCGACGGCGGCCTCTTCACGACAATCGTAGAGATGTCCTTCGCTGGTCGAGTAGGGGTCAATTTGACGCTGGACCCAGTGGCATCGTCCGATCCGGTCTCTGCGCTATTCAACGAGGAGCTTGGCGCTGTGGTTCAGATTCGCACATCCGATGTGGACCTGCTCAAAGCCGTCTTCGCAGACGCTGGCTTCCCCTCCCAGCATCTCCACATTATCGGCCAGGTGAACGCCGACGCTCAGGACCAGAACATCACCGTCACCTCTGGGTCTGCTACCCTTTACTCCAGCACTCGCGATTCGCTCCAGCAAGCGTGGGCCGAGACGTCGTATCGTATGCAGCTCATTCGCGATGAGCCACTCTCGGCGGAGGAAGAATATGCCCTCATCTCTTCCCCTCAACACCGTGGTCTATTCTACAACCTCACCTTCACTCCCCGACCGAGTCGCGACATCTTCCGTCGTCCACGTGTCGCCATCTTGCGCGAGCAGGGTGTCAACGGCCAGGTCGAGATGGCCTGGTGTTTCACCGCCGCTGGTTTCGACGCGGTAGACGTGCACATGTCGGACATTCTATCCGGCCGCGTAAGCTTGGAAGACTTCCGAGGGTTCGCTGCATGCGGTGGATTCTCGTATGGCGACGTTCTCGGCGCCGGGAAGGGATGGGCGCACTCGGTCCTTTTGAATGACGTAGCACGAGGCGAGTTCGTCCGGTTCTTCGAGCGGCAGAACACCTTTGCCCTCGGCGTCTGCAATGGATGCCAGTTCATGAGCCACCTGAGAGGCATCATACCCGGTGCGAGCCACTGGCCAAACTTCAAGACGAACAGGAGCGGCAGGTTCGAGGGTAGGGTCTCCATGCTCGAAGTCGTGGACAGCGACGCGACCAAGTCATCTGTCTTCCTGCATGATATGGCCGGGTCGATGCTGCCTGTCGCGGTAGCCCACGGTGAAGGACGAGCTGCTTTCCGCTCCGAGGAGGACTACGCCGCCGTCAGGCGCGCGAATGGCGTCGCTGTTCGTTATGTCGACGGCGACGGCAAGCCCACGGAGGCGTACCCCATGAACCCGAACGGAAGCCCTGACGGAATCGCAGGTTTGCATGCGGCTGGTGGGCGCGTGCTTGCGATGATGCCACATCCGGAGCGGGTGTCGACGCTGCAGAGCAACAGCTGGTATCCTCAGGAGATCAAGGAGCAGTGGGGGAACGTCGGTCCGTGGTTCAGGATATTCCAAAATGCACGTAGATGGTGTGGGTCTTAGTTTGCGGCGTCCAACATATACGTTGTGTCCGTTCTCTTTAGAAACCGGAGAACGTATTGTATTTTCACGCCAAACATTGTCATCATTTCTTGGGGTATCAAAACTGCATATGTCGTTTGCATCCGAGAAAGCAGTGGCTCCGGGGACAGATGTATGCACGCTGGTGAGCCGGGCTTGCAGCTGGCGTCACCAAGCAGTGTTCGAAGGGATTGACTCAGATAGAATGCCGCTCTTTGGGACGTTGCGGAGTGTGTCGTGTTCTAGAAAAATAATATCCAACGTATGAATACAGGAGAAAGTGTGCAACAATCACGAGTGCGGCATGATAGCGAAGCGATAGGAGGTTCATGGGAGGTCGGTCAAGTGATACGTCATTCAGATCCATTGGGACTTGTCCCAAGCAGGATCCTGCAGGAATGCGCAGAGGACCTTGCTTCCCGTCTACAGCAAGTTGAAACGGGTCAGTCATATGCGTCAGAACCTGAACACTATGACGCACTTGAAGCAAGGGATGGCCCGCAACGATGGTCAGAAACCGCTCCAGACCCTCGCGCCGGCTTTCGATCACCTCGTCTGAAAAACGGTTCGTGAAGACCTTGCCCGGGAGGGGAGGGATGTTCACGCGGGTGGACTCGCGTTCGAGGATATCACGGAAGGCCTCAAAGTCAGAGTAACGACGGCGAACAAGCGAATGACGGAGCTTGAATGCCGGAATGTTGGTCTAAGGGGTCGAATCAGTTACGCTCAGGGAAAGCACCAGGTGAACGACGAACCTTGGTCACAATCTCGTAGTCGGTGTACATCTTCCGACCAAAGCCTGTCTTACGACCTGAGTTATGCTCGCATCACCTAGAAATATAGCACACACCATGCGTCTGGGGGTTGCGTACTTCAATTTCCAAGAAACTCTCTGGTACGCTGTACATTTCCTCGATCTATCCAAGGGGGTGCGACAACTAGTTCGTCATTCGGCATTAGACGTTGACACGTTAGACGACCAACGCACAGTCTGCGCCCGCCCGGAGAGACGGGGCTCATCGAACGCGGGGACACGGGCGAAAGGCGAAGGGGTGGTCATCGTCAGTGGTGACGGAAGAAGTCAGAGGCGAACCTGCAGCACACGAGCCGCGACCGACGACATCAACGGCGATAGCGTACGGTACAGCCACTGAAGGCTGTTAAGGCTGCGGCGAGTTGGCTCCAGGACTGCGGCAGAGTACAATGATAATTCCTACATACACTACGGCGAAGGCAAGGAAGTACACAAGGGTTCAGCGCGTCGCTCCAAGACCAAGCTTAGTGGTTTTGATAACGGCCGTCAGCGGGGCAGCCAAGCCGCCACTAACGCCGATTCTCTGCCCTTCCGACCAACCCATTTTCGCCAACAGCTGGAAACCCATGTTCGACGCAGAAATCTTGGGCGCAGCCTATATTCATTGTACATTCTATGAGCACACCGAAAGGGGAGCCCAAAAAAGGACGAAAACGTACCTTGCCCACTTCATCTCCTTCGCGGTGCTTAGGTGCCCTGCCCCCGCCCCTGAACCCATTGGGTGCGTTAAATCTGTCTTCACCTCCTCCATTACGCCGCACTAGTGCCCTGACCTTCTTCTCCTTGATCGCTACACCCGTCATCGACGTGCGAATTAATGTCGTATACCTGCCTGAGCCCTGCCCTTTGCTCTGACTCTTGAGATTGAACGCGCCAGCGAGCTCGTGGACGCGCTTGCGGGACTCCTTGTCCATCGGAGGGAGCGCCATGGAGTTCTGGCCCAGGTTCGTGATGAACCTCCGAATCTGAGTCTCGAGGCTCGCGAGGTCGACGACGGCGTTGGGGATGTCGAGACCCAGCGCGGCCGCCCTTTTCGAAGCCTTTCGGCCTTTCTTGCCGCCCTTCTTTGGTGCCAGCGGGTCGACAGCTTCCTCCAGGCGTAGTGCCTCCCGCATGCGTTTTCTCTCCGCCTTCTTCTCGCGGTCCTTCTTCCATTGCGCTTGCAACTCGGGAGGTAAATCTTTCCACTGGTCTTTCTTCCGCCCTGCAAGACGTTGTGAGCAACTGGCCGACATAATGTCACAAAATAATGAAGAGAACGTACGTGACGGTTCAGCAATCCCCTCGAGATTTCCATCGCAAATCGCACGGAAGATTTCCTTCTTCGCCTTGCGATCGCGGCCGTGGAGTATACCCTCGTTTTCTTCAAGCAATGTCTATGTCATGGGATGTCAAAATGCGTCTTTTCTGTGACTGGTGCGATTATGGTCTGACCTGGATGCCCTGAATGAGGTCTTCGTCCCTCTCCGCCCACGTGAAGCGCGAGTCAAAGTCGTCTCTCCCGTCATCCGAGCTCCAGTCCTCGCCATCCTCGCCCTCGCTCTCCTCAAAATCATCTTGACTGACGATCTTCTTTCCACGCGACTTCTGTCGGAGACGTTCGAGCCGAGCTTGGAAGCTGCTTTTCGGCGAAACGTCGACATCGTCGTCAGAAGACTCAGTTTCGTCATCATCGCCATCACCATCGTGATCCTCTGCCTCCTCCCCCTCCCCAACCACTGCTTCTCGCGAGTCAGTACCGGCAGGCCCGTGCACTCCTTCTTCGGCAATGAGCACTTTTTCCTCCGCGTCAAATACGGCATCCATCTCCTTCCCTTCCTCATCGCTATCTGCGCCGTCGCTCGCCGCACCCTCGTCCTCGCCGCTGCTTCCTCTACCTGCTTCCTGCTCTTCATCCTCCTGCCTCAACTTCTGCACATCCGCCACGTCGTCCATGGTTACCCACTCCCCTCCGCCTTTCTTCATGCCCGTCACGAACCTTGCCATCGCCTCGCCGTCCAACCCGTCGTCCACCTGCATATCCCCCGTGCCTACGTCCTCCTCCGCCGACACATCGTCGCCCCAGTCCACGTCCGAATCGCCCCTCCTCTGCTCGCCCTTGCGCGGGTCACCCCGCATCCGCTCCTCTTGCTCGAGCCGCAGTTGTTGCTCCTCCAGTGCAGCCCCCATCATTCCAAACCCGAACTTTCGTTGTCCGGCATTACGCGTACGGCGCTTGAACACCTTCGAACCGATGACGGCAGCACGCGGCGTGCGTAGCGGACGTGGCCCGCGCGAGGTACGCGAGGGCGCATTCGGTGTACCAAGCACTGTGAACTTGATATCGGCGACCGTCGGCGGATCGGGTGGAGGCGTCCGCATCCGCTCGTGTATGTCGGGTTTGGTGTCGGATAGCAATTGTGTCGTACCGGTGAGAACAGAAGTTGTAGGGACTGGCGCGAGCTCCGTTTCTGCGTCTGCATCTAGTTTGGGTGCTTGTGATGTGCTTTGGTGAGACCGAGGGTGGGGCGCGACGTAGACTATGATTTCATCGTCTGGAGAGGGAAGTCCGAGCGCGTCTCCCGAGACGCGGTCCACATCTACGCCGACGCATCCAGCAGCATGAGAAGGCATAGGCGTCGTATCGACGAAGAATGCGGGGCGACCCGCGCCATGTTGTGCATGAGGTTGCGTGTATGTCGACTGGACAACAGGCGTCGTGTCAATCCAGAATCCAGTGAAGTCCTGCTGCGTCGCGTTGATTTGCGAAGTCCGCGGGACGGCCTGCTGCGCTGCAGCCGCGTCTAACTCCTCCTTCAAGCGGCTCATATCCGCGAAGTCGTATTCCTCGATGTCTTCTTCCTCGTCGCCCTCTTTTTCGGAGTCGGATTGTGAGGGTTCCCCGCCAGTGCCGAACACGCGATCGACGTGTTTCGCGGTCGGTACATGTGCGGCTTCTGTATCCGCTGTAGCACAGGAGGAACCGTCAGATCAGGCTTCGATCTCGAGTATATGCGTTACTCACCAACATCCTCTACTATAGCGTTCAGAATATCTTCGGCGTGCTCCTCTTTGAATAGCGTCGCAGTGTATACCGACCTCACAAATACAATCGGCTTGAGGTACGGCCGGTCTTCGTTCAACACCTTTGAAAGCGGTGCGCCAGCACCCAGTTTTGCTTGGAGGCGGCGACCGAAACCGCGGTCGCGGCCTCTTCCTTCGCTTCCAGGACGCTCGAATGTGTCAATGAGGCCCCGTCCACGGCCAGGGAAGCCGCCGCGAGGCGTGTTCCGTCCTGAATCGTAACCGCCTGGAGTGTTGAAGGTACCGCGACCTCCGCGGCCTCGCGGGCTATCGAATCCACGATATGGAGGAGTAGATGGGCCTACGCAATAGTATTATTTAGATCAAGAACTGATAAAGAAGTAGTTGGCCTGATAAAAAGTGGATGAGAGCGTTCAAAGAGCGGAGTTTCACCATTATACAGCTGAATGTCGATCTCAACCTCGTCCATCGGGCGATACCCGCCCCTCGCTCTTCCTCTGAAATTGCCGCCTCGGTTTCCTCCCCTGCCTCGCCCCCCACGTCCCCCTCCACGATTTGGCATGGGCGATCCCCGTCCGCGTCCGCCCCTATGGTTGTTGTTGCCGCCTCGGGCCATGACTTACAAGCCGTTCGATCCGATGGATGCAGTATAAGAGAGATTTCTAGGGCACTTTTAGAATGGTGCAAGGAGCGGTACAGATCACAATATCGACAACAAGCCAAGTGAAAAACAAGCAAAGAGTCACGGCGAGGATTGCGGGACGAAGTCAGTCATCCACCCAAAGCATGGTGAGCATAGCCACAGGGATGTTGCCACTTCGCCAGCTACCGTGTTCGCGTTATGCCGTCGCTGCATACTGGTGCTTTCATTCCCGGCCCCACGAAAAGACGAGAAATGTCAAAGGCAAAGCGGCAACATTTGCGCTTCCTTCGGTTGGAAACGCGCCAGCACGCTGCTCAGTGGACCACCAACATCGATCGACAAGGAAGTCGTGGAGCAATGGGCTCAAATGTGCGTGCCATGACCACGACAAGGGTATGGATTGCGGACCGCATGTTCTAAGTTATGGGCCCGGGGATCAGAGAAGTCATTGTGCTTGAAGATTTGCATGTCCTTACTACCATCCTCTACCATCTTTGCCTCAAGGCCGGACGAAGGCAAGATCAAGGACTTCGAGATCAGAACGTTCAAACCTCAGATGCGAGAACTTGCGGCATGCGCAATGATTTCCATATTCCCACACCGGTTACTTATCTCCAGATCGTGGTGGGCATCATTTACCAGTCAGGCTTAGCCTCACCACTCGCTGCCGTGATCTACGGAGGCAGAAGCGTGGCCATCTAAGTAGGCCCGAGACATCACGGCCGAGTGCCGGATCGGGCCCGTCGAATCAAAATGTACCTGTTACTCTCACAAGGCTCTCCGGTTGCTTTCGACGGCGCTTAGACATTCGATATCATAGTGCTTCATCCTATCCTGTTGACGCCTTCCCCCCACAAAAGCGATTCAAACACAGATGAGTTTGACGATGATACGGTCGATGTTTGATACGCCTACGCTCGTGGCGATATGTACTGCCTTGGTCGTGTACGCTTGGACCAAGAAGTCACGGCGCCCACCTGGACCGACGGGATTGCCTGTCATCGGTAATCTGCTCGATATGGCGGCGCTTGATGACCCAGCAACAATCCAACAGTGGGGGAGGAAGTTCGGTGAGTGATATTCGAACGCCAAACTAAGGGTGATACAGCTGCTAACGCACCTTCCTCAGGAGAGCTCACGTACCTGCAAGTGTTTCGTACGCCTTTCGTGTTCATCAATGGAGCAAAGGCCGCCATAGAACTTCTCGAGTCAGTCAGAACACTATTAAATGCCTCAGCAACGTCGCTGACCTTTTTTGACAGCAAGCGGAGCGCTCTGTACTCCGATCGACCTGGTTTGCCTTTTTCTGGTGGGATGTGAGTCCATCCGCAAGCATGCTCCTCGCTATCATACTGACCATTATCAACAGGGTCGGGCTGGACAAGCTCGTGCCTAACACTCCTCTCGGAGAGCGATTCCGACTGGAAAGAAAGCTGATGGGGACCGTGCTCAGCATCCGCGCCGTTACGAAGTGGGAGCATACCGTCACGAGGGAGACCAACGTGCTGATCAAGCAGCTCTTGGAGGTGCCAGACCAGTTTGCGGAGCATATGCGAAGGCAAGCTTTAACGTTCTGTCCCCCAGACGTTCCACGGCTAACGCAACGTCTTGTCTCCATCTCGCAGGATGTCCACGGCGTTGTATTTTATGACGCTGTACGGATATCGTATTCAGGGCGATGATGATCCATACGTCAACCTCGCAGAGGAGTTCATGGCTGCATCCAGTGTCGCCATCCGAGGGGGCTGGCTAGTGGATTTCATCCCAGCTCGTGCGTCGGTAAATTGATCATGCATGCTCAGCGACTGATGTCTTTGCCAGTGAAATGGGTGCCATTTCTTAGCTTCCATCGCAAAGCCGCCGAATGGCGAGCGCAGGTGCCAGATTGGGTCGATAAACCGTACAACGAGCTGCGGAAGTACTTCGTACGTCGATGATATCTCTTATATGGGCTAATGATAGCTCAAATTATGTCTCATTCCCCTGACAGGAGTCGAACCAAGATTGTCTCTGCGGCGCGATGTTGAATCCTGAAGGAGAGGCGAAAGCTGACGCTAAGACCGAAGAACACATCAAATGGATTGCGACCTCTGTGTACGGTGGTAAGCGTGTCACTGTCCTTCTATCTAACAACATCTGACGCCCCTCGAGCTGGTTCCGATTCGGTGCGTGGAGACGCGGTCGTTCAGTGGCAGCTCAGAGCTGAGGCCAACTGAACAGAGCGCTGTTGCCCTCAAGCACTTCATCCTCGCTATGACCATATACCCCAAGGTTTGCGGCCTTGCAGGAGCGGAATTAGACGCGGTTATAGGGAGAGACAGGCTTCCTTGTCTCGCCGACCGCAGTAAACTGCCCTACGTCGAGGCCGTCTACAAGGAGGTCCTTCGATGGGGAACGCCAATTCCGCTGAGTGGGTTCCGCGTCGTCCTACGTATGCTACAGTTGTGCTCATAGCATCGCAGGCGTCCCGCATCGTCTCATACAAGACGACGTGTACGAGGATCAAGTACTTCCCGAGGGCACCTGGGTTCGTCCACCTATCAACGTCGACTTCATCTGTACTGATGACAAGTCCAGTGTCTAGCAAACATATGGTACGCTGGCGGGATTTGTTACGCAGGGGATGCCATGCTCATGTGTTCGTTGAAGGGCCATCCTCCACGATGACGATCTGTACCCCGACCCGCACAACTTCCGCCCAGAGCGCTTCATGGAAGAGACAGACGCCACTCGTGCCAGGATGATCGACCCCGAAACCTACGTGTTCGGCTTCGGCAGGTGAGCATTCAGTCGTATCTCCCGGCTGCCGCACAGTCTGACATAACACCAAAAGACGCCGCTGCCCTGGTCACAATTTTGCGCACGCGTCCGTTTGGCTAGCCATCGCACGTATATTGGCCTGCTTCGAGATATCGCCAATCGGCGACAACGAGAAGGACGTTCCCGTACCTGCCTTCACTCCAGGGGCTATCAGGCAAGTCAGCGATCGTGCACTAGTCTACGTTGATATACTGAACGTATCATAGGAATACTCTGCCATTCGCATGCAAGATAACCCCTAGGCACTCGAAAGTTGCCGAGCTGATCGAACAGGATAACCCAAGCGCGACGGATTGAGATTGGCGACAGCTTTGTACTTATCTTATCTGATAAATGGTTCTAGTCCGGTTGATCTGTGTAAGGAAACATTATAGAGCTTAAGGAGTCCGTGCTTTGTCCTCTAGGTAGCGTGAAGGTTAGGGCTCAGCGACACCATGTCAACCCGGGCCACTCATGTATCATGTCAAGATCACGTACCAATCGGAACTTCCCACAGCAGATCGAGATAGGACGATTGACGGGATGCAATTTAACGATTGGTACAATGAACACATTCGCTATGGTAGAGACCGCTTTTGTGGACGAGTGAATTACCAGACCGGCGGCGTGATCTCAGTACGCGCTAAGGAGCGAGCCTCGCTCAGACGCAACATAATCCGCCATCAAACCAGCGAATACGACGCCTCCAAACGTGAACCCATTGCGATGGAACTGGAAGCGAGAGAGAGATCAGCGGTTGCATCAACAGTAACGATTACACCCCAGGCTGCACGTACCGTTTGCCAGCAGCTGGCTGGGTTCATGATGTCCACCTGGATTAGCTCGCGCGTGAGTAGCCACGCTGCGCATGCGACGGAGACCGTCCAGTACGGGATTCCCGCCTCAATGAGCACGCCGCACAGGGCGAGGGAACCGAGGAGCATCACCCCGAAGATGGACAGGATGGGTTTGGTGTACTGGGCGAATAGCAGGGCGGTCGACTTCACCCCCGCTTTCACGTCGTCGCGCATGTCCTGGCACGCGTAGATTGTATCTATGAAATGATGAGGATACAGGGTTATAGGGACTACTTCGAGGTAAATTATGCGTACCGTACCACATCGTCCACCTGAGGGGGTTAAGAGTGAGATAGGTGCTTCGCCGACATGAAGAGTAAGGTACTAACGCCCAGCAGCCGACACTGAGGATAAGCGCCTGTTTGGTTATCTCACCGGTGACGCTAGCAGCAGCCATCGGCACGCCGCAGTTCATGGCCAGGCCTGTATATGGCATTGGTAGTCTGTATGCAGGGGAGAGTGATCAACATACCTAGCCATGCTTGAGGCCAGTACGTCACCCGCTTCATCAAGGGATATATCCCCGGCAGCACGAAGATAGAGATTATTCCGAGCTTCCAGCTGCACAAGACTCAGTATCCTGTCGCAACATTTGGCGTAGAACTGAGAGGGCACGTACGCGAGCGGGTTCAGATCCCAGACCATCATTGTGAGGATTGAAAGATGTATAGCAAGGAATACGAGGGCACCCTGGACGGATATCCTTCCATCTGCGATAGGCCGGTGCTTGGTGCGTTCTGTGTGTGCGGATTAGGCACGTAGTAAGAGAAGGTATGTCGATCCATCTAGATCCACCTACCGACTTGCCGGTCGAAATCGCGATCGAGTATATCATTCCAGATGCAGCCTGCGCCTATGGATAAAATGAGTGATGTCCCAACATATGAGCGGTTCAGAGAACCCTACTGCGAAACAAACGATTAGTCCGTGATCGCGCAACAAAAACAATATCGCATACCTATGGAGAAGGCTTGCCCCGATGAACCCGGTTACCAGATAAGCGACGAACGTATACAGCGGCATGTGCTCGGACCGAGCGAGCATTGTGAGCGACCATGCTACGGCAACGACGCCTTAGCGGTGCGATTCTGAGGGATAGAAGATGGAGCCTCTTACCGAACGGCCAGAACAAGACCATCGTTCCAGCGAACTTGGGAAGACGCGAGAGTTCGATCTTGGACGGCCGTCAATTGTATGAATGGGGAGTGGTGTATGGACATATCGCGGCGCTCACCCATGGCCTGATCGTCTGGGAGAAGGTAGATCGGGAGCGACCGACAGGCATATCGTGGGCAGATGGCCAGCAATGGGGCACCGCAGGTTCAAATTGCTGTAATATACGGAAAAGCAAGCAGCCAGGTGCACTGGCAGAGCTCCCGTTTTAAATGTGGGAGACCTCACTCGCAGTCCAGGAAGTTCATCGCCAGCTGCCAAAGATCCCTTCACGGAGATTCCACAAACGTTCTTTGGTTATGGCACCTCACGGTAGCTTAAGGTCAATGCAGCAGATGATAAGATTGTCACGACCCAAATCCGGCGATAGGAACTGAGACGCACGGATCTATGCGCCTTGTCAAGAATAGACCGCAGCGGTACAGCCTAGAACTGGGCAAATATGTCTTCCATTCGAAAATACACTTTCTGATGCATCGTCCAATCATCAGCTTCGGTATGTAACGATAGGACCGTCCGGCGTACTGTAGCAATTATCCAATGGAAACGGGCTAGCCATACCTAAATATGATGGGTGTCAGCACCTTCGTGCAGATGACGTCCACATGCCCGAGAGATCATTCTCCCATTATCCTGAGTTCCAACAGCATCCACCTGATGAGACTCGTCGAGCGGCTTTTGAGCAGACAACGCCGTTGCGGACCCTGATAGAAGGTAGGCAGCAAGCTTCACTGTGATGATCAAACGTGCATTGCCACGCGGATCATCGATTCCCTCACCATACCATACCTCCAGCTGGCGCGTTACAGTCACGACAATGACGATGCCGAGTTGATACCGAGGGAAAGCGTTGAAGGTCAAAAGATATGCACGCGGAGATAGGAGATGATGTGTATGTATTCGCCGCCCAAGATGATTTCGCCGTGGCAGTTGAGCTAAGTACGTATAGAGTAGTGCATATACGCACGATAACAGCTTTATCCAATCGAGTCTTGCCAAACGATTTCGACTCCGGAGATTCAGGTGACATCTAGTGACTTGCCGCTTGGGTGCCACGATGAAATTGTGGAGAGCTACCGAGCCGTGGAAGAACATTTGGCGACCTCCATCAGAAAGAAAGCAGCCTGCGGTGCTGGATGAAAATGCACGCCGCCGACCGAATGAGGCAGTATGCGTTGGCCAAATAAAGCCAAATAATGGCGGCAGCGGGGGCCAAGTCGGAGGCATCAGCGCATGACTTCCGCCTTTCCCGGATGTTCCCAATGCCCACCACTTGGCTCTGGACGGTGGGTACAGCATTGCAGCGCCTACGTACTCGTGCGACTCCACGTTCGGTGCTGCGGTCTAGGAACCCGGGCTCGCTGTACTTCGTGATCACCACTGTCAACCCATGAGACAGATAGCGAGCAAGTACTCAATAGTTGCCCGTCCAACCCGAAGAACGGAAGATTACCACGTGGCAATGTCTGAGACTGGCTTGAGCTTCTCGGTATGGAGCAGCGGACACGCTCACGAACAGCGCGGAATCACGACTCAGAGGCAAGAGCACTCCACTCTCAAAGAGAGTGTGAGGAAGATGCCGAGGCCTACAACCAATATTCGACGCAATGCCACTAGGTTTCGAAGGAAACGTTTCTGTCAGCGAACATGGAGAGCGTGCGCTGAGATTCCCAGCTGTGACACCATAAGAAGACGGCGTCCGCATCCAACCACTGGTAGATCCATTGGTTGTTGGTACTCCTCGAGCACGGCATCGAAATGGTCTCTATTCCGTATGGTGAGGTTGCGACCTTCTTAGCTTTGTTCTTTGGTTTGGTCGTCTACGTCAGAGGAAGAAGACATGGTCGACTCCCCGGACCCTCTGGGTTTCCGATTATCGGCAACCTGTTGGACATGACAGCGCTGGATGACCCAGCCTCCATCAAGCAATGGGGGAGGAAATACGGTGAGCAGTGTACGTGCGGAGGCGAGCGTTCACGATGCTGATTATGAACGTATCAGGGGAGCTCACGTACCTTCGCGTGTTTCGTACGCCGTTCGTGTTCATCAACGGGGCTAAAGCCGTGACGGAGCTTCTTGAGTAAGCGAGCATGACTTGAACCCTGAGACCCTGGCGCTAACTTCGACGTATCGCATAGCAAACGCAGCGCACTCTACTCTGATAGACCGTACTTGCCCTTGGCCGGCGGGATGTAAGTGCGACATTGTACAGATAGAGCTCTGAGGACCCGTTGCACGGATGTTCATGGGACCTTTACAGCATTGGACTGGATAAGCTGGTGCCCAACACTCCGTTTGGAGAGCGATTCCGTCTTGAACGCAAGCTTATGGGCACGGTGCTCAACATCCGAGCAGTCAATAAATGGGAGCATATCATATCCAAGGAGACACACCTGCTCCTCCAACAGCTCCTTGAAACGCCAGACCAGTTTTCCGAGCATATCCGGAGGTATGTTTTGATGTCTGTTTGCTCACAATGGCCTTGACTCACGCGTGTCGATCAGGATGTCGACTGCTTTATACTTCATGACGTTGTACGGATATCCTGTCCAGGGCGACTACGACCCGTTCGTCCTCCTCGCGGAGGAGTTCATGGCTGCATCCAGCGTTGCTATCCGCGGTGGCTGGCTTGTAGACTTCATTCCGGCGCGTGCGTGAACGGTTGTGCATAAATGTCCAATCATCGCGATTAATTACTCCCCCCCCCCCCCCGTTGCACAGTGAGATACATCCCATTCCTCAGCTTCCATCGCAAAGCTGCGGCCTGGCGAGCAAAAGTGGTAGACTGGGTTGACAAGCCTTATGCCGAACTCCGGAAGTACTTCGTGCGTCTCTTTCTATTCGAAGTTCGGGCTAGAAATGGCACGTGTTGAACCCATGGCAACACACAGGAATCGAACCGAGATTGCTTGTGCGGCGCTATGTTGAACCCTGAAGACGGACCTAGGGCCGACGCCAAGATCGAGGAACACATCAAATGGATCGCAACTTCGGTTTACGGTCGTGAGTGTCGTTTAATGCGAGTCACTGCGTTGTACTGATGTGATAATAAGCCGGCTCTGATTCGGTACGTTCGGCTGCGTCGTATGACGAGCGCATGGTACTCATGGTGTCTGTCATAGAGCGCCGTTGCGATCAAACAGTTCATTCTGGCTCTGACTATCAACCCCGATATTTGCCGCCGGGCGGGCGAGGAGCTCGACGCCGTCGTTGGAAGAGGAAGACTCCCGACCCTTGCCGATCGCGACAGGCTGCCATACATTGAGGCCGTCTATAGGGAAGTTCTGCGATGGGGAACTCCGATCCCTCTGAGTGAGTTGGACTCTCTCTATGCTTGCAACCTCGTCATCTGACCCGAATTCAGGTGTTCCGCACCGTCTCATCCAGGACGATGTGTATGAGGGTAAAGTGATCCCAAAGGGCTCGTGGGTAAGCTGAACCGCAGTTGATTCTAGCAAACTTGTGCTTATACGCTTCCAACCAGTGTCTGGCAAACATTTGGTGCGCCTCGATCACGGCAATGGGTCGGTAATCGATACTAATCGTGCTGCAGGGGCATTCTACACGATGAGGAACTCTATCCGGATCCGTTCAGTTTCCACCCGGAGCGATTCATGCAAACAACGGATGCGGTTCACGCTCGCTTGATTGACCCCGAAACCTACGTCTTCGGATTCGGCAGGTGAGATATCCTCCCTAAATGCAGTACGTTCCGAACAGGGTTTTTCTGATGCTGCGGCTGTCAGGCGCCGCTGCCCCGGCCACAACTTCGCACATGCGTCCGTCTGGCTCGCAGTGGCGTGTATCTTGGCGTGCTTCGAGGTCGCCCCTATTGGCGACAAAGAAGAGGACGTTCCGAAACCTGCGTTCACGTCAGGGGCGATCAGGCGAGTCTATCGCCGGCCGTGGTGCTCGGCGATAAATGACTGAATACGTTGCAGAACTCCGCTTCCGTTCGCATGTAAGATAACCCCAAGGCACCCGAAGGTTGCAGAGATCATCGAACAGAACACTGAGCGTGCACAGGAGTGAGGTATCCTCTCGCCACTGATTTGCACAATACCTGTGCTTCAATTCTTTGTCTCCCGGAACTTTATATGTATATTTGCAATGAATGCCAAGCAATGAACGTAAATCTTGTCAAACGTGCGTCGAAAGTAGTGATCTATTCATGAAAGCTAAAATGAACAAGAGGAGCGTCGTCGTATCATGACTCATTCCTTTCCCTTCCACGATATACCCTCTTCGGCCTCCAGGAGCTCGTACTCGATAAGGCCATTGAGCCACCCAGCGAAGGGGTTTCCAACCTTCGCACTAGTCGCTTTAGCTTCTTCAGGGTCAATGAGCACAGGCGGCCCCCTCGTGCTCGCCGCATCTACCAGCAGCTGGATGCGGCACGCCTTCTCGAGGCACAGGTAGAAGTACAGCGCGCCTTCTATCGTGTTCCCGGTGGCGATGATGCCGTGATTGCGCAAGATGATGGCCTGGGCGGAAGATGGGGGTCAGGAGGCATGTCCACCTGGCGAGCCTGTCTACAAACCTTGGCGCTTCCCAGCTCCTTGGCGATGGCCTGGCCCTCTTCGTGGCCGAGCACGACGCCTCTGTATGCACTGTACACCGCATGATCCTTAAGATTACGTCAATATATGGCCGAAATCGATTGACTGCACGAAATCTGACCTCGTAAAAGGCGCAACTCTCCTGTGAGATCGGCTCCAACATCCGACCGGTCGCAGAGAAAGCCTTGCCATAGATAGAATGACTGCGGGACGGTTGTTCAAGCAAGTTCCCTCCTGAAGCATGAGAATACCTACCTATGAGCGGCACATGTGATATCTGGGCGAGCGCGATGGATAGCTGAGTGTATCATGAAAGCGGCCGTGTTGAGCGCTTGCCTCTCGCCATGCTCGATTACCTGGAAATGAAAGTGATCAGCGCTTCCCTCTAATTGGGAATGAAACAATTTCTACCTGTCCTGCTGAATTCACGAGGAGAAGATCCTTGGGCTGAATGAGCTTGAAGTGTAATCCGAGCGGATTGACCCAAAAATGGCCCGGCAAGACCGGATCGCGAACGGTTATGTGTCCCGCAAAGCCTTCGTCATAGCCAAGCTTTCCTGAACACGAGGTTCAGATAATGGTGGATGTTCATAGAGTTAGACCACTCACCGAAGATCCTGTACGTCTGCGCGAGCCTGAACTTGCGAAAGGCTCGCTCTTCGTAGGGATCGTCAAAGGTAGGCGGCTTGGGTAGGATAGCCATGAGTTTCGCCTGGATCGCCTTATCGTCGGGCACTTCGGCACTTTGCCCGTTTTCGCCATTCACGGTGGATGAACTCATGGTGTACGACAGTTGGGACGCTCGGAAACGATGCCACTCGAGAGGACTGACTCGAAGACCTTGGCCAAGTTCAAAGAGCGTTCGGCCTAATGCATGAACTTGCGTTGATCTCCATGATGATTCTGCTTAGTCATAGCTTATCCCGGTCCCAGCGCTGTGTGCATATGTACGGAATGAACCAAGTGGAACCTTCTGAGATTGATCGATGAATTCCGAGCTGCATGACCGAAGCCCAGGGCGATGCCCAACGCACCGTAGTCAATATGTTCCCTCCAGCCCACCATGACACTCGTAGAAAAAGATAGCCGAATATCGATCGCAGACTTAAAGCTCTCGACGCCGACATAGCCGCATCCCAGGACGACAAACGATCTCCTTGGAGATAACACGGAAGTTGCAAGACTAGCTCAGAACAACTTCGCGCACGGCACCACAGACCGCCAGATCATCTTCGAGTTCCGGACGCACTGATGTAGCACAGCGCTGTGGGTAAGGAGGTGAATGGTCGGTAAGTTAGATATCCTGAGCTTGACGGTTTTCCTCAACCGGTAAGCAGGTAGCCGGAGCTCCCGGAGCTAGGGGCACGTGCTGCTTGTGAGAAAACTTTGTGGCACATCTCGCCGAGGCAGCCGAGCGCCAATGAAATTGTTTCAATTTGCTCCCGGTTAGCGTTGCCTGAAATACATGTGGATATTTTCCTTGTTCGTCACATTTTTCACCAACGGGGTGTTGCAGAGGCGAACGAGCTCGAAGATACGAACAGGATCTGTCATGTTTTCGGTACCGCGAATACGGAAGCATCTGAAGCTCTGATAATCTGCACCGGGGTATGACTTCCGGTTACGAGATGATATCGAACGTTGGTTTGGACTGTGCTCAATCCATGTTGGGGAGATAGAGGGACTTGAGATAGGAATGCACTTGCTCATCGTTGACGTATCGGCACATCGCCCGGTTTATGTGTGGTAGCTGTCTACCGGACGATGTCTTTTTGTGCCGCCGCTCAATCGACTGGACGTTGCATCGCAACTCGTGTTTTAGGAAATGTTTGCGGCTGACGTAATGTTACAGCGCGTTCCAAATCATAGCAAGACGAGACGCTGCCCTTACGCAATCGTTCATCCCTCAAGATAATTCCACAATCGGTCCTCCTGTAACCTCAGTTAAATGTGAAACTACTGTAATTTTACGACCTTAGGTTCGTCCCCTGTCCCCTGGCAACCTGAACTGAACCTAATTTCACATGTTGTCCCCTGTCCCGCCACCAATATCCAGGCCTTGAACTGACCGTGGGAATTGTATCTCCTACTGTGAGAATATTGCACACTGACTACAGTCAGTTTGTGAACTTCCCACGGGCCCGAACTTGCAGCTGTCCCCTGTCCCCCTGGGGGCGGACCGAACCTAAGGTCGTAAAATTACAGTATATTGAATTCCCCGACAGGCAACAAGGAGCATACTTACATAGCTTCATCCTGCGGTTTGGCATTTGGAATAACAGAGCAAAATCTGATACACAACGGATGAGTGACATAGCGCAAGAACGGTTATTGCGCAGACTACTGAATAATCGCCGCCGTAGATGACCAAATTGATCCAACGTAGCACACGCCTGCAGGCGCGCACTCGAGGCCTGTCTCATGTCGAAGACTGGAGAGCTGTATCTGACCCCCAGTGCACGCCCCATGGTAGGACAGTATGCGCAGGAACTACACCTCCCTCGAAAGGGGTGGATATCCCGATGGTTTGCTCGCCCGACGGGTATGTAGTGTTGTGACCAGTGCCGACGGTGTCTACGGCAATCACCAGGCCGTTGCGGCCTCCGAGAGAGTTCGTCAGAACTGTGGGGCAGTGTCACGACGGCAAGGTCGGACAAGAAAAGAACAAATCTAATGAAACGCGCGATTCATCAAGGTGACGACATGATAGATCAGCGCAGCGGGAGGGACGGTGGAACGGATGCATACTGTGGTGCGGGAGGCAAAAACCCGTACGTCGCGTTCGCAAGGTTCCCGAGTTGGAGCGCACTTGCGCCGGCGGTGCCTGCGGACGTGGAAGTCACGAAAGGCGCGGCGAGCTGTCAACATTCGATCGCCGAGTAGTTATCAGCGTCGGTGACGATGGCGGTTAGGTCGAGAGCGCTCGCTCGGTGAGGCGGCGCAATCAGCGAGTCCCAAAGAAACACGCAGCCAGGTATGAGAAAACGAGTTCGTGCTTCATTGTGTTAACTTGTTCAGAGCTGAGAGGGTGATGTGTCGTGTATCGAAAGATGGCGAATCTTATATGCATTAGGACGAAATTTCATTGATTGCAGTTCTGTGCTACTAGGTGGTTGCGACGCCGTCCCAACGTCATTAATGTATAGCAGCGGGCGGGAGTTGTCCAAGGTCTATTGAGCCCAACATTCACATATGGAAGCGAAAAACTGATGGTCAGCATCAAGGAAGTAATTGCATGGCCGGATCCAAGGCACTGCGCACGACTGAATGTATGAGCCATGCCGAAGATGCAGGTGTGCTGGGAAAAGCTGGCCGTATGACTCCCACCTAAGTTTCATAACTGCACGATATGGGCATGATGTAAAGCAACTTTTAAAAATCACCGAATCCTTTCCGTATCTCCTCTTCTCGAGGACAGCTGCATATACAAGTATATGGTTTACCGCTTTACCCTCTCCTTCGTATGAAATCCATTTTGTTTTTGCTGGCCCATACATACGCCCTCTACGTAATGGAGCTACGAGCTGCACAGCAAGTTTATTCAGAAGCCTCGTTATGGAGAACCTTCGCGCGCCAGCTATCAGAGCATCACTGGTACCGGTAAAGCCAGCGCGGTGAGAAGAAAGCGAAACATCCATATGCGTTGTATCTTCCCGTTGCCCACACTGCAGCTGCGCGATGGATGATATCCGGCGTTTTCAGCCTGAGATCTGAGAGACAATGTCTGGGCGCACAGCATCATGTAATCAGTACAGCCATAAGGAGGTAGGTAGGTAGATTGCCGATACTTCGTGATCTTCGGATGGGAAAGCGTTAAGTAAACCGGTTGAAAGCCGGAGCAGGAGCTGGAGTTGCCGACTCACGTGCTCACAACCTCTCGCGCTTCGCGGTCTCCTGTGATGGTCCGAAGCGTTCGCAACTGCTTCCGAATCCTCGCTTTGATGCCGTGATCTTGATCAGATGGAGCGGACGCTAACTCTGACCACTAATAAGGCGTCGTTGCTTTTCCAGCCTAGCTCTAATCTAGCCGACACCAGATAATGTCGCACGTTCCCACAGCGATTTTCATATCGCCATGGGAGGAAGATGCTCTTTGCTTTGTGGAGCACGCAGCGCATTCATGAGAAACGAGTACATACTGAGCCAATTGGTGCGGTCTTCGGCGGTGAACATATCAAACGGACCTAGTGTATGACGGAGGTCCCATCAGGACCACTGATTACGGGCGAAGGAGAACGAAACTGATTCTATCTGCATGGTTAGCAGGAACTGCCAAACACAAGGTCCCAGATTGGACTTCGACGTCTCACGACATTCGCTGCGACTGGACATATAAGATATCGCTTCGCATGCTGGACCCGTATTGCCGGAGTCCATACCGACGTCGACGTGAGCAACGATGGCACCACCTACAGCACTCCAGCTCGCCATGGCGAGTATGTTCACCGAGTCTTTCTTCTTCGGTGAGTAAGAGCCATCGGACGCAACTCTAACATTATGCTTACCCGGATCATAGGTATATATACAGTGCTCGAGGTGGTGGTGGTCTATATTTTGTTGTAAGACGATCCGGTATTGATGCGGAGCGGTATGTCTGACGCGTTCTCTATTCAGTGCTCGGCGCCGAGGCGCGCAGAAGTCGCTCGTCGCGCTTCTCTACCTCTCTTTGTTCATGTATGCTCTGGTGACCACGCACATGGTTCTTGAAGTAGTGCAGAGTATGCAGACAGTGGTTTCCTTGCAAAACGTGCAGACACGGACAATCGTCGGCTCTCTGTTGGTAAGCAGCTACGAATAGGCTCAACTACCACATGCCGTTGATGATACTGGTCGCAGTCCGCCAGTGGAGACTGTATTCTGATATGGAGGGCTTGGGTTGTGTGGTCGTACAACTACTGGGTCATCGTCATACCAGTGATTGCGGTTCTGCTTGAAACAGGTACATTTCATTGACCGGCGTGCCTGAACCCTTGCTCATACGTCTATGACAGCTTTCAACTTCATTTCCTCCGCAGCAGTGTCAACATCAAACTCGTTTACTGTGTTCGCATTACCGTCCTCGATCCTCACCATGGTCAACAACATCATATGTACAGCTTTGATTGCAGGAAGAATCGGGTGAGTTTATCCCATAATCCGGGTAGTGCGGAGGTTGACGGTATACTCTCAGGTACATGCAGTGGACGACGCGCAAGGTGTTGGGCAAGAACAGTGGGACCATCAGCGCGCGCAGCTACACGGGCATCATGCTGCTTTTCATCGAGAGCGGTTTCATTTTCACGGCCGTTCAGGTGCGATCTCATAGGCATGCACCGCATCTTGACGGATGCTAATCTCCCACGAAAGATCATCACCGTCATCCTCGACCAGATTGCGAACCCGGGCATCCATGTACGCGATCTTCTAACTCTATCCCCAGCTGTCTCACGGGCTAACGGAACTCGAATAAGGTGGTGATAAACCTGTACACGCCATTGATGGGCCTTCTTCCAACCTTGATCATCGTCCTCGTCCACTTTGAGAAGGTTCCTGGGAGCCATTCAACAAGGCAACACGAGTCGCAGCAAGCGAGCGGACGGACGTATGTGGGCAGCCAGCTCCGGTTCGCCCAATCCGGGAACACTGGTGCCACAAGCATCACCGCCTCGCGGGGCCCGATATTCGCCTCAGGCCCGCTCGACTCCATGCAAGAGTACGGAGGCACGTTGGAACTGGACCTGGTCAAGACAGATAGCGACCTGACCAAGGCGAATCAATTGGGGGCGTACGGTTCGGTGTAAACGCCATACGTAAACTCCATGACGTGGTTTCACATTGCCTGGCGCGCATTATTCCAGTCATCCAGGCCGCTTGACTGTATCTTTATCGACCTAATGCTGTACCAATGCTGTACCTTGCACTCTGTTGTGTATTTATTAGACTTTCCGCGCAGAACGCACACACAGGCTCCGTAATGGTCTCGGAGAATCTGATCGCCTCAATCATTACACTCGTGAGACAGTGTTGTTGCCTCGTCAATGGCCGCCCGATAGGAGTGTGATCAGCAGCTACCGAACGTATATAATCCCGAGATGAGTTTGTGGTCGCGGATAAGCCTGACAGTGACGGTGCCCACTCCACACGCGCGGATAACGATGCTCTCTTTAGCCGGGGCGATTCCCACACTCGCCATCGCACTTGCAGTCACCACCGTCGCGACCGTTTTATACAGGAGAATCGTCTATGGCGCATACAAGCCCTTGCCTGGGCCGTCTGGTCTTCCAATAATTGGAAATGTACTCCGGATGCCAAAAAGTTACGAATGGCTGCATTGGGCGGAGCATAAGGACGTGTATGGTACGTTACTGCAGTTCCGTCGCCCACAGTGCGAGATTCTCAAGTAATATCGTTTAGGACCGATCAGCGCTGTGAATGTTCTGGGACAAACTATTGTTATACTCAACACCCTCGAAGTAGCGAATGACATGCTCAAGACTCGGTCCGCCGCGTACTCCGGGCGGCCAGTCCTGCAGTTCGCAGGCGAGATGTACGTGGTCCTCGAGGATAAGAACAAATGTCGCGCGGAGTGACTTGACTCTGGGGCATAGGATAGGATGGAACAGGCAGATGATTCTCTCAACCTACAATGACCATTTCAAGTCTATGCGGAAACTCGTCTACCGATACATAGGGACGAAGGCCGCGATCTCCCGGCATCAGCCTATCCAGGAGCGCGAAATACGCTATTTCCTTGCACGTGTTCAGGATGACCCATCCCAAATTCTGCACTATCTTCGGGTGTGAGCGAGATTCGCGCCGATGCAGTTAGCTTTGTCGCTCAAATGCTGTCCGTAGCGCCGTAGGGAGCATCCACCTCCAGCTCAGTCATGGTTATATCATGGAAACCTCCCGTCCCGACCCGCTCGTCACCCTGGTGGAAACCGCCGCGCAGCAATTCTACGCCGCGACGCGTCCGGGAGATTGGCTCGTCGACATATTCCCGTCCCTGCGGCGCCTGCCTCCCTGGATCTTAGGCTCGAAGTTCACGAAGACCCTCAACGAGTTCAAGGGGACGAACCTCGAGCAAGCCAACCGTCCGCATGATTTTGTGAAACGCGAGATGGCATGTATCGGAGACGGGGTTTTCGGACCATATTCGGTGGCTAACATCCTGCCTGTAGGCTTCCGGCTCAGCCATTCCCTCTTTCACATCTACCCTCATCAACGAGAAAGAAGACGAAGAATCGATCAAATGGGCAGCCAACTCGCTATACGGCAAGTCCATGCATACAGGTTCATGTTCCGGGTCCTTGACTGTTTGATTACAGGCGGAGGGACCGATACTGTGGGTTGCGGCAAAACGCGTCTCTCACGGCGTTACTGACCTTTAATGCTTGGACGGATCAGGTCGTCGCTACCTTGTGAGTTTGGGTTTTTCTCCCGAGATGGGATATCTTGCGCGGGGATTCAACGTGAATCGCATTACTCAGGACGGCCTTCTTCCTGGCCATGGTCAAGAACCGCGATGTGCAGCTTCGGGCGCAGAAAGAGATCGACGATATCGTCGGCACCTCGCGCCTCCCGACCTTCGCCGATCTGGAGCGACTGCCGTACGTCGCCGCACTGCACACGGAGCTCCTGCGATGGCACACGATCGGACCCATGGGTGCGCACACGTCTTTCCCACGGAAGAGAATAGGTTAATGATGTCCACACCAGGGATACCTCATGCGACCACCGACGACGACGTCTACAACGGGTACTTCATCCCGCGCGGATCGATCGTGTTGAGCAACTTGTGGTCAGACCGGATTAAAGACTTCCCTCAGCAGAGGAGCTAAGCATAATCCCGCGCGACAGGCTGATAGCGCATGACCCGGACAACTACGATGACCCGATGGCGTTCAAGCCCGAGCGTTTCCTCGGGCCGGATCCCCAGCTCGATCCGAGGAGCTACGTGTTCGGATTCGGACGGAGGTACGCCGCGGCGCTCTCTGTCGTCGTCGTCGAGGACATGCTGCTAAGCGATTTGAACACGGACAGGCGGTGCCCCGGCCTCGAGCTCGCGGACGCGACGATCTCGTTGGCCATCGCGATGTGCCTCTCGGCCTTCACGTTCTCGTGCGAGGACCAGAGCCCGGTCGATCCCCGAGAGTCGTTTATCCCCGGGACTGTGTGGTACGTCACCTTACCTCGCAAGCATTCGCGAGACGTGTTTGATGACAATCGTTTCTTCCTCGTTGTTCGACAGTCACCCCAAGCCGTTCAACTTTGACGTAGCCGTGCGGTCGCCGGAGAAGGCGCGGCTCATGAAGGCGGTCTGGGACGAGCTCCCACCTCCGCCGAGCAACGCTGACAAACTGTGAAGATCAGCAACAGTTGAACCCCTCTCTGCAACACTTGTACATAGAACGCGGGCTCTCCCGTCATCACAAACTATATATATCCACAGGGTTATCGTGATACAAATACAAAGAATACTTGCGTATACGGTCGTGGGTGCGGTCAGAGAGAAAGGATGTGAGGGAGCGGGCCCACTGGTACGATCCGATGAGGGTTGATCTACGAACGCACGCATCAGTTACCATCGCCGTGAGGTCGACGTGGGTGCCATACCATGGGGTGTGACCAGAAGTAGTGCACTTTGATGTGGTCGAAGTTCGTTGTCTCGCCGAACGCCGGCACGGTCCAGTACTGGGTCAAAAGGGCAAGATCGGCTCACGGTCAGCGGTGGGGAATGGTCACTCGAAGCTTGCAGGGACACTCACGAGCTTGCGCAACCAGCGGTGCAGGTTGGGGTAGCCGCTGCGGATGGTGCGGATGTTGCATTTGAAGTGGGTGGCGTACACGACGTCGAAGCGGATCTGGGGGGGTGAGGTGCGGAAGTTATGTACGGGGGCGAAGAGAGAGAGGGGGCAGAGAAGGGGGACTGACGATGGTCGGGTAGAGCCGTATGTCGGCCTCGGTCAGCCGGTCGCCGACGAGGTAGTCTTTGCCCTCGAGCGTCTGCTCGAGCTTGTCGAGCGAGGCGAAGAGCGGCAGCACGGCGTCCTCGTACGCTTTTTGCGTGCCGGCGAACCCGGCTTTGTAGACGCCGTCTGTGCTGCCGATCAGGACGAGGGAGGGGAGAGAGCGATGCTCAAGGACGCACTGTTGACGGTGTCGTACACCCATTCGTTCATGTCATCGATCTCCTTGCGGTGCGCTTCCGGGTAGAGATCAAGGGAGGCGACGCTTTCTGGTAAGAGCGCGTCAAAGGCGGTGTAGAGCATGCGAATAATCTCGGAGGACTGCGATTGGGGTTGGAAGAGAAAGCGTGAGACGGGCGCGAAAGCCAAAGTCGGACAGATGAGCGAGTACCTCGTTGTTGACGATCGTCGAGAGCTTGGTGTCCCATAGCATAGGTACGGAGCATCTAGCACATGGTCTCAGCGACGCGAACCGCGGCTCTGGATCGTGTGCACCTCGCTTGGTACTGCGGGTCGACTCGCAGATAGAGGTCCTTCATGTGCTTCGCGTCGAATAGAGGGTCGACGTCGGCGCCGGGGTAAGGATCGGCGCTCGCGAAGGGCCATCCGTGTTCGCCGAGGTGCGGGGAGACGACGTGGATGGCTGCGACATGGAACGAGGATATCAGCGCAAGTCACTCCTGCCAGGAGTTCGAGGCGGCACACGTATAATCTCCTCCAAGCCTTTCAGCTTGCGTACGATCAGAGTGCGGTGGGCCCAAGCTGCAATAGCCGGTCCTTAGTCACGGCGGGGTGCGATATCGGGTATGAACCGATGACGCACGACAGGCGAGGGATACATAGAGGTGGTACCTCCCTGGAAAGTTCTCCTGAATCAGCGTTGCAATCTCGGCTGTATCGTTACGCGCAGCGACCGCACCTTTCTCGGGCTCAAACTTGCCGCTCCCCGGAACGATCCAGTCGCGAAACGCGGACTGAGGGCGCTTCAGGCTTCCGTCCGCCTGGAGCTTGAACTTGGCGGGGTCCGTCAAGTCGGTAGAACTCATGATTGTTGCTGGTATTGCAGGATCCGCAGTGGATCGAGCTTGACAAGTCCACGTCCACGCTTCGATGAGACGAGGAGCTCAAGCGAGATATCGGGACAAGCACTCGCTAGTGCCGTCACTGTCCGCCGTATCAACCAATATTACCAGGTCGAGCGCTCACTGCTGCGAGCACGGGTCATGCTGCATCCGGTGTCCGCGCTATGGTCGGAACAGATAGTGAAGAAGCAGGAGAGACCGCCAGCCATCGTTGTTCCTCCGTATTCTTGGTTCACCGCCCAAAAAATGTGTGGGAGCAGAGGGGACCAAACATGTGCGCGTCGGGTAGGTAGGTAGGTATATTTCCGGCGCGGTCCCAATAGCGGAACAGCCGGTTGCCGCACCGCACGTCAATACGCACGGCTTGGCGCACACAGTGCATCCACGGCCCCCGTGAGCTGTTTTACAGCCGACACGCCGCTTCAGCACTGGTGCATGTAAACTAGGTACATGTATGTGCTACTATGTGCAATACATTACCTAGCGGCGTCCCACTTCAGCCGTCGTCGCGTGTCAGTACAGGGGCTTCCGATAGTGCGGATAAGTAACCTTGCGACCTCCCACCCTCTCGACACCGAGCTGCGTACAATTCCGAATTGCCTGAGTTTCACGCGCCCTCCACGGCCACTCTGCGTGTCATCTGGCCTCGCCGCGCAGGACTTCGGGAAGTCAGCGGGAACTGTTTGCGGTTGATGCCTCTGGCAGTGATCACGACCGGAACTTGATGCGTCTGGCAAACCTGGCCTAGTTCCCCGTCCACCCGTCTCTATCTTCGTCCCGATATCTCCACCCAAACGGAGACCCCCACTGCCCACCCGATGCGGAAAGGGGACGTGATTGTAAGCGTGCGGCGTTGCACGGGTTGCCCTGCGTTCCCCCCCGTCGTAACCTCGGCACGAGTGGGGTTTCGCCGCCGCCGTCATCGTTGATGGCCAATCTGAACCCGGGCTAGTCTCGTCGTCGTCGAAGATAATATACATACGGCAGACCTATCGCGCATATACGCCACCTTTTCTCCCCCTTTTGCCCTGAATAAAAAGGACGCTCCGCATGTCACCCCGGGCCACGACCATGGTTGCCGTAATGCTCCCGCTGGTCGCCGCCCAGTACGCGGCGGTGGCCGCGGTCTCCCCCGCGGCGTGGACCGCACTGAACGCGACCGTCCACGGCCGGCTGCACACCGCCAAACCCTTCTCGCTCCCGTGCTTCTCGCTATACGAAAACAAGAGCGTCACGCCCGACCCCGCGGGCTGCGCCGCCGTGCAAGCCGGATACGCCTCAGGTGAATACCGCTCGGCGCGATACGACGCGTTCGTCAATGTGCGCGCATACATCCCAGCCTTTTCTCTCTCTTCGGGACGGGAGCTCACGTCGAAAAAATCTTTGCGCGCCGTGTGTGATTTAGCCCCAGTGGGAGGCGTGCATGCTCGAGCAGGAGAAGTGTCTGCTGAACGCGAACAACGTCACGGACCCGACCGCCTACGCGAACGGCGCAAACTGCGCCCAGGGCGGCGTATCGCCGTACTACGTGAGTCTGGTCCTGCCGCCCCCCCCCCCCCGCCACCCATGTTTTTTCCCGGAGGCTTTTGGAGACATCCGCTGAGACGCGCCTGAAATCCCTCTCTTCGTCTTCAGATCGCAGTGGAAGAAGCGAGCGACGTCCAAGCCGCGTTCAGCTTCTCGGCCGCGCACGGCGTCCCGCTTTCGATTAAGAACTCGGGACACGACTACGCCGGACGATCGGCGAAGAAGGGATCTTTGGCGCTTTGGGTGCGTTCGTGCTAGTGGAATCGGTGTTGCGAAACGCACGTTGACGCCTCAAGCACGCAGATGCGGAAGTTGACGTCGGTACGTGGCCCATACCAGAAGGAAGAAGGACGCTCGGTCTAAGACGTCTGCGCGTACAGCTGGAGTACAACGCCAGCTTCGTTCCCGAAAACTGCAACGGATCTAAACCCGTCCCCGTCATCACCACCGGGGTGAGTTATCTACATACCGCCCGTAGAGGCGTAGGAATCTGAACCAACTTTTGGGTCACAAGGCTGGCGCCCTCTTCGACGACGTGTATAAATTCGCGGACGCGCAGAACGTGACGTACATCGGTGGATACGCGCAGACGGTTGGAGCCAGTGGCGGATTCGTGATGGTGCGCTCTCTTGTACGATTCACGTCCGGCGAAGGAACGCTTGACTCGCCCGTTTGCTCAACGATAGACCGGTGGCCATAGCGTTCTGTCCCCCGTATATGGTCTCGCCGTAGATCGCGTCGTATGTGCCCTGCTCCTCATGCTCGGCTTCTCGAGCTTCGTTCTGAACGAATCGGATCGTCCCCCCAGGTTCAGTTCAAGCTCGTCACGCCGGACGGTGTCCTTCGCGTCGCGAACGAGTGCACGAACCCGGACCTGTTCTGGGCGCTCAGGGGCGGAGGCGGGGGCACGTTCGGCGTCGTCCTCGAGTCCTCGCATCGCGTCGAGCCGCGATTGACCCTGCAAGTGTATGTATATCCCATACCCGTGTTTCATATCCTATGCCGACGATGCCATATGCAGGGCCAAAGTCAGTTTCACGAGCACCGTCGACAGCCTCAGCCAGTTCTACAACATCACGATCAGCAACGCGCTCAAGTGGGGGCGAGAGGGGTGGGGAGGGCACATCTCCGTGAATATCCCCTTGGCTCTCTAGACGCTCCGTCGATACCCATCTAACCTACGTACGATGACTATTCACAGGGCTCTGGCTTCATCAACCTCACCCCGCTGCTGACCCTCGACGAAGCGATCGCGAGCGTGAAGCCCGTGACGGACTTCATCGAGGCGCAGAACGGCTCCGTCGTCGTCGAGACCCTCTCGTCCTGGCTCGAGTTCTACAACAAGTACCTCGTCCCCGCCGTCACCGTGCGTACCGCCCTATTCCTGATTCCCCTCCCAGCCCCCAACCCGAGTCGCTGATACGTTCCGAACAACAGCCCGTCGGGCAGGAAGTCGTCCTCGCCTCGCGACTGCTCCCGATCTCGCTCTTCGAGACGACCGAAGGCCAGGCGAAGATCGTCGACACCTTCACCGACATGGTCAAGCAGGGCCTCTCGCCCTACATCCCGATCGTGCCCCCCTTCCTGCACAACGCCACCGCGAACGCGACGTCGGCCTCGCCGGCGTGGTACACCTCGCTCTGGGATGTGCGTCTCATCTCGCGCCCTTTTTTTTCCCCTCTCTTTTATATGATAAGTGGCGGGCGCGATGCTGAGTTACATCGCGGGGTTAGGCTAACTGTGGCGGGTTCTTCGCGTATAACGCGAGCATTGCGGACGAGGAGGCGGCGTATAAGGTCGGGCACGATTGCTCTGACCAGCTCAAGGCGCTCGCTCCCGACTCGGGCTCGTACATGGTGAGCACATCCCGTCGACTTCTCTCGCGCATTACCCTCGGGGAACTGATGACCGCGACACCAGAACGAGGCTGACATATACGACAGCGACCACCAGGGTGAGTTGACCGATTTTGACATTCTCATACACGCCACGCGCTTGTGAACTGAGGCGTTCCGTTCCAGCGTCATGGTGGGGCGCGAATTACCCCCGTCTGTTGGAGATCAAGAAGAAATAGTGCGTCCTGCCTGTGGCAATCGCTTTCTGGGGAGACTGGCGTGACTGACTGCTGTTACAGCGACCCCCGCGGGCTGCTGGATTGCTGGAAATGCGGTGCGTACACATGACGTGGAGGGCGCTTGGGTTCTGATTTCAGTCTGACAGTGGGTTGGAAGGGCGAGCAGTCCAAGGACTTCCAGTGCTACCTTCCTTCTTCTACCATCACATAACTCGAGTGCAGGTGACGATCCGTACTAGAATCGGCTCCTTCCAGGAGGCTATCGACCTAATGACAAAGAGCGTGAACGTGACTGCAGCGTGGAAACTCCATCGCGATGTTTCAACGTCCAATGCCAGCAATCGGATATTGTTGATCTCCTGCGAGTGCATAGTGAAATTGCGACGGTGTTTGGAACGTGAATGTCTCATATGGGTCGGAAGTAGGAGCATTGAGGCTGTCGTGGTACTGAAGACTGTGGTTTCAGAAACGCCTCGCGTTGCTCACGGACACGCGAGCCGAACACGTTGCCGACAACGTAATTAGAGGACAGCATTGGGAGTTGTTCATCGCAAGGCGCGATATATAGCTCGATCAGATTGAGGGTCATCCTCATCGTCGTCCTCCGCCGTTTCCCCGCCGCTTTCACTCACTGCGATGGAATTGATTGGTCAACCTGAACTCAAGCGGACATACACATGGACTTTCAAAATCGAAAACCGTCAGATGTCACCTTTCATCCATGACTGTGGGTGTGGGTGGAAATTCGTGCGCGCGGCTCGCGTATGCCCACGGGACGTATCTATGACCTCAGCATCACAGGGAATCGCGAACGAAAAGTCGTATATCGTAATATCCTTGAGATCATGTCCTCCAGACGTTCACACTGTTCAAGTTGTTGCGAAGGTGCTAGACGACCAGCAGACCATCTTGGAATCGGCGACCTCCCCGGACATCCAGTGGTCCAAATACTCATGGCTTAGCCATAGGGTAGCGCGATGGACAAATGGCAGGTTACCGAAAGAATTCAGACTCCTGCTTGTTGCAACGGTACCTGTCGATGATTCCGGCGCCCAGAAAGTCCCGAGGCAGCCGACCTTCCTGCCTTCCAATCTGCGCTTACTACTGAAGAATTCTCTGCGCTCTGATACGTTCATCGACACCAAGTACTACTGCTTCTCACGGAGGCTAGGCAATGGGACCGTGGACAAGCCTATGGCCTTATTCGCCAACAGCCATTTGTGTTCCCAGAGCTCGACCTATATTGCGGCCCGTATGTAGAGAAATCTGTTGTGCTGCTAAGCCGTCTTCTGACTCATCATCCTCCCTTCTGACCTAGTCCTATCCGATCATGGCTTCCAGGAAGGGAATCTGCGAGATCTGCACGAATCGTCTCCACCCGAAGAGCATGATTGCACGGAAACGTATGGCTACGACTCCGACAGCGACCTGGAGTACGAGAACCCTGATGTGAATGAAAATATCATGTTCCCTACTTCTGTTTCCGAAGGACAGGAATATTCGGGGGATGAATCACGCCGTAAGCAGCGATCGTTTTGCCTCACAATCTCGTCATCACCTCATGTCATTTATAGTCAAAGATGCGGATGAAAAGCAAGCTCTTCCAGAGCGATACCAGAGCAAGTCATCACAACCTACGGGGCGCATGGGTCGCGTTGTCTTTATCAAGGACATTGCATTTATCACGTAAGATATCCTCGGATTGCTGAGATTGATCGCTCACTGTATGATCAACAAGATGGCAAGCATACCTTTTCTACATATATACAGGGAAGATCACCTTCGCACCACTCACTTCGGAGCCGAGGGAAAGAAAGCTTGAACACCCGTACGACGAGCCCGAACCCAGTTCCCCGAAATCAATGTATCGTCTTGCGGAAAAGGTGACCCAGGGCAGACGCCATCGGCACCGCAGTATACTTATGCTGTAATACAGATCGGAGATCAGAAACTACAGCAAATTGCGCTGAATGCCATCAAAGGGAGAGTCACCCAAGACAACGTCGTGGAGGAGATGTTTTCTACATTTACCTCAAGGTTAATGCCCGTATTCCTGGTCTAAAAATCGTCCACTGAATGTACTCCAGATACCCGGAAATCAGAAAGATGGAGGTGGCGTACTTTTGCGATTCGTATAAATCCTCAGATGTCGTAGATGCTTTCCGCGGCAAGATGCAGTTATTCTCCGAAGGACAGCTTCAATACTCTCTCGACGTCGTAATGGCCGCTTTTGATAAATTAGCTGTCGGTCTTCCGTAATGTTTACATGTAATCTCTCCTTTTGGTTCGTCTGGTCGGGCGGACAAGCCTGAGCGATAGCATATCGGTATACCTACGATGCATAGTCTAACGATCGTCATATAGGATCGAAAAGTTGAGAGAAAGCCGCAGAAACAAAGCATAATAAAGGATGACAAGGTACGGCCAATTCAGGAGAGTATCGTGTGACTGTACCCGGCGTTGTGAGGCTTCAAACCAGCTCAGTCACGTATCTACACGAGCCGGTTTGCTGATGTTAATCAGACACGACGTCCAGAATGACGCTACGCGCGTGCAATCGATGGTGCAGGTGCGATACCATATAGGCAATCCCTGTGCACTAGAGCCTATGCAAAAAACCAGGTCGCTTCCAGATGTCCAGTTCAGCGCACCTCGATATGGGTCAATGGCGCGCCCATGTCACATCCTCGCGCCCTTCTCCAATTCCAATCAATCTTCATCCCCTACCCCCCCCCCCCCGCGCACCCGCACGTGAGGAGGCTTGCCGCGGTCTTCAACCCAGAGATTCACAGTGGCCTCTGCAACTGCAGCAGGCAAGTGTTGCGGCTTGAGGTACATCTTCTGGCCAAAGATGCGTGGGGCCGACGCGGGACGGGGAAAGGTCCGACTAAGCCAGTCTGCGCCCAAGGCCGTGGTATCACCACCCGCAGTTTCTTCCTTCCATACCAGCTTGCCTTTCCTGGGCACGAATCCATCACAGCCTTCCCAGTCCCATCGCCACCTCTCCGCGAGATTTTCGGCCGGGCGCCATCCCATAGGTAATACATACCCACTGGCGTCAACGCCGAATTCGGGTCGAGGGCGCCAATGACAGCCATTCAGCGGAGGATCACGGGAGGCGCCGATGTGACGGCTGGCCATGTATGTGGCCGTATCCCGGAATTCTTGGGTCCCCATGGGGGCGCGGAGGTCGGGTATGGCCGATGGTCCGGATACTGGAGCATCTTGCGGCGCGGGAGCGGGAGGATAAGTCTGCGACCGGTGCCGAAGCTGCTGGTGTGGGTCCTTCGTCCGATGCTTCGTGCGAGGAAAGGTACTCGATACTAGGCGACGGTCCCCTGCGTGAGCGTTTAGCAGGGCTTGGAGCGCTACAATCGACGGCAGGCTCTTCTCGCGGTCGCTTGGAGCGCCTTACTGCCTGAAAAGAGGGATCGAGCGCGCTTTCCCTAGGTTCATCGCCCGCAAGCGTCGATCCGTCTGTACAATCCTTAGGGGTGCGAAGTTTTGCGGGTACATACTCCTGAGCGCGTCTTCAGAAAAGAAGTATTGTCAGACCCATATCGCCAGGAGGATATAGCCGCCACTTACAGGAACTGACAGTTCACTTTCTTCGGCAGACGCAAGGGCTTGAGAAAGACGATCCAGAACAGAGTTAGTGCGCTGCACCATCCGACGCATCTCTCGTTCCACCATCTCCTGAAACACATTCCTCTCCATGTGCAGCTGGTCGAAGATGCACTTCACCTGTTCCTCGATCTCTGGGGTCCAGTCACTCTTGTCAAGTCTGTCCCACGTGGATCTGAGTTCTTTGTCCGCAAAGAGCAACTGACGGATGGCAGCTCTGGATGGTCGATTCGCCCCGAAACCCGTTTTGATCCGGGATCCCGGCACATGGGACGGTTGAACAGTCGTCCAAGAATCGTTCGTATTCCTATTAATCGCGGTTTTTTGCCGATGGTCGCTAGTGTCTCCGATCTCGAAGGTCGCGCTGACGCTCACGACCGGCGAATTTATCGGTATACTGGACGGTGGCTTTGCATCCGTCGGCGGGTCAGGGGACAAAATCGGATCCGTGCAGATTTCGGTTTGTGGCGTATTGAAAGCAGGGGAAGAACAATTGCCGGGTGATGGCTCCTGCGAGTCCAGCGCGCGAGGCAGCGCTCCCGGATTCAGCAGCTTGCGGGCCCATGAGGTTATCAGCTGGTTCATCATCATATTGGGCTGATCAACGGGATGCATGTCAGGATTGTTTTCCAGTGCCGGCAGGTAGCGCGAGACGAGGTGACACTGACTACAAATTGTTCGTTTGGCGACGAGAACGGCTATCGAGTGTGTATGTCAAGGTCGGCGTGAAGGAGGTGATAGCTAAAGAGCGATCCGCAGACGAGGTCGCTATGTAGCGGGGCAGAAGTGCCTTGCATAGCTTAGGTCCCTTTGTCCTCGTGCTGTCTGAGACACGAGGCTATTGCAGGCTATTGTAGGCTATTGTCTCCCGCTGCGCGGGCGGAGTTGTCAGACCGGCGGTTCATTCGCGATTCACGAGGTCATCGCCGACAGGTCTATAACACTTTAGCAGAGAGGACAGGTACGTAAGGAGCTAGCAAAGAGCTCACTCCTTTGTTGAAACGAAGTGCCTCATAAAGATTCGTCAAGGCTGCAAACGGATTTAGACGGATGGTACCACGTGACAGCGATCCAAAAACAGATCATCTTCCGCTCGCTCCTCTTCGGACGTTCAGCGCTGTCGGAAGGCGAAAATGGCTTTGTGGAAGCAGTCCCCGAGCACGCGAGGTACTCCTCCCTGACTTGGCGCAAGCTAGTTCACTCCTCGGACACGCTCCTGTAGGCTGTTGGGTGTTCCTTTGCTACGCATGTCGCGAGTTCAGGATTATGGCAAAGGTGCTAAGGCCACGATCGGCTTGATGTGAGTCCTTGGCATGCCTTCATATGTGGGCCGTCCGCCCTGAAGTGATGTGCTGGAAATGAGGCGAAGAATCATCGAGGTTGGGATTCCTGGTATATCGGACATGCGGGTCCAAGATGGTTCACATATGCATAAGAACATAATAGTCGAGGACATATCCCTCACTAATACTTGGTCCTGGTAAGGTCGAGTTCAGTTCAATGACGAATATCAGATCGACGGATAAACGCACCTTCACGTCACCCGTATGATGAACACCATCACAATGAACGCGAGCAGCACCCCAATAACCCCGCACACCACCAGCCACGTATTCCCCCTCGCCGCAACCCTCCTGTCACGCAGCCGCACTCTCTCCTTCGTCATCACGTCGAAGTTCCGATCGAGCTTCTCCGATACGTCGTCCACGAGCGCCTTGTCCTCCGCTAGACGGGACGAGAAGTGCTGCGCGTTTCGCCTGAGCTGGGCGGCCATCTGCGCGAGCTGGTCTTGGAGCTCGTTCTGTACCGCGGTGGAGTTCTGAAGGAAGGACGGTGCGGCTTTGGGGCCAGCAGACGGGTCCGACACTGAGGGAGCGCTGGGTACCAATGGCGTCAATGCGATGGGGTTGGAGAGTGGGGTTATGGGCGAAAGCGTGGATTCAGAGGCTTCGTCCGGAGATATGAGCAGCCCTTCGGCAACATTCGCTAGTGGTGCGCCTTCCCCGGGTATGAGTGCTATGGCTGGAGAAGCCTCGGTGATGACAGAAGTGCTCGGCTGCACGGGTTCCAAAGGAGCTTCAGGGAGAGGTAACGACGGCAGCAGGGGTTTAGGCTTGACGGTCGGACGGGGCACGCGCTAGGGAAAAGAAGTGTGAATAAGACGAGACTGTACGCGCATGGATCCATACCTTTTCGGCATCTTTCACCCTTTCCTCCACATAGTCCAAAGTAGCACCCAATTTCTCATAGCGTATGTTAGAAGACCTGCGCCTCTTTGAGTACGGTCGCTTGCCAGCCAGCGAAAGGATGAAGTACCTGGTTGAATGCAGCTCTTCGTCGGCTTGTACCTTCTTCAACAAGGTACGCGCAAACCTAACTTTCTACACGCAGTGACGGGCAGGTCATAAGCACTGTGTGTTCGTGGAAGACGCGTAGCTCTCCCGTACCTGCAGAGTGCTCTGCACCGTGAGCCACGTGTGGTATTGGTCGAGCCCCAACGATTCTGGCCATCGGTCCGCTTCCGCCTCCGTTTGCTGTTCAAGCTTGTGTACGAGCCGTACGAGGTTGAGTTTGTCGTGGGTTGCTTGTTCCGTGGAAGTATACCCCATCGCGGACGGTTGTGGTCGGTACGGAAACGAGTTGGCGCGTGCCAAGCACGTCACCACGAGCTATTCCCGCGCGCGCTGTCTTCGGCCAGGTTGCTTCGTCATGTTGTTGGCTAACGTTGATCATGTACTACATTCGCGTTCTTCGTTCGGTCGTCCACTATGCAACTATGCTCGAGGATGCGTTGAACCTGCTCAACGATTTGGACCTGTCATGGCCGCATGACCATGGTGCCTATTGATGCGGGCCAGACGTCCGGCTTCGGGTCGACTTTGCTTGACTATTCGCAAATAGTTGACGACTGCGATGGATCGATTATGCCTCTTGAAACCCTCTCCTCTATCGTAAATTGATACCGAGTGCTCCTTGCACGTCGCGGAAGTCTTCTGAAACTGATGCATGCTGTGGCGAGACCCGTGGCTTGATGGAACACAGGTACTGCTGTCGTGCATAGGGAAATATCCCTCCAGCCCTCCCGCTTCCGAAGACACGCTGCCAGAACAAACGTCGGTCTCGTGCTGCAGAGTTATCCCGCCAAACACTTCTTTCGTAGATCGCGGTACTACTGTAAGTCACCTGGGTCACCACTGTCGTGTGTAAATTCCGCTGAACATTGTTTCCTAGTGTATCGTGAGTTGTTCTGTGCCTGGCTTGGGAGCGCCTCAATTCAAAGACAAGATCCTACCTCTCTAAACCCTCGGACGGGGTTTTCTCTTAATTCCGAGCACCTGGAGAGCGGAACGGTTTTTGTGGTCATCGCAGAAAATACAGTCGGCTTAGGACGCATCGTTTGTTTACAGACTCTCAAAAGAGGGGTGTCTTGCGCCATGCGGCGTACCTTGCGAAGACGCATTTGCGGTGCTGAAACAGTCACCGCCGCCTCGCAAGTGAGAAAGAAGTAGATAACAGGCACAACCATTGTGTATAGGCCTAAGTTCGGAAATGCGACGTCGATATGCATTGCTAGATGGGGATACGTTCAGGGCTATTGCTTGGCTGAAACGCAAAGTCGTGAGTTCGCCGTTTTACCTGGGCAGCACCCCTTCTCAGCATTATTTGTTACTAGAGTGCTCTGCCGCGGACTATAAGAGCAACACTGACTTCCCGGTTAATATTCCAGAGCTCAAGACACACATTCGTCATGCAGTTCAAGGCCTACTTCTTCACTCTTGCCATCGCAGTCATGACTAGCGACATGCTCCCGACCGTCAAAGCACAGTCTCTGGCATGCAGCGATGCATCCATCTGCAAGACCGTCTGGTACGCCGATTCCGCGTCCGTGAGGCAAGCGTCCCACTGACGCTCTACGTTTTTACAGCAGCGGCGTTCTGAGCACAGTCTGTCAGTCTTCGCGACCTTGCGCGCAACATTGTTATACTTGCTTGCTGATCCATATGATGACAGGTCTTGCTGCTGGCAGTTGCGAGACTTGCTGGTAAGCATACCGCTCGATACCATACGTAAGGCTCTAACTCCTCATTCCTATAGTCAGACCATCGCCGGTGACGTCTGTACGTATATTCAATTCTAGCGATACGAGGCAATGACGTCCAACTATCTGCATGTTCTCTCTCTACAGGCAGCGCTGTATGCTCAATCCTCGGTACCGGTGCCAACGCTACCTTCACGAGCAGCGTCTTTCTTCCCAACAGCACGACCTTCGCATCCAGCTCTACCCTCTTCAACAACAAGACGTCGTCGTCGTTCTTCGCTTCTTCCACCGGTCACTAAGCAGTCCTCGTAGCTTTCACCTCGTAACGCTCCACCACTGGTCTATGTATCATCAGGCCGTAGCGTACTGCCGATAGTTCATACTCGCAGCAGCTAGGAATGTTATGCGGTATCATCATGTACTCCCGATAGTTCATACCGCCAGCCTCAATTTGGGGTTTATCCGGGAATATTACCATTCTGGGCCAAGAATTGCATCCAATGATTAAGTCCAGTCGGCAAGGTGACTTACCGTCTTCCACCTTCTGGTTTACTAGCTCGAATTGTTCGGCTCGCCATAGCTATGCCCGCTCGCCCATCAGCGGCATACAAGAACCAAACCTAATGCTACTGAACTGCGGCATAATGGTCGCTTATGGCTGCCCAAGAGAGCACTGATTGCATTCGCTCCCTATGTGGTTCTGCCGAGTTATCAATAGACTCGAGGTCTTCTATCGGTCAACTGGCGTCCTGAACTATGTTATCTGGGCTGAACTGTCTGTTGTGCTGCGTCGAGGGTAATGTTCTATACCATGCGCGTTCCGGGTTGGTACACGTACGTCCGCTTCTTGTTATATAGCCCAGAGCCCTAACTCGCTGATATGTCTATAGAACACCGACCGCGCAAGTCGTTCTCGTGGGGATCACCTGCTTCGCCACAGCCGGGATGTACAGCGCAATCTCAAACCTAGGTGCAGGTGGTACGCAGGATGTCGCGCTGTCGGACACCGCCAATGGCGTGCACTACGGCATCTTCGCCCTCATGGGTGTCGTGAGCGGCTCCGTCAACAATAGTACGTGCCGTCTGCGCATTGTCTACGTGTAGCTGGGGTTTGACATTTCTCTCGGGTGCAGTTCTTGGCCCGCGGTCCACTCTGTTTTTGGGGACCTTGGGATATGCACTGTACGTTGGAGCGTTATGGTGCTTCCAGTCCCAAGGCGTGCGCTGGTTCCTCATCTTCGGCGCCGCCGTTCAGGGTGTGACCGCTGCGCTCCTATGGTCAGCTCAAGGATCCATCATGATGTCGTACCCTCTCGAGCGCGATAAGGGCAAGGCATTTGCAATCTTCTGGGCTATCTTCCAGCTCGGCTCTTTCGTGGGCTCGATCATCGCGCTGGCTATCAACCTGAGAGACGGGAAGCTGAGTGCCGTGTCGACGAGCACGTATGTAGTGAGCATGCTATACCGCATACGATATTCCGCGCTGACAAGATGGCTTTCCAACAGGCGTTTTTGGTCATCATCCTCTCTGGCGTCGCTAGTTCGCTTCTAGTCCTTCCCCCGCATCGTGTCGTTCGCGGTGACGGCACCATCGTGACGATTTCCCGGAGAACCTTCCCGGGCGCCGAGCTAAAGAGCATGGCGAAGATGCTGTCGGACTGGCGCGTGCTGGCGCTCCTTCCAATGTTCTTCGCATCGAACTACTTTTACGCCTATCAAGGAGCGGTGAATGCCGGAATGTTCGATGGGTCGACTAGGGCCCTCAATGCCAGCCTTGAAGGTGCCGGAGCCATTGTAGGAGCGCTGCTGATTGGCTTCCTCGTGCTTGATACACCATCGGGAAGACTGCGATATGGCAGTGGGCACACGTTCTCTTCGTTAAATTGGGACGTTCAATGACGTACATTCGTGGTGCGTAGGGCGATCTCGGGGTTACTTCGGTCTCGCGGTGGTGGTGATCATGACGCTCGTCGTTTGGAGCGTCGCCCTCGGATGGCAGACAACGTTCACCCGCTCGGACGCTGCCACGATGCGCACGTCCGGCACGCTCATCAACTACCACGACTCGAACTACCCTGGAAAAGGCACGCTGTACTTCTTCTGTGAGTCTCATAGCAACCTTGGTTCGTGTCTAGCTAGATCAGTTCACTGATGTCCGCTACAGATTACTTCAATGACGCGTGCTACCAGGCGCTCGCGTACTGGATTATGAGCGCGGTTACCAACGACCCGTTCCGCCTCGCGCGCCTCGCCGGCATTTACAAAGCCGTCCAGTCTGCTGGCTCCGCCGGGTCCTTCGGTATGGACGCCGTCGGCACGCCCTACCTCAACGAGCTCGTGCGCACCTTCCCCCCATCCACCCTCTCTGCTGTTCTCATCTTGTGATGTTTGTAGCTCGCGAGCTGCCTTATTATGCTGGTCTCCTTCCCACTCGCCTTTCTCGTAATCCGGACCGTTAAAGAGACCAACTACGAATTTGAGGAGGTCATTTACGTCAACAACCTCAAGCCGGACGCGTTCGAGTCGGGCGAGCTCCCCAGCGCCGCAACCCATCCGGATAAGGTTGCCGCCACAAAACCTGAAAAGGCCAGCGCTGCATCCGATATGGCATGAACGATCGTACCCTCTTCTAGCGTCTCGTCCCATCTCCTCTGCCACCAGCATACACCAAAGAGAGCGGCATCCTCATTTTTTCTACTCTCTGTACTGACGACGACTGTTAATGGATTTCTGTGAAAAAAACATCTTCGAGCCACGATAATGGTGCCCGCTCTTGGTACACGATACATATGATCATCAGTCACTCGGCATTGTATGTTCGTAGACAACCACGATTCTCGAGATTGGTCACACTCTTGAAGGTTGTTCCCTGCAGAGTGGCACGCCCCATAACCTCGATGCGTAGATGCGTTCACGGACAGCATGCAATTTATCGAACAAATTCACGATAACACCGAGTTGCAAATGCCCCTTGTACACAAATGCGGCGTAGTGTACAATGACCGCGTGCTAACTGTGAAGAAGGCACACAACTTCCCTAGCATACTAACGAAATGATTAATCAGGAAAAAGGAAAAGGCAGCCATCGGGAATGCAGACCCACATACACGGTGCAGATCAGATCGTGAAGCCTCCCGCAAGCGATAAAGGCATTTCTCACATCCCAAGATGCACGTATGGAGCCCATCGGCTCGGTTCTGGATGAGCACGGCGGAGCTCCTGAATGGCCGCGTCGAGCGCGTAGGGCACGTCGTCCGGGTCGAGATATGTCTTGCCCGCACGGAACAGCTCCTTGTATACGAGCGTTGCGATGAGCGGCCCGTCGACGTCTTCCATGGACCTGTAATAATGCCCAGTGAGCACGACAAATGATCCAAGAATGCAAGAGAAATACACACCACAGCGTTGCGATCACACTCTTGAACCCAGAGAAGAGCATGGTGGCCGCCAGGTTGACCGTTTGGTCCGGCTGATTCTAGGAGAGCAGAAACGACCGATCAGGACTAAGGACATACTGGGAGGGTATAAAGACGTGCCGCGTCGCCCTTTGCGGTCTCGCACGCGCTCAAGAACGCGAGGAATGCTCGTGGAAGTGGCACGTCCATCAGATTCTCGATGGTGAGCATCCGGTCGCTCATGACGAACCCGCTCTTGAGCGGATTCTTAGACTCTTGGAGGCCGTGGCACGCAAGGTGCAGCACCGTCGCGCGCGGCAGGTTGTCGAGCAAGGCGTGCGCTTTTGACGCATCGAGCGTTAGCACCGCCGCGCGCGGCACCACTGCCTCGACCGCCGCGATCTCATCGAGCGTCGACGGCAGCTCGGTCCACCTGTCCACAAACGGCCGGGGCACGGCGGCGAGAAGGACCGCGGAGTCTTCGAGCCGCACGGGGGTGAACTCGCGCCTCACGCTCAGAAGTGCGCTCAGCGTGGGGGTGTATGAGGACACGACGTAGTCCGAGCACGATCGGCCGCCTTTGCAAGCTGCGTGGATTGGGAAATGGACGAGGTGTCCAGTCGGGCACCACCAGAGGCGAGGCCGGGCGCGTCCGACGGCCGGCTGTAGGTAAGCTCAACCACTGACTTTCCTATGCGGTCGTTTGGCTCACCTTGAGGTATAGAGCTGCCAGAACGGGCTCCACGATCTTCGTCCACAACCCTCCGAGCACATTGCATGCCTCGGCCACAGGGCTGCAAGCCGTCTTCTTCGATGCTACCTTCACCTTCTGAAGATGCAGTCGAGTTCGGACTGCCGACCGTGCCTCTGCAGTGGCCGCTCGCCAACGTTGACCGGACTCCAGCACCCACGCCTCGTCGAGCGCAGGCAACGGGACGCACTTCGGCCCTCCCATCTTGGTCACTATGAGCGCGCTGCACCCAATCGCGCTCGCGATCAGGACTACGACCGGCCCGCAATCGGCCGCCCGGACGAGTGTCGAAAACTCGTCGTGCAACATGAAGCGCTCGAATCCGGGAAGGCGACGGACTTGATCTAACAGCGCATCGAATTCGTCGCTGCACCTCCTCCTTTCGCCGAGAGCTTTCTCTACGAGGTGCCTCTCGCTAAGATCTTCGGAGATGTCCGAATTTTTCTCCAACTTCTGTGCGAGGACGAGCAATCGGTCGCGCATGTCGTCTGGAACGGATTCAAAGCGAGATCGCAACCGCAGAATGTGTGTCCAGAAGATAGCTCGCCCTTGTTCTAGTATCTCCAAGGCACGTTCAGCTTGCGAGAGATCAATCGCATGGAGAGCCGCATTGGCAGCGACATGCTGGCCGATGGCCAAAGAACGGAGGCGCGAGTGAGGGTCTGTGCCGAAGTAGGCTACACGAGGGAGCATAGATACGATCATGCTATAGATCCCCAATAACTGCGGCCCGAAGTGGGGGTCTTCGAGGGCTACGCGCTCGGAGCGACATATGGATTCTACCTTCTCGAGAACGCGCACGCCGCCTTGGATGCGAGAACGCACGTCGCGGTGATCGGCCGCTACGCACTGCATGAGGTGGTCCAGCGCGAGTGCAATATTCCGGTATTCTGTACCAGCCTCGAGGTACAGCTCGGACACATCGAGGAGGTACTCGAAGCAGTCACGCTGCTCGGAGATGACTCTCTGGAGTAGCTCGGTCATGACTGCCCTCGACCGGACTGCATCGTCGGCATGTTGTGTCTGGCGAAACCGAGCCATATGGGCCAATCCCACGATTCGCATCTGTTCAGGGGCAATGAGTGATCCGGGGGCGTAGACGTCCGAGGGTTCGAGGAGTTGGATGGCTCTATCGATATCATTTGAGTTTCCGTTATACTCTCCTCGCAGTAGTAACGAGTTGGACAATTCTTGAATGAGATTGCCTCTCCATCGATTGCCGATCGGCGTATTTTGAAGGTTTTCTTCGGCGAGAACTATGGCCTCCTCTAAGTCCTCCACGGAACGACGCGCTCTAAACCGAATCCTGAGCGCGGAAAGCATCCCGGCGACGGAATTGAGGTGCTGGAAGTGCGCGGGTGACTCTTCATCCAGCACAGTGCGATGCAGTTCGATCGCCTCGTCCAAGTCTTCAATGCGGCCCAGCTCCTTGAATCTCATCATGAGCTCCTCTCCAAGATTAAACAAGCAATTCAACCGGTGAGGATCGCCGGTGCCGGTGTCATGAATACGATGCCGATGAATCTCGATAGCCTCCTCCAGGTCAACCACTTGTCCCTTCCATGAGAAGCGCATCCGCATAGCATTGGCTAAACAGTCTAGCAAAGCCAAATGGCCGTGAAACCCTTCTGGGCTGATGTTAATGGCTTCCTGACGCAAACCGACCAACTCGTCAAGAATAGAGTCTGAACAGGCTCGGTGCTCGATGAAGTATTCGAGGATGTTGGCGACATTGGAGAGGGAATATACACGTTGCTGACTTGTTGGGCGGCCGACCGTCAGTGCTGCTTTAGCTTGTTTCAACGAGTCCTCGAGGTCTTGAGTATCCCCGCACAGCTCGAAGTGGCGGAATAGGACGTGACTGGACCGGACCAAGACACATTCTCGATCCACGTGTGTCGGCGGGCAAGACTCCATGGCGTGTCTCATCAACACTACGGCCTCCTCGAGATCACTCCGTTCTCCCCCCAAGTCGTACCGTTGTCGGAGGTACATGCCCAGTATACTAAGGTGTCGATGCCTGTCGTGAATCTGCGAAGACAACGCCTGCGCGACCGCCAACCGTTGTAGCTTTATCGCTTCGTCCAACAAGTCGGAGGAGTGAGGGCGGCGGAACAGGGAAAACGACAGGCAGCGAAGGGCAGTGGGCCGTAGGTGGTGAGTCCGCGGGAAAAGCTCCGTGGCTGCGCGAAACATGTCTTCGGCCGCGAGTCGGTTGGAAGAGCTCCCGCTCAGCTCTGCATCCGAGTCCAGGGCATCTCCGAATACAACAAGAACGGTGGGACAGGTAATGTTCTCCGCCCTGCACGTGTCCATCGCCTCTCTACCTAGTCGGACGGCCCACTGCAAGTCAGGCTGGTCGTCAGTGTAGCGATAGCGGTCGATGAGGATAGACGCGAGGTCACTAAGGACATCATGTCGTGCCTGTAAAGAACGTGAGCCTAAGGGATTCCTGTCTCATACACGCCTAGGCTCACGTCTGTAGTGGTGGTTTGAAGCAGGCCCTTGTATAGTTCGATGGATTCGGAAACTGCTGTCAGATCGCCGTGTACGCGAAACTGAGCAAAAGACTGTTGCGCCTTCACATGCCCGTTACAAGTTGACAAGTTGTCTGATCATATGTCTTTCAGCCTCATCAAGAAATGTAAAGATTATAAAGACCACCAACCTGCGATGCATTCGCATCCCCGTGGTCTAGGGCTGATTTCTTCTTCTCGAACCTGACAAGCATCCAAATAGCCTGTGCGACCCATGAGCATCCAACGTTGGCCCATAGTATTATGCACGCAATCACTTTGAGGTTGTGCAATTTCGTCCATGGTATACGCGTTATGCCTATTAAAGTGGAAGTCTTTCGCCGAGAACTGGAGCCGTACACAGGAGGGGCGCCAGGCTCCCTGCTTAGATATCGTCTTGAGAACGCTCGCTGGACCATGCTGTCCTGCAGTGCAATGTAACGAGCGTCTCAGCGCCTGTGCTTGATCGAGCGTTTCGAAGTGCTTCACTGCCTCGATATGAGTATTGAACGCTAAATGGCATGGGAAGCGGGAGACATACATAACCGTCACATCCATGCCGCGTAAAGCCCAAGCCCATTCGACGTCTATTCAAGAATGCCCGGGGATGCGGGAGCGCGTAATGCCGACATTCGTCAATCCGTGCATTCATATATGTATTGACCAGTGCTTCTAAGTCTGTTGACTCGCACCGCAACATTCATTCGGACGACGGAGTCAATAGGGCATGTTCCGGAGTAGAACGTCCAGGCTACCGGATTTGATCAGCAGCCGTGCCGCATTGAATGTAAGAAGGTGAACAGTTATGCACCGCAGGAGTCTGGAGAGCCATGCGCGTCAGATATCGACGGTACTATGAGGCTGCCGATGATGACTTGCCTTTGCATTCTGGAACGTGCGGAACATGAGCGTGGGTTACAACGGGAGTTGATTACGAGGGTTAACAGAGCATCCATGTCATGGGAGGTAGTCGGCAAGGGACGAGCATACGAAAACCGACGCGACACGCCTGGACACGGCGTTCCCACGGTCCCCGGTCACTTGCGCGCGTCCACAACGTACCGTGTCTCAAGCTACCTCGATCACGATTCATTCGTCAGGCATCAGGAGACGAGATCGACTCGCTCCAAAATATCTCGAAGCGCAGTCCCCATTCTGTCCATAAAGATATTCGTGACGGTTGAACTCGAACTACATTCCGAGATGTATATATGGTGCCCATCGACTGGGGTCTGGATGAATGCGCCGGAGTTCCTGAACAGCAGCATCCAACGCGTAAGGTACGTCGTCCGGCTCAAGGTATATCTTGTTTGCCCCGAACAGTTCTCTGTATACATGGGTTGCGATGTGCGGCCCGTCGACATCTTCCATTGACCTGTAAAATCCTGAATGTAAACGCTATGTGCATGGCAAGATAGCCCCACAAGAACACTATGCTGACCAGAGGGTTGCAATCACGCTCTTGAAACCTGCAAAAAGCATCGTGGCTGCTAAATTCACCGTTTGATCTGGCTGGTTCTACGAGAGTCGAAGAAGATTAGATACCAGTGTTCATGAACTCCCTCTGCTATCAGCTCACTCTGTCGCCCTTTGCGGTCTCGCACGCACTCAGAAATGCAAGAAAAGCTCGAGGAAGGGGCAGGTCCATCAATTGCTCGATAGTGATCATCTGGTCACTCATGACGAAACCACTCTTGAGTGGATTATCGGCCTCCTGCAGACCATGGCATGCGAGGTGCAAGATAGACGTGTTTGGGAGACTTTTCAGAACGCTTTTCGCACTTGATACGTGACGGGATCGATCGCCGTCTCCAAGGAGTGTTGCCTGCGGTATGACAGATTGAACGGCTTGAATCTCTTGGAGCGTATGTGGTAATTCACCCCATGCTTCTGAGAATGGCTGAGGTACGGCAGCCAGGAGAACGTGGCAGTTGTTGAGTGGAAATGTGGTATATTCCTGCCGAATATGAAGCAGAGAGCTGATGGTGGGTGTGTACGAGGACACCACATAGTCTGAGCAGAACTTTCCCCTACTGCAGGCCGCGTGGATTGGGAAGTGGACCAGGTTCCCTGTGGGACACCACCAGATGCGCGGGCGCGCACGACCAATCGATGGCTAAGGACAAGTCAGCAATCGAGCTCGCTGAGATCACAACCATATACTTGCCTTAAACCCTAACACGCTTAACACCGGTTCTACGATCTTGGACCATAAACCTTCGAGGACATCGCTAGCGTCGGGTATCTCCATACGTGGTACAGTTTCATATGCTTTTCCGACCTTCTTGAGTTTTAATCGAGTTCGCATTGCTGATCTCGCTTCCGCAGTTACGTGTTTCCACCTTCTACCCGCGTCCACTATCCAGGCCTCATCGAGGGCACGTAACGGCACGTTCTTCAACCCCCCTGCGGCGGTGATGATGAGGGCATTGCACGTGTTCGCGCTTGCCACCAATATCACGATAGGACCACGAGCTGCAGCTCGAGCGAGTGTCGAGAATTCGTCGTAGAGCATGAAACGTTCGAGCCCCGGGCGTTGACGGACTTGTTCCAGAAGAACATCGAACTCATCGCTGTGGAGCCGCCTCTGGAGAAGAGCTTTCTCTATCAGATGCTTGTCGCCGGCATCTGGAGGTACGTCCAGATTCCTATCCAGGTTCTGAGCAAGGGTGACCAATCTCTCTCGAAGTTCGATCGGCACATGGTCAAACTGAGAACGCAATCGTAGAACATGAGTCCAGAAAATTGCGCGGCCTTGCTCGAGGATCTCTACAGCACGCTCGAGTTGGGATAAGCTGATCGCTTTTGTGGCGGCGATTGTAGCGATGTTCTGTCCGATGGTTAGAGAATGAAGGCGAGCTAATGGATCAACGCCAAAGTATGCGACGCGAGGGAGTAAGGAAACAAGTGCGCTATAGATGTCCAGAAGTTGCGAAGAGACACGCGGATTTTGAAGAGACGTATTTTCGGAGCGCTGCATAGACTCCACCTTCTCCAATATGTGAGCTGCACCTTGAATGCGAGAACGTACATCCCTATTGCCATCAGCAACACCGAGCGCGAGATGCTCTAGAGCAGTGTATGGATTGAAGTACTGCGTGCCCATTTGCAAATAAAATTCGGAAAGGTCGAGAAGATACTGGAAACAGTCGCGCTGGCTCGAGGAGGCGCCCTGGAGCAAATCGGTCATGATGGTCTTTGCCCGAGCTGCATATTCGGTGTCGTGCGTAAGATGAAACTTGGCCATGTACGCCAGACCTATGACGCGTGCATGTTGCGGGGCAGCCAGGGATCCAGGCGCGAAGATGTTAACAGAGTGAAGCAGCTCTATGGCTCGGTCAATGTCTGCTAGCGTCCCATAATGTTCTCCTCGCAACAAGAGGGCATTTGATAGCTCTTGAGTAATTTCGGCTCGCCATCGATGGCCAGTAGGTATACTTTGGAGGTGTTCTTCACCAATACGGATCCCCTCTTCTAAATCTTCGGGTGATCGTAGGACTCTGAAACGGATGCAGAGTGCCGAGAGGAGTGACGTGACAGCGGCGAGATGTTGGAAGTCTGTGGACGGTTGATTGGCGACGGCGATGCGATGTAACTGTACGGCTTCATTGAGATCATCCATTTGGCCGAGTTCCTTGAACCTGCTGCATAGGTCTGAGCCCATGCACACTAGCATCACCCATCGCTGTGGACTGTTGGGAGGCAGCTCTTTCAGGGCTTCTCGGCGAAATCCGATCGCCTCTTCCAGATCTCGAGCTTCGCCACTCCATATGAATCGCATCCAGAATGCGCTGGCTAAGCCATCAAGAAGGAGGAAAAGACCATGAAATCCCCGAGGACATATCATCAGAGCCTCTTGGCGTAGCCGAACCAACTCGGTGAGAGTGGAGTAAGAGACTGACGTGTCTCGGTAATCGATGAGATATTGCAACATGTTGCATAAATTAGAAAGGATATACACGCGTTGTTGGCTTGCAGGAAGACCAGACGTTAGTGCGAGCTTCGTCATATCCAACGCGTCCTCCAAGTCTTGAAGACGCCCGGCGAGCTCAAAGCGACGGAATAAAACATGGCCGAGCCTGACCAAGATAGACTCCCGATCTACATGTGTGGGTGGGCAGGCCTCCGTGGCTTCCCGAAGGAGGCCGATCGCCTCCTCGAGATCGTCGGATGTTCCAAGGATATCATAGCGTTTGCGGAGATACATGCCCAGATAACTGAGATACCGATGTCGGTCCGCACAGTGGAGAGGTAACAACGCGATTGCAGAACGTTGCGTGGCGATGGCTTCATCAACGTAGTGCAACGAATCGTTTGAGTCAAACCGGCGGAAGTGGGTGAACGAGAGACATCGCATCGCAATAGGCCGCAAGCGGTGATCGATGGGGCATAGCACGACGGCTTCTTGAAACATCTCCTCGGCAGTACGTCGATTAACGTCGTTCCCGCTAACTTCCGCATCGGAGTCCAGGATATCTCCGCAGAAGATCAAGACGGCAGCGCATACAACATTCTCCACGTTGCAGGCCTCCACGGCCTCTCGTCCCAGCTTCACGGCGTTTTCCAAATCGACGACATCGCCGGTGTAGCGGTATCGGTCGTGGAGAAGATAGGCGAGATAGCATAGGGGATGATATCGTTTCTGGCGAACGATCACATGTGTCATTGAGCGAAGGGACTATGTAATCACGAATCTCACTTCCGTGGTATTCTGGAGAATATATTCATATATTTCGATAGATTCAGATGCGGCGGTCAAATCGCTAGCACGGCGAAACCGTTCGGAAAGTTGCTGCGCCTTCAGCTGAAGACTGGTCGGTTCTTGCCTCGAGTCTAACGTATAGGCGCATTTGATTCGGTCACCATCATCGGTCAAAGGCTCGAATGAGCGTACCTGCGGTGCATTTGCAGATACTTCGCCCAACGCTTCTCGTCTGATCACAGGCGACCAGAGCATCGATTTCTGTAGTCATCCGGCCCAACGAGTGTATAGAGCCCGTTCTTGCGTACGCTTTGCTTCTCAACAGTGGTGGAGAGGGATTCGTTATGAAGCCCACACCTTAAGTAAAGAGGAGTTTTGATACGCCCATCGCAGCGCCGAGGGCACCAGTTCTCCCGGGTGTAAAGATAGCGGTCCAGCCCTCGCCTACATCAGAATGGAACGGAAGGCAATGCATACCTGATCGCCTCGGTGCATCGAACGCCTTGAGATGATGAAGCTATACATAACTTCGAACCGGGCGCTGCGGCAAGCCTATTTCCGTATGAATCTGCGGTAAAGAGATGACCCGCCGTTATCGAGGGACCGAGCCATGAGCCAGCGTATATATCAGTCGCAAAGCTCTCCGAGTTTGGTGACCCGTGTCTCTGCGTTCGGTCGTTGAACGTAGTTCTGGGGTACGAGAAAGAAGCAGAGCAGCAATAAGAGATGAACCATCTGGAGAAGAACAAACATAAACCCTGCAGTGGCTGATTCACTTACGCATCAAGGATCGACAGAGGCGCTGATAAAACCATCGCTGCGGGCCTATGCAATCTCGCACTTGCAGTATGAGCGGTGGCCACCACGTCCGTTGCGGTCCTATGAATGTATGAGAAGGCCAAAGATACCATATCCTGTGCAGTTTCGTCGGGCCCCGGCTGTTTCAGATAGCAGATGGATCCCAGGACGTAGCATTGCATACTCGCGTGAACTGTACACGTCGGTTGGGGCCCGCCCTGGGACTGATGTTCACATTCATTCAGTCCGGCGCCATGTCCATATGCGTGCGCAGTGTTATGGTGACGCGATAGGCTGCCACGCCTCAGGCCTCAGGCCTCAGGGAAGTGATAATCCAAGAGAAGTGCCGAGAGGGTGATGATGAGATCCCGGCCGCCAGTCATCAGCTGAGCCACGTCGAGGCGATATCTGCGTCTGCTTGGCCAAGCGCCGGCCCGGTTTGCACGAGATCATAGCGGTACAGAAGACGATCCGCTGAGAACGTTAGCATCTCAATTGGAGAACATTTGAGACGGGTAGCAACCAGAAGGCGGGAACTACGAGGTAAAGGTGGTCACGAGCAGGTCACGAGCTCGATCGCGAACGGCGAGGCGCGTTGCCCGGCAACGTCCGTGGTCTCATGTTCTGAGTTCATGACCACAACGTTTATCACGGCGCCATTCTCCACTCATTCTCCACAGTCCAGACGATCGAACGTCCCCTCAATCCATCATGCTCTTGGGCTTCGCAGCTTCGCCTCCAATGCATAAATGCAGATGAAAAACAAGATGTGGACCGATAAACAGGATGCCCTCTTCGCTGTGTCTTCGGCTTACTGTGTTCCTCGCGGCCTCTGTCGCTACGTTCGCCATACCCTATGACGAGTATATCTTGGCTCCTTCCAGTCGCACGTTGCACCCAGTATCTGTACGGAAGGTTAACGGTACCGTCATCCACGCGGAAAGCATCACCGGCCCCAGCCACGGTAAAGCGACGTTCAAGGGGTCATCGGCAGTGACCTTCGACTATGGCAAGAACATCGCCGGGGTTGTCTCACTCAACGTTGGCGATATATCCGACGAACACCAATTCATTGGTATCACGTTCTCCGAGAGCTCCCTCTGGATTTCGGGTGAAGGCAGCGATGCCACGGCCGACGGCGGGATCGACGAGACGCTGTGGATCCAGCCCAAGAAACCAGGAACGTATACTGTTCCGAGGCAGAACGAAAGGGGGGCGTTTAGGTACCTCAGTTTGGTGCACAACACCACCGGAAGCTTGGAGGTGACGCAGGTGACGACTCATTTCACCGCTATGCCGCACTACGCGGAGGACAAGCTGAGGGATTACACCGGTTACTTTCACTCCAACGGTACGGGCTCTCATACTAGATCTCGGAGATCCTTACTAATCAAAATATAGACGAACTTTTGAATCGGATTTGGTATGCTGGTAAGCCTGCCTCCGTTGTTCCCACCCGCATTCCTCTCTGATTTTCGCCGGCAGGGGCCTACACAAACCAACTGTGCACGATCGATCCGAAGCATGGCGATGCCCTCATATACCTCGGGATCATTAACGGCACGGAGCCAGGAGACTCAGTCGGCGCTCTCCCATGGTGGTTGAACTATACGATCACCAATGGCACGTCGGCGCTCGTGGATGGCGCTAAGCGCGACAGACTCGTGTGGGCAGGCGACATGTCCATCGCCGTTCCTGGCATCGTCACTTCCACCAATGACCTGATATCCGTCCAAAATTCCTTGAACTCCCTCTTCGCCATACAAAACAAGACCAGTGGACAGCTACCATACGCAGGCCAGCCGTTTTTCACTGAGCTCTCGCATACGTACCACTTGTACACGTTGATCGGTGTTGCCGACTACTACCTCTACTCGGTGAGTTGAGAACCGTTATTCGCTCTTGAAGCCGTATCGAACACTCATTCGTTTTATAGGATGACATCGATTACCTTCAGAGCATGTGGGACGGCATCAAGCTCGCCATGAACTTCGCTCTGGGTTTCATCGACGACAGCGGCTTGATGAACGTGACTTCGCCTCATGACTGGCTTCGGTTTGGCATGGGCGGGCACAATATCGAGGTACCATTTCAGATTATGCCAAGGCTTGACGCGTGAAATCTGATGAAATTCGTAGGCCAACGCAATCCTCTACCACACCCTGAATCAAGTTTCAGTCCTGGCCGATGCTCTTAACGAAACCGACCTCCTCGCCTCGTGGGCCCAGACTGCAGCCACCATCAAATCGTCCGCCAACGAGCTCCTCTGGGATGCCTCCGCCGGCATGTATCGCGACAACGAGACAACGACCCTACACCCTCAAGACGGGAACGCATGGGCGGTCGTCTCGAATTTGACCCTGAACGATACCCAAACCGCCTCCATCAGCTCGAACCTCGTGCAGAGATGGACGCCATATGGCGCTCCCGCTCTCGAGGCTGCTGACGCTATCTCGCCCTTCATCTCCGGCTTCGAGCTGCAAGCCCATATCCTATCCGGGAATGCTAGTGCCGCGCTCGACCTCATGCGTCTCGAGTGGGGCTTCATGCTCGACGATCCGCGCATGACGAACAGCACTTTCATCGAGGGGTACTCGAGCACCGGCGAGTTGCATTATGCTCCTTATACGAACGATCCACGCATCAGCTTCGCGCATGGGTGGTCTACCGGGCCAACGTCGACGTTGACCTTCATGGTGGCCGGTATCCAGTTGACGAGCGCCGGAGGACGGACGTGGTTGATCAAGCCTACCCTTGGCGACCTGACGAGGGCGGAGGCGGGGTTCAAGACCAGCCTAGGCAGTTTCAGCGTCAACAACGCGAAGGATGCCAAGACCGGCTCCTTCCAGGTTGCGTTCGAGACGCCGAAGGGTACGAATGGGGCGTTGAGCGTTGAGTACCCGGATTGCGATGGGACGTTGGTGTTGTCTCGGGCGGGCAAGAAACACGCGGTGCTGCATGTGAAGCAGGATGACGCTCCGCAAGGACGGATCGAGGTCGATGGTTTGGAGGGAGGCCATTGGACGGCCCGATTCACTTGCTCTCGATAGTTTTCGTGTTCATTCTGGGCCAGCGTCGTCGAATATTGGGTAGAGTACAAGTGCATGCGAAAGACGCGCGCGACATGGCTTGCTCCATCTTCAGTCAGACTTGCAATCACCGACTACCACCAATCTGCGTCTGACTGTACACCTATAGTCCACCAGTGCTCTCAACTTGAACCTGCGAACAGGAGATGTCGACTATCCAGCCTTCCGTTTCGAGGCGGGTATCACTTCGATTCCTTCCCTCTCCGCCCTCCGAACCAACCGATACCCTCGTTCTCACCGCTGGCGTTCTTCCACCTTCAACGTCTCGCAACTTCTTCGTCGACTTTCGACCCTTTTCCGACGATCCATCGAAGTGCGAGTGGGCATTTGCAGGGTACAAGATCCGGCCCGAAGCCGATAAGTCTCGATGGATCCACCTGATTGATTCGCGTGGCGCAGATTGGGAGGGAGAAGATGGAAGAGAGGACTCAGGGATATTTGAGACGCTGCCCAATGGCGACGATTTGGAACGTGGCGAGATGCTCGACCCGGCTTCGGGAAAAATCCGACCATACGAGGAAGTGTGGAGGGACGACCCGTTACCCAGCGACGTTGAAGTCCTGGTCGCACTCACGGAGGACGAAGGTGGGGTGAATGGTATGGTGGTGCGCATTGGCGAGTGGATACAGGGGGTTCTGCGAACATCGCCGGACGAGGTCGTCGCCAGCCGGCAGCATCAGACTGCCAGTGGGTGGACTCTAGAAGCAAGCTACGGACAGCACAACGCAATACCTGGAGACGCGCTGCAGGGACGCCAAGAAGGGGACAGGCTAGTTCACAAAGGACGGACCTGGGCCATTGCGTTGAACTATATCCACCGAGGATGAAAGATAATGGTCGCCGTTGAACTTGTCCGATCCACACCTGCCTCCTTCAACCGCAGGCCATGAATGCCCGACAACCTTTCCCCACTACATACTCCTTCGTGGCTCACGCGTAGTTCATCTGGATGCGCCCGCGTCGGACTACCTTCTTCGTTCAGTGCTCGTCCTCAGACATTCTCCCCGAGCCCTCATTATGTGCCCTCCGCGACGCGCCATCTACCACATGGACGTCGTCACTGGCACAACTCACTTCGTATCCACCTTCGCTATGATCCAATGAATTGACCCATAACACTTCACGAACCGTTCCCCGGAGATCACCAGCGGTTTTTCCGAGACATGATGACCTCGCGAACGCTCTGCCGACCTATCCCGTCTCCTCACGTACGACTCGCCGAATCGCGTGCTTTCTGCTGATTCGTGACATCATACCGGAACCGGACGTTGTCCTGGACGGGGTGGTACGTTGTTCAGGCACTTTCTCGGAATGCGACTTGGACATCCCGTGCAACATTCCCGCCTCCGCAAGTCTTCTCTCGGGCGAAGTCTCGACGCCATGACTACCCCAAAACCTTTTCACCTGTTAGCGACCGGGCCTTGAACATATTGCCTCGGATTACGCGTACTTCTCAGCCATTCCGAGCATCCGAGATTTTGAGGCAATAACGCTCTACCCCATTCATCCCCGTCTATCATTCGTCATCCGACTCGCAGTTTCGTATGCGCCGGCGCGTTCGCTCTTTCCGCGAGACAACTGTCGGTCTCGAGGGTGCTTCGCTAATCGAATGGGACCAGGGCACGAGACTCCCTCCTCCAACTAAACCCGCGTATAAAGACACGGCAAGGGAACACCCTACCACACATCGACCTTGTCCAAGCCCGCGCCCCGCTCCCAATCATGAAGGTCTCGACGCTCATCGGATTCGTTGCGCTTGCGCAAGCAGCCTCGGCTCACTGTAAGCGTTCTACGGCGCCTTGTACTCCGACATGCATGCTGATTCCACCTCATCAGATATCTTCACGACCCTTATCGCCGGCTCGACGACTTCGGAAGCCGCCGTTCGTGAACCCGTGAACAACAGTCCCATCACCTCTGCGACGGACCCGAACCTGGTCTGCAACATCCACACCGCTGCCACCTCCACGGTCAGCGTCCCTGCTGGATCTACCATTGGCTTCAAGCTCGACAACACGCTCTACCACCTTGGGCCCGCTGCTATCTATCGTGATTTTATACCTTCTCACCGAACTAGAGCTTCACTGTGGCTGACATATGCGTAGTCGGACAGGTTCCTAGCGGCGAGACTGCTGCCACCTGGGACGGGACAGGCGCCCATTGGTTCAAGGTAGGCTGACTCATGGACTCATAATCACATCGACCGCCTCTCTCACACAATCGTATCTTCTCAGATTGCGGAATGGGGCGCAACGTACTCGCAGTCCTTCAGCTTCAGCGACTATAACCTGAGCCAACTTACTACTACGATCCCCAGTGATGTTCCTCCTGGAGACGTACGCACATTGCACGCTGTTGGCCTTGATCACACTCTCATCGTTCCTGTATTCTAGTACCTCGTCCACGTTGAGCAGATCGCACTTCACGTCGTCGACGCTCCGCAGTGGTATGTCTCCTGTGCCCAGATCACCATCACTGGCGGCGGCTCCGCAAATCCGAGCAAGGTGTCGATCCCCGGCGCTTATTCCGCGAACGACCCGTACGTTGCAATTCTCTAGGGTGAAGAATGCAATCACTAACAGGCACTCGCAGCGGCCTTACCGTGGACATTTACACAAACCCGACGAGCTACACGGTATGACGTTGTTCATGCACGCGGTGTTAGGACGTCCTGACAAGTACATGATATATTCCAGGTTCCCGGACCCGCTCCGTTCACCGGATAGGCACGTCATTATATTGGAGTTACTCCTATCAGGACAGCCTATGCATGTAGTTGGAGTAGCAGGGTCGTTCGCCGTTGTGATACAGATACCGTTTTGCAGGATGAATATCTCGATGTGTTCTGAATGTCCCGAGTGGTGTCGTATTTGGGACTTCAAACAGGGATGTCTGTCTCTACGACGCAGAAGAGAGGGCAGAACATGCCTGGCTTGCATCTGTGCAATATTGCTCGTGAGGATTGGAGATAACCACTTCATGGACAGTACTCACACAGGGCACGAGATAACAGGCACCACAGTCGTGGTCGGAGTTGGTGTAGAGACCACAGCATCGGTGATAGCCTTACAGTTGGCTGGGCAAGCTTCATGAAGTTTGCATCTGCAGTATGTATCAGTACTAAAAATCGTGTTCAAGCAGAAGAACTACGTACGGCGCACATTGACGCTCTTCCAGATACTCCAATGTTGGGGCTGATCTGGGGGTGCGGGTAATTCAAACCATGTAAGTACCCTCCGTGACAAAGTTTGAAAGTGCACACAAACCGGCCCAAGGAAGACACGAGGAGGATGAGGATGGCTGATCTCAACATTGAAGAAGCGCTTTCGGATGGTTCTCAAGGGAACAGTGCCCGACGGGGGCCCGTTTATAAGATACCTTATTTGTATTCGTTTCAGCAATCATACTACGCACATCAGCGGTGAGATGGCATGCGAAAGTCGGTTTGACAATACGCAGCTATTTGTCGACTTCAGACGTTCCGGTGTATGCGGGTTGTCTCATTGCGCTGAGACATCAGGCTAGACCGCGGGAAGAGGCTATGAATCGGAGCTGCTGCCGGGCGGGGAACCATTGACCGATTGACCGACCTGGAGTACCCTCGCGAGTGGTTGTCGTTTCTCGCTTTGGGATAAGCGATCAAATGAGGGGAACGCCGAGACCTGGTTTCCGCCTGTTTTCTGGTCAAATATTAGTAACACATTTGACCTAGATACCTGGCTCGCAAACCGGAGAAATCTAAGAATAGCAAAACCATTGCTGCGAATGCGATCTGTGTGTCGATAATACACACGACAACTGCCGCAGTAATTTCGTACTAATAGATATCCGATGCCGGGTTTGGGTTTCCCTGGTAGAGTATAACATCGCATGCTAACGTAAAGCAGCTCTTAAATTCGTGGAAGACTGTGCTTTGTCTGAACTCCTGAAAAACTGTTATCACTACCATACGGCAAGTCTTCATATGAAATGGTCTTTCCGGCTTTGACTTCCACCATGATACAACAGTTGTCGACGTTCAAACTGCCGGCTGTGCCTGAAAGTTAGGTGATTGGGTGCGACAAGCAGCGCGGTAGACAATCATCGTCTGGAATCTAACACCTCAATGTGGAAGATGAGTGGATACTCGCCCAGAATATGGAAGCCTGAACCGCTTGCTCTGGCATGCATGCTCCGGCCGACAGCGCATGGAGCCTGAGCAGTTTGTTGAGCGTAAGAGTCAAACGCAAAACAGCTGTCATGAAATCCGATCGGGCCAACGACGACGTGAAATCAGCACTACATTGTTCTGATTTAACACATGAGGTTTGAAGTGACGCACTGCTCTGATGGTGACTATTCTATGGCCTGCTATTAAACGGCCGGCTGTAAGGCCGAGTTATTGTGTAGTCGAAGTAACTGTTATGCCACTCTCGCGTTAAGCCTGATTTGAGAGAATAACAGGGACCTTGGTTTAGTCTGGTATAGTGAAGAGCACGGGACACTGCGTTTCAGTTGTATATTGAACTTTTTTCAACTCATCAAACCACGGCCAATTTCGTCGCGTCACTGTCCAAGCCTCTGCACCGCCTTAGCACACACAATACTACTGGTAGCTTTAGTGGAGCTAACGCCGTCTATTACTAACCGGCCTCATGCTAAAGTATAGGCTCGATGGGTCGACAAAACTATGGGCAAATCCGTCCTGCAACACAGCTGAGGGCATCTATCAGTTTATTGATTCATCGAGAAACGCGGTCAACGTACGGCGAGCACCCGCCTACTGTTGCTTTATAGGAAGAACAGTGGTCGTAGGAGGAAGAATGCAGCCTGGTATGCATTCGCCAGCCGGAGTTTGACACCTAAGATAGGTATGATAAGGCTTGTGATCAGGACAAGTTATTCCTGTCGAGAAATATCAATACCGCTGCTCACTCTGTGGGGCAAGACCCGGTGGGGGAAATTATCCCTGCATGCAACCTGTCGATAGCACTCGTATTAGACGCGGACCAGTGGGTGCCTGTTCAACCATCCAACATACGATGTGACGAAGCTGGCTATGGCGACAAATACGGTGAATCGCTTCATTTTGCGCGCCGGAGAGGATCAGGTTCTGGTTTCAACTGGTGCGCTTTTTTGTGATTTATATCGGTACCACGAGTGAGCTAATTTTAAACTCCTCCGAGCAGTTTGCTATCTCGGTTGTCAACTACCGACATCTTTCTCGTGTCATCCAGATTGCAGAAGCCCTAAACGTGCCTGAGTGCGTCCCACATCAGTCTTCGGCGGCCCGGAAATATACAGGTCGCGGCATTGACGATCATCAACTCATTGACACCCGGCCGAGGGCGCTTCAGCGCCGAATTTCGGCCATGAGATACTATCATTCCCACACTTGCTGGACACCCGGGGATTCTGGACACTCGAATCTTTTGCGTCCTCCCGTAGGATTCCTGAGCTCAAACTGGTGTAGATATGTTGTATCACACCTGATCTACTGTGCCGCGTTGAGAGCACGGAAATCAGTTGGGGAAAAGTAGCACGGTGAGCCTGGCAAGTCCCAGAATCATGCTACGCCGCCGGTAATCACACTGTTCCTGCTTTTGTAACTATGCCTTGTACATATTACCTCTCAGAGTACATTGCTTGATGTATCAGTGAGTGCAGACTGCAATAAAATTGGAGGTTAGGGTGTTTCCGGGACAGAAAGCCGGGTCTCAAGACATGCGCGGGAGCAGACAGGACGTGCATTCCTTCATCGTGTTTCTCCCGCCGACTTCGGAGAACCCGTCGCTCTCATGGGTTCCCAACCACAGCAGTCTCGTTCCCAGCCCCTGACGCCAAGAACACGTCTTCGTATTGCCGTCACCGAAGTACAACAAGGCATACGAGGTGTCCGTGCTGCATCCCGCCTGTACGACGTGCCTCGCAGCACCATCAGTGCACGCGCTCAAGGACTACACCAAGACCGCGTTACGGCCCATCAAGGCCAAATGACGTTGACAGAAGCACAGGAGGAAGTGCTAGCTGACTGGTGTCAGTATCTCGCACTGACTGCGCATCCTCTCACACGCCGCACAATTGCACCCAAGGTCAAGGCCCTCTCTGGTCGCAACATTGGGAAAGATTGGGTGTACGCCTTTCTCCGACGTCACCCCGAGCTCACAACTTCGAAGACAGCTGGATTGGACCCCAGCCGGGCCCGCGCCTTCAATCACCTGAACGTCACCGACTACTTCATGAAACTCACCAAGATCATTGAAGAGTACGACATCCCCTGGGAGAACATCTGGAATATGGACGAGAAGGGGTTTCAGATGGGCGGAGGGAGAAAGAACCGGGGAATAAAGTACATTGTATCCCGTCATGCGCGGGCTCGATATCGTCAGTCCAATGCCAACCTTGAGTTGGTCACAGTCATCGAGGCCATCTGTGCAAATGGACTGATGATGCCACCTGGAATAATATTCCAAGGCCGTCGTCTACGAAAGTCATGGTATCCGCAGGATGGTACTGAGGTTTGGTATGTGATGTTATGCTGATCAGCCTATCACCAAGTCAATTGAAGCCATTACAGCATTAGTGTCTCGCCGAATGGATGGACAGATGACCATCTTGGCCTTGAGTGGTTCAAGAAGGTCTTTGTCCCATTTGCGCAGGCCCATAATCCGTCAGGAAAGAAGATTCTTGTCATTTGGGATGGGCACGGCTCACATGAGACACATGCAATCTGCGAGTATGCATACCAGCACGGAATTCTGTTATTCTGTCTTCCTTCAAAGACAACGCACAAACTTCAGCCCTTGGATGTAGGTCTTTTTGGACCACTTCAGCGCGAATGGGCCAATACATGCGACGACATGGCCGCCGTTGGCATATCAGTCACGAAAGATAACTTCGTCGAGACCTACCTCCGAGTTCGCGGACACACACTCAAGCACGAGACTATTCTTGCAGCATTCAAGAAAACTGGTATCCGTCCTTTGGATCAATCAGTATTTACAGTACAAGACTATGCCCCAAGCTGGGCAACATCCATCCGGCCACACTTCCCATCATCATATCCATATGTGCCGTCAGACGAAGGCGAAGACGAAGATGTTGACGAAAACGAAGATTCCGATCTTGACGAAGACGAAGATGAGGACCTCAATGCAGCTCCCGACATCGGTGTCGATGAAGCGACCGGCATTGGTGTCGATGCAGCTCCCAGTGTCGGTGTCGATGAAGCGGCCGGTGTCGGTGTCGATGAAGCGGCCGGTGTCGGGGTCGATGAGGCGGCAGGCGTCGGGGTCGATGAGGCGGCAGGCGATACTGACATGGATGGCTTGGGGGAGTCCGGAGCTTTGTTGCAAAGGCCGTCGCGAGTTGCAACGCGGTCTGTCACCCGTACGCGAAGTCTCTCAGCCTGGTCATCACGAGTAGACCTCTGGAAAGAGATTGAGCGGCTCCGAGAGGAACGAGACTCACAGCGAGTACGTGCGGAGAAAGCCGAATGCCATGCAATTTTGATGGGGCAGGAGAACTTGCAGCTTCGACGGCAATTGGAGGAACGGCGGACAAAGCGGGGGCGGAAGAGAGGCAGAGAGCTGAAGACACAGGCACGCTGCCTGACGACCGAGGAGGCAATGCAGGCGATCCGAGCTGAAGAAGAAGAGCAGAGAGATCAGCATGAAGAATTGGAAAGGAGACGAGCTGAGCGGGAGGCAAACAAAGCAAGACGAGAGGAAGAGAAAAGACGGAAGAAAGAGGCGGCAATGCAACGGAAAACTCAGCAGGCCATCAATAGGATGGCCAGAGATGCTGAAAAACGACGAAAGGCCGAAGAACGGGCGATGAAGAAGGCGGAGAAGGCTTTGAAGAGCACATCCCGACGACAGGACAGGATGAAAAGGCTGAAGCGCCGACTGGAGGAAATGGATAAGGAGAACTCACCTAGTTTTGATTCTTCCATAGATCCGAGGCTGCGTAGTGGTAGCGACGAGCTTGGGGTAGCCAGAGCCCTCCTGGACTTGGGCAAGTAAATTTCGGGGTAATGAGGGTTATGCTGCCTCAGGAACCCATGAATTCATCGCAAAGTCGGCAGGATAGCGTGTTGGGAATGTTGTAATGTTGATATTTTGCATACATATGGTATATCGCGTCGCAGTTGTCCGGTCGTCATCGCTGGTCGTCGAGGCGAAGGCGCGGGAGCCGTGGGAAACATGTCCAGCATCTGGCGAACTGTTGATTTCCTGACATGCTCTCGCGCTCCTCGTTTCATGAGACCAAGAGCTCGCATAACATCCAAATTTTTATTGTATACTACAGACAAGACTCCGTGCTATCAGACAAAAAAAGAATGAAGGTGAACGGGTAGACGGAACGTGTGCAATCGTGCACTTAAGCTTAAGTGTCCAGGATCTATCGGCATGATAGTATGCCAGGAACCATGACATTCAAAACTCATGGGATTTCACGTATTGATGATACATTTGCGAAAGGTTTCGTAAGCGCGCTTAGCAAATTTCCGGGCATACATGCTTCGTACATCTGCGAGTGGCTGAATAGTCAAACACAGAGTATGCAGCGGTCGTGACGTACGTGAAATCGCACTGGCGGGGCTTTGGAGCACCGGCGTTCGCGAGGGGCGCCGCCGTGATCACAGGTTCAGGGACTGGGTTTGCTGCTACCCTACACACATAATTCTCTCAGCACACACATTCGAAGCCGGAGAGGCGGACGCACGCAAGGACCAAAGCCGCCATGGCGATCAGACTCGTAAGCTTGGACATGTCGCTTGTTTGACAACTTCGACGGGCCGTGATGAAGGCGTGAGCGAGCGATGCCAACGCATACCACCGGATCCTTATATGCTACGTACGACATCTGAGAATGAATGACTTCCGGCTCGCCGTATGGAATAAACAATGATCGCGCAGTTCAGGCATGCATGCGCCATCAGGTCGCAGTGCGGTATCCCAGGAGAGCGTGAGCGGATCCATGCATGCCGGGCTTTGACTCTGAGATCCGCAGAAGATGCATCGCATTTTGTCGCAAGGGGTGAAAATGATAGTCGGCACGATTTGCATTGAGGCGCGGTTGCGCCCGGAAGCGGGAAGCGACTATGGAGAAGACGATAATAGGCACGGGCGCGGCGACTTTTGGCCGTGCGTTATTGTACCATCCTGTAGCAGGGCTCGTGGAGGTGTTACTCTAGCAACGCCGCTCACTCCTCATTCAACACTACGGGAAATGTGCGATACGGAGGCTCGTCACAATGCTCACAGCGCCACCGTACAATACTGGGGGCATATGCGAGCCGTACAGCTATAGATACACGGCGTGAGTCCGTGCGACTCCAATGGCATAACAAATGAGCACGTACTTGTTGCACGGTAGCTCGCGCTCGTCCAAGATGACGGTCGCAGTGGGCGTGATGACCGGTGGTGCCGTTGTGGACGCGGTAGGGGGCAGAGTAATCGGACCGATAATGCAATAGTCGGGGCACACGAAGCCAGGTGTGCATCTGTGTGCTGATGGATGAGGCATACAACGCAAACAGCCTTGGAGTAGTCTTTACTTAGCGCAATCCCGCTTCTCAGGGTGAGCCAACGCGCTGAACATGGTGTGAGACATTCTCCGAGACATAACGGTGTACGGAACAAGGACGTACGCAATGACGAGGGCGGCGAGAGTGATCAAAGTCGTGAGCTTGAGCATGTCGTGCAACGTTCCTGTGTAAGGCTGGAAAACGGCTTTGGCACAGTGGACGCCCACGTCCCGTATATATTTATACTCGCACGCGTTCGCTTGCATGCTGTCGAGGATTTGGACTATTATTGGACAATAAGCGCGCAGTTCAGGCACCCCCCATCTAACACCAATGTGTCTCCGGCTTGGAGGACCTGTCCATCAGCCAGCGCGAAATGGACGCAATTGTCGAGATGACTCCGTATCAAACCCACAGAACGCGCCCGTTCATGGCAGACTCTTCATCAGATACGGCGCGCAATCCTGTGTAGAGCGAAAGGACCGTGAGACGGTTCCGGGCCCTGGAAAGCACCTTCGTTAGACGCGTGGGAGGAAAAACTGCAGAGAAAGAACTGAGCATACGATTTCTAGCCCGGCGCTCGGCCTCTTGAAAAAGCGATATTTCGAGCAAGTTCAGCTGAAGCTTGACGCGCCGCGAAAGGTTGGCGATCAGGGCACGCGGGATGAAACAGATCTTATCATCCGCTTTTGATCCGTGCCCCTTGTTGGTTCCCTCGCTGTCCACGTTAGACTGAGAACCATGAGAACAGATCAGTCGTCCGGAGGTTTATCATCATTTATTAAAAGATCAAGCGAGCCCCTTGGTTCCAAAAATAGTACTTCGGGCCGCATCCAGAGTAAGTACTTGCTCGGGGAACGCGACAAACAAGTCATGGTACTCGCTCGGGAGGAACGCTCGTTATAATCCAGCGTTACTGCCTGAATGTCCTAGCATACAGAGCGAGCGCCCGTCAAGCATTGGTGCTCGTCGCCGACGCCGAGCAGAGGAACGTGCACGTTGGGAAGATCGTCTTCGTGGTGCAGCTCGTCGAATGCGCGGCAGCGTCAACGGAGCATGATTCGGTCGTGGTGGGCGCGGTGTTACAGCTGAAGATGTCGAAGGCGTCGTCAGCAGAAGTGATGCTAAGGAAACGAGCAAAGGACCACAGCTTACGGGGGACATGTGACGGTTGGACTGGCGCTGGGCGCGGTGGTGAGGTCCGGAGCGTCCACAGCATAGGCGGTTCTGCGAAGGTCTAGTTGAGTCCAGCGCAGGGGAAGCGTATGAGGATAATAGCGCACAGAACGGCCGTGCCAAGGAGGACAGTGTACAGAAGCTTGAACATGGTATACGTTCGATAGTCGAAGGAACGACTGAGTAGAGGCTTATCTTCTGTATGCGTGAATATTGGCTGGATGAGGCTGTAGCTGTCATATTCAAGCATGAGAAACGCGCGTCCGTAGTGCCGAGATCACGATGTCCATTTTATATATGGGTGTGCGTCCACCGGGTACAGTAGCATAAGGTCCGTTCCAATGTAGGAGCAATTGGTCTAGCGCTGAATCGGCGATCTTCAGTTCCGGGCTTGAATCGTATCAGTTCACAGATTGTGGATCGTACGAGACTCGGTACGAAGTCTTGAAGCGCCTCTTCCCGAATATTGAGATCGGCAAGCATTCAACGTAGGTAACATTTCATCCGTGCTCTAGCCCCATTGATCGCAGAAATAGCCAAGGTTGGTCGAAGCAGGATATGTTCAGGAGCTCCGAGTCCTCGTTGGCGAACTGAACAAGCTGCCTCCCACAGGAATCTTGCTGGCGTTCCTCCCGTTCCAGCTGACATCCACGACCACGACGTGACGGAGATCTCCAGTGCGTCGAGGATCCTCGTGTATGCAGATGGCCGTCGCGATACACGCTCCAACAACGAGGACAGACCGGTGGTCGCCCGGTGAGGAAGTCGCGAGAAGGCAGTCGAAGGTGGTGGAAAGATTTCGAGTTTGCGGTGCAAAACGCGCCGTTGCCTCTCAAATTTGGGCCAAGTCCTGATCACATCCCCTCCCTCTCCGCACACCTCCCTCATCCCAGATCTAAGCCATGGCCGTTGTAGGAGTCGACTTTGGTACTTTGCATAGCAAGGTACGTCGCGATGTCGAGGATACGAGCAAGATCGTAAAGCTGATTTACATTTCATAGATCGGTGTCGCAAGACATCGTGGTATCGACATAATCACCAATGAAACCTCAAATCGCCAAACACCGTGCGTATAGCCGCGTCTTCAGGACTGGGACGTAAACTGATCGCAACACCTACAGTTCGTTGGTTGCTTTTGGCCCCAAGCAGCGCGCCTTAGGCGAAGCCGCGAAGACGCAAGAGACGTCAAACTTCAAAAACACCGTAGGCTCGCTCAAGCGCCTGATTGGCCGGACGTTGAACGACCCCGAAGTGCAAGAATACGAGAAGAAATTCTTGAATGCCAAGCTCGTCGATGTGAATGGCACGGTCGGTGTGCAGGTGCGTAATGCGTCCAGTCCATACCTCGTTCCGGGCTGACCTTGTTTCCTCCTAGGTCAACTATGTTGGCGAGCCGCACACGTTCTCAGCAACGCAACTCACCGCCATGTACCTCAATAAGCTCAAGGATATCGCGTCCGTGGAGCTCAAGACGGGCGTGTCCGACATCGTCATTGCCGTCCCCGGCTGGTTCACTGAGATCCAGCGCCGGGCGATGCTTGACGCGGCGGCGATCGCGGGCCTTAACTGCCTTCGGCTGATCAACGACTACGCCGCCGTCGCGCTCGGGTACGGTATCACGAAGGCGGACCTGCCCGAGCCCGAGAATCCGCGGCACGTCGTGTTCGTAGACGTCGGCCACTCGTCGCTCTCCGCCTCCGTCGTCGCCTTCTCCAAGGGCCAACTCGTCGTTAAGGGCACCGGCTTCGACGCCCACCTCGGCGGGCGCGAGATCGACTACGCGCTCGTGCGCCACTTCTCGGAGGAGTTCAAGACCAAGTACAAGATCGACGTCATGTCGAATCCGAAGGCGACGTTCCGCCTTCAGGCCTCGTGCGAGAAACTGAAGAAGATCCTTTCCGCCAATTCGGAAGCGCCGCTCAACGTCGAGTCGATCATGAACGACATTGACGCCACCTCCAAGCTCACCCGGGAGGAGTACGAGGCGCTCATCGGCGAGCTCCTCGACCGCATCCCGGCCCCGATCCAGGCCGCGCTCGACCAGGCCGGTCTCAAGCTCGACGACGTGCACTCGATCGAGCTCATCGGCGGCTCGACCCGCATCCCCGCCGTGCGCGCCAAGATCCAGAGCGTGTTCCCGGGAAAGACGCTCTCGACAACGCTCAACCAGGACGAGGCCGTCGCGCGCGGCGCCACGTTCTCGTGCGCGATGCTCTCCCCCGTCTTCCGCGTGCGCGACTTTGCGATCACCGACATCGCGAACTACTCCGTCAAGATCCAGTGGGAGAAGCAGCCCGGCGACCAGGACGAGGACACCGAGCTCACCGTCTTCGCGCGCGGGCAGACGATCCCGAGCACGAAGGTGCTCACCTTCTACCGTAGTGGACCGTTCGACCTTCAGGCCGTCTACGCCGAGCCCGCAACCCTACCTGGAGGCATCAACCCGTGGATCGGTCAGTTCACGGCGAAGAACCTTGGCCCTGAGCCACCCAAGGACTCTGTCCCGGTTAAGGTCCGCGTGCGCTTGGACAACGATGGCCTCGTCTCGTTCCAGAGCGCGTACCTTGAGGAGCGCACGGAGGTCGAGGAGACGCCGATGGAGGTCGACGGCGAGGGCAACCAGCAGCCGCCGAAGAAGAAGACGAAGGTGACGAAGAAGGACATCCCCATCGTCTCCCAGAACTCGTCGCTGGACAAGAGTATCCTCGACAGCCTAAGGGAGCTCGAGGGTCAGATGCACGAAGCCGACAAGCTCGTCAAGGACACTGAGGTACGTGGCTTGTAGCAGCTTATCGGGAGATATCGTTACTCATGCTCGCATGCAGGATTGCAAGAACGCGCTCGAGGAGTACATCTATGACACCCGCAGCAAGCTCGACGACCGGTACGCCGCCTACGTGCAGCCGCAGGAGAAGGAGGCAATCCTCCCCGCCCTCACTGAGGCCGAGGACTGGCTGTACAGTGAGGAGGGTGAGGACGCGACCAAGTCGGTCTACGTCGAGCGCCTCAACAAGCTCAAGGCGCTCGGCGACCCCGTCGCGGCTCGCTATCGTGAGGCCGAGGCGCGCCCGTCCGCGATCAGCGCGCTCCGAGACACGATCAACACCTACATGAACCAAGCCTCGTCCGGCGATGAAAAGTTCTCGCACATCGAGGAGAAGCACAAGCAGACGGTGATCGAGAAGTGTGCGACGGTGCAGAAGTGGCTCGAGGACAACATCGTCCGCCAGTCGGAGAGGCCGAAGAACGTGAACCCCGTCCTGACAGCAGCAGAGATCTCGAAGAAGCGCGACGAGGTCATCAACGTCGCCATCCCCATTCTCACCAAGCCCAAGCCCAAGCCAAAGGTTGAGCCGACGACCGGTACCGAGACGCCCAAGCAGCCTGAACCAGAGGCGAAGCAGGAGGCGCCCAAGAACGACGGCCCGTCGGAGATGGACATCGACTAAGCTTCGGGTTGTCTCCACACACCTTACTCTCCTCTTGATGACGTGACGTGGTTCGTGTTAGAGTAGATTCAGCTGTAGAAACACCCGATCTTCCTCTCGCTCTCAATGGACCGAGGAACAAACATACAACTTGTACAGCATAATGCATATATTTTTGTTTGCTCAGCATGGTATCAAACACTGCCTCGTACATACAGGGTGCCGTTGTTACAGAACCAACAATTTGGGAGGAGGGACATGAAGGCACTTGTATAACCAAAAAATCCGATCACAAGATGGTTCTGTCGTACATTGATCGCAGGCAAGATCTGGGGCAATGATCAGTAAGACTTCCGATGCGAGGAGAGCGATGCTGGCCTACAGGTCAAGATTGTTGTTCAACGGGACGATGGAGGAGGGTATCTCCGATCATCTCTTAAAGGCGGGCGGTCATAGGTATCCCGACCATACACCGGTGGTGGCAGCGGCGAACGCGGGCGCACCACGTCAGGACGCCGATCATAAGTCGAAGAAGTGCTGTATCCCGCTCTGTCCACGGGCCCATCTCGAGCAGGAGGCGGGTAGTCCCTCGAGTCCCGCGGGCCGGGCACGTACGGTGCGGGCGGCCGATCGTAGTACCCGCCAAGGGGAGAGGCCGCTCTGCGGGGCGGCGGCGGAGGGTAGGACGCCGAGAGCGGGACGGAGTCGCGGCGCGGAGGCGGGTAGTACGGATCCGGGTATGGGTCGTCGCGCATGCGCTTGGCGGGCGGGCGGAGGTCGTCCGCCGAGGGCGTGCGGCGGAGAGGACTTGGGCTGCGCGGACGCACGCGCGAGTATGCTGGCGGGGGAGGTGGCGCGGGATCGGGATAGCGCCGCGGCTCGAGGTCGCGCGGAGGGTATGAGCCGCGTGCGCGGTCGTCCGCCGGGTAAGGGTCCGCCAGGCGCGAGGCCATCGGGTACGCGGCACCGTCATAGGATCGGTGCGAGGGCACGGGTGACGCCGCGCGCCGGTCGTGTTCTTCTTTCGTCTCCCATCCGTTGCTGAGCCGGTGCGCGTCGCGGGAGTAGTATCGCGGCTCCCTGTCGGGAAGCGCAGCTGGCGGAGGAGGAGGCCGGTCGCGATCCCAGTTGTCACGCGCGTCCCACGTCCTTCCTCGAGGTGGAGGATCCGCCCTGAAAGGCGGCTTGTCGTCGTAGTAATCCCGTCGGGCGTCGTAACGCGGGTCGGCGGAGGCGGGGGGATACGCAACGTCGGCGGGGCGATCGTAGAGCCTTGGGGTGGGGTCTCTCCCGCGGTCGTCGATGGGAGGGCGCGAAGCGGGAAGGGGCGGCTCCGGACCTCTCCGCAGGGGTCGATCGACGTCCATGTCGTCTGGCCTCCTGTCATCGTACGGGCGAGGAGGAGGAGGGCGATAGTTCCGGTCCAGGTCATCCCGTGGGTCGCGCGAGTACCTGTAGTCGCCCGGGCGGGAAACAGGTGAAAGGGGCAGCTTCGGCGGGAAGGGGCGATGGTCCTCGCGCGCTAGCGACGCGGCGCGTGGCGGCAGTCCCGAACCACCACCATAGCTGGCGCCTTCGGGAGGGAGCGCACGTCCGTGAGCAGGGGGCGGCGTGCGGTACCCGTCCCGTCGAACACGCTCGTCCAGAGAGGAACGCGGCGGAGAGTGGCGACGCGCTGCTTCGGCCAACAGCTTGCTCGGCGAATCGTCGATCGGCTCGATTTTCGGGCGTCGGTCTGGCAGCGGCGCAGTCTGCCGTGGCGGCTGAGCATCACGAGGAGGAGGAGGCGGTTGCGCCGGGCCAGGCCGCGTGGGCCTTTCGTTCGCGTCTGGAGGCTTTGGGTTGGAAAGACGGTCCAGAAGTGGTGGGCCTGTCGGGCGAGGAGGTCCAGGGTTGCTGAGACGGTCTTGAAGAGGTGTGGTAGACGACGCAGAAGCCGGTATTGGGGGACGTAGGCGGTCACCTAGTGGACGAGGCTGGTTGCGGGGAGGAGACGGTGCGCGCGGAGGAGGCTGGGTCGATCTAGGCTCCAAAACAGGAGGGGCCCGGGAGTCGTTCGCGGAAATGTTACCTGATGTTTGGCGAGACGGAGGCCCGCGATCATCCACGGGAGCAGAAGCAGGCGGAGGTCGACGGTCATCCAGAGCTGTAGCAGAACCAGGCACGGGTCGGCGATCATCGAAAGAGTTAGAGACAGACAACTGGCGGCGTTCCGGCGGAGGTGGGAGAGGGCCACGCGCAGAACCTTTTGGAGACGGCGGCACCGGCGCGCGCTCACGTTCACGTTCACGATCGATGGGCAGCTGTCGGGGGCTAGCAGGGAGCGGGCCACGACCTCTAGTGTCTCTGTCAACCTCATGTTTTCCTGGGGAAGGCGGGACGCGACGATCATCCACGTTCGAGTCAATTCTTGGCCGAGACACATCCCTATCCGCCCCGAAAGGCGGGCGAGCATCGAGCGAAGCGCGAGAACGAGAATCTGGAGGAGGCATACCGCGATCATCCCTTGGATCCTGAGGGCGAGACGTTCCTGATCCCTGGGGCGGAGGTAGCGGAGCCCGGTAGTCCCTATCGCGATCATTCACGCTCGTGTTGGTACTTGCAGAGAGTGGCCTACTGGACGAGGCAGACGACAGTGGAGTAGGATCCGCACGCCTGTCGGGTGCAGAGGGCGGGTATGGATCACGTCTGTCCACGTTCATGAGGTCGTCTTGCGATCTACTAGGCTCCAAACGCCGTGCGAGCGGCGGCGGGGGCGGGCGGCGCGATCGATCGTCGGCGCGTTCCCAAGGCGCGTCTTTGTCGTGATAGTATATCCCTCGGTCTTTGTCTCTGTCCAGATCACGTTCTCTCTCAAATGTGCTTGACCGCGGAACATCGCGCGGGTCTGTGAGACGAGCAGCCGGTTCAGGTCCGGATGCGCCTCGGGGAGGATCAAAGCGCCCGCGACGGTCGTCCACAGGAGGAAGCGGCCCAGGTCGATCGCCAGCGGACGACCAAGCCGAGTCTCTGCCATCGCGCGAAAAGCGGGAGGGCTCATCTCTCTCCCTGTCCCGGTCCCTATCCTTGTCTTGATCTCTGTCTCGAGCGTCTAGCTTTGAGGGGCTATTACCAGGTCCGGGGCGACGCAGCGTTGGAGAGGACATGGTCATATCAGTAGCAGGTCTGTCACGGTCACGGTCACGGTCAGCGTCAGGACGAGAGCCGGTTGAGTCAAAGGTGGGCCTAGTGCGGCCCCCTGACGGTGCCTGGCTAGCAGTGGAGCCAGTGCGAGATCTTTGAAAAGGAAGAGGGTCACGAGCAGAGGAAGAAGTAGAGGAGCCATAAGGAGTGCCGGCGGGGTCGGTCAAGCTGCCGTTGCGGGAGAGAGGCTGTTGTTGTTGCTGTTGACCAGAGCAATTCAATTTTTCCTGGGCATCAGAACGCCGTCTTGGAGTGGCCTGTGAGTCCTGAGGAGGTGACACATCGTCAGCTTTAGTCTACGGCTATAAGGGAATGAGGGAGGGGGGAGGGGGAAAAGGGGGAAGACGCACATTGTTCGAGGTCACCGAGCCAGTCGAGTTCTGAGGTGCAAGCTTTCGAGTACCAGAAACGTCTTTAGCATCCTTGTCATCTCCAGGTCCGGAACGACGGCCGCCATCTGACGAAGTGATAGAGACAGTTGACGCAAGGGAGCCTTCCGGACGCAGAGGAGCACGACGGAAATGCGAGGCGCCACCGTTGTTGTTCCCGTTCCCGTTGCTGGCACCCGTATGCATCGAGGAAGAAAGCGGTCTGTCCCTATCGTCAGGTATCTGTTCGGGGTGGGGTGGTACGTGAGCCGCTCCTGGGATAGACGCTGACGGAGGCTTGCGCGGCCCCAGCCAGACGCCCGCGAGGTGATCAGGCTGCGGTACGGGTTGAAAGAACTCGTGTTGGCCGTTCTTGATGACCGCCTTGAGATTCTCGAGCCTTTCCAGGTCGTTCATTTGCTGCTGCTGTTGGTGCTGTCCGTGGGGGTTCTTCGAGGGAGGATAGTGTTGTTGCTGCTGTTGTTGTTGCTGGGTGATCTGGGGCGAGAAGTAGGGCTGGGGCTGGGACGCAGCGAATGAATTGGGATGCATAGGCTGGTGCTGGTTGAACCCTCCACCACCGCCGGGACCAGAGCCTCCGGCTTGGTAGGACCCGAACGGCGCATACGCCGGCGCCATACCGAAGCCGCCGCCCACGAATCCACCCGCGCCGGGGACGCCGGTGTTGTTGTTGCCGAACGGCTGGTGAGGGTGAGGGTGGAAGTGGGACGCGGGCTCCTCGGTCGTCGTCGGGACGAGGAAGGGCGTGTCGGGGTCGGCGGCGAGCGTCGTCACCGTGCGATCGCGCTGGACTGGGCGGCGCTTTTTGGCTCCCGACTTTTGGCGCCCGGACATCCCGCGGGGCTTGGCCTGGCTGATGAGGATAGTCTGTGGGCGGTCTTATGCGCTGGTGGACGGTTGTTGGTAGTTTGTTTGGACCGGGCTGAACCTTGAGGTCCGCTAATCGATCGTTCCCACAAGCCCGCGCGCGAGGCTGAGGCGGGTCAACGACGGAGAAAATGCAAGAGGAGGGCACGCAAGAGACGGGACGAAGGAACGCAAAGGCGGGTGAGGGTCACGCAGTGTCAGTGTAAGTATACTTGTACCCTCACGCAAAATTAAGCCGAGCGGTCGTAGAGAGAAGTAGAGCCCGAAGGACCGAGATCCGGTACACCGATAACGCTTTCACAGCAAACCGGGAATTACAGGGTTCTAGTGGTTCTGCATTCTGCCTGACGCAAAGAGCGAACCAAATCAGTTTTGCAGGGACTTATAAGCGATGGCGCATCCATTCATAGAATAAGGCGGTGACCCTACAAGGGGAAAGGTGGTACAGGATAGTACGGGACGGAGGGAGTCTTCGACGATACAATGCTTAGTTGGGGTCAGTAGAAAAACGAGGCAACTTCAGTCCGGAGTCAGTAACGCTAAGGATGAGTACGGAATGAGGGAGCAATCAATGAGGGGAAGACGCTAACTCGGGCGAGCAGTAGGCGGTGGCAGGCTTGAAGCAGACAAAAGTCCGCTTTCAGGCCTTCGAGTCCACGAGCTGAACTTGGCCCTTCTCGTCCGAGTCCGTGTATTGCGGCGGCGGAACAGCGATCTCTTCCGCATCCGGGAGGGCGTGTTCGAATACGAGAGTGTATTCAACCTCGTCGTCTTCAGAGTGCGAGCGGCCGCCCTTGAACATGCGAGCGGTGACGATGAGCATGACCCACACCATGCGAAGCAGAACGCCGATGCCGCAACCTACACGACAAGTTGCGTCAGTTAAAATTCAGAAGAATGCTGCGTTCAGATACGAACCGAGGACAAAGGCGACTGCGCGTCCCTCCCAAGGCCCGAGCGTGATCAGCGCCTGATGCACCCTCGTCGCAAACGTCTCCTCCCCACTCCTGTCTGCCGAATACTTCTTCATCTCGACGATCTTGTCGTCCACGTCGATGGGCGCAACGGGTTTGTATATAGCGTACCCGCCGTGAGCCTTCCCGAACGCCTCCTTCCCAGTCTGAATCAGCGGCATGCCGAGCAACTTCCTGAACGAGTTGGAGATCTCGATCGCCTTGGCCTTGGCCTGAGCGCTCTTCGCGTGCATAGCGCAATGCTTTCCCTTGGGCGACGACCCGGTACTGTTCACGTTGTAGATCGGGGGAGCGGAGGAGGAGGCGACGACGGCGCCCATGACGGCGGGTTCGATACGCTGGGGGGGCATCGCGTGCGCGGCGGCATGTCCAAGGCGAAGCAGACCGGCGCCTTTGGTGCTGATAAGCTCCTCGTGCGACTCGACCATGATCACACGAATAGGGCTCGCGTTGACATTGTTCATAGCTACCGCGCAAAAAAAAAACACAACGATCAGCATCATTATCGCGGTACTCCACCGCCTATCTCGAGACGAGCCACTCACCGAGGAAAGCGCCCGCCAACAACACATAGCTTGCAGACAGTTTCATGAGGATATTAGGAGATATAAGATGTGAGTGAAGTACGAGCAGAGAGCAGAGAACGAGAAGGGGGAAGGATGATGGTGGATGACTGAAACTGAGACTATGCGGGGGCCGTGGCGCGAGCAGCGGGGCCAAGGGCTGGTAAGCAGCACTGCCACGCGGAAGATGCCGAATGTGGCGGAGGTTTTCGGGTTCCCCGTTCGCTTCGTTCTCTTATTCGTGAGTAGTTTCATGCTATGTGGACGGGCGCGCAAAAGACAGAACACGGAGATAGCTTGGTGACTTGGACTAGAAGATGACTTGCGACCCGCGATGCGGCGCTGCTGGCGCTGTGCCTGTGCTGTACGAAGCGGTGCCTTGCGTCTCGCCGCCGTCATCTTCTGCCACCCGTACTGCTCGTTAACTATATTATTGTCACACAGGGCTACCGTGCGGTCCGTGGTACAAGGATCTGACTCATTCTGAAGTGAACGACAAGTGCGCTCTCATCCTGAATAAAGCCTGCTAGGTTCCTTGCGATTCATATCGGCACCCCAGCCTGTAGGGTCGTCGTCGATCAGGGTCGCACCGTCATTGACCCCAGAAATCTTGCTGATGGTGCTCGAGCATCTGGTTTTTAATATGTCGCCGTCGTTCACCGCTGTGAACCGGATGCACGGCTACAACGGTTGGCCAATCTTTCGATATCGGGGCGGCCGCGGGCGTTCGGTGAAGTGTGTAGGCTATGTGCCGCACTCGCGTAGCCCTTTCTCTTTCGCCATGCAGTCCTGCGCAAGCGCAGGCATGTGCTGTCATTTTGGGTGCTCTCGATGGCTCGAAGACGAGGGGAGAGGCTCTCAGGGACGCGGTTTGCAGGATCACCATCTCCGTTGGACCAGACGAGGAAGATGCACATGTCACACGGCGTCCTTCAAGTTTCGATGACCTGCTACCTAGCGGCGGAACTCTGGATCGACCTCCCAGTACAAATGACCTCGTGAGCGTGCTCCGCGCGTGCCCTGCCCGAGGGCTGCGTACATCTCTGCGTGAACTCCGTGAGAGGGCAGTTACGTGGAGGCACACCTGGACACGCTCGGTCTCAACGAACGAGCATTGAAAGCTCTAACGCCCCCCCTCTGTCACTTGCCTTTCGGTCTCTACGAGCTCCCACAAATCCGACCTCACACCATGGCAACTCTTTTCCCTCTTTGCGCCTACTATCAGGATCCTCACGCTCACCGGAGCCTGCCAAATACGTGAATACCACGGTCCTGCACTCACTCGTCCGCCTTAGCGAGTTCATCTGGATGAAATAGCGAGCGGGAGGCTAGAGCTCCATCCCCTACATCCTCTCCAACTCGATCGGCCACCTTCGCTCGATCGAAATGGGAGGAACGGACATTCGACACGCTGACGTCCTCCAACAGCATCGCATGCACCTCGAGTCGGATGCAATCCGTATCGCTCCCGCAACAGGCGCGGCCATCCTATGGCCGGCTGAAGGAGCTCATTCTGGACACGTCTGATGACTGACAAAGCGGCGCTCATTGCTCGCCCTGTCGGAGACGGTGTAGCACCTCCCGATGCGCATCTCGGACGACCTGGAGCTGTGGCGCGCGGTCATGCAGCGCCTCCCGAACCTGCCCGTGGTCACCGTCGGGCGGACAGGCGATGTGCGAGTGCTCCAGGCTGAGGGCGCGGCGCGGGATACCGAAGTCCGGACTGTATTTCGGGTCAGTCATCTCGCACTCGTGGTGACTGGGACGCACACCTGATGTCGTGTTACGCAGCCCTACGACGGCGTTGAGTCCGATACGCTTCCCCGAGTACTTCGGGCAGCGAAGCACAAAGCTGGCGTTCAAAAGCATATTCGCGATTGCAAGCATGCTAGAGTCGCTGCTTGTACGAGCGATGTTGTCACCGTAGCCTTCGGCCGCGATGAAAAGGGCTGTAAGTGCATCGAAGTCTATTCATTTTATCTTCGCATTAAAGTACTCGAAATTTAACCTGTACGCAAGACAAAGTAGCAAATACAACTGATAATATGCGGTAGTAAAAAATTGCGCCTACATATGTAGTCAGTGTGACCGTGGGTACTTCGCTTCTACGGGGTGAAGAGCGCGCTGTGGCAAGCTCCTGCTTTTGCCTCTTGTTCCGCTATTGGGACGAAATATACCTACCTACCTACCTCTGTTATTCTTGTTCTTCTATCCATAACGCCGCAATAATCCACTACAAGCCCACCTGTCATACGCCTTCGCGCAGGAACCGCGACGAGATCTACGTCCCCAACACTGATTGTTAGAAAGCTGCTGTCATGGCTCAAGAGCAGGAACGCGAGCTTCGGACGCAGTTGAAGAACGCTGAACGGCTATCAGGGAACTCAACCGCAGTGCGTTGTTGGCTGAATGACTTCTCTTGATACTGTATGAACTAATCGAGGCTTTGTACAGCGCAAAGAAGCACTCACGCAGTTGATCCAGCTCGTACACTCCTCGCATGTGAACATCAAGAGCCTCGTCGCCGAGAACATACCGAAGTACATCAAGTACTTCCCAGACTTAGAGGACGACGCAATCAACGCGGTTTATGACTTGTGCGAGGACCCAGATCAGCAGGTGTGGGACGCCCCCGTTGTTATCTCGCGGGCACGTCTGCTCACTGGCGGGTTGTGAATGCAGATACGGCTGAAGGGGTACCAGGCCATTCTCGCGGTCTCGCAAGAAGACAGGAAGTGGGTACGAAGAAACGCGGACGTCCTGGTCCAGCTGCTGCAGAGTGGTGCGTAGTTCGCCGCCAAGCGAGCTCTCTTTACTCCGGTATGCGCGGTTGCTCAGCCCGGTACGGCGTTGTTGTTGGTTGTTCCCTTCTCCCCCTTTTTTCCTTCCCAAAGATGATGCCCAAGAGGTCAAGTTCGTGGGCAGGAAGCTGGCGGAGCACCTCGACATCGACCCACGCGCGACGTTCGGCGTGTTCCTCGACCAAATCGTGCCTCCGGACGAGTCCAGGGAGCCGGACGAACAGGTCATCCGGGACAACCTGAGAAGGCTCGTGATTGCGTATATGCGCGACGAGGTCAAGCGGGGGTCGATCGTCCGGCATTGCCAGCAGAATGGAGATGTGGACAACGCGGTGGTGAATGGGATGCTGCGGGTGCGCCGTTTTTTGCGCTATCTTTTCGATGTTGCAAAGGCTGAAACTTATTGCTGGCCAGGCTGTCGCAAAACTTGACGTGAAGGAGGCGGATATCATCGTGAAGGACATCCTTCTGGTTCTGCCTTCATACAGGACAAACCCCGCTCGTGGAGTGGAGCTCCTCCAGACGCTATGCGATCGCGCTCGAGCTGCGCTCAAAGAGGATCTGCAGGAGAGCCGACAAGGCGCCAAGCGGCTCGACGCAACATCTGCGTGGCTCGCCCTTGCTACACATGTCGTCACTGAGAAAAAAATTGGCACCCCGATACCCTTGTTAGGGTTCTACCTGACGTCAATCCTGCGAGGCGACGTTCTGTTGTCGCTGGCTCCAGAGGAGCAGGTCGCGATCTTGTCGGGCTTTGCCTCGCTGCTCTCTGCATGTAGTGAGATTGTGCAACAAGGGCCATCTACGAGGTTCGCGGAAGTGGAGCTGCCTGGTATACAGCGACAGACGGTCGGAGCAGGTCCCGTCGTTCTCGAGGCGAGTGGAGTGTTCTATGCGGGGTTTAGCTCGCTTATCTTGCACTTAGGCGTTCGCGAGCACCGGAATGAAGGATATTCGGTGCTGGACTGCATCAAAAACGTTTCTAGACCTCTTCAAAGAAGTGCGCTCTATCTTCCCTCCAATGATTCCCCTTCACTGATTCGTCGTGTAGCGAAAGGAGAAGATCACCACTCCCCAATTCATTGAATGCCTCAAGAAACTACAGACGGTTACGAACAGATCTAGCCTAGATACAGTAGATGCGACTCTCGCAAACGAGGTCAAGGAACTCATCAAGGTTAGCGGACATGCGCTCCTTCCCTCTCGGCCTGGTCGGCGTCTGATGTCCTCCGCTCGTCTTTGCAGACGCTCTTGCCGCACGAACCGCCGCCAGAGCAGCGCACTCGGCGCATGCAAGTCTCCCAGAAGGCGGCGCGCGCCAACGGGGCCAAGGAAGGGCCCGCAGGCGGGAAGGCGAACGGGAAGTCAACGCCCGAACCTGGTCAGCTCGCCGTAGACAAGATCCAGAACGCGCTGCGGACCACCGCCGGCGCCGGTGCGAAGCGGAAGCGCGAGGACGGGCAGGCGACGGCGTCGCTGGTGGATCGGATACAGCCCAGCTCGGGGAGGGCGACCCCTATCGCCGAACGGGTGCTCGGCGCCGCCACCCCGTCGACGAACGGCGGGGGACAGCGTAGCCGGGGCAAGGACGGCCCGGCGTCGCTTCTTGAACGACTGTCTACGTCCGGTCCCACACCGTCTCGGACGAAGAACGAGCCCTCGAGGCCGGCATTCGCGACGCAGCTTCCGGCGCGGCAGGCGGCGCAACGAGCGAGCGAGGACGCGCCGCTGTCGATCAAAGGCGCTGCGAAGCGCGAGAGTCAGCCTCAGAGACCAACGTCGGGCCCAGGTGGAGGGTTGGCTCAACGTCTCGCGGGATCGTTGGCGGACCGGGTGGGTGGTGCGTTGTCGGAGTCTGGCGCTGCGCATAAGCGGAGGAGGAAGTGACACTCCCGTCGCCGGCTGTGCCGGTGTTCCTCGTCCTTGGGATGATCGTGCTTCTACGTTACCCTCTCCTCTTTCATCAGCATGCTGCATATATTCGCTTGATTGGGATGGGTGCGCTCCACGGCTGTAAAATTCGCGTCGGTGATACCTTGAGCGTAGCAACAGTGCAGCTTGACGGCAGGTAGGTAGGTAGGCAGGTTACCCACGCTGCGTGTGCAGTCCAAGTCGCTTCAAGCCGTGACCGGTGTTTCATCTCAAACTTCATCTGGCGCCGGAGCTGTCGCAAGCATACTATGGAAAATCCGCACAACGAGCGTCAGGCTGTGTTGCTCGAAAGAATCGTGAAGAACAGTGTACTTACTATATTCAAATATCGGTCTGGAGAAGGCTCACGTTCGTACGGCAGAACAAGGCCACGGAACTCTTCATGGAGCTCAACAGAGCACTCGAAGTACGCTGCCATCCCCCCACGGCTTTAATTGAAACATATCGTCTCATATCGCGACCCTCCATGTAGGAGATCCATCGCGCGAACGCGTCGATCCGCACAGCGGCGGATCTGGTGACGAAGTACAGACAGAACGTCAAGTTCAACTTCGAGGTCCAAGCTCCGTCCGAGTCGAAAGCCGATGCCTAGAGCGTGCCCAGATATACGACCTGGCGTCCCATGCCTGCTCGTGTTAGCTATCGCGACTCTAAGGAGCGGGACGAATGCCGTCGCTTACAAACGATGGTCTCCGCAAATAGACCCCCGTCCATCGTTACAGCCTTTAAACTACCTGCAACATCCGAGAGATGACGACATGCTTAAGTCACCTCCTCAAGGTTTCGCCTTGTAGATCCTCTCACTCGAGATGGAAGATTCGTCGGCGGATCGCTACTATATCAACATCTTAAACGACATCTGCCCGTCTTCTCTTCTGCTTGGGGTTATCTCGGCTGTCTGTAACCTTCCTTATGTTTCTCCGGGATATGCGCCCGTGCAAATACGTATACGTAGGGAGCCACCACCGTGCATCCATCCTGGATACCTGGGGCCACGGTTTCCGCAACCGCGTAGAGATAAAAGTCGGACGAGTTAGAAACGTGTGACGTCATGATATCATGGCTTTCCTCTTGCTACCCGGCATCGCTCAAGCAACCGGACAGACTGCGGCTGGCTTGGGTCGGTGACACCCTCTGCCGTTACTTGACACTCGAACTGAAAGTACTTGCACAGCTGTTGCTATCGACAATGCACGCAAGGCCGAACAAACGTCTATCTCCTTCAGCATCGGGAACAAGGTGTTCACAACCGCGAAGACCAAACCGTTTCCTTTCCATGAGCTCCCGTACGTGGATCTGTCAAGGGACTCCTTTCCCGCAAAATTCTCATTATATGCATTCAGCTACGAGCTGCGAGAGGAGATCATCATCTTAGCACTCGAACGATCGAAAACGTTACTCCAGGCATTCGAGATCTCCCCCACCATCCTCCCCGTTCCCGGCGTATGGCCCGCACGCGACCATCCCTTTCGTGACCCGGAACACCCACTCTACCACCACCCCATGAACCCCTACCACGACCGCAACCTGCCCCGCCCCCGCGAAGTGAACGGCTACCCGCTCTCGTCTTGGCGCTGGCAGCTCATCTGCCGCGAATGGCGCGCCATCATCAGGCCCCGGCTCTGGCACACCGTCACGCTCGTCGAACGGCCGGCCTACGACGGGTTTTTGAAGCTGCTCAAGGACCCGGATATACCCGGCTACGTGCGCGACATCGAGATGAAGGAAGGCTTTGATATGGACATGTTCAAGGTGTACACGATCATGACCAGTCTGCCGCACGCGGAGCGGATCGCGTACTCGCCCCGCCCCGTCGCGGCATATCGGCAGCCGTTCGGGGTACGTTTGGCGCTCCCCTCCTCACCTATCATCGCGATCCGACGTTTCCACGCAGATAAACCTCGTCCCGTCCAACCCGGGCCCGACGTCGCTCACCATCGGCGTCCCCTTCGACGAGGTCACGAACGATACCACGCGCAAGCACCTCCATAACCTGACCCGGCTCACGAACCTCAACATCCACGTCCTCCACCTCACGCCTGCCATGGCCGTCTTCCTCCGCTCGCTCACCCAGGTTCGCTCGCTGACGCTGACCGTCTACGCCTTCTCGTTCCATGCGCTCGAGGCATTCACCTTCGCAAACATGCCGCCCTCCTCCCACACCATATCGTCAAATGGGGACGGGGAGGGACAGGAACACGGACAGGGGCTAAAGGAGCTCGTGATCTTCGCGCTGCGTATCATGGAGGGCCAGGCGGATGCCATACGCGAGTTCATCGCGCGCGACCCACATCTGAGCCGCATGTGCACGATGTACGCAGGGCGTGCGAAGGACGCCAAGCTGATCTATTCCCCGGAGATCGCGAGGGCGGAGGAGGCGGCTGTTGCCGGACCGAGCGAGAAGGAACAGGGGGAAGGAGCGAAAGCTACGAAGGACGGAGAGAGCAAGAACGACCAGGAGCATTGGGAAAGGACGACGAAGGTGAAGTTCCTTGGGGGATTGGTGGAGCTGACGATGGAGAGCCGCAAGTGAGGGAAACGCTGAACACAGACGAGCGACGAATAAACACAAACGACGGAACCATCGATCAATAGGACATGGTACATTACACGCGGTACTGGTTAATGGTTTGTATCATAAGTAACAAGGAATATATGTATCGAGGCTAGTGGTACGCGATGCGATCCCCAGCTCAAAATCACGCTGCCGTGGCTTCGAGTGCGATAGCGGTACAGAACAGGGGGCAAATGCGGGAGTGGCAACTGTAGATCACATTCAGAACATGGACCAGGTGCATGTAAAAGGGAGAAGCCTCACTCGTTGCATGGATGAGTCGTAGGCGTAGGCGTCGGGGTTACCGTAACGACGACGCAGAACAAAGGGCAGACCATTCCTGGCTTGCAGCTGTTTGTAGAAGACAATCATCAGCCGAGAAGCCTGCACCGATGCCACTATTACACCTACACAGGGCACGAGATAGAGGTGACAGGAGTCGACGTAGTCGTAGTAGGCAGGATGATCGGACCACCTGGGTTGACTACGCATCCGTCAAGGCAGACATCATCTGGTCCGCAACTGAAGTCAGATCAGTTGGCGATTGAGCTTTGGAAAAAGTTCGACCATGCACGTACGGAATGCAGTCATCTTGGCGTTCGAGCAGAGGGCTCGGAGCAGCCAATGTCCTGGCAGAGGCAAGGTCAGCCGCCGCAAGTCTGACTAAGGACAGCGCAGATTCTCATACGCACATGCCGAGGACAGAAGCAAGTAAGGCGACGGTGGTGAATTTGAGCATCGTGATTGTACGGTGGTTGGGTCAGTTTCAAGAACACACCCTGCACGTTCCTCTCCTCCTGGCCTTCGGTTTTATACCCTCCAGCATGAGTGCGGCATGCCTTCCATTCGGTATAGACTCGCGACGTCAGCCGCGGGAGAGCATGCGCCGGGCACCAATGTCCATAACCGCCAGGCAGCTGGGCAGCTGTCATGCAATGAACGCGCAGGGGTACGGATCAGTCATCTGCATGGTGCCGCTGCATTGAGAAGCTGGGCCCGCAGGGACTTGAGCATTGCATTTCTTCCGACGGGGAGGCAAAAGGCTACGCTGTAAGGCACCAGGGACACCGGATGCGTCGAGCGGATCAGCGCTCATAAGAGTGAGCAAATCGGATGCACGTTTGATCTGAGTAGGAATGCGGTAATCGAAAGGGTCGGCAAAGACGTAGGCCGTGTGTAGCAAATGAGTGGTTCCCAGCCCGACCTTGAAAGCTTGTCCCACCCCTGATGCCCTGATGCGTGGATCGGGTTCGGAATTTGCTGGGTTCCCAGCGACGACGTACGTTGCTTGAGCGGTGGTATGGTGCATGATGCATCCGGTGACATACGACCTCTGCCATCGGTGAATAACTCATGAAACCACGATCATGGGCCAGTCTCGTAGTTCCGCGAGAAGAACGTAGGTTCTGTGAGTGTCATGGGTCCAAGCCGAGGTCGCCACAGGCAGGGTATTTGACTACCACTGTGCGATGTGAGATTTTTCCGACCTCGTCGGAGTCGGGTATCGGAAGCCGTATCGAGGCTCGAATAGGTTAGAGCACGTTTCGTGACGTAACGGGCGCAAGCGTCTCCATACCGCTCGGTCTTGTTAATGTTTCCGAGTGATATTGTGATATTCGGGGACTGAATCCCCAGAAAAATATCGGACTCGACCCAGTCATTGAGATAGACAAGGAGAGGGCTGGGGAGGGGGAAGTTGTCAACGGAACGATGAATATTAGCAATATTAATGCGCAGAACTACTGACCCATAACACAGTCCATACCTCGTTGCCTAGCGCTGCGCACTCAGTCTCAATCAATTGCAGGTTACTCTTCGAGCGACCGCAGCAATCCCGGTCGGGACGGTACTTGGGAAGTCGGTCGCTGCGAGGAGACTGATCGGAGGAGCAGTGTTGGTTGCAATGCCCGAGCGAATGTGGACCTTGAAGCTTGTTTGTCCGGTCCTGCGACGATCGTGGGCGACAAGTCAAAGCCTGGCGCTCGAGAACCATCAGAGAGATATAGGATTGACTATAGAGCCAAGATATGTGATTCGAGGACGATCATGGTAGACTACATACCTCGTTTTTTCTAGTGATCGCGATTGGCAATCGCCGCCCGAGGTACTCGGGGATAAGTGTTAGACTCCACGCAGTCATAGGGCTGTAGAGCATGACAAGACGTGAGCGTCCCGATCACCAGTAGCAGCGTACAGACGCGTGGCGAGAACCCTGACCGAACCTCGATACTCTGCGCCGCACACTCAGCCTCAAGCCCTCGCACATCGTCCTTCCATCCAACAGTGACCGTGCGCAGATTAGGCAGGCGCTCCATGACCGCGTGCCACAGCTCCAGGTCGTCCGAGATGCGCCCCGCGAGGTGCTGCATCGTCTCCGAGGCGAGCAATGTCTGCCCCTCACCCCTCGGCGCGTGGTAGTCAGACGTATCTAGAATGAGCTCCTTCAGCCGGGGATAGGATAACCACGCCTGTTGCGGAGACGAGACGGAGCGCATCTGGGTGATGCGAACCGACTCGAGGTGCATCCGGTGCTGTTGGAGGACGTCAGCGGGATGAATGTGCGTTCCTTCCGCTTCGATCGAGCGAAGGTGGCCGATCGAGCTGGAGAGGATGTAAGGGATGGTGCTCCAGCCCTCGGCGCGCTCTTTCATCCAGATGAACTCGTTGAGGCGGAGCTGGGTGAGTGCAGGGCCATTGTACTCGGGTATATGGCCGGTTCCGGTGAGCGCAAGGATCTTGATTGTAGGCGCCAAGAGAGAAAGGAGTTGCCATGGCGTGCGGTCGGGTTTGTCGGAGCACGTGGAGACCGAGAGGCAAGTGACAGAGGGAGGGGCCTTCAGTGCTCTCAACGCTCGTTCGTCGAGACCGAGCGTGTCTAGGTGTGCCTCCTCCGAGTGAGGTTGCCGACCATTCAGCTTCCCTCTGACGGAGTTCACGCATAGAAGTTGTAGACCTCGATCTGGGCATGAGCGCAGCAGGTTCACGAGGTCGTGTGTATTGGGCGGCTGATCCAGATTTTCGCCAAGAAACAGGCCATCACTGGAACTTGGACGACGTTGTATGGCATGCGCATCCTCCTCGTCCGGTCCAACGGAGAGCGTGATCCTATAAACCGCATCCCTGAGTAGCCGGCCCCTAGTCTTCGAGCCATGAATAATGGCCGCCAGAGAGGACAGCACATGCCTGCGCTTGCGCAGGACGGCATGGCGAAAGAGTAACGGCTGCGCCAGCGCGGCCCATGACCTACACACTTCGCTGAACGCCCGCACCGCGCCGACGTCAAAGACTGGCCAACCGGTATAGCCATGCATCCGGTTCGCGACGGTGATCGACGGCAATGGATGAAAATCCAGATGCTCGAGCACCATCAGCAAGATTTCTGGGGCCGATAACGCGGCGGCCATGGTCGACGACGAGCTTGCAGGCTGGGGTGCAGATATCAATCGCGAGGAAGCTAAGAGGCTTCATTCAGGGTGGAAGCGCACTTCAAGCGGCACTTGTGATTCACTTCAGCTGCAGGATGTACCAGAGCCAATCTATTCTTTATGATATTGCAAACTGCCAGGCAGCCCGTGCGACGATTGTTGGAGAGCAGAACAGGCGGCAGAAGATGACAGTGGCGAAATGCAAGGCAAGCGCCCGAAGTCCGATGCTTACTATATGTCGTCAAATTTAGCTTCATGCAGCCCAAGGAACTTGGACAGAGATACACCATATTACTCGGGTTACCAACTCACTTCACATGGCGGCTATCCGAGGATCTCGCGGTCGCGAAATTTGAAGGCGCCTACCTTGACGCTGGCCAACTTGAATTAACACGAGGAGTATGGTACCTGCTGGAGGCCAGAGCTAAGGTCATCGTCTATACCGCCGGATACCGGAAGGTATGAGCGATGCCTGAAATGCTCCATAATCCAGGTTCATTATCGCGCCTACGTAGGCCTACATCCTTCCAGCTCCCACTCATGCCTTGCTGAGGCTCCGAGTGCTTTGACGTGTCCAAAATGCCCCTACCCAGCCCAGCTCGCGGCGACTTGGGCAAAGCCGGGTTCGACCACTCCAAGTCGAAGGACATTCCTGTCCCGAATGATGGTAGGTAGGTAGGTAGGATTACTCGGCGCGGTCGATGGAGATAACGAGCTCCCGAGTCAGCCGATCAACACCAACGCCGCGTCGTGGCTGAGCAGGAGGTCGACCTGGCTAGCGCCGCAGCCTCGTAGAATGGCGACGGTACAAGACTCGTCCTCCAACACTGCCCACTATACACAACGCGTTCTTCACGGCCATCGAGGGGTTGAAGCGTCTTCGCTATGTGCGTCACTGTCTTTTCGGGTCTTTCCTCCTATCATGAGCTGACTTCGTGCAGTCTTCTCCGTCGGGCTCGACAGTGGCTCCATATCCGCCGAAGAAACTCGACTTTATTATCCACCTGGCCCACCTTGCCTTCGGCGGGATCACCCCGGTTCCCTTCATGGTCAACCCCGGGCCCATCGCCGTCGTCCGCGCCCCACAAGATTTATTCCATACCATCGACATCAGCTCGAACATGTTCCTCAGCCAACCTAAGCTCGTGACGAACGACTCCGCCATCCTCGACTCCGGCACCGCGCTGCACCGCGTCCCCACTTCGATGCGTCCCTCTCTCGCAATCTATCGTACCTTCTTGTGGATGTCGCGCAGATTGCGTTCAGCAAGTCCGCCGAAGTGCGTCGAGGAGGAGTAGACGTTCGCAAGCGACTGCAACGCTACCTCGCTCGAGTTTACGATCACTATCTGTGGCGCGGAGTTCAAGTGTTATTTCTGGCTATCATTGCGGAGGGGGCGGCCAGTAGCTTTGCATATCCAACCCGCAGGACTGGGGAAGGACGAGGACGGCAACATCTTCATCCTGTGATTACCTCAACGTTAACACTTAGCTATGAGAGATCGCTGAGACAATTTGTGTAGCGCCAGATAGGGGCGCGTTTTCGTGCTAGACTAAAACATGTGGCAACGCCTTTCGCATCGCATAAAGGGCAGAGGTACCATTTTACAAACAAAAACAGAACATGAACGTATTTTGCGATGACCTCAGCGAATGAGTCAGGGCCGCGGCTAAGTACGTTGAGGACGAGAGACGTACCACCTTAACTCGCTACCTTCAGCATCGCTCCGCTTCACAGTTCTTTGTCTTGTCGCCTCAAGACGGCGCGCTCGGCGAGGTGGGCCAACATACACCTGAAATCGCGTAGCAAACCTTAAAGGCGACTACATTTGGGATACCTCACCACACCCGTATCAACCACTGTTTACATTGCATATGAACAGTAAGATAGGGCTCATTCAGAGGCGCCAGGTCCGACGCATCTTGCTAATCCAGTAAGATCTCCTATCCCCCAAGTTACAGCAATCGCAGCGACAGATCCCTGAACAACGTGTATAGGCCATCGGTGAATTCGACAGGACCGGAATAACCCGACTCAGGTTGCTTGAGCGACTTGAAGGAAGCATGCCAGCATTACGGTCGTTCAGGATGTCGGAGGCCATCCGGAGCATACAGCGCTTGACGCTGTGCATTTACATGTATCATCTACTGCTTAAGCCACTGATCTATCGCCGCAGAAAAGACAGTACGATCGATGCGATGAGCAGTGTCTCGCCTCTCCATATTTGGTACCGCCCCCCCTTCTGCGCGTTACCGGGGGCATTGCAAATTGGAAGGTGTCCCTAATAGTACAGAGACATTTGCTCGTCGATACCGACCTGCAGAGGCTCGAGACCCGCGATCCGCGTGAAACGCAGGGCACTCTTCAACACGAGACTCTTTGCGTCGTGCACTATTTCCCTTCCAGGCCATGCAGATAACGCTCGGTTGAATCCAAGATATGCTATGGCTTGCCATATACCTCCCACTTCCTTAGGGCTCAAGGGCACCTGCCAGGTAGGTCCGATGTAAGTGCATTCAACACGGCGAGGAGGGAACATGCGACGCGCCTGATTAGGGTAGGAGTACATGAACGATATGGTCTTACGGTCAGGAGCAATCATGAAGGTGTCCGAACAGAGCACAAGACTGCGCGTGATACTTATGCTGTTGTTGATCGTTTTACTGCCCTTCGGCTGCCAGTGCAACACGCACGATCCCGGAAAATGCCCTTCAGACGACAATTTCAGTGATGCTGCTGACTGAAGATCATCTCTCGCGGACTGACCTCCGCATCTGATCATTGACAGCTTCTCCGCGGACTGTTGGATGAAATTGTACGATGCGCCTTCCCAAAAGTTAACGATGGCCAGGTCGTCCGTGCGCATCCACCATACTCTGTCGGCTGCGTGGGCGTAGACCATCGCTTCTGCAGATTTGCCTCGCATTCCCTCCCTTAGCGCACGGCATATCGTCGCAGCGGAGTTGTAGAAGTGTGGGTGCGAAATAGCGATACCAAGGAATGGCCGGTTTTCGGAAAAGTAACCCTGTATCGTATGCAGGGCGGATGGGGACATGTAAGCAGAGCAATCCCAGATAATGTATCCCCGTTCAGTGAGGAGGAGGATCGCTAACCGCCGCGCAGACAAAGCTTCGTCAGCCTACTTCATCACTCTAATGACAATCATACATGACTGACGAGTCTGAGAGATGCCCACTCCTGGTTCGTTCTTGATACGGAGCACGTTATTATCATGTTTCCAGGGCTCAAGCGTCGTCTGAACGTCCTCGTCCAACAGCTCACGCAACGAGGTCCAAGCCTGGCCCGACTCCGGGACGTACTGGCGATCATCCAAGCAGATGACGCAGGCGGACAGATCCCTCTCCTCATGCGGATATTGCGCGCCGCACGTCTTGCAAATCACTTTGTCGAGGTCCTTCACATATGCTGTGGGCAGATTAGACTGTGACATTGGCAAGACCCAGCAACAGTATGCCGATAAGCTTGAGATGATGAAACGCGACAGAGCTCAGCGTGAACTTGGAGCGCAGTATATACTGTACTTTTACGACCATAAGTTCGTCCTCGTTCCCCCCTACCCTTGCCGAACCTTACTGACCGTGAGAGCTGTTGACACTTACTGTGAGAACAAAAAAATCTGATTGATATCAGTTCATGAACTTCCCACGGGTCTGAACTTACAGCGTGTCCAAGGGGTCCGCTTGAACTTATGGTCGTAAAAGTACAGTATAGTTACGAGCACGAGCCTCTCTCACGGAGAACATCGGGGCACGAGCCTAGACGTAAGCATGACCGTGCAGTATTCATCCCAGAGAAGTTCCAAGCTTTGAAGCTCACTATAGGTCGTACACAGTACACGCAAAGAACAACGAGAGGGAAACACAGCACCGCCAACACCGCACTCGGGTGCAAGAAAGTACATGGACAGATTATCGCCTGTTCGTCTTGCCCATCTTCCGCTTTCCAGCGAATAGATGCTTGGGCTGCAGGATGATGGGATGAGCGATGTGCCATTTCCCAATCGCAAAACAATCCGGCGGGATGACGCACCATTTTGGTTTTGATGGCGCGATCGGACTCGCCTGCCTTCGCCTGCCGATTGCGCTCTCGTTGACCAAGGTTGCGCAGTTTGACCGCCTTCTCCGCTTGCTATCGACGATGCGGAGTGTGAGCGAGATGCCGCGTTTGAGAAATGAATGGGGCTCACTGCCTGATCGCGCATGCCCGCCAACTGCCGGTTGGACTTCGGCTCCCGCTTGTTCTGCGCGACCACCTCGCCGGCGTTGCCTTTTGCCCGCTTCGTCGGGGCGCGCTCTGCACCGTCGACGTCCATCCACTCGCCATCGTCCTCGTCATCCTCGTCGATGTCCATCGCGTCGTCGCGCTTCCGCTTCCGCTCTGCGCCCTTCATCTTCGCGATCATCGTTGCGCGCTCCTCGATGCGGCTGGGGTCGAGGCCGGCCTTGGTCAGCGCGGCGGTCATGTCGGAAAGCGTACGCAGGCCTGCGGTACGCGGTAAGCGTGCAGTGTTCTTCATGCCCTTCTTCACGCTCTGCGAGGCGATCTTCTTCTCGAGGCTGTCGCGGAACTCGACGGCCTCGCGCTCGTCGTCGGAGTCCCACTACAACGAAGGATCATGATTGAAATTCTATAATGAGAAAAACGTCAAAAGGCGCGTACCATGTCCGACTCGCTGTCGTAGAAGCCCTCCGCCTGCAGCCGCTCCTCCTCGCGCTCGAGCGCTTCGAGTTTCTCTTCGATGTCGGGGTCGATAAAGTCCGCAACGTTCTTGCCGTCCATGATCTCCGGCATGGTGTCCATTTTCCACTCCGGGTCCTTGAGCATATAGTTTTCTGCGCATATAATCAGGTACAATTCCAAAAGCGAATCAACAACAGGAAACAACGCACTCTTCATATTGATGTTGTACACGCCCGCGCCACCCTCCTCTGCCTCGAGGTCCTTCTCCAACCTCCGGCGCTCTGGATCGTCCTTGTCGAACTTCCTCCGGTTCTTGACGACGTCGGGGATGAACGGTTCGCGGACGACATCGTCCCTCGCCTTGGGTTGCGCGACATGGATTCGGTTCGCGATCGCGTTGATCTTCGAACCCTTGAGCTTGGAGTCAACGCGATGCTCCAGCAGCGCGTCGCACGCCTTCGTCTTGAGCTCCATTACACCCTCGTCAGAGTAGCACGATATTTGGACGGATTTGACGCCCTCGCCGTCAATTATTTCCTGCACGAGCGCACGAGTCTCCTCCGGGAGGTCTTCAAGGCGCTTGACGTCTATCTTGTTCAGGACGAGCATGGTGGGCTTTCCGCTGAACAGGGGTTTGATGGAGTGGTATAATTGGCACTGATGGAACCAGTCAGTCGGACATGGACGAGGTCAGTCATTTTCGAGCATACCTGAGCTTCAACAGTGTATCCGCACTGTTCGCTAAGGTCCATGAAGTACAGCACACAGCTTTTCAGATGCGCAAGCGCCGTGATACTTTGCATCTCGATCGTGTTCATGTCCTCCAGAGGGTGGTCGAGAATACCCGGGGTGTCGATAACCTGCCACCGCAGATACCGATAGTCGAGATGGCCGACGAAGAGCGATTTGGTGGTGAAGGCGTACGGCTGTACGTCGACGTCCGCACGGGTAACTTTGTTGATGAAGGAGGACTTGCCGACGTTGGGGTAGCCGCAGATCAGGAGAGTGCGGGCAAACGGGTCGATGGCGGGGAGACGGGAGATGTGTTGTCGGACTTGTTCCAGGTAAGCGAGCGGGTCTTTCTGGCGTTTCATGATGGTAGCCATCCTGCCCATATAAGGATCAGTGACATAGATATGGATCTATAATGGTGCAGTACTCACCGACCGAGCGCAGCCTTCTTGAGCTGCTTACACCGATACAAACTGTCGCCGAACTTGAGTAGACGGACATAGTCCTTGGCGACTTGGTCGATCAGATGCCGTGCTGTTCGAAGTTGGCCCAAAGCGAGCTTGTAGTGGTTCTTGTCGTATAAAACGTTCATCAAAGATGATAAGAAAGGATGCAAATCGTCGAGGATGGGGAATTCGGTCAATATGGCTCCAAGCTTTTCGTCGAATGAGTCCTGGGTAAACTTGACTTTTCGCATGTAAAAGTTCCGTATCCGACTGATCTTGAAGTTTTTGTGGATTACCTTGCAGCATCCCACTTGAGCGACAACATCTCGTGGAGTCTTATAGATGTGATGGGCATACCGTCGGAGTCTTCCTCTGGGTTTTCGACAGGACGATATCCAGGAAGTCATTGGCCGTAGGAACGGGCGAAATCTGCTTGAGCCCGCTGGTCGACATCTTGCACAAAATCTGAGGAAGACAACCAGTAGAGCGGGCGGAGAACACTGCTCCTTGAAGATCTGACCGAGCGGGGAAAAAATTGGTTTACACAGACCGTGTGAACCCTCACGGATTTCTCCGGGTCAGTGCTGCAGTAGTAGGGTTAGGGTTGTAACTAAATCATCCTGTTCGTCTTCGACTGCAACCAGCATCAACGGTTGCCTCTTGTTGTTGCTACTTAGGACCAGATACCCACAAGCATATGAAATGGCTAAGGCGTGTTCAGCAGGACGGGTCGCATCCGCCTCTACGTACGTCTACTTGCGTTACCAACCTGCCTCAAGGCCTCCCAAAGCTCATCTCCGTACACGGAAATCAAGTAACAAAGACTATACAGAATGGCATCTCCATGAGAAATTTCGTATCGTGACGCAGAGGTAGCGACGGCTGTGGATTCTGCCTGCGCATCCCGCCGCTGGGATCACCAAAGCACCGGCCAATGATCTCAGTGATCTAAGCGTGGGCAGGGCTCGGCCTGCATAGTTTCCATGAGCACCCTCGGAGGCTCTTCCCCTTTGTCTCCCAGCCTGCGCCTTCACCCATTTGACCGTCTGGTATCGCGACGGCGTCGTGTAAAGTATAGCGGCTGGCCGCCCCCTCCAGCTTCGTTCTACTGGCTGGCACCATACCATGCCTTTTTGGAACGTAACGAGTGAGTTCCATCTGCCCATCTCGGTCACAAACATGCGATGCTTAGGCGCTACACGAAACAGTCGACGATATCTCCCCGGTCTTCGACTATCAGGGAGACTGGGTGGACACCAATACGGACGACTCCGATTTTGTAGACTACCTTAACTCCACCTTTCATGCCACCCAGGATCAGGGCGCAAGTGTAACATTCAAGTTCAACGGCTCGGCTGTATACATCTTCGGTGCCAAAAGGGATAACCATGTGCGTCCTGCGGACCGCAACTGAGCACGCATCATGCTAACGGGCGCAACAGGATCAGTACACCACGACCCTGGACGGGCACTCAACGATAGGGAATGGCTTCGCTCCACAACCGTTCGTCTTCAAGGCGCCTCTATTCTCGCAGGCAACGAATCTTGACAACACCGAACACACCGTGACACTCACGGACTCAAGTACGGACCCCAAGGACCGACCATTCGTGGACATTGATTTCGTGACCATCACCGTGGGCGATGACTCGGAGGGGACGCCGGTGGATCTAGCCACCGACGACAGCTCGTCGCAAGCCGTGTACAGTCAGGGATGGACACAGCCCACCGCCAACCAGACCTTTTACTCCAATAACTCCTATCAGTGCGCCCAGTTCTATGGATCTGAGCTATTTCCGGTGCTGACGCTTCCTCTCAATAGCCGCACCAGCCAACCTGGGGCGAGCGTCACTATTCCCTTCATAGGCTCAGCCGTGGCACTGTACGGAGCGACAAACTTGGGTTACGGGCCGTTCTCGGTTAGCATCGACGGTGCTTCTCCTTCATCCTTCACTGCCTCTGCCCCCACGTTCCGACCCGGGACGCTCCTCGTATGTTCATACGCTCTTGGACTGCGCATATAACTGAGAATCGTGTTGACTCGTAGTACTACGCCAGCGGCCTGGACAGCGCGCACCACACGATCACGCTCACCAACATCGGCAACGGCTCGACCTCCATCGACTTCGACCACCTCGTCGCGACGTGCTTCAACTGCGAAACTTCCGCAGCCGCCGCCCACGTGTATGTCCTACTTCCACTATCCTCCATCCATTCACCCAGCTCATCTTCCATGTCTTCTCCACAGAAAGAGAAAGAACACGGCCATCATTGCCAGCCTCGTCGTCGTGATCGTCGTCATTATCCTCCTTCTCGGCGGGTTCTGGTTCTGGTATGTCCGCCGGCGCCGGCGCCAAGCTTTCGCCGCCGACCAGGAAAAGCGACTCCAAATCAACGTCGCGAGCTACGGCCCCTCGCCCGAACCGCCCGCCCCCGAGCCCTACCTGGGCACGCCCCGGACCATGGCCGCACTCCCGATACCTAAGTACGCGTCTCAAGCCCCGACCTACACCGCGAACCCGGACGAAGTACGCTCCGCGATCTCGATTTCTGCATACTCGGCCGCCTCGTACACCCGCTCGGGCGCGCATGACGACGCAGTGACCACGGTCACCCACCCGTCGCCGACATACACGAGCCGGACGTCTATCTCGCGCCTCGTCGCCGCCGCCGGCATCTCTGGCCCCTACCGCAGCCCCGGCGGCACTGAGTACGACAGCTCGCCCATTGAAGACGCTGGGCCTGCACCGGGAATGAACGGTCTACCTCCCCCACCACAGTATGGCCAGGTGTTCCGGTCAGCGCCGCCGGTGCCGCCGGTTCCACCTGTACCACAGGCTGCGACTGCGACTGCTGCCGGGACCTCGAGCGGCCAAAGGCCGATCATTCCACCCATCATCACGGATCTGAAGACGAGGCCGCTGCCAGCGCAGCCCCGCGAGCCTCGATCAGAATACATCTAGGGACTCAGTGTACGTTGAGGATACGAGGAAGAAGAAGAGAGTGCTCGTCGCGTGTCTCTTAGATTGGAAGGACTGCAGGGCAGTCAACTTTGGCAGTGAGTAGTCGTCGGCGATTGATTATATGGTTGTCTTGTTCGCACTCCGAGTTCCACTCGTTGTTGTAACATTAAGGGTTCAATTCAGTACCCCACATCGTGCTGGGTTATTCACTCTTTTCGCTCGACGTCCTGGCGATGACCGCTGGTATGAGTTCGGGGCACCTTGATGGCCTGAATGGTGAAGCCCTGAGCGCCTTGCGCAGATTTGGCCGCAGGCCAGCGTCGGCGAGGACAAGGGGTGCGTACGTACGGGCGTCTCAACGTCCTCATAACAATCTGATTAAGCCGTTGAGTTAGGAGGGCGCGATATTTGCGAAGCAGTCGCGCAGCAACAAACAAGAGACGATGTTTAAGGAACATAACCTCTTAACGAAGTCTTCACCAGTGATTGATATTTTACTCTATGACGATGGTGCCTAACATAGCTGTGATCATACGCCACTGGTTTCATGTCCTGACAACCGAAGGTATGCGGCTCTTCATGCCTGAAACACCTAGTGACCCGGATCTTCTCTAGGATTCATCCCCTGATCAACTACTACCGTAGTACCAACATGCTTAGATGTCACTCGCATATGACGTGCGACCTGAAAGAACGTATTGCACTGCCCGCTTTGACTGCTTCGATTGATTGATGTTGGCACTTCCGCTACCTCGAGGCAGCCTACATTCGGGTCAGCGGCCACGAGATCGGACCAGAGGGCGTTTCAACCCCATCCGACGAACGTAAAAGCTGGAATGCTCCGATCCTCGCAAGTTACTGCAGTTTCTGTGCCCCTCCCTTCGAAAGAGAAGGTGTTTCGAGACTTGCGACTGGTATCCCCATCTCACCTGCTGGGCTGGTCCCATGGCTCTACGAAACGTCACTGGTGGGCTGAGCCGTTGAACCTTCTTTGTGTTCTGAACGAAAACGCCTTTTAGTGGATGACGTATCTTCTTTGCTCACCTACAACGGAACCTGGTCAAATCTCACGTCTGCCTCAAGTGATTTGAGCTACTACAACCAGACGTACCACACTACTGTTGATCAGGCAAGTACTCAGTTTGTGTTCATCAAATTCCTTCACTCAGGCAAGGGCAGGGAGCAAGCGTATCGTTGAGTTTCAGTGGTAGGGCCATCTACGTTTACGGATCGAAGCAACCACAATATGTACGCGTCCTGGGCTCTTCTCGCGAGACTTCGTACGACAATGTGCACTAGGATCAATATATCGTGACTGTGGACGGGCGCGCAAGCTCTGGGAGTGCCTACCACAGTCCTCCGGAGTCACAACAGCTCCTGTTCTCGGACCTTAGCCTCGCTGACGGACCGCATGAAATTGTACTACAAGACCAGAGCAAGCATCCGAATAGCCGCCCGGGTCTCGACATCGACTACATCGTATACACGGACACGATTGACGATTCTGCATCTTCAAGGTATGTCATGTCGCGCAATCCAGATCTAGTGTTGAGAGGCTTCTTGCATCGCCTCGATCAGTAGCCCCGTTGCTACGATGTCTACCTTGCCGGCAACTTCTTTAAGTCCAGCGCAGCCGTCGGCACCAACGGGAGGTCTCACCTCCAAAAGGTATCGCACAATTGTAATGCATGCCTTGGTCAGAACTGATTGCCAAGATATTTAGTATGCATGCAACAACCGTCAGGATCGTAGCTGCCGTCGTGTCGCTGGGCGTTATAGCCGCCGTAGCCCTCGTTATATTCGGTATCTGGATTCGCCAACGCCGCAAGTATACGACCCCAGCGGGACACGTAGCACCTTTCCATGCTCCTATGTCGATGCACGGTTCCACCGGCAAGGCAAGGATTGTATCGTGAGCTATCAAGTGCGTTTCGCATATACTCCCGTTCACTCAGTCCCTCGTCGTCAGGTTGGAAGGCTCGAGAAGTCCTTCACCGCCGGCCTACAATCAACTCTATCCTGCGATGCGAGTTGAAACGACGCCCACGAACGACGATGACCTTCCCAACTCGAGGCATACGCTCCACGAGAAACTTTATTCGGGACTGCGCATAATGCGGTCTATACGAGTCAAGGCCCGCAGTTTACGCCGACCTGGTACTTGACGACGACAAATTACCGTCGATGCCAAAAATATTGTTGGGCAACAGATCGGAACACCGTCTGTGCCCTCATTTTGGAAAACGCTGTGTATTCCGTTCGTGCAGAAGTTCCCTTGCAGAACAACTCCTTTGGTATTTGATGCTCTCAGCCGCACCGAGGTTTGTCTCTACATGTACGTACGATGTCAGGATATCCGAGCTTCGCGAAGCCTTGCAAATGTCCAGGGAATCAATGCGATTAAAATGGGCAGCATACACGTAGATGTGGTATCGATACATAGCAGCAGCGGGCAGCGGTCCGGAGAATCGGCACTGTACACGGGGCGCACGGCATGAGGAACGGGGTGAATACAACAAGATGTAGCGTGGGTCGCGAAACGGAAGGGCGGAGACTGGGGGCACTCAATTATGGCGTGCGGGACGGCGATGCAGACGACAAGCTATGCGAGCGTCTTTCGTCGATCTTATGACAGACCGGTCTCTGCGAGGTGTTTACGGATGATGGATTCGTTGACTGCGGTAGCGGTTGCGGAAGATCAGAATTCTGCGATAACGGGTGGGACGCCGGCGGGAAGACGTACCGTTGACGATGATGGTCTGCGTCGCCTTGACGTTGAGCATGGACGTGAAGTGCTGATCGGGCGCGCAGACTCATCAGGACACCGACGTCCACGGGCGCGAGAGGCGAAGAGCGACACTTACCACGTACAGCTGACGGCGTGAGATGTCCTTGCGCCGGTGGACCTGGATGAAGTGCGCGCGGAAGTACTCGGACGCTTCCTCAAAGGTATTTTCGCGGTCGCCGTAGGACGTGATGCTGCGGACGGGAGGGGAAGGGAGGAGGACACGAGCGTGAGCATGGGAATGTCGCAATCTCACGGGAAGAGGGGGGAGGGAGGGGTAGACGTGTAGGAGGTACACTCACTACTTGCGAACTTTGATCCCGGCGTCGAGCTTCTGGCGTAGGAGGTCCGTCTTGTTAAGGAGCAGGACCAGCGCGGCTTGCTTCAGGAGCTTGTTCGAGCAGATCGCGGTCCAGAGCTGGAGCGAGTCGTCAATCCGGTTCACGCGCGAATCCTCTTCGAGGTACTGGTTATGCCCAAAACAAGTGCAGTGTCAGTCAAATGGCAACACGCGCAACAAGCAGGGAGAGGGCGTCTATCGTTACCTGATCATATGCGCTGATTGGGGCCAAAAAGATGATCGCGGTCGCTGTGGAAGGGAAACCGGTCCGTCAGCCCATGCGTTCACGATTCACGAGGCATGTCAGGCACGTAGGGCGGCAATAGAAGGTGGGTGGACGGCTTCGCGTGGGGAAGGCCGGGCCAAAGATGCAGAAGGAGGGCGATGGCAAGAAAAGAATGTGGGATCGCCTTGTAGGCTCGGTGCCGCGGCAGGCAGGCATCCAAACTTCGTGGCGGACAGGAAGAGGTGAAGAGTGGGCGGCAAGGACCGCAAAAGGGAGGAGAAGAGCACAATCAAGCCGGAAGGAGGATGGCGGGGCTTACCATCGTCAAAATAGGGCACCCATGCGTGTCGCTGGCGAGGGAAGCGGTGAATCAGCCTTGGTGGTGCTAGGGCGGGTTCGTCGAGTCCAGACTGACCTGCCCGCGCTGTAGATTCGAGATTCCCGTCAGTGGCGAGGAAGACGAACATCTGAATGCATCGCTCACCGCTCCTCCCACATCGTACAGGTTCCAGCTGTAGCGGATGCCACCCATAGATATGTCGAACTCGTGCTCTTGTACACCCAAGGTCTGAATTCGGACATTGAGGATATCCTCTGAGAAAAACGACCGTATCAGTGAAATGACGATGTCGGAGAAGAGTTTCAGCTTTACTCACCATTAGTCGGAAGGTAATCCTGTTCGGCGATACGATGGATGTTGTCTAAGAAGCTGTTGCAGAAGCGATCTTTCGTCAGCTAAGGGAACTGCAGTCCCAAAAGGAGTGGGACGGACTAGGCAGCTGTCTCGTCCAGCCGGAGCTGCCGTGACTTGATCAGGCGCTTTACGGCGGGGTGTTTCCATATCGTAGCTATCCCGTCTTGCAAGGCCGCCAACGATCGCGCTGCGAGGTCGGCGATGACGGTCACTCGACCCGGCGCTTTGCGGATATCCGAGAGCCAGGAGAGGTGACTGAGCGATGGCGAGGGAGTCACGAGCGCTTGCCACCCGGAGCGGACGTACACGCCCGTCTTGCCGCCGCCGACGGCAATGCCTCCAGACAGTTCGAGCGCGAGCGAGTCCTCCATTGCGACCAGGGGGAGCAGCTTCTGCCTCAGCGCGGACAGCTCGGTCTGCCATGCGTAGACGGGGTTTGGATCGACGCCCGCGCTGGAGGAGGTGGATGCGCGGGTGTTGAACGAGAGGTCCACGCTTGACGTTGGACTCGAGGACGCAGTGGCGGAACCAGGCGAGAAGTGGTTATATGCCGTAGGCGAAAGGAGGGAATAGTCGAGCTCTTCGATGATGGTCCGGACGGCTTTGACAATGTTGGAGTAAACCTGAGGTCGCGTTCACTCACAGGACAAGAACGATAAAGGTAACAGCGACATACGACCGGTCGCCAGCTCGGCCGCTCGGTATCGAGGCTCGTCTTCTCGTAGAATAGTTGGAACTGTTTCCGCAGCGTGCTCTTGCCCGACTCGGCCTGCCCGAGCAACATTACTGGACACCATGCCACGTCGGTTAGCCGTGCTCATAAAAAATAGGCTCGCTGCCCACACACCTTTCACCTCCCTCCGCTGTGCCTTCTTCCTGCGTTGTGCCTCCTTATCCCGCTGCCAATATTCTCCTCAGCATGCCGGCCGGCGCATCGTCAGGCAGTACGAGAAGAGCGCGCACCTTGATCTCCTCGTCAATCAAGTTACTGATCCTCCGGGCCTCCTCATCGTCGTCTGCGGCGCCTGAGGTGTATTCGCGGCGAGGGGAGCGCGTCATGGTGGTACGGATCCAAACCGCGAAGGTTTCCGGGCGTCGGCGCCCTTAGCCTGGCGAACTGAGAGATATCATATCTCGAAGAAATGTCAAATAGCCGAAGGTACAGGAGGCCATGAGAGATTTCGCAGGCACTGTCCCTGGCCCGGCACTTGGAATCAAACTCAACCCAACCCCACCCGCGCATTCGGAGGGAAAGGAAGGCACGCGGTTTACAATCCCGCCATCGGGTCTCTGCGTTCTCGCCCCCGCGCCCGCTCGCTGTGCGCAACGTTGTCCCCGCGCGAACACGAAACCTTGCGGATCGCTTCCAGGTGCAGCGGGTTCGCCTTCCGCGCCGGCCGCGTGCCATCGGACCGGTGATTCCCTCCTGCCCTCATATCATTTCTTCGCCATGGCAATCGCATGCAGCTGGCTTTTAGTGCGCTTCGGTCATATGGAGTCATTGCGCATGCGGGTTGTCCCGGGCTGCCTGTGAACCACCGCCACGAAAGATGCTGCAAAGCCTGATACAATGGCGATACCGGCGTTCTGTGCTGTGCGATGCGATTTCGTTCTCTGACAAATGCACGGTCGGTCTTCACCACCCTCGCTGCGGACGGTGGGACGCGACGTTGCAACGCGGTGCGGGTGTGTGCATCGGTCTCAGTGGAGCTCGCCGATATCATTACTTACTTACATATCACCCTCACGGAATTCCCCATCGACAGTTTTCGTGGGTTCGAAGGATCATCATCGGCGGAAGAAAGACGATCAGTATTCATTCTCCTGTCCAAACATAACTCTTGACTTCTCTCCCAACCACACCAAATCGGGGGCTTGTCACTATTATCGCTAATGGATGACTTCCCGTAAGATCTGTAGCGACAGAAACACAGAATAAACAGTTCAAACCCCGATCTGTGGGTTATGCTGTACGTTTATGCCCCCGTACGGCCCTGTGCGTGTGGGGCGGAAATAGAACATCATAAACGCGGAGGTCCGTTGAGAAGGGCTGAGTAGCGAATGAGGAAGAGGGAGGGTCACGTGCATGACAAATTCACGTCTGTAAACGGGCATTCTGGTCTGGAAGGGGGGGTCGGCACCCCCTTCCAGATAAAAGGTCTGTACGAGCGACTTGTAAACCGACAACTTGGCTCGTCGTTGCCGATTTTTCGGCATCGCTCGCTTAGTGGATTTGTAAGCGAAATCTATTCTATTCGGCCTTACAGATCCTTACGGGAAGTCACCCAATATAAGTGAGCTTTCCTGTACCACTTCCCCTCTCGGGTTCCTCCTCCCTGGCGCGGCGTGCCGCAGCAACTCACGTATAACCCCAATCAGGAACCTAAATGGCGCTCATACATCCATC